CACCGAGTTGCCATTTCCTCTGCAGCGGATAACATATTACAATGTGAAAAAACCTCTTCAAATGTGCGCAGAAGGATATCTTTCAATAAAAATTACAAAAATTACCAATATTAAAGAAGGAAAAAAAAGGTTGGCTCGTGCAAGATGATTTTTCAGGAGATTATAGAACTAGAGATATCAGATATTTTAGGGAGAAATCATTAATGTGTGTATGATATCAGCTTCAACGAGAGAGATAGGTACGCAAATGCCAAGACGCAGAATGAGGAGTCAGAAAAATATTAAAGCAGAGACAAAAGCATTATTCCAAGTAATGTTTATACTGTCAGCTAACTGCCTAATATTTTCAATGTAATATTTAGTCCCCAATCAGCCAACAACTACACAACTGGACATCATTTGTTCCTCTACATTGTCCAGCCAGAATAACCTATTATGCCTCTATAGGAACGGAAAATTATAAAAAGAGCCTAGAAACATCAGCTTTTAAGAAGCCATTGTTTTTAGTGCACTAAGCATCTTTTTCCCCAAAATCTACACGCATAGTACTCGTACGGCTAATAGCCACCATAGACAAAGAATCAGAACAATAGAATAAGTCAATAAGAGATTTATAAAAATGTCAAGAATTACCTTCTAGGCAAGGCCTTTTCATCAGCTTTGTAAGTCCAGTCAATTCCTTTAAGTGCAGCCTTCTCAAGAGGATCACCAACCTGTAAGTATTGAAAAACAGAGTAAAATATGACAGATTTTTGAAGCGATGAAAATGATGCAGAAGCAGAGCACAAGCGGTTTCTGAAAGAGGACCATAAGTAATGTATTATGTATCACATGCGTCGTACACTAACATTCATCTCTAACTTTCTGAAGTAAGAAGTATACTACATGGGAATCAAATATCCGATTTCATATAAGAGTCTGGGGTAGAGAAAATCCAAGAGTTAAACAAAATGGAAAATCCTCACAGCCCAAACAGGAACAGCAGCAACTGATACCAGGAAACTGAGGTCAAATAAGAAAAGAAATTGAGTTGTTCATACCAGCTTGTTGTCAACAAAGACCAAGGCATGACAAGAAGCCAAAATCTCTAATGTGCGTAAGGGAACCTTGCTCATATCAGTCTCTGCCTCTTCGCCATCAGACAAGCCCCCAACTCCTCGGAACTCCTATGATGCAGCAATGAAAATGGCTTTAAAATAAACAAAATAAAGTAAGCATATACACAAAAATTCACTTGACCTTACCATGTCATCTGACGTGAGTGTACCAGTCTTATCGAAACAACACAAATCAACCTGTCAGCAAGGGGAAAGTGTGACACTAATAAGACAACAGTAAAATCAAGAAAGAATACGTATTCCTTGCAGAGTGCCCAAGGATCAACGTAAGGAACTAGTAGCCAAATGAGGTACAACAGATCCTACCTTCCCGGCAAAAGGAATCCTAAAAGGCTCTGTGCAAAATATCCCACGGCGTGCAAGAGCAAGTAATGATGTATTGACAGCAATGGATAATTCCATAGGCAACTCGGGCGGGATCACTGAGGTGATGATAATCGAACAGCCTAGCAATAGCTTATATTTGCTCCTTGTAGGATCCTCGAGACCCTGTAAAGGAGATTCCTCATCATTAGTAAATAGACATATTTAAATAGATAACAACCTGAACAAATATTACCGTACCTTTACAAGAACATAACCGGCAGCGATCACGGCGAATACAACTAGAAATAATATGAACAGACCACTTTCCCAGCTGTTTGCAGTAACCTAATTTTTATAACAAAATGATCAGAACAAAAAAATATTTCTAACATACTGAAAATGAACCACAAATAAAGGAAGATTCCTAACCCTCTCCGTAGAAAATAAAATTGTCCTCATTAGTTTTCCTTGGCTTGTCTCAAATCCAGTTCGGAGAACAACAGCTAGACAGCCACCATCAGGGGTTTTCAGAGAAAATGACTGACACCCAAACATTAATTAGTATAAAACAAAGGTTAGGAAAAGGCACGGAAGAAGAAATAGTTGATATTATTGAGACGGATATACCTTGTCAGGTGAATGTTGCAAGATCTTGGTCCCACCAAATAAAACATGGTTTTTATCCCTTTTGATCGATAGTTTTTTATCAGATCCTTCACCAGCAATTGGAACCTATAATAGCCATCATACAATCTTAGCGAAACATAGGTCACTTACACATACGGACCTTCTAATGCAAGGGTCCAAGCTATATATCTATAGTGAAGTAAGTATTGTTCACTAGTTGGTAATGATGGTACATAGTTTCAACCAATGACACTAGACCCTATTACACATATCGTGAGAGAAGCTGCTGATACAATAATCAGAATGACAAGTAAGATGTCAAAAACCAAGTATACAATACGCAATGTTACGATTCTGAGCTATTGAAAGCGCAAAGTCCAGAGAGTGTGAATTTGGAAATGAAGCCAACAAACAGAGGTGAAGTTAAGGTAAGAAAATACCTTCCATTGGGGAGTTGACTCGCCTGTCAAAATGGCCTCATTAACAATAGCACTTCCTACCAGTAAAAGCATGTCCGCTGGTACTGTCTTATCCTCTCCTCCAGTCTGAGTTGAAGGTCTCCCAATGGACACAACATCTCCTGGCAGCAGATCTGTACCTAAGAGCCTCGCCCACCTAAAATTTGACTTATTCAGACACAGCAGAAATACAGAAATGATCTTTAAGGTAAACTTGGGTGTTTTCAGCTACATACTTCCCGCATCGATACACCATCACAGTCTGACTGTCCACCCTAACACGTCTTAGGTCGGTTAATGTCTTCAAGCGGCTTTTTGCCATTGTTGACTCAAACATGAAAAGCATGAACAGTGTGAACACACTGTAATACCAGAATTCATCCAAGCACCATAGACCCACACAGAAAACCTGCAAAAAAGAGTAAGAAACATAGAAATTAGAGTAACAATAACCATGATAATAAAAAAAAAAGAACTCTAATATCCATGCATTATCAAGAAACCAATACCTGAAATACAAAAAATGGCTCCATGCAGTTTTCTTTCATCAGCTTCTGAAATGTAGGTTGTGGATAATCAAATCTGCAAGATACAGAAACAAAATTTCAAACCGGATCAGAGAAAAAAAAAACACTTCGAATATATCAGAAGGAGAAATGTTTTAGAAGATGTTGGTTAGACAAATTCAAAAAAAAAACGAGACAGTCGAAAACAGAATTGCCAATCAAAAACATCAACTATCGACCTTACAGTGAACTTGTGACAGATACACGTATAGAAAAACTACAAGTGACTTACACATTTCTTCCCCACTTCTCAGTGGCAGTGGCAACTTTAGCTTCTGTACCATGACCAGTACATTTAAGATATTGACCAAATGTATCCTTTGTGGGGTAAGGAAGCTTGGAAAAGGATCCCGACTCTTTTGAGTATATAAAACGCTGCTTTCTGAAGTCAAAGAAAATTTCTTCCAAGTCCCCCGTGATGGATGCAGAACCTGTCATCTGAAAACCGCAAAAGACTTAAACTACTGAAAAACTCGAGCGTTTCCAGGACAAAGAGGATTCATATAGTATAGAGCTAAAATTCATGGGGGAAAAAAAGCACTGAACTTTACATATATCACAAGAACCAACTAGAAACACAGAACATAGAAGCCAGTGGCAAAAAAGCAGTCTAAATTCCCTTTCAAAGCCAAACCACTCATGGAGACTATTTCAGTGACAACTTAATTATCGAACATAGAATCTTGAACAAACTTACTTGGCTACGAAAATGAAGAGGCACAACTTCTTTAGAGCCAGAAAATTTGGCTGGGGTAACTTTACATGCATCTGCCTGGTTGATACTGTTAACCTGCGAACCAATACACAGACACAGGGCCAATATAAACCTCTAACTCAAGCAACATTTACAAGAAATCAACGGAGTTAAGAGCCATTAGACTTCCGGTTACCTTGCTAAACTGGACAAAACACTTGAAATCCACAGACCACGCAGTGAAAAGCAAGACTAAGATGTGAGTCGCAAGAAGACCACCAAACGCGATGGTAGCATCCGTAAAGTCTATGCTGGGAACGATTGTAGTCAACCACACTGCATACAGAATCGCAAATGGCCAAACGTCCAAACGCCATGCCCAGTGTTTCTTCCTGCATAAATCGACCTTGTCCACTACTTTTCCTCCCACGCGAAAGGTCGACATCTTAATTCGCCGTCGATCGTCTGAAGTTCCTTGGGTTCTGCACAACGTTACAGTTGCATACTCGTAATCGAATCCCACAAAACGAAAGCAAAACTCAATTGGTATTGAGAAACATTAGAATGAATAAAATTGTTCCCCAAACTTTCAAACCATTGAAATCGCGCATTTGAAGAAACGGATTCTGAAGCAGATCTAAGAAGGAGGGAAGGAGAATAACCTCGAAAATTGGATTAGCTTGAATCGGGAGATCTAAACTAGGGTTTTCCAATCGCATGCTCAGATGATAAGATCGAATCACCGAAAGGATCTCCTTTTGTTTGTCTCTCACGATTGAGGTTTTGCCCAAAGATGCCCCCGATTCACGATGAGTCTTTCTACTAATTTAGACCCTCCCGGTTTCCGTTCAATTTTTTTGTTTTTCTGACTACAAATATGTGATTATCATTTATTACATTTTTAAGTTATAATAATGATAATCACACATATTTTTGTCCACAAAACAAAAAATTGATAATCACATATTTCGTTTTTATTTGTTGGGATAGTAGAAAACTAAAAAGGGTAGGAGATATACTTTGACTCTAATAGACTAATATAATTGATAAGAAATATTCAAAATTTATTCATTAGACACATATCATAATAGCTTAAAGAAAAATGAAGTACTAATTCAATTATTTTTTTTTTAAAGAAAACAATTTGACTTGAACAACTAGCAAGTCAAATTGAATATGAAGTTTGCCTTGCAACATTTTAATTCTTCAAACAAAAACAAAGCTGACCAATCTAACGAGAATAAGGTAAATAGGTCATGTTGTACGGAATGGAACTCATGTTCATAGGTGCACTAGGACCAACCGGGAAGTAAGCGACTGGCTGATTTTGAACTCCATAAGCCATGCTGGGTGGAGCCAAACTGTTCATGTCAGTTCCAAAAGGTAAGACCATTGGTCCAACCATCGATTGCCCAATAGTGGGCATGTCGTATAGTGATGATGTTTGTGGAGTGGCTCTTGTGTTCCATAAGGTGGGTGCGCCATTGCCATACATCAGACGGTGATCTAGTGAAGGTTGTGAAATGGTTTGTGTGTTCCATATGTTGGGTGTGGCGCCATATGGAGCAAAGTCTAGTGATGGTTGCGGATTGGGCTGATTAGTTGCTTGAATGTTTTGCCATGTGATTTGTCCTTGTCCAATCGAGGTGTTTATGCTTTCATTAGCGATGAGGTTGTCGTCGAGGATGCTTCTTCTCTTTTTGTTTTTCTTCTTGGAGGCAAGACGTGCGAAGTATTTTTGAGCATGACTTGCAACTTGAGTTGATGTTCTTGACACTACAAAGTGACGAGAAATGCTACGCCAATCACCTTTACCATATTTGTCCAAGCCAATAAGAAATAGCCTGTTCCTCAGTGAAGACCAAACAAATTAGTGTGAGGATCAACGTAGTGAAAAACAAAACTCAGCTCTAAGCAAACAAACAAAAATACATGGAACTGAAAATGCCACACTTCCACAATCAAAATATAAAGTCATTTTCAGTTTTACATTCTTTCACTTAACTACCAATCAGATAAATGATTTACGATATATTTCATAGTTTGATGTTTATCTATGCATTTTTTACTGCATAATCTGCATTACATGTGTAAAAACTGAAAAAGGTAACACTGTCGCATTTCAAAATAATTGGTAGATTTCATCAACTATATTTTATATTTTGAAACAAAACTTTTTTTCTAAAACTGCTAATATAATGGAAAAAAGAGAGTATTAATAACTATACAACACATAAATCATCATCATCTATTAAAAATCTCATTCCCCGCACATGTGTGTGAGATACATCACCTAATTAGCTTATAAAATCACAAGTATGTGGGGAACAAATTCTAACAAAAAACAAACATATTTTTACTTTGATAACAAAATAATTTCAAAAACCATATACAAATTAGCACTCAATGAAAAAGAAGTGAATATATAACAAACCTGTGTTCATTCGCTGTCCAAGCAATCCCCCTTCGTCGTTTTTGCTTTAGTTTCTTACTTCCTTGCCCATAATCAGGAAGAGGTACATGACCAGATTCAATCCTAGTAACATCGTGAACTAAATCCTCGTAGTGCTTCATAATTTGTTCCAAAGTTTTTCCTGGAACAACTTCGGCAATCTTTCCCCAACGATTCTCAGTTTCATCGGTATAAATTGCAAGAGCTCTCTCAAAAGCGATGTCATCATCCCTACTCCACGATGAACCACCACTAATTTTCTCTCCTAAGATCATTTTCCAAGCAAATCTATTACAAATTTCGAATATTTTAGACCAAATACTCTAAAGTAATCATATACTATGGACCCCACAAACTAGCATTTGTAGTCTAGTAGTAACCCAAACAAGTATATCCCAAATCTGAGGTATTTCAAGAACTATTGAATCTACAAATGGAGTAGAAACACCAAACTATTTAAAAGAAAATAGTTGTTAATCACAAATGCCAACACATAGATAGCTATAGTTTTTTTATAGATAAACTCCATTACTTGGTTTTCGCCATTTCTTTTCCATTTTTTCCTTGTTTCCTAATTTTTTTTATTTTTATAACCATATATGGTGCATAATATACAGTGTAGGTATGTAGCATATTACAGCTGTAACAATATCAACTTGACTTAAGTTTAATTTCAATTTTTTCAATAATATATTGAAAAGAAATCTGCATCTCAAAACTTTTTTTTTCATATATTAATGAATAAAAATGTGTTTATACCTTGTTATGTTCATTGAGGTGTCAAGAAGCGATTATACAAGTGTGACACATTCCAGTTATTATGTAGCTAAATTTAGTTCTACTAAAATTGTCAATGACTTACTTACTATACCAAATGGTATTGTCATTTCTTAACCAATAAAGTTATAAATCTATATGTTTATATATGCATGCATGATATCTTATAATATTAATTATTACTTTTCTTTGCTCCAAACATTTTAATTAGTTCATGATTTTTTTTTTCTTTAATATAAATTGTATAACTTAATGGTATTTTACTATTTTATAAAATGCACACCACATTTAATTTTTTTACTTGATTTTCATCTTGAAAATAATTTAATCTAAAAAAATACTAAGAAAATTGTAGATTATGATAAATTTACTAACCATTCAAAACAATGCACCGGCATATCTTTGTAACTATTTAATGACTAACAATATTCATTAATAGTCTAGTAATGACCAAAGGTTTTGTATAATTTCTTAAACATATTGGAATTGTACAAAGGACAATATAAGCTGCTACTTATAAAAAAAATTAGGAGGAACAACCTACATTAAAGATATAAGATTACAACCGACATCAAGGTCCAACCCAACAAGAATTATGAGTAATGAACTAAATAAGAGGTGTAAGAACAAGAATTAACGTAAGTAAGAAATATAAAAAACCCTAATAGATATATTCTATTCACTTTAATAAGTAGCTATCGGGAGACGATCGATTTAGTGAATGTTTTTTAGCTTAATCTTCAATAATATTTTTTGTAATTTGATACTTGATTGATTAATAAAATATTCTGTTTTTCATTATTTTGTTGATTGTATTTGTGAATTGGTTAAATACCCTTAAATTTAGCCCAAACACTTCCCAATGAGAGTAGTAATAAAATTTAGTCTTGAAATAGTAAGAGCCCAAAAACAAACAAAAATTTGAAGGCCTGAGATCAGAATGCCCCGATTGAAAAAAACTGATTTTAACTATCTAATTTTATTGTCTTTTTTGCCGGTCAATCAAATAAGTTTTGGTTAGACAGTAATAATTTGATTTTTTTAATATACTAGCAAATAACGATATGGTGAAAACGAAATTATATAACATTTCATCCGGAAGATAATCAATATTCATATCCAACACACACTTTAATTACACTATAATTAAAAAGAAGAAGAGAAAAATTAACTCAGGAAAATGTAATTCCCCGAGTAATCAATCCTCGACTTCGCACACTTGATAAACTCGGAAAAATACGGCGGCGTAACGGGTACACGTGGATGGTGGTGGGTGCATCAAGATAGGTTTCAAAGTCAACAATCCAAAAGATAGTCAAATACAATTTTTTGTTGTTTTTTTTTTAACAAGCTGCAGTGGAGGAGTGCTTGCCGTTTTTAACTTCCTGCGCATTTTCAGTTTCAGCCTTACGATCGTTACAGGTACACGTGTTCACCGATCGTACTACTGTGATCCCCGCTGGTTCAGGAGATGCCACTGTGCCTAGCTTCAGCATATCGATACTCACCTCTGGGAATTTAGCGGCTTCGATTTCATTCTCCATCAAATCCGACGGCGTTTTGCAGTATTTGTAAACCACGTAAAGTATCATTTGAAGTGCACCGAGAACAAACCCAAGCACGTTAGGGAACTGCCAAAATATAAAGCAAGAAAACAACACGATAATTGATTAGTGCTCACTACTTTTTTAATTTTTATATAATGAACTTTACGCTTTAAGTTCTATGCAGGTTACGTGCAGTATACAATTCTATGTACTAAATAAAAGATATAGAGATAAAAAACTTTTGTAAAAGATAAAATCTTTTAAGGTTTTCTTTTTAAAATACAAGAAAAAGGAGTATCTTTAGCGTTTTGTGGGATACATCAATCTCAAACGACAATAATACCGAACAAAGAGTTATGCTTTATATATGTGAATCCATATCTCTCTTTGTCTATGAATCTATGATTATAGCTTCGTAGGTAATAGCCTAATAGGTTCAGGTATAAAAAACAAAAGCAACCACTTTAATTTCATGCAAATAATTATGATTATGATGACTTACAGCAACATAGATATCCCTAAGAGCAAGACCGTAAAGGAACCAGACGACCGCACTGATGGTCAGTGTCAAGGATAAGCTAAAGGGCATGTACTCGACACTTTTCGTCTTTATCACCGTTCTCTGTATTTTTTTCCATTACAAAACAATTAACTTAATTAATCAAAACATATATTCATTTTAGTATTATATGTAACACTAGCTTCTAGGCTACTTACGATGATGCTAAGCGGCGCAGCGAAAACGCAGACAGAGAATCCCACACAGATTCCTCCGATGATCTTCGCACGTGTGGCTCCTTTTGCCAAGAATTGGCATGCGAGGAGAATCAAACAGAATCCTCCAAAATTCATTAGCAACAAGAGCTTCACCGTGAGCATCTGCACCAAAATATGTTTGGTAAATAATTTACATTCTTAGCAAAAAAAAAATGTTGGTAAAGGGTAATGAACATACGCGAGCTTTCTTGGGTGCAAAGGAAACGAATATGGCGATGTAGATGGTTTCTATGAAGCAACCAAAGGAGTTGATGGTCACGAGAAGGAAGACATCTTTCTTCTGAGTAGCGTAGTAGAGCCAAAGGGTTGCGCTGAAGAGCGCCACCGTGTAGGGAAGAGATTGAAACCCTTCTGTGGTTTTCTTCTTCCAAATCCTGTAGAACGTTGGCCTGCGCATCCATATCGTTTTTCTTATAAATAATTTTTCAATTGTGGACATATTCTTGACTGATGAAGAAGCAAGAACATATAGGGAGGTAAAGATGTAAATACTTACACGGGAGAGAGGAAAACCGCAAAGGAAATGATGTTTCCTGAAAATACACGATTATACTCACGAAACCAATGTTAGAGTAGAGAAATGGTTTTAATAAAATCTGGATATACGTTATATATGATGATGATATAAAAAATGATATATATAGATTCATACCGAGCAAGCCGAAGGCAAAGGCCCACGTGTTTTGAGTGTTGAACATAGTCATGAATGCTTTTGTTTTGAGGGAGTAAGAAAACTAGTTTTGTTTGGGAGGGAGAGAAGAGGATTTATTCGAAGTAGCTTAAGTGTTTTTCTTAAATCGAAAGCTGATGGCACGGCCTTAACATTTCGAGGGACTTCAAGTATATATAGAGGAAGAGGAGGTGTTAAGAAAGCAAAGGGGGATGTGTGGGGGAAATAAAATAAAGGTAAATTAAAGTGGTTTTATGTGAATCATAATAATTTTAAAAGCATCCTAAAAGTATTTTTGTCTTTGTAGGTGTACTACAAAAATAAATGTTCTTAGAAAATTATTGACAAACCAGTCCAACACCCAAAATACTGTAACTTCCATTTTTCATTAATAATGCATCTCGATTTCAGTTGACTGTGTGTCTAGATTCAACCTATTTCTTACATTCAACATATAGTGCAATACGTTTTATGGTTTCTCCTCTCGTTTGTTATAGTATAGGATGATTTACGAGGCTATTACTTACGTTTCCAAGAAATTTAGTTCACGAGATAATTGCTGTTTTCACTTTTTGCCACTTTTCATTCTTAAACTGCCGTTTCTCAATCATTAATATTTTGTCTGTACGTACCCCCAAGTTTAAATAATTTAACAAACCAAATTATTAAATTATTTTATAGATGTTCTATTTCAGTTTTTTCTTGAATTCACATTTGTTGTATTCATCATTTTCACGCCTTGTCTTACTTTTCAAAGAGGAAAATAAACGAGCGAAAGAGAGAAGGACGTCTTAACTACAATTTGAGACTTGGTTAAGCTTAATTTATTAAGGTATATTTTTTAGTTCTTAACGATAAAGTAAATTAGGCATAGAAACGATCCTTAGTTAACAGTTGGTCGAACAATCCTTTAAATCGGGTGAAGTTTTATGACTTTGGCAGATTATGAGATGCAAGTCTTTTACTATGCGCGGAAATAAACAAAATTTGTCTTTGACACTATTAACTAAAGGTTAGGACCTCAAATATATGGGTATTCTTATTATTCGGGGCAACCAAAAAAATTAATATAAGATTGAAGAAGATTTACTACAATGACCAATTTTATTTTGTTGGGGCCGGCTACTAAATCTTCAATGAAGATTTTCAGGTTTTGACAGTAGGTTGAAGCGTCTTTCGTGATTATATACGTTACGTATTAAATCATCCGTTCAGAAAATAGTTACATCTCTTCGTTGTCAAGAGTAAATCATCTTTTACAATAAATATGATAATTTAGTAGGTGAAAATGAATAAAACGCTTGGTTTTATAAGAAACAAACTCCAATAATTCACAACTAATAGGACAAGAAGAAGTGCATGAACTTCACTTGTAACACTTTAATCTAGACCAGACCTTTTTGGTTAATTGAACGTATCAATCTAGGTTAATTAGTTACTTATTATGCTGTTTCACATGGTTTTCATTTTTTCAAAGAGTTCACTCTTTTAGGGTGGTTTCTTATTATAGTAAAAGTTTGTAAATGAAAACGACATTGATTTAAATATATGATTTCAAGTGCATAATGACGAGCCTGTTCATTATTAAGAAAAATCCATACATATTTGAATTTTTGAACAATAGACTAACAACTTTTTTCGGATACTCTGAGTGATGATTAAATCTAGAACTAACAACTTTATTTGCATGTGGTTGCAAATAAATTATTTATATCCCCAAATACAATAGTAATTTATTATTATATGAATCCCATTGTTCTCTCTCCCTCTTTAAATTAAGGGATTTCGATCGTATTGTAAATATCTCCAAGCATATCAGTGTGGAAAAAACTTTTCAATAGGAAAATATCAACAACAAAACAATCAAATGTTATACAGTAGTATGTAGTGCGCTTAAAAAATGTGTTTATATTCAGTAATTTAAATGCTTTCTTCCTGATTTGTTTGTACTGCTCAAGATTCCAAGTTTAAACCCTAAACACGTAACACATATATCAGGTTAGGTTGATGATATATGCATTCTATTATTCGTTGTGGCGACACAAAAAATTACTTTCCGGGATCCCGTTCTTCTTTAAACTTTTTTTAGTATAAGATTATACAATCTTTCCGGCAACTACAAACTTTACTTAACAATAATTGACAATGATTTTTCTTTAATGCGCCTAAGTAATGTTTCGTTTAAGTGCTTCAAAAACAAAATTAAAATCCCCTCATGATTTCTTCTTTATCAATAAATATCGCTATGTGGATCATCACCTGGCTCAACTCAAAGAGTCAAATTTTGATCGACCTCACTCTGCCACTGACATATAATCATCTGATCAAGAAAATAGAAAATATGAGGTTAGGAAACAAGAAAGCAAAGCAGAAAGCCGAACTGAAATGTGGTTCTTCTAGCTAATGTATGAAGTTGCTCTCAGTAGTCGGTACTCTTTTCTTATCTTCTCCACGTGATATTTGGATAGAAACGTAATATGGAGTTTTTTGGTATCAGATATAACCGTTATATATTTACATTAACATCACATTAGTTCTCTCGACAATAATTTTTTCTTTAACCATATATTTCCCCTTTTATAATAAAGTTTATCTGACCAATGAATGCAAAAGAGAAAGGAATTGAAGTGAATGCAAAAGAGAAAGGAATTGAAGTGCAGCTGGAGAAATCCCCACGATTGATATATATGATGACGTCACTGGGTAATTAAATCTTTTGTATTCCAAACTTTTTGGCAAATCATGGCTAACCATGTCCATTGTGAATCGTGACGTGGGATAATGTATCATGCAAATATTATATATATATAAGATACGTGAAAACAAAATGAAATAAAACATGCATGAAGATAACGAGCACGTCGGCTTTATCTAGAGGCCCTATATAAAAAGAGAAAGATGTAAAGATAGATTCAAGAGGATATGATATGATTGGCCGAATTTGTTATTGCCACAATGCCACTAGATAAATATCACATTTTTAAGAATTAATATAAACTTCACGTCTAGGACAAAGTTTTGATGCTAAAAAGTTCATGTTCTTAAAAATTATGCTTTTTGATACGTGTATTTACTATTCATGCAAACTGTGAATCCCAATGTTTCATGTTCGAAAAAACATTCGAAATTGAATGAATATTGGAGAAGAGATGGTGGTGTAGATCATTAATTTATTTCTAGACGCTTGACTGATGAAATAAATTGAAGTTAGTAATAAATCGTTTGGTCAATCTAGAAATATATAACTAGTGAAAATATCACTTAGCTTGTGTTGTGTTCTTACTACGGTATTACTATGATGTTTGATGAAAATAAATGTAATATAGTTTTTAGAGTCTTAATGTTACACTCCAAGAACTAAGAAGTTAATAACAAACGAATATCGATCCAATTCAAGTCTCCGTGAAAAAAAGGTCGAGGAAAAGCACACTAAAAGGGAATGTAGCTCGATTTAGTATCAGATTAAGTGTCAAAAATATTTGGATTAGATCAAACTAATTTGGAATCTGTATCCGAAAATTATGTTTTTTTCGAGCTGTCACTTATTACAATCAGTGCCGTGCTCAGGGTTATGGGGGCATAAGGCAAATTCAAAAATAAAATTTTTCTTTAATATAATTTATAAAAGTAAATATATTATAATTCCAATTTTTTTAATGTTTTTTTTAAGAGCTGAATTTTTCTTTCAAAAGTAATGAATAAAATATCAAATGAGTATTATGAAAAACAAATATTCCCTACGTTTTCTTTTAAATGATGTTATAAGAATTTTTTTTAGTTCACAATAAAGGAATGTTTACAGAATTTAATGTAAAAAAACAATACAAAATGACTTGATTTCAACTCATATTAATTAATTGGAGTATGTTTTGTGTGAAAAAAAATTAGAGAAATGAAGCTTACTAATAAATGAGAAATAGAACTAGAACTGATGAAATAAAAAAACATTGACTATGCATCGAACTTGTGTTACTAACAAGTAACAATGAATAACAATGTTATAACCACTATGATACGTATTAACATTGGGATTTGGGGGCCTTTACAATGTTAGATATTTGGGGGCCTGTGGCTCATGCCTTTTTGAATACACATAAGGCACGCCCCTGATTACAATTAGAAAGAATATTTTTTTAAAAAATGTTGTAATAAAAAAAGGGGATAAGGTTTACATGTAACATACCAAATTGGATTTTTATTTTTGAGTGGAATGATATCTCGAATTATTGAATGCTTTATTGGACAACATATGAGTGATGATTCCACTCCCATATAAAGAAGAACGGGATAATATCAATACTTTGTGTGTATGTTTTTTTGTTTCTCTTTTCTTCTTTCGCTTTTTTATTTTTATAGGAAAAAAACAAATAATTTGTTTCTCTTTTCTTTTTCTTCACACACTAATTAGGAACAATGATGTTGGTCATCCCCAAAATCTGATAGAACACTTGGCAACTTGTGTAGTTGTATTATGTGTGTGAGAGTTCGTATTATACATCCCATCCCATCATCATCTTGCCAATGACAAATCTATTTCGATTTGAAAATACGAATTAAATATATATGAAGATTATCTTCCGCCATTATAAGGCAAAACGTACAATAATGCTTTTCTTAGTTTTCTAGGTTTATGGACGAATCTCAACGAAGTTTTATCTATTCCTTTATCAACTTAACTAGTTGTGCACTAGGAATGGACAACATAAAAAGCTGAGTCTATATTAATTGTTAGATCGAAATTCAATTCGGTTATTATTTTTATTTATTTAACTAAATTAAGCTTAACTCCATTATTTTTTGTGTACTTGATTATTAAAACTCTTATCAAAACGAAAAGTCATGTATTGCAACGAAACTGAAATGTGAGAAGGAAAAATTGAGTGTTCCTTTTCTATTTTCTTGGTTGGTTGATGCACGATGAAAACATTGTTTTTTTTCTTCTCGAATGAAAAACCAACTTGACATCGTATTTATTTGAGTGATGTATGTAACCCTCTTTTGATAAAAGAGAGACTCTTTTAGTGTTAACAATGACATATCCTAATCCCTAGAAATCCTTATTTGGCTGCTATATACTGAAGAAAATCAATTTATTTTTCTACTCTCATTTCACTAGTAAGCACAAAAGCCGACGAAAATGTCCAACATGAACAAATACTATTCGTTTTACGTAGAAAGCATCTGGTTCTATGGTGTAGTGGTTAGCACTCTGGACTTTGAATCCAGCGACCTGGGTTCGACTCCCGGTAGGACCTCTTATTTTGCCTTTTGATATAATTTCTTAACATTATCTATCATGTTTGGGCCTTGGGCCTTTGGTTATATTATTCTGGTCCAGTAATTTCTATCACCCACACAAAATCTGACCCGACCCATTTTGTTATACGTTAATTCGTTTTGTTCTTTGCTTGTTGCAACGATTGCCGGATTAATGAAAACAAATTAGCAAATGCAGACTGGAAACTGAAAATATCGATATTTTGAATCCAAATTGAGAACAAAAATACTGGATTCAAAACAACTAAAACAAGATTAGCAATGCAAAGACTGAAAACTTGAAAAACATGGCAAATGAACTATGACACGCGCACACAGGTAGTACTCAGTAGTAGTAGCAGAGCAGTCTTTGAGCAATAGAGAAATCTTCTATTTGGTTTTCAGATGTTTCCTAAATTTAACAATATTAATATTAGTCACACAGATACACTCCTACTATCATACAAACACAAAAGGCCAAGAGCTGAAGAAAAGAAATGGTTTTAGTTTTATGATCCGATTCTTTCTCTATCTCACGGAGGGGAACAGATTCCGAATTCAAATCTCTCTCTCTCTCTCTCTCCCAACTTTCAATTTCTGAGAGTCGAAAATTCTCCAGATCTCTGTAATTCGTTTCCGATTGGGTCTAGAGACGAAGTGAGAGAGAATAGAGTGATCAGGGAAGAAGACGAAACCGACTCATAAAAATGATAACGATCCCTTATTTGACCGCCGTATCCACCTACTTCAGCTACGGATTGCTCTTCGCCTTTGGCCAGCTCCGTGATTTCTTCCGTCGTTTCCTGGATTGGTGGCTCACTAGCAATCTCCAGGTCCGTTTCTCGATACCCTGAGATCATTCATAGATAATGTACGAGTTTTTTTATGCTTCTCATTTCGGTGAATTTCGTTTCTCTCAATAGGGATACGCGCCAATCTGTCTGGGGCATGAAGATTTCTACATCAGGCGATTGTATCATCGGATTCAGGTACTTGTTCATCATCATCAATCCATTTCGTTTCTTCCGTTCTCTTAGAAACTGATTTGATTCAGGCGATTGTATATGCTTATTGTGTTTTTCTCCGTCTGCGTGAAGGATTGTTTTGAACGACCCATATCGAGTGCACCTGATGCCTGGGTTGATGTAGTGGAGCGCTACTCTAACGATAACAACAAGACGCTAAAGTGAGTCCGTCTTCTTCTGCTTTTCTCTCTGCAGTTATAGCATCTATTGGTTATGTTGAGCGAATATGAAAAGGCTGAATTTGAATGATCTTATTGTAAAAATTATGCCATTGGAGAGATTATTCTGGAAGGCTTTGAATTCTACACTTACTATGCTAGGAGAGTTTGCTGAGTAAAACTTGGGTGTCAACTGTGTGCAGGCGAACAACGAAGACTAGCAGGTGCCTCAATTTGGGGTCATACAATTATCTTGGGTTTGGTTCTTTTGATGAATATTGCACGCCTCGTGTTATTGAGTCCTTGAAGAAATTTTCAGCAAGTACATGCAGCTCTCGTCTTGATGCAGGTACAGTGTCTTTGCCTCTAGAGTCTAGAACCATTTTTTGGCTCTGTTTACTGGAAAAAACTTGTTTTTTTTTACCATCAGGAACTACATCGGTCCATGCGGAACTTGAAGAATGTGTTACTAGGTTTGTGGGAAAGCCTGCTGCTGTTGTCTTTGGCATGGGCTATGCAACAAACTCGGCCATCATTCCAGTCTTGATTGGAAAAGTATGCAAGAATTTTTTTACCCTTTGTGATGGAGGCTTATGTTGTCTCTTTCTGAAATCCATGCTTTATGTTTTTTCTATACATAGGGAGGGTTGATAATAAGTGATTCTTTGAATCATAGTTCGATTGTCAATGGTGCTCGAGGTTCAGGAGCCACTATCCGAGTTTTCCAGCATAACAGTAAGCATTTGTGGTCTTTCAGCTCCAGAGTTTCTTTCCAAATAATAGGATGACTTTACATATATACTCTTTTGCTTTTGTTTCTCAGCGCCCTCCCATTTGGAACGTGTTCTGAGAGAACAAATTGCAGATGGACAACCTAGGACACACCGGCCGTGGAAGAAAATTATTGTTGTTGTTGAAGGTATTTACAGCATGGAAGGGGAGATTTGTCAACTGCCTGAAATTGTCGCCGTATGCAAGAAGTACAAGGTGAGGCGATATTCTTGAAACCATTCTGTGTAACTTGGTTCAGTATATGCCACATTAAACAATGGCTAGAGATTCAAGAACTCCAGTGACTAAGTTTTACTTTGCAACCTCAAATTTTCTGAACCGATCTGGAGTTTCCGATGCATGAATGAAACTACTCTCTAATGTATCTTCTATTTCTATCCTCTTTCCAGGCCTATGTTTACTTGGATGAAGCTCACAGCATTGGGGCAATTGGTAAAACAGGAAAGGGTATCTGTGAACTCCTGGGAGTTGACACAGCTGATGTGGATGTAATGATGGGAACCTTCACGAAATCTTTTGGGTCTTGTGGTGGCTATATTGCTGGATCTAAGGTTAGCAAGTGTTTACACTTGTTTACATTTACTGATCTTCTATTTGCAAATCTTTTGCGGCCTAAAGCTTGTTTTGGTGAATCTAGATGCTAACCTTTTAGTTAAGGTCAAAAAGAAATTAAATAGCCGTAACTTTCACTCAAAGAGTCAAAACTTACTGTGAGCCTTTGGTATATCATCTGATGTAGGAGCTCATCCAATTTTTGAAGCATCAATGCCCAGCTCACCTTTACGCAACATCCATACCGACTCCTTCCGCACAACAAATCATATCTGCCGTTAAAGTTCTTATGGGAGAGGACGGTACAAACCGGGGTAATCAAATTTCTTTCTCATCGAGTCATTAATCGACCTTTATTGGGTCACTGAGCACAATCTATCTAGTCAGATCATGACTCAACCTAAAACAACTCACGTTCTTCTCAAATACTGGACAGGGGCACAAAAGCTAGCAAGAATACGCGAGAACAGCAACTTCTTCCGGGCTGAGCTGCAGAAGATGGGGTTTGAGGTACTTGGAGACAACGATTCCCCAGTCATGCCAATAATGCTTTACAACCCAGCAAAAATCCCATCTTTCTCAAGAGAATGTCTTCGACAGAAAGTAAGTTCCATTTATTCAATTCCGGCAACCAAAAAAGGGATAATGATCAACCTAATGGAACCTTGAAACTCTCTGAACAGGTGGCAGTGGTGGTTGTTGGTTTCCCAGCTACACCTCTACTGCTGGCTAGGGCACGTATCTGCATATCCGCATCTCATTCAAGAGAAGATCTTATAAGAGCCCTCAAGGTAAACAAAATCTTGCATTTACTCACTCGCGTTCTCTAACCTTGCCATCTCCAGTGAAAATCCATATTAGATTATAAGACGACATTGTCTGATAGAGCTTGTTTTTTGGGTTCACTGCAAGAAACTTTTTGAATCAGTCTGTCGTGTTTGTGTTGGACAGGTTATAAGCAAAGTAGGTGACCTTAGTGGAATCAAATATTTCCCGGCAGAGCCGAAGAAACTAGAACACACTAAAAATGACATCAAGCTGGAATGAAGAACTCAAAATTTCTCTGCTGCGAGGCTTTCCATAGAAGTCGGATTTCTCAAGGTCATGTGATACATACAGATTTGAATTTAACCACAGTTAGTCCACCTTCCCTCAAGTCTCCTTCAAGTTTTTTTGGGCTTTGTCAAGAGTTTAATTGTATATTGATCTTATTGCAAAATGTCAGAGTTCTTTCCGAACAACAACTTCTTCGTATGGGTGACATTTTGTAATAAACGGTTTTGGATTAATGGTCAATAAGTTTCACCATAAGACACCATAAACGCAGAAGGTACAATAATAATGAGCAAATCCTTCTTCCTCTACTACTACAACTACTAACACTACTCTGATTAATACTACATTCAAACAAGAAACATCAAAGATAAGAGCTTCAGACATTGCAGCTTACATTGCCATGGCTGTCACAAACACAACAACCACAAACTCAACCGATCAAAAACTCTGCTAAAAGGAGCTCTCTCTTCACGAGAACTCTCTCCCGAGCTTCTGTATTGCACAATACATCTTCCTTCTGGATCCAACAGCATTGATCCCCATATCCTTGAGATCCTCCAATGTCAACAATGGCAACACTTCTTCATCAACTTCGTGCATCTCAAACATTGGCCAATATCTCCCTAACCCTAACTCCTGCAACCATATTTTCACTCCTTCTTTGCCTCTTCCTCCGCTCTGCCAATCTCCTGAAACTTCCAATTCCCTAATCCCACTGCTACTCTCGTACCTTCTCCTTTTCTCAAACCCTTTCCTCTCGTTCCGATTCTCCTGCGTCTGTTCTTTCATCGGACTCTCTGAATCTTCTCTGCTGAAATCGCGAAACCCCTCTTCCAATTCCTCATCATCTTCGTCTTCGTCTCCTCCGCTGAATTTCTCATCTCCCTGCTCAATTCCGTCCCTGGTCTCTTCCATTTTCGTCGACCAATTCGACCGGACTCGCTTCGCCATTGCTGTCGCCGGCGTCTCCCCACCCGATGCTTTAACCCATTTATTGACCCGCCAAGTCCCGACGGCAATCGGATCTCCGTCTAGGGTTCCGGTGTGCTCGTACCCGGAGCTCAGATTCGCTAGCGTTCGAGTCCTCGACGAAGACTTCCCTCCCTGATTCGACTCCTTTCTGTTGCCCGCCGGCCTCCATTTCGGCCGACGCAACTGCGAATCGTACGCCGCGTGTTGGTACTGATCGCCGCCGATGTCTCCTAACCGAACGCTCGGTCTTCTCAGTCGTTTCGATCCCATTGATACGCCGGCTGAAACGGCGGCGGATGTTTCCGGTGCTTCGGCCAAGGTTAACGGCAGGGGATTATAACCGCCGTTGCTCTGGTGAGCTTCCACTAACTGCTGCAACTCCGCCATGGCCAGCTAGACAGAGAATTGAAGGAGTGAAGTTCGTCTCACTTTCTCACTCTGCAACCATATCCTACTAACATGCGCAGATTCGAGAAGAATAAGAAGAAGAAGATTTGTTGCTGCTTTTATTAGGTTTATCTGGAGAAAATTGGGTGTGAAAGAGAATCGTCCTCTGGAAGAAAGTCGAAGAGAGAGAGTGAGAGCGAGATGCAAGAAAATAATAGAGGCATTTAAAATGAGACACGTGTCTCTGGTGATACTGTAGCTCTTGTAAGAACGGCACGATGTTCTATTGAGTAAGACTAAAACGGAGCACGAGTTTCAGTTGACAATTGGGCGCGTGGCGCGTGGTATCGGCGTAAAACCTTTTCCGGCCTCATCCTCAGAAAGTAAGAACCCTAACTCCTCTGCAAGTCTCGCTGCTACTTACAATTCCAGTTAAAACAAGTAGCTAAGTTTAAAACCCATGATGAAATGTTGAGCCTTTTCAATTTCCATGGCGATTTCAAGTGTGGGTTTCGCTTGCAGATCCTATTTCCCTGTTCGTTCTCTTCAGTACCACTGCTTATGGAAGGTGGCTCTTTTAGCTATTTATATGAACAAATACAGCAATTACGTATTCAATACTGCTATATGTTCTCATTCATAATTTGTTTTTTTCTCACTCTCAGATTCGGTTCAACACTGTTGCTGCTGCAATTGAGAAAATGGATGAGCCAGATGGTTTCGCCAAGGACGGTGATCATCAAGACAATCTTTCTGATGGAATAAGTAAGTTTCATCCAGGATTTTTCTGGATTTAGTCTTACATTCATTGTTCCCATATGTATAAACTGGATCATTTTACGACTATACTATTGCTAGTTGCTACTCTTTTGAGTGAAGTCAGGCTTATATAACTCAAATTTTTAGTTGGAGTAATTGTTTGTTTCAGCGCAATGCTCCAATTATTTTGAATTGTTTCTTATCATTTCGCTTGTTTTGATTGAATTGGGCAAATTAAGGGTATGGTATCAAAGGGGATCGTGAGTGGAAGCAATTGAGTTCGAAAGACCTTGGAATAAGCAGTTCAATGATTGCAAAGCCGACGAGAAAAGTGCTTAATGGCCTTAAGAGCAAAGGTTGATGCTTTTATGTCTTTAGCCTTAGTCATCAGATTTCTCTTTCGAAACTTCCATTCGTTTATATCTTCTAATGGTATTGGAAAAAAAAAAAAAACCTTTCTTTTTGCTTTGTAATCTGCAGGATATGATGTTTACCTTGTGGGAGGCTGTGTAAGGGATCTCTTTCTGAAGCGGATACCAAGAGACTTCGATATAATCACTTCTGCAGAACTCAGAGAGGTTGGTCCTTTTTTTCTTCTTCTCACTGTTTACATCATCAACCCAATCTGATTTCTCTTCTTTCCTCTTTTTGTGTGGAATCGATCGTGATTAGGTGGTTCGAATTTTCTCAAGATGTGAAATTGTTGGAAGAAGGTTTCCTATATGTCACGTACACGTTGGGGATGATATAGTAGAGGTTTGTTTTGTCTACAATAGAGTCATAGCAAAACTAGAAGCAAGAGCTTTCCGTTGTTAACTCTCTTTTCCTTTTGTATTTCCTTTATTTGCGTAGGTTTCGAGTTTTAGTACCTCTGCACATAATTCTCGGAGAAACATGAGAAATGAATTAAGAGAACCCAGTGGCTCAGATGGTGACGAGGACTGTATCCGTTTGAATAACTGTTTGCAGCGAGATTTCACAATTAATGGGTATTCTTGTTAATACTTCAGTGATATATCCCTCTTTTGTAAACTTTGCATCTCAATTCATCAGTATTTCGGAAATTCTTATACTTTATCCTTCCCTATGTCTCTTTGTCTATCTCAGGTTGATGTTTGATCCATATGCCAAAGTAATATATGACTATCTGGGAGGAATAGAAGATATTAGAAAAGCAAAAGTGTGAATGTACTCTACTTTAATTTGCCTTCAGTTTTTTTTTCAGATGAAACCTTTTCTTTATACAAACATTTATCCTCAGTGTGGTTCTCCAATCACAGGTTCGAACAGTGATCCATGCTGGAACTTCTTTTCAACAGGACTGTGGTAAGTTTTTCAAAAGAAAAAATAACTTCTGTATCACCCTGTAAGACTATATATGGTGAAAATTCATAAAACTCGTAATTGATGATGTTTCCAGCTCGGATTCTGCGTGCAATAAGAGTTGCTGCACGTTTAAATTTCAGAATTTCCAAGGAAACAGCTCATTTTATTAAGAACCTTTCTTTTCTAGTACAAAGACTTGACAAGGTAGGCTTACATTACTGCATCTATCCTCTGAAGAACTATATGCTTGACAAATAGCGTTATTTCTGCCTCAAATGTTCAGGGAAGGATCTTGATGGAAATGAATTACATGTTAGCTTATGGATCAGCAGAATCTTCTTTGAGATTGCTGTGGAAATTTGGGATACTAGAAATTATTCTACCAATTCAGGTAAGTCTCAAACAGAGTTTCACTAGTGTCTCTTTGTTAGGTCACGTTGTTAATAGTTTTTTTCTATCGAACTTTTGAATTTCATAGGCAGCGTATCTTGTGCGCAGTGGTTTCAAGAGACGTGACAAAAGGACTAACATGCTTCTGGTCAGAAAGAACAGCCTCTCTTAGATAATCGTAGATGTATTTGTTGCTTAGAACATCTTGTGAAGAAACTGAAAATGAACATTCTTTCTATCATGCAGTCTCTCTTTGCTAGTTTGGATACATTGTTAGCGCCTGACAGACCTTGTCACAGCAGCTTATGGTAATATACAACTTAATTCATATCTTATCTTACGAGTTGCGCATTCTTAGGGTATTATCTAATATCTGGAAATTTACAGGATAGCAATCTTGGCGTTTCACAAAGCACTTGCTGATAAACCTCGAAGTCCGTTAGTGGTTGCTGCGTTTAGCCTCGCTGTTCACAACGGTGGAGATATTCTGGAAGCTGTGGCAATCACAAAGAAGATCACTAGGCCATACGATAGAAGCTTCTTCGAGCTAGTAGAGCCCGAGGAGACTTCCGACTTTCAAACCGTGTTGGATGAGGTCATGGATCTTGATGCATCAATCAAAGATGCCTTAAACCAGATGACTGATGCGTATTTTATCTCTAAAGCTATGGCAGCTTACCCTCAAGCACCGTATTCCGATTTGGTAATAATAATCCTTTCAATAAGATCTTTAAATAAATGTCACAATACAGATGTGAAATTGATGGCCTAACTCTTTTTTTTTTTCCAGGTGTTTATACCGTTGCAGCTATATCTTAGAGCAGGCAGAATCTTCCAGTGTGTGAAAGAAGAGAAAGGAATGGGATTTGAGGCGAAGCAAGGAAGCAAGATTGATTATGGTTTGTCATATTCAGGGGATGTTCCAGAGAATCGGCATGTGTTTGCGAGGGTTGTGTTCGATACCGTTTTTCCGTTAGAGTTATCTCAAGAACTGTGAAATACTCGTCTTCTTATGATCGGTTAGGTTTTGGCATCAAACCTATCTCAAAGGTTGTGAATGGCTGTGAGAAGTGAAAACGAAGGATGATCAGAAGCTTTATAAAAAGGAAGAATTTGCGTGTTGAGTTTGGTAGGTGGGAGAAAGTAAGAGTTGGTTATAAGTTATAACATGAATCTTTTGCTTTCATTTTGAATCTTCTCTTTGGCGCGCGCGGAGTTCGTTAGTTCGTTGGAGTTTAAAATGTGTAATTGACGTATTTATCCCTAAATTCGCGTGGGTAAATAAATAAGCCAAATAAGTTTAGAGAATTGTACGGTCAATTTTTCTGTCAACTATCAATTCAAAAGTAGATTTTCTTGGAGTAATATGAAAACCAGAAAAATTAGACAATCTGATGGTAATTGTTTTTATCCTGTCAAAAGTGTTAATCCCATCGTTGAGGATATATCTTAGTTTTGTGTTTTGTAGCCATTTTGATGATTATAATTCACTAAAATGAGTTAGAAGTTAAAGTAGGTAACAGATCTATTTTTCTTTTGTTCAATATATATCAAAATATTTATGAGTTTAAATAGAGCATCACTTACTTATCGTGTACTCGTATAATTCATAAAGTTACGTATTTTAGAATACATCTAGTTGAATAGGCACATATATGCGTGAAATAAAAAAGATCTCCAAAGGAAAGAGATTTTGCGTTTGCCAACTACAGATTTCTTTTAGTCTATAGACTCTATACTTTGTTTGTCAACAATTTATTAATTTTTCTATTGACTTGCCTCTGAATTTAAATCATTAAAAAAAATAAAGTACACTAAATTACGCCATATAATATAACAAAAAAAATCCATTAACAGTTGACTATTGGGACCCCAATCTTCTCCTCCTCCAGGGAAAATCTCGTAATCGCATGACGCATGTGTTCTTCTCCTCATTCAACGGCGTCGCTTTCAAAGAGTCTCACCCTTTTTTAAACTGCTTCCCTTCCTAAAACCTCCCCACAATCTTCTTCTCTCATCTATTCACTCTCCTGCGAACGAATTTTGAATCTGCCTAATTAATGGATCTCAGGAGGCCGGCGAGCCCAGTGTATGCCCGCCAATGGAGCCGATCATCTAACAACACGGAATCGAGATCGCCGTCGATGTCTCCTGCTCACCGGAAGCAGCTCAATGGCGCCGGAGGTCTATCCACCGTCAGACGGACCCAGAACGTAGCCACAAAGGAGGCGGCTCAACGGTTGGCTAAAGTTATGGCCTTACAGCACAAGCACACTGACGACGAAGATGATGACGACGATGAAGACAACGAATTCAAATTCGCAGTTCCTTCTTCTGTAACCACTAACTTACCGGCGGCGGTTCCTTCCTCTCGCCGGAATCGATCGCAGTCTCCTGCGGTAAATTCCGGATCTGCGTTGTTTAAGTGCATGCTTAAAACTTTATTTGGTTATGAGATTGAGTTTTGGCTTTCTCTGCTTTCTCATTATTAGATAGGAAGAAACACGACGGAGCAAGTGAGTTCGGTGCGGTCATCATCTGCGGGAAGGCCATCGACGTTTGGTAGAGCCAGAGCTCCGAGTGCTTCTCCGAATTGGATGCCGCCTAGGACGAATTTGATTCCTCCGGTGGCTATTCATCCGCCTGACAGAGATCAAAGGTGAGCACTTTGAATTTTTGTTTGATATAATGTTAGTGTTGCTTGTGGCTAAATCCTTAGACTTCACGTTTTTTTCCAGATATTTTGATGATCATCTACGCTTGTTAGATTCGAGAGGTAAAGGTTATCAACGGGAAGCTTCATTTCTTCGTGATGAAGTATGTTGGACATTTCCTTTTAACCTCGAATATGCAGATTGAAGTTAATTTTAAAAAAAATTGAATTGAGGCTGACTTTATGGTAATGCAGGTGGATATGCTGCAAGAGGAGAATGAGAATGTATTGGAGAAGGTTCGATTCTTGTCACTGGAATTTGTTTTGTAAACAATTAGCTCTTCTCCTCTGTCATTCATATCTAACAGTTGTTGTGGATTTGCAGTTTCATCTTGCCGAAGAAAAACGCAAGGAAGCAGAAGCCAAGACTAGAGAGCTGGAGAAACAGGTTCTGATCTTCGCCATCATATAGTAGTACGTTCTTTGCTGAGTTTTCATACAAGCAAGAAATTTTACTTTGAATGACATGTAAAATAGGTTGCTTCTCTTAGTGAAGGAGTGTCTCTGGAGGCCAAATTGATAAGTAGGTGGGAGCTTCTGACCTCTCTTCCTTTTTCATTTTCACTTCTTTAGAAGATACGACAGTAGCTAAAGTGGCTCATGATATATTGTGTTTAACCTTCAGGAAGGAAGCAGCATTGCGCCAAAGAGAGGTTAGTGTGTGTAGACTGTAGAGGAATAAAATATCTTTTATTGTTTCTTTGATCGAGCTTACATTTTCTACTACTCTGCTACAGATTGCTCTTAAGGCTGCTCAAGAGAAAAAAGATGAGAAAGAAGAGGAAATTGTCTCCCTCCGTTCGGAAATTCAGGTCAGAATATACTGATATTCTGGTTTCATATGTGTGCTTTCCTGATTTGCATGATGAGATTATGTCTTTGATGTTTCAGAACATGAAGGATGAGGCAGCAGCAGCTGCAGAACAGCTTCAAGAAGCAGAGTCTGAAGCAAAGGATCTTCGTACGATGAATCAGAGAATGGTTTTAACACCGGACGAAATGGTATGTTTTAGAAAGACTCAAGTCTCATTATCTCTCTGATGTTTATAGACTTTCTGATTGTATGGAATGTAGGAGGAAGTAGCCTTGAAGAGATGCTGGCTTGCCCGATATTGGGGTTTGGCAGTGGAGCATGGTATTTGTGCTGACATAGCAGCATCTAGGCATGAAATTTGGTCGGCTTTAGCTCCACTTCCATTTGAGCTGGTCATATCTGCAGCACAAAGGGCCAAAGAGTCGTCTCCTGATCAAGGCTAGTCTAAAACTTTTTCCTTGTGTACTGTTTTTTTTTTTTTTGCATCATCTATATTCACAAGTCTTTGGAAATGTAACAGGTGGGAGTGATGAGAGCCAGACTGATAGATTTCTAAGTGAGCTAACTGGAGAAGGAAATATCGAAAGTATGCTTTCAGTGGAGATGGGTTTGAGAGAACTAGCGGCCTTAAAGGTATCTATCTATCTACCCTTTTGTGATCTCTCCAAGTCCATTTTTGTAAGTTTTTACATCACAAATGAAATTTTAGGTTGAGGATGCCGTTATGCTTGCATTCGCCCAGAAAAGAACACCGAGTTTGATTCGTCAAGGTAATGTATAAAACGTTGTGACAGTCACACTTACTCTTTTAAAAGGCGGCACAGTGAATATCTCCCTTTCCTGACTTATGCAATAAAGTTTTGTTTTCTTCCATCATACAGATTCAAGAGGGCATGGAGAACTAAGATTTGTAGAGGCATACGGTAATAGATAAACTTCCCTAATCTTCAAGATACATTGGCCCTTGCATCTACACCAAACTTTGATGTGTGGTTTGACTGTTTGAGATAGTGCATTTTTGATCATGTTCTTCTGTGATTGATTGATTATATTTATAAAAAATAGAGAAGAAATAAAGAACGCTGGAAACTCTAGGCCAGGCGGGCTTTTTGACACGGCATTTGGAAAACCAGCCATTGGTGCCCATCTGATAGTTTTTTTTTGGCTTTCACCTAATATTTACATTTCTTCAAGCCATTCTCACCAATGTTATATCACATTTCTCAAATGCAGAACTCAAAGAAGGGGAACAAGAAGATGTTTCCTTTAAGCAGGTGTTGTACTCTAGTTTTCTTTCTCCCCACATGATTCATATGAATCATTCATGTTATATGCTATTGCTATGTGTGTTGACGAAAGCCAATGTTGTTTGCAGGCGTGGCTAACGTACTTTTGGGCTAGAGCCAAGCTGCACGGTGTGGAAGAAGACATTGCTGATGAACGTTTCCAGTTTTGGATCAGCCGTAGTGAAGGACAAGGACAATCTCCTACTTCTCATGATGCCATTGACGGTAATTAGCTTCTTCAGTTTCATTATCCTAATTCTGATTCCTAATATCACACACATTTAAGTCTAAAAACTATGTTCTCTTTACAGTGGAACGAGGTATGTTAGAGCTAAGGAAACTAGGAATAGAGCAGAAACTATGGGAAGCTTGCCGCAAAGAAACCGATCAGCCTCTTCCATCTTCTTCCTCTACCTCTACTCTCTCAAATCAAAACCTCGATGCTAATTTATAGTTTTTGTAAAACAGAAAACATCATCGTTTATTGTATTGTTGTAACATCTTGAGACTTACACAATAACATAAAGAAGAAGCTAAAAGTCTAACCATTTCTGGAAATAAGAACATGTCGTCGGGGAGATAGCACCGCCAGGTGAACACAGTCCTATATGAGGACAAGCCCCGCAAGGCACCGAAGCAAAAGCTCCAGCTCTGGCTTCACCACCGTCGCCAGCTTTTTTACCGGTGAGTCTGTAGCAGATTTCACCGATTCTTATCCCGGCATACTCGTTCATCCCGTTGCTCTTCACCTCCATGACGACATTATCCAAAACCAAGTTCTTGAGAATCTCCTTCGTCTGCTCTCTGCTCATTTCGTTGTTAGTCTTTTCGAAATAAGCAACAAACAAATCAAACGTAACGACCTTTTTCTTGGACTTGCTCAGTATAGTGACGCAGATCTTTTTCAGGTCTTCGATTTTGGCCAGGTCAAGTTGCCCATCAGTGTACCAATCCCCACCTGTGAGCGCCTTGCAAGGCTCAACATCAAACCCGAAAAAGTGTTTGATCCCTTTGTTGTTCATGTTTTGAATATCTTTGATGAGTTTTTTGGTCTTGAGAGATTTGAGTGCTTTGGTGACCAAAGGGCCTTGGATACTTGTCGCTGCTTTGATATCGTATGGAGTTGCTCCCATGCCTTGCTTGCTCAGAATCATGGCAAGGATCTTCTTCTCGTCGTCGTTATCTGCACGTTTTCGTTTCAGGCTACTCATTGTTTTCCCCCTCCTGATTCACACTAAAAAAAAAAACACAAACTTTGATCAGATTGATATCACCAGACAAACGAATTCAAGATGGAGAAGATCATCGGATTGAATTTACCTCGAGATTAGTTTTTATCGGAGGGGACGGAACGAATTCAGTGGCCAAGTATGAGAATTTAGGAGATCGGAAGGCGAGAGGAGGTCAGAGATCGGAGACGGACGCCGTCGGTGAAATAGAATGGTAAAATTGTAGGCGAGAAGAAAACCCTATTGTCTCCTTTATTGGCTAATCTAATTATGGTTACAATTTTTTTCACTGGGCTTAAGCTGAATTAACTTTTTTATCTTGATTTTAATATGTTTTGTGCACTAACTGTTAATTTGGTTTAGTTTGCAAATATAAGATTAGAGGGGTTTTATAAATAGTTAAATAAAATATGAGGGTCTTTCTTACAATATTTAAAATTTAAATTCCCCGTCCTCTTTCTTCTTCCTCCGGGAAGTAAATATTATATCTTGCGACTTCCTCTCTGACAAGGGAAAGGTGACATTAGAAGAAAAAGACATTTCCAAAATTAAAAGAAGCTTTTTTTTTTTCTCCAATGGCGGAAGCTGAGAAGAAGCGAGATCAAACATTTTGTCAGGTAATTTTATTTTCCCCAATTTTTGTTCATTTCATTACCCCCAAATGTAGTAATCTACCAATCATTACACCCACATTTCTCTTTACTTTACCTCTCTCTCTCTCTGCAAAGCCAGATTTTGATTTTTTTTTTTTCCTTTTCTCCGATTTGGGAGATCTGATATTATGGTGATATCACAGGACAAAGACGACGACAAATACCTCGACCTTGGCCACGACGAGCACGAGTCTCCTCTTCCTCTCACCGTCACTTCTCGTGTAAATTTCTCCGATCCTTGATGATTCGTATATGGTTTAGTGTCTTGTTCAATGTTTCGCTTAAAAATTGGTGGAAATGTTTGGAATTTTGCAGGTATTGTACATGTTAGGAGACATAGCATCCGGTCCAGCTTATCGGTTTACCCAATGGTTGGATTTAGTTCGTAAACGAAGTGCCACTTACGGATCCTCCGGCTTCCCTCACCGCCTCCACCGCATCGATGATATGGTCACCAGGTTAATGCCATTTAATGAATGCTTGTTTGCTAGCGAACAAAGTTTCCAAATTAGGACTTTTTTTTCACTTTTGTTGTCTTGTGGTTTCAATTTTAAAGTTATGACAATTGAACTACCTTGTGTTGCTTTTTTGGAAATGAGGATTGTTAACAGAAGTGTGATCCAGTGCAGGAGAGAGGAATGCTGATCCAAAAAGCCCACCGAGCAAAGAGACTTCAGAAATCAGTTTGTGGGAAAGGCTTGGCAAAGCTTCGATTGTGGATATTGATTCGAGCTGCTTCTCATGGAGCATGCTCTCTTCACTTCACCATACTGAACACAGTAGTAGCACCGATCATTCTGAAGAGGACCAGACTAAACCGCTTGAGGTATATATACGTATATATCATTATATGATCATAGGAGGATCTTTTCACATTATTTGTTCAGAGATCTTTCTTTGTATTATATGTAGATGAATTTCTTTATGTATGATCTGGTTTTGTTTCATACACAGGTTACTGTGAATTCTGGGGGAGTTGTTTTCTTTGCCCTGTTCAACCATTCCAGCTCTGAAGATGCTTCACGAAAGGAAGAAGCAGCAGCTGTTATCAAATTTTCGTCATCAAGGATGGCCACGCAATCAGAACGTCTCGGTTATGAGTTTGCCAGGTGGCTTGGGGTGCAGATTCCGCAGGTGGTTATAGTATTAGCTTCGCTCATTTCACTTTCTGTTGTCTTCTTTATGACTTTTTCGTTAACGAGTGATCATCATGTGACAGGCTAGAGTGATTCATAGCTGTAATCCTGAGTGGACATTGATCAAAGAAGCAACTGAGAAAGCACAAGCTAAAGCGGCTTCCGAGGGAGACGAGGTTGGTGAAGTGACTTGCTCAGAACTTCTGGAAGCTCTTGAGCTCAGTCGTTGTCTTCTCCTTATGAGGTGAAAGCAACATCTATTGAAAGTTTTTGATGTGTGTTTTGAATATATCATTAAAATCTTTATGTTATTAGAAGGAAATCTAAAAACAACAAAAATCCATAATAAAAATGTGAGGTGGAATCATTTTATTGGATAAAATTCAATGACAATAGTTGAAAAAAATCTAGGCTTGCCCAAAAGAAATTTACAAATGTCAACATGTGATGTTTTTGTCTAATGTCCCTCTTCTAAGCACTGCATTTCTCAATTTATTGATGACAGTTATGTTCATGGACCTCCATTGCTGGAGAGCATGAGTAGTTTCGAAACCGAAGAGAAAGCAGAGACAGCTGCTGCAGCGTTAGGGAGAATCTTGGTGTTAGATCTTGTGATAAGAAACGAAGACAGGCTCCCTTGTCGTCAGCTGAGATGGCGTGGCAACCCGGCAAATCTGTTATTAACCGACAGAGTCGTGTCATCCACAACAAAGCATCTAGAATGCTCGTTTGAAGAAGCTTTTGATTCCGCCATCAAACGGTACCATCCGAGAGACTACAGATCCATTCAAAAGGAAAGAAGAGCTTCTTCTGTAGACAGCAGATCAAGATTGAGTGTCAGTGATCAAAGGTTGGTCTCACAGTCGTCTGATTTCTCTGATATAACTGAATCTCCTAGATCGTATGACGCTGGCTTCATGAGTCCAATGTCTGATGGATCAGTAGCTCCTGATTTTCACATTGTTACTATTGACTCCGGTGTTCCACGGCGTCCTCCTGCCGGAAAACGAGCAAGCGACCAAGAAATCTATCCAAGACTAGTGGAGCTGCTTCTCAACAGCAGCCAGTATTCTTCAAATCTGTTGTATGAAATCACAGAAGGAAGTTTAGGATGTGCTCAGGCGGAAGATGGTGAAGGAACATCTGTTGCTGTTCGGTCGAATGTGGTAACGCCGGTTGTACGTGAGTTTCGTAACGGTTTTCGAGCTGGTCTGAGGGATTTGCAAGACGTTCACATCTTCCTCGTCACACTTCATCAGAAGCTAGATGGGTTGCTACGAGCGTTTTTCAGTATGATGGACAAAACAATGTGCTCGGATTTCGACAGAGAAGACTTTGCTGTTCCTGAATCTCCATCAGATGTGAATCATTATCCATCTCCTTCGAAAGATCGTGTGCCTAGTGATAACAGCTCTGAGCACAGCGAGTCTGATATGCACAACAAATCAGTTCCTAGGACACCAACTTCTGATAATAAAGAAGCCTCGGACGCTTCTTCGCCTAAGTCACGGGAAAGCTGGCAGGGAAGATACAGTAGAGGTGGAGAATCTCTTAGCAGTCAGCGTTTGGCATCGAAGCTCCGAGACTTCCATAAATTTGCAAAGGTTTGTTGCTTCAAGCTTTTGGCCACTTTTGTTTTAAAGTCATTTTTTTCTTCCTTTAATCTGATTATTTCCATGGCGTTTCCAGGTTGATGCAGAGTCTAATAAAGAACTAGACCAGTGGAATGAAACACTACGGAATGAAGTAATGAAACTCTGCCAAGAGAATGGTTTCAACACTGGCTTTTTTGAAGGAAGTGATAATAACAGTTGCACTGATGCTTATGAGCTAAAGGTATTATCAGTTTTCCATTTCTCTGTTCATAAACTTTTCTTTGAGGCATCTGATCTCAAACATTCTCCATCGCAACAGGTAAGACTTGAGCATATTCTTGAGAGGATATCATTGATTTGCAAAGCTGCTAATACAGAGAAACCATCAATGATACAAGATAATCTTTTTATCGGAGGAAGTTTGGCTGCACGGTCTGTTCACACTCTTCAGCATTTAGGTATTACTCATGTTCTATGTTTGTGCGCAAATGAAATCGGCCAATCGGATACTCAATACCCTGATCTCTTCGAGTACCAAAACTTCTGTGTAAGTGAACCTTTTTCTCATTTGTCTCTTGACTATGGTAAAGAATTGCATCTATAGAGATGACTGATGAGAGTTCTCGTCCCTTTTGACCAGATAACTGACGACGAAGACGCAGAGATCGAGACCATCTTTCAAGAAGCTCTCGATTTCATCAACCATGGGGAAGAAACTGGCGGCAAGATTTTAGTTCATTGCTTTGAAGGTCGGAGTAGAAGTGCAACCGTAGTGCTCGCTTACCTAATGCTCCGAAAGTAAGTTCTTGGAACTATTAACAAGATGTATCTCCATTTCTTTTGTCTCGTTTGTTGTACTGATGGGACCAATGAACAGGAACCTCACACTTTTGGAAGCATGGGGAAAACTGAGGAAAGTTCATAGACGAGCTCAACCAAACGACGGATTTGCGAGGATCTTACAGAACCTGGACAAGAAGTGTCACGGGAAGGTGTCAATGGAGTGGAGACAGAGGAAACCGACGATGAAAGTGTGTCCGGTTTGTGGCAAGAACGCGGGTCTGAGCAGCAGCTCTCTGAAGCTTCATCTCCAGAAGGCTCACAAGAAACTGTCTTCGGGAAGCGTTGACAGTGCAATGAACATGGAGATTCAAAAGGCTTTGGAGGCTCTTAAGCTCAGCACTGGCCGTGGCTCAAGTGTTAGCTCCACTTCTTTTCAGTCTCATTCTGGTTAGAGATTCCGGTTTTGTTTCTTTCAGTGGTTTGTATCTAATCAAAGAACGGAACCTCTCTGTTTTTCAACTGTTTTGATTTCATAAAAGAATAACATATTGATCAGAAGTATTCCCCAAAATGAAAAACACGATTAGTTAGAAACTAGATGAAAATATTTTTGGTTAAAGAACATAAAACCGTTTTATCTACTTAATTTCTATTGGTTACACACAATCAAACAAAAGATGTTTGGGAATAGAATGTTTGAGATTGTGTCCTTCGAATCAAGAATGTGATAGCTATGCATATTATTGATGTTCTGACACTACATTTCTTCCATGTAGGAGGAATACTTATGACATCAACGCAATTAAGGGAGAATTTTCTGAAACTAGAGATGAATATCTTCCTGAACAATCAACAGAGTTAGATAAATCACTTAGGGTAAAATATTTGGAAACCCTATCAATCATTGGAAGATTAAAATGCATACGGATTTGGAAACCCTATTGAAACTCTGTCAATTTCGTCTCTCGGTGTCGATGACTCAATACCAAGTAGTGTAGCAAAGTATTAAGCAGGATCTGGACAACACATCTCGTGGAACTAAATCTTCTAGGTCTGGATTTTTGTAGGGTCTGTCCTTAAAATATTACTCGTGATGTGTTCAATATGACTTTGTATGGGCCAGGGTTCAATATTTAAAAAATATTTTTTTTTTTACCAAAAGATCTTAATCCACATTTGATTTCATACCTTTCTTTAGAAGCGCCTCAAAAATTCTGGTATCTGAGTTCTTCACCATCAGTAGTGAACATATTTAATGCTTCCTAGAGTTTCTTGTTCTCCTTGAGGAGAAGAAACGACCTCTCCGACAATTGGCCGATCACATCTTCCGATGTTGATTCCTCAACCATCTTACATAGATCTATTTAACTTGCTATATTCAAAAGAACAAAAAAAAAAGTGATTGTGTGTGTATTTGTTTAATTTTATAGTTTTTTGTATTTTGAATAAGTAATTATAGATAAAGTTGCTCTGATGGCTGCCTCTGTGGAGCTCTAAAGAAACTAAGACTCATTACTCATCACTCATTACTCCTTTCTCAATCCACATTTGTGTAGATGCCTTCGTTTTGCTCCAAATTGGAATTTGACAATCATATATGAATGTTTCCTAGGCATAAACTCATTTACCAAAAATGTGAAGTTGTAAAAATTCAAGACAAATAGCTTCAAAGCCATATATGCCTTAAGAGTATCACCCTTTCTTCTAAATTATGGAGACATGAAGGTATGACACCATTGGAGCTTCTTGTCCGAAAGGATCTATAAAAGTCTGATGCTGCTCAAATCTGAAAGAGCGCGCTCTTGCATCATCTACTAGAAACTTAGAGTTGATGATTACTCTAGCTAGATTTGTTCGTGAAGGGGAAACTCGTTTATCCCAAACGTGATATGGAAGCTGAGACATATGTGCAACAGTGCAAGCCCAATATTAATTTGCAATTTACAGAATAATTGTCTATGATTCAAATTTATAAAAAACACCCAAAGGTAAAGAAAATAACTTTTTCTTTCAGCTGTTTCGATTTTAGGAAAGAAGACAATTAATTTGAAGTAAACGAGATATATTTGACCAAAATGAAAAATACAATTGCCTAGAAATTACTTGAATATTTTTTTGTGTTAAAAATAAGATGACTATTGTTGATAAGAACAAAATAAAAAAAGAGATAAGAACGTTTTATTTACTTGATTTATATTGGTTACCGAATCTAACAAAAGAGGTATGAAATCCAGGAGACCAGCCTGTGCCCTTATTTCCATTTCTATTGCTTCATTTCTATTGGTTGGCTGGACCAATCAAAAGAGAGGTATAGCAATCACTACTCAGCCCTGAGCCCTTTCATTTCATTATAAAAGCTAAGCTTAACGTACGTTTCATTCAGACAAGAGTCAACAGCCACCAACTTCTCCTTCAAGGTTCTTTCTTCTCCTCATGTCTTAAGCTCTTTTCCTTTCTCGTGTGTTTTAGCAGTAAGAGATCTAGATCTATGTGAGATTGTGAGGTTGTAAGGTTTCTTCTGTTCGCAATCCATAACGAGTTTTTTTTAACGATCTTAGCTTTCTAGGAGTTGCTCGAATTCTCTTCATCTCTTGTAATGAAATCTGCTTAATTCTAGGTTGTTTATCACTATGCCGGTGGATCTCTTCATCTCTTGTAATGAAATCTGATTAGATTCGTCAAAATCTATTTGGTTTGATATTTTAGATTCGTGTCACACAATTAGGACCCTTTAAGACAACACTTAATTAGCTGTTCGATATCACTGAGAATTAATGCTTGTTTTGCGTCTTTTGAGATAGATCTGCCTTCCTTAGAAAAAAAAAAAAAAAATGATGAGCTAACTATTTTTTTCTGGTTGTTTCTGAAGATGTCAACCCAACAAGGAGACTCTCTCTCGAGGCGCCCTACGATCGCTGAAGGCCGTGCATCCGCTGGATGGGAAAACATGGATCCTTACGTCTTAGTGATGATTTTTGAGAAGTGTTATCCCACCTTCCCTGAGTTGAGGGCTTCTGGAGTGGCTCAGGCTCTTGTGTGTAGAAACTGGCATGTGGCTTACTTGGAGGCGCTGAGGGGTGCGGTTTATGGCTAAGTAGCATGTTTAGTGCTTAAAGTTTGTTAAGTTGGATTTGCCTTTTATTCGTTTACCTTTTCTTCTTCCTCAGTGATGTTGTGATGATGTATCGCACCATTCAGTTTAGCTTTTCAAACTCTATTGTGATGGCATATTGTCCAAGAATAAATTAATTTTTAGGTGTTTTTATTTAATAATTTTATAGTATTTTTATATTTTAGATAAGTAATTGTTGATAAATGTGCTGCCAAGGCTGCCTCATAAGAGCTCAAAAGAAAACTCAAGACACATTAATCATTTCTCAATCCACATTTGTATAGAATCATGCCTTCGTTTTGCTCCAAATTGGATTCTGGCAGTCATATAAGCATGTTTGGTAGTATAGCACGAACTCATTGAAGCTGAGTTGTATATACATGCATGTTCGTGAAGAGGAAATTTAATATTCCAAACGTGATATGGAAGCTGAGTCATGCGCAAGCCCAATTATTATTTATTTTTCAAATTTGTGCGAGATATTTTTTGAAGATATTTTTTTCAGCTGTTTCGATTTTAGGAAAGAAGAAATTGATTTGAAGTATACGAAATGTGTTTGACCAAAATAAAAAATACATTTGACTAGAAACTAGATTGAAATTGTTTTTTTGTTTTGGGCCAGAAACAAGAGAAATATTATTGTTGATAAGATAAAAAGGATAATATCGTTTTACTTGATTTATATTTGGCTACAGAATCAAACAAAAGAGGTAAGAAATCAGACAAGGTGCCCTTATTTTGATGACCATGTCTATATAAACGTATCTTCTGACAAGTCGCCACCAACTTCTTCACTCGTCAAATGACCAAGCGTCTTCCTCTTCGATTCACGGTATGGCTTTAATCTTTTCCTTGCTTATTACTTGCTAGATTGCTAGATCCATGACTGGTTAATAAGATTTCTGTTAACTTCGTTACGCTTTTGGAAAACGAGAGAGAGAATTAACTCTCTGTCAACGTTGTCGGATAACGGTTTCTTAGGAGAGTTGATCTCGAGGGTTTTAATGAAGACGTAAAATGGGCTTAATTTTGTGTTTCATTGATCACTTAGTGTTTCTGATTAGATTCGTCACAAATATTAGAGATTTGTTGTTTTGGTGAGTCAATTAGGGGTTGAGATTGTGTCCTTCGAATCACGAATGTGAAAACTATGCAGATTCAGTCTATAGATGTTCTAACCCTTAGCAATTAGGTTTTATTATTGGAAATGCCTGTTTTCATGACTTTCCTATGCCTGCCGTTGTTGGGTTTTATAATTTAATTATTGGGAATTACGTTATGCCTTGTGATCTTGGCATGATTAATAGAATATTGTTCAAACATATTCATATGAAATCTCCTTTATTTTGCGTGATTTACAGTCCATTCATATTTAAATCTACACTTGTTTATATACATGATAGAAATTATTTATCTGGGAACATTGATTGGTCGTACATTCTGAAAACAAATTGAAATTTCATCTTTATGATCCCTTGATTTGCTCTACCTTTTTTAACATAAAGATGCCTTACTTAACATGCCTTACTTTTCTTACTTACGGCTATTTTTTAAATTCTTCTACTTGTTTAGGGGTTCTGAAGGTGTTATAACAACAAAAATCCCTCTCTTGAAAGCTATCTACAATGGCTGAAGAAAACCGTAGAAAACTTGTCAAGATCAGATGGGAGAAGTTGGACACTGACATCTTAGTGAGGATTTTCAAGAACTGCTTTAGCCGCCATGAGTTGATGAATTCTGGAGTAGCTCATGTCTGTGGAGGATGGCGTGAGGCTTGCTGCGATCCCATTCTGTGGAACACGCTCGATCTGTCGCACATGAAATCTGATTTCACCCAAATTCCAATTTATGTGTTTGTAGAACCCCACTCTGATCAAGAAGTGACTCGGTTCTTGAAACTCGCCATGAGTCTTAGCAAAGGAAACACAAGTACCTTGATTTTCCATTTCAACTTGTTTCTCAATGATGACATGCTAGCTTTAATCGTTCAAAGGTAAATTTACTCAATTCTCACTATCACATCTTCAAACAAATACTAATTCCATTGCCAACCCTTTTTTTGCTCTACTCAATTTTTGAAGGTGTCCAAACTTGAGACGCTTAGTGCTACCGGCTTGGAACAGACTAACCAAGGAGTTTTTATTCAATGCTATACAGTTCTGTGAGAACCTAGAATCGCTGACAGTGTCAAGCGTCAAACACCCGGAATTTGTCTTTTCATCAATCGCCATGCACTGCAAGAACTTCCGGGAGCTCAAGGTAATGGGTCCCATCGAGGTCGACTTTGTCGAGTACCTCGTGAAGTTCCTCCGGAACCTCAAAGTCCTCAGCCTCAGATGCACTGCCATAAACCTAGATGCCCTCATAAAGATCTTGGATGACATGAAAAGCCTCGAGGTTCTCAACATTTCTCATTCTTACCTCGTGGTCACCAGAAAGAAGACCGTGATTGTGAGGGACCTTTACGAGTCGATAGTGGAGGCATCGAAGCCGAAGCAGTTTGTGATTGTGAGAGAGCTTGACGAGACGATAATGGAGAAGGCATCGAAGCTGAAGCAGTTTGTGACTTGTATGGAGCACAAGACTTGTGTCATGTGTCAGAGGACGCATGAGGATGAAGGGATCATGAAGTGGAATAAGTACGAGGAAGGGCTATGGAAAGCAGACGAAGTAACCTCCCTTCATCTCTAAATCGTTCTCTCTTTTGCATGTCTTTTGGCATTTATTTATACATTTCTTGCTATTGAAGGTACCTTACTTTTAGATCTTCTTTTTTGTGCATTTATTTATACATTTCTTGCTATGGAAGGTACCTTACTTTTAAGTCTTCTTTTGGTGCATTTTTTTATACATTTCTTCACAAGGCTTTGTTTGTATGTGTATTATGTAGACTGGCATATACAGATACTTTTCTTTTACAGTTGTTGCTTCTGCTGTTTCTCTCAATCACAGGCCTCGCAAGATTAAAGAAATATTTTCATTGTTTGAACATTTTTTGGTTAAATGCTGTAGATTTGATATTTTTTTTTATATATATATATAATGCTCAAAGTGATTGTCCTCCTGAAAAGCCCTCCCCCAATTAACCCTTTCATCCAAAATATCATATATATATATATATATATATATATATATATATATATATGTTAATAATTATTTAATTTTATGTATAAAAGTTAACCAAATACCAAATTTTAACTGAAAGTAAAAATAAATAAGTTTGACTCAAAAACGTTTTTTTACAAGAAAACTTTTTGGTTTTTTCAACTTTTGTGAATTCATAAAAGTGAGAAACTATTGATTACATTTACAGATTGGTAATAAGATAAAGAAGATAAAATTGTTATATTTTGCTTCATTTCTATTGGTTGGCAGGACCAGTCAAAATAGGTAATGTAATCACTAATAAGCAGACCTGAGCCCTTCCATTTCGATATAAAAGCTAAGCGTAACGTACGTTTCATTCAGACAAGAGTCAACAACAGCCACCAAGTTCTCCTCCAAGGTTCTTCCTTCTCTTCATGCCTTTTACTCTTTTCCTTTCTTGTGTGTTTTAGCAGTAAGATTTCTAGATCTATGTTAGGTTGTAAGGTTACTTCTGTTCGCAATCCATCACGATAATCTCGAGGTGTTTTTTTTTTTTTTTACGATCTAAGCTTTCTAGGAGTTGCTCAAATTCTCTTCATCTATTGTAATGAAATCTGCTTAATTCTAGGTTGTTTATCACTATGCCTGTGGATCTCTTCATCTTGTAATGAAATCTGCTTAAGTTTAGCTTGTTTATCACTATGCCTGTGGATCTCTTCATATTGTAATGAAATCTGCTTAATTCTAGGGTTGTTTACCACTATGCTTGTGGATCTCTTCATCTCTTGTAATGAAATCTGATTAGATTCGTCAAAATCTATTTGGTTTGAGATTTTGATTCGTGTCACAATTAGGACCCTTTAAGAAAACACTTAATTAGATGTTGGATATCATTGGGAATTAATGCTTGTTTTCATCTTTAATTTGAGATAAATTTGCCTTCCTTAATCCTTAGTCGGAAAAAAAATAATAATAGATTGGCTAACTATTTAATTCTTCTGGTTGTTTAGGGGTTCTGAAAATGCTGTACCAACGAGGAGACCGTCGCTTGAAGCTCGCTACAATCTATGAAGGCCGTGAAACTGAATTCATTGGATGGGAAAACTTGGACACTGACGTCTTGGTGAGGATCTTTCAGAAATGTTATGACCTCCCTGAGCTGTCGACTTCTCGATTAGGTCATGTCTGTAGGAAATGGCGTCAGGCTTTCCGCGATCCCATGCTGTGGAAGACGATCGATCTGTCGGGAATGAAATCTACTTTCATCAAGATCCCAGTTGTTCCATTTGTGTACGTGAACAGCAGCTCTGATGAGCAACTGAAACGGATCTTGGATTGCTGCATGAGGTTTAGCAATCAGAACACAACCACCTTGATTTTCCATTACAACTTGTATCCGACTAATGAAATGATCACGAACATTGCTCAAAGGTACATTTAGTTTTCATTATGTTTGTTTTTTGCATCCCCTCTAGCTTCTACTTTGAGTGCTATCTTGATAGTTTGATTTAGGGATGGGCGCAAGTCTAATCACAATCCGTATTTTAACCAATCAAATCTTTTTGTTGTTGAAGCTGTCCAAACATGAGACGCTTGGTGCTACTATCGTGGACCAGGATAAAGGAGGCAATTATGTGTGATGCACTAAGCCACTTCAAGAACCTGGAATCACTAACAATCCCAAGCATGACAATGCCAAGCATGATAGAGCCGGAGAATCTCTTTCCATCGATCAAGAAGAACTGCAAGAATTTAAGAGAGCTCAAGGTAATGGGTACCATCGATCTCTGCTTCGTGAAGAACCTCGTGAAGCACCTCCAGCAGGTGAAAGTCCTCAGCCTCAGATGCAACAGCATACACCAAGATGCGCTCCTAGCACTCTTCGATGGAATGAAAGACCTCGAGGTTCTCAACGTTTGCCATTGCTACATCTTTGTGCCGGAGGGAACGTTTCCTGATTGGAGCAAAATACTGGAGAAGGCCTCGCAGCTGAAGCGGGTTATGAGCTGTTTTAATCCCCAGACTTGTGACATGTGTCGCAGGGCGTGTGAAGATGAAGGGATGGTGAGGTGGTACAAGTGTGAGGAAGGGCTTTGGAAAGCAGATGAATTAGCCTCTCTTCATCTCTAAAGTGTTGTGCTTTCTTTTTAATTTGTGTCTTTTGGGAATTATTTGCATGTTTTCTTGCTGTTCAAGGTACCTTATCTTTGGGGCTTTTGTGTTTTCTAAGCCTGGTTTGTGATGGTGGCTTTGTTGTTTCTGTTTTATTTTGTTTGGGATTTTTATTTTTCAATATTTTATTTTGTTTGGGATTTTTATTTTTCACTGTGTTTTGAGATTGTGGATTGCGCTGGTCCGAACGTCACCTAATCCAAGCAAATAGGAAAGTTGGCTAATGACAGTAACATTTAAATACTTTATTACCAAACAATTTTTTCATATAAGATGTACTACTTTATAAATTATAAATAGAAAATATGGCATTTGAAGCAACATTAAAATATTTTGTTACCAAAACATTTTTTTTCCACATATATACTGTATAAGATTTGCTGTATTGTACTATAGAATATGTGGAATATTCTCAAAATTTACTATGAAATCATTTCTTTAGATAGAAATTATCTATTTCAATTTTTTATACAAAATTTTATATTAAAGTTTGACATTTAAATGCATTTACGATATATATGAAATTCATGCATATAGTTCACCAGATTCATCATCACTTTCACTTTCTCTCTCTCTCTTACTCTCTCTTACTCTATCTCTCTCTAAACCTTCGTCATGTCGCTTCAAGTTCAACTATGGGAGACGCTGAAGGAAGCCATCACGGCTTACACTGGCCTTACTCCTGCGGCGTTTTTCACCGTAGTAGCTCTCGCTTTCGCCTTATATCACGTCGTCTCCGGTCTCTTTCTCTCTCCCGACGATCACCAGGCGTTTTCCGCTGAGGCACAGCTGCAGGTGGAGCCTCTTCCCCCGCCTGTTCAACTCGGGGAGATTACTGAGGATGAGCTCAAGCTCTACGATGGTTCTGATTCGAAGAAGCCCCTTCTCATGGCTATTAAAGGCCAGATCTATGATGTTTCTCAGAGCAGGTACTTAGAGAATCTTCACTGTTTAATCCAAATTATCATTGAGATCAGGAATTAGTTAGCTAGTTAGCTAGTTAATTAAGTGCTGACTTTCAGTTGCCAAAATGAAGATTATTGCTACATTGCTATCTAGAACGTACTCAAATCTAAGAGAAAATTATGTTTACATAATCATGCTACTTATGAATAGTAATTGTTGTTCTCTTTCTAGATTGTATTGGTGTGGTAGGGTTCATATATGGATCTTGTCAATCTATCTTGATGTTAATCTGATAAATGTTGATCAATTTATCTTTGTGGTCCAAACTTTGTGCTAGCTTTTTCCTATCTAACTCTATAAATTTTACCTTCCTTTATTTATGAGTCTATCTATCCATATTTAGAGTTGCTTTTGTATCTCCACTTTAGATTCTGTCTTGCTGAATTTGTTTATGGTGCAATTTGAAATGATATGTTAACTCCTAGAAATATTTGGAAATGATATATGTAATTAAACTTTTGGAATAGTTTAAGATGTGCTCTCTCCTACTCTTTGTTTATTTTTCTTCTTCTATTTTTGGTTACATTGGTTATCAGTTTATTTCCTTTTCCCTTGAGCTTATGTTCACTTCCAGTATTGATGATCGGATAAAAACCTAAAATTATCTGCATTTTCTTCCGTGGTAATCTATCTGGAAAAGGCAGAGAATGTTCTTTTCTTGAAGAAACCATTGCGTTACTTTGCTGGTCCCTTTCCATTTTGTAACCTTGCGTTTGCTGCAATTTGTCTCAATTCCTGGATTCATGTTGGTCTCAAGAGTCTTTTACGATCTTTGACTTTAGCGTATAAGTATATGGGGATGCATATAGACTACGGTATTCTTGATCAATGTACTAAAAATCTTGATGGTTGGCCAGACTCACATCTGTCTTATTTTTGCAGACTGTTCTACGAACGGGTCATATGCTCTATATGCAGGCAAAGACGCAAGCCGAGCTTTGGCAAAGATGTCTTTTGAGGAAATGGACTTAACAGGAGATATATCGGGTCTCGGTCCTTTTGAGCTGGATGCATTGCAAGAATGGGAGTACAAGTTCATGAGCAGGTATGAAAGAGTTGGAACCATACAGAAGAAGGACGTTGTGGTGGCAGATCAAGAAAGCAAACAAGGTTCTGTACCAAATACCAACGCCTAGAAGCGAAGGCAAAAAATCGGAAGAAATAGCAGAAAAATAAAAACAAGCACAATAAGATGTGTGAAGAGGCTTGTCTTTGTCTTCTTTAGTCATTAAAGAAAAACATTATCGTTTGTGATTATGTGATTTTAACGAAAATGTTACGGAAAACAAATATTATCGTTCGTAATTTGTGATTTTTACTCCTCATTATTTTTTTTTCCCTGCCTGAATTATTAGATAACCAAACAAATTTTGGTATAACTTTTAGTCACCTGTCACCATATAACTTTATAACAGGCCGTTAAGATTGTCTTTTCGCTTTATAGTTGGTGAAATTTATATATTTTGGGTAGCTATATAAATATAAATAAATGCTTTAGGAGAAATGTAATGTAGTGGCATTAAATCGAAATCGAATCCATTCCTTGAGTAGAGTGGGTCCAGGAATGTAGCTCAAGTGTTTTGAAGACGTGAGGTTAACAAGTAATGAAGAGACATAAAAAGAAGGACAACGACCAAAGGTGGTACTTTACACACGTATGACTCCTCCTCACTTTTCTGTCCACAAAATATTTTAAATTTTCTTACCATAAAATCAAAACTAAAACTTACCACCATTTTTTTCCTTTTCTCTTTTCAAACTTTTCCCCGACTATTCTTTATCGACGCCTAGCTAGTACACCAATTTATAGTGTCGTATCTGTATTATTAACCCCATGATAAACTAAGTTCTATAGTTTGCAGTTGGGAATGAGTCCGTGAACAAAATAAAACCCTACTTACACAATTTTGAGTTGAGAACAATTAGAAGAAGGGTATCACTATCCGAGAAGTGGATCTGTCAGTATAGTTTTTTCTTTGTATGATTCTCTAACGTAACGGAAACAAACTAGGATTAAGCCAAGTCTCAAAAGAATACAGGCGCAATCATAAAAAATATAGAGAGATTTTTTGATAAAGAAAAATTTCCATGGAGAAAATCGAAAATCGGAGCCTCTTTTTGGTGAGAATTGGGGTCGGAATTATTGACATGTCCTAGCCAAACTAATGCACCGAGTTAAGCGGCAGATATGTCTACATACAGCTACGGATCTTGATTAGAGAAAAAAAAATTGTATACAAGTGCTGTAAAGTTAAAGATTTTATAAAAATGCAATAAAGCCTAAAAGAAAATGATACGTCTATTTCAATCAACATCTTCACAAGTTGTAGATTTCTAACAACAAAATAATATAAATGCTAACATGACATCCTACATGCCTACCAATCTAAAACCAACTGGACAATAATTAAGAGAATCAAAACTCGAACACTTGCTAACAACATAGTTTCCCCAGTCCTCACTAGTGGTACAATTAGTTTTGTTGTAGCAAAAACACAGTACTCATAATTTTTGTTTTTAATGTTAAATTGGTTCCACTATAAAATATTTGAAACATCTTAATCTAATGTACAATGGTGTAAAATAATAGCCAATGTTACCCCAGTTTAACATCTAATTTAATATTCCCTTCGCCTACCACGAATCCACCAATTTAATAGTATTTCCATGTTTGGCTATATAAGTAGCCACGACAACGAATTTTTACATTTCCTTGCCTGAAATAGAAATTATGTGGGACCTCTTCGGACAGAACATACAAATGGATAAAATAATATCATACGTGGATTGGTAAATAAGCCATTTTTACTGAGCCAAGAAAAAAAAGAACGTACTAAATGAATATTTTATTGAAATTTTTGTTTGAATGGGATTGGTTTTCGATTGGTCCGAATTCCCAAAAATCAACAGTCCATTCTCTGTGTTTCATTCATATGAACACTCTTCATCCTCCCAAGCAGGACATAGAAGAAGAAGAAGAAGAAGCGAGGCACGAATGGGACTTTTCTCTCTCCACCGTCGTCTCTTCCTCCTCCTCCGCTTCCGACGTTATCGGAGCTATTGAGTTCGACCCGACTGATAACATCCTCGCCACCGCCGGAATTTCAAGAAAGATTCGTTTTTACGGCCTCCCTTCTCTCTTACAGACCGACGCTGGAATCTCCGGCGTTTCCTTCGTCGATCAAGCCACCGCCTGCGAGTATTACATCTGTACACCGGCAAAGCTTAGTAGCCTCCGATGGAGACCCGGTTCGGGCGGTCGGGTTATCGGGTCAGGGGATTACGACGGCGTCGTAACTGAGTACGATCTCGAGAAGAGAACGCCGGTTTTCGAGCGGGACGAGCACGGCGGCCGTCGCGTATGGAGCGTGGATTACACGCGTCACGGTGGCGCCGCCTCTTTAGGAGCGTCGGGATCGGACGACGGGACTATGCAGGTGTGGGACCCGAGATGTCCGCCGGAGGAATCTGTCGGCGTGGTACGACCGGCGGGACTTTGTCGGAGCGCAGTTTGCTGCGTTGAGTTCGATCCTTCCGGCGGACATTCGGTGGCCGTCGGATGCGCTGATCGGAGAGGGTATGTGTACGATATGAGGAAACTCGTTGACCCGGCGTTGACTTTACAAGGTCACAGTAAAACGGTGTCGTATGTGAGGTTCCTCGACGGCGGGACGGTGGTGACGGCAGGGACGGATGGGTGTTTGAAGCTGTGGAGCGCCGAGGACGGGCGTGTGATTCGCACGTACGAAGGGCACGTGAATAATCGGAACTTCGTGGGGTTATCAGTGTGGAGAAACGGCGCGCTGTTTGGATGTGGATCGGAGAACAACAGGGTGTTCGTGTACGATAGGAGGTGGAGGAAGCCGGTTTGGGTAGACGGGTTTGAACCGGTTGGTATGACGTCTGGTTTGGATAAGCGGTTCGTGAGTAGCGTTTGTTGGAGGCAATCAGGTGTGGACCAGTGCACGCTAGTGGCTGGGGGATCTGATGGAGTATTGCAGGTTTACGTGGGCAAAAGAAAACCATAGTATTATTCTTGTTAATTTATATCATTACTATCATTTAATGAATTATGATTTATGATGCTTCTTCCTCATTTTGTTTTCTGAGATTGAGTTTTGATGCAGTTGTGAGAGCATTTGGGTTGTTCAGTCCAGAGATATTATATATTCTTTAATCCGTAAATTTTCATATTCTTATACGATATTTTCATGTTTGAGAATTTTGAGTTTATTTTAAGTATGATTTCGATTACGAAAGTAGCTACTAGAGTACTAGTTTGTTGGCAGGTATAAGTAAATTTATATTTCCTGCAACTCGTCTACCAATATCAATGCGCCTTACGAATTTTGGTAGCCGTGATACATTTGTTATAGGTATTATTTATCTATCTAGAATCTATAATCACGAGACAGTTTTTGCTTTTTTGAAGAAAAAAAAAACAGCATGTGATAACTGACGAAATAAAAAAGGCATAATTTTTCTAGCTATGGTGTAACTAAGCAGTAAAGTCAGAGTTCAATTCTTATCTAGTCCTATTTATCAGATATCTGCAAGAAAGAAAAGCCATGTGCATAATAGAGTTCTTGGTTTGATAACCTTTTAACTTGATTAGTTTTTTGTAACATTACAATCTAAGCGCTAGCTACATTTATTAAAGAATCAAAACATGTTTCTATTCACATCTTGCTACAATGAAATGGATTTTTATCCCTAGAAACATCCATCATTACGCAATGGAAAGAGTTGTCCCCAAACATAAATGAAACTATACGTGCAAAATAATCCTAAATGCCTAATTCATGCATTAGTTGATCTGAACCAAACAATAATTAAGAGAATCGCATTAAACAAAGAAAACAAAAAGTTCAGGCTAAATGAAAGATTTCCAGCAGGCATGTGCTAATCAACACTTACTAAATATACGCATCCACTAAAATATCTATGGACTCAACTCAACACCAAGACAAGAACCACTTGCTAATGGTAGCCAAACTTGTAACGTACTTGCATATTCACTATTTGTATCCAAGTGCAGAATAAAATAATAAAATAGATTGCCGAGAAGAAAAAGAAGAGTCATATAGATTCCCACTGTGACAAGTGACAATGGAAATTATGGAACAAACAACCTATGCTGGAGGTGGAATAAGCATTGCAAAGAAAATGAATAGTGGTAATCAATTTGAGGTATAAGACGCAAACTCGATTAAAAACAACTTCGTTCTTGTTGGATCATTTGAACTTACAAGAGCTTAAGATATAAAACTAATCTTTTTCTAGCCTTTGTAGAGATGATTTATATAGATCTGTAAAAGATCTGCCAGTCAAATAATTTGCACTAAGATAACTGTGGGTTTAGGTTTTATCAGAAATTGTAACTGAACCATGAGACCTTTGTATGAAGCCTAACCAATTAAGTCACAATTATTGAAGCTACCAATCCACTTTACCACTGTCTCTTTCTACACTGATTTGTAGATTTTTTTAGCAAAATCCGTGGAAATGAATGTACATGACAGGAATTAGACTGCCTGAACAAGGAGAAGCTCGAAACGTCTACTTTACTATAATAAAGATTTTGATTGCATTTGTGTTCTTCTGATGGAATACAATGTCGCCATAAAACTTAAAAGACTTCGTAAATATTTTTGTTAGAAGATACGATCGAGTCCTATCAAACTGATTTCCTCAGAAATATAATTCACACACTTGATGTATATGAGACATTTATCAAATTTTCAGGCAAGTTGATTAAAAGGCAAAACAGTTGAATCTAGTTGACGAAAATGCGTAGATTTATATTTCGTCTTGGCTAATCAAAGTCTCCAACAAAAGAGTAAAATCATCAAACCAAAAACATTCCAAAACTTGAAATCAAACACAAAGAACAAAGTCTTCATTCTTTCAAAGCTCTTACATTCCAGTGAATGCCTTCTTTCCAAAGGCAGATGCGCCTGCTGGAATCACCTTCAGAACATTGAACCTCACCGTCTTCGACAACGGCCTGCACATCAAATCACAATCACACACAATCAGATCGGTTTAATTCCCCGCATTGCCTAAATCATAAACTATAACATCAAAAACCAATATTCTTACCTGCATTGGCCGATGATGACATGGTCACCTTCCTTGACACGGAAGCAAGGTGAGACATGAGCAGGGATGTTGGAATGCCTCTTCTCATACCTGAGAAAGAGAGATCAAAGTTTTAAAACATTGATGTTTATATCTCTTGGCATCTTTCAAGAACAGAGAAGGTTAAAACACACTCATACCTCTGATACTTCTTCACGAAATGGAGATAGTTCCTGCGAACGATAATGGTTCTCTGCATCTTGGCACTGTGGCAAGTACCTGCTAAGATACGTCCTCTTATGGAAACTGTTCCGGTGAATGGACATTTCTGGTCAATGTAGCTTCCTGTTCCACACCAGAAAACCAAAGATTACCAAAACATGTCAAAATGTTTATAATTTTGATATTATAGCTTCAAATCTCATCAAAGCAAGGCATTCAAAATCCTAGACTGAGAGATATCAGATTATCACAGATCAACTGTTACAGTGCATCCAACATTTGATACTAATCGGAGCCTATAATCTATCGAATTTGGTAAATTGTATCAGCAGATTCTAGAGGAAAGATACAAAAAAGAAGAAGCAAACCTTCGATGGCTTCACGAGGAGTCTTGAAGCCCAAACCAATGTTCTTCCAGAAACGGTTTCCACCCTTTCCAGGCCTCTTTCCTTTCCCAGATTTCTTCGAGCTGGAAACACACAGAAATCAATAATCATATCAACAAATCTGAGAAAGACTAGGGTTAAAGTAGCTCGGAAAGCAAGTGAATTTACCTAAGGAAGACCTTGGGTTGCTTCAGAAAAGCTTTCTCCGTCTGCAATTGAAAGAAGAAAAATGAGAGTCGTAAAGAGTTTTATCAGAGTGTAGATACGAGAACGAGGAAAGACGAAGAGGATCAGAGAAAGCGAACCTGCTCAGCCATGGCTACTGGTTTGTTGCTCTCCGCTGAAGAATCGAGAGTGAGGCAAAGAGGGATGTAGGAAATAACGAGAGGCAAAGGCAGCGACTGAAAAAACACAAGCAATGAAGCTCCGGTCAAAACCCTAATTTCGATGAGTCTCTCTTTAGCTGGGCTTGGGCCTTCTCTTTAGTTTATGGGCCGAGAATTACATATTTGATATTTCTAATCGTGGCGATACGAATATGTGGCTTAAACATACGTTTTTCAGTGATTTTTCGTATTAATTTTTTTTCTTTAATTTAGTTGTCCATTACCATAATAAAACGACAACAATAAATTCAACGATGTATGTATTATGGGACCATATTTCTGTTTTTACATCAGGGACCTCTTTCTTACTTGCGCATTCATGATGGGGATCCGATCATACGATCATAAATTACGCCATATAGAAACAAAACATATCATTGCACGTACCATTACATAAAGCTGAGACAATAAACCTTTCAATGAACAGTTGTACAAATATTATAAGATGTTTCCATTTGATTTCATAACTTTTTCTGATGCAAATTAAACCCAAATGAGAATAAGAAAAGGTAAAAACGTATATAAATAACACAATTTTTTTGTTTCTTTAGCCATTAGACATTGTTTCTTTAGCCATTAACAGAATCCATGTTTTTCCCATTGATGTGATTAAATCACATGAATCCAAATAGCTTTTTAGGAGCAGTTCCAGTGGCACGGTACTTGGCAGCTAATTCCTCGGCTTTGAGAATCTCTTCTCCACGTCTAGCTTCGATCATCGCTCTTTTCTCTTCTGCTTGCTTGTGAATTTGAGCTATTTTGTTCTTCATCCGCTCCACATACTCTGCCTTCTTTTTCTCCAATTGCTCCTATTCAAGTTTCACAAAGAAAATGAAAAAATTCGGTAAAAGTTTAATTTTCAACTAAAAGGTACTAATTCTGTAAAGAAAAATATACCTCTATTTCCTTGAGCTCAGCTTCGACAGCTGCTTTCTTGTTGTTCTCCCATGACCCAATTGAAGAAAGCTTCTTCTCTGCTCTGTACGTATCAAAAAGAAAAATCTTCATCTCTCCCAACTCATATTTTTAAGATCTAGCTTAATGATAATATCTTGGTTTAATAGCAAGAAATAGTTAACCAGTGGTTTCGAATTCGTTATTTAAGAGATCCGGTTATAATAAAGAAAAGTAACGTACTTGTTCTCCACTTTGCATTTCTCAGCCTCTTCCCAAGCTTTGATAAGTGACATCCTCTTCTCTGTCTCAACTCTAGCCAACACAGCATCTTCACTCCCAAATATTTCAAGCAAAGACAATAATTAATTAGACTATAACGTTATAAAACTCTACTTACTAAATACAATTACGTGTTCCTCATACATTCTAGCTTTGACTAGTGTCTCCCTGTTGATATGTACGCGCCTAGATTGGAATAGACCAACATGTTGGACTATTATTACCTTTGTAATTATTTTCCTTTATTTTTCAGGTTATATTTAGTATTGAATCATGCATGAATCTTTTTCGTTAATTACCTCTATTAACTGAACCTTCTTTCTTCCCTTCCTCTGCTTCTTCTGCCACACAGAAAAAAATATCAAAATAATTGGGAAATTGGCAACAAAATAAAATATCAAAACATAAGAGAATATCTCTAATATTTGAGTTAAAGCTTTTTTTTGTTATAGATGGTTTGAAAATTCTGTTCCCAATATTTTTTTCTTAAAAAAATTTAATCAGTAACCTTAAAAATTATGTTTTGGTAGAGGGTTTACTTTTCTTTCAACCATCTTCATCAAAAAATTATACTATTGAAAAGGAAATTAGTAAATTACTTGCGACGATGGGAACTAAAGCCTTGGAGTCCTCTAGTTTCTCCTCAGCCGGCGCCGGAGATGGAAGAACTGGAGGAGGAGCCACAGGCTTCTCTTGTGGAGCAACATCTACCGCAGCAACAGGCTTCTCTGCCGGAGCGTCCGGTGATGGAGCTGGTTCCGACACCGTCTCCGTCACCTTCTTAGGTTCCTCTTCGGCCATGTTGTACGTAGGTACAGCAACTAAAGATTACGAAAGAAAAAAAGAAGAGAGAATCAAAATGGTCCAGAAGTCTGGTTATTTATGAGAGAGACAGAACAAAATATTTAGAGAGATTAACCGTCGATTTTCAAGAAACTGAGCTGGCAATGTTTGGTAGTGATGTTCTGTTTCTCGGTGTCACAAAATGACTCGCCTTCTGTTCTTATATAAAGTATTTCATTTTTCTTCTTTTTTTAGTAATATCATTGATGCACGATGATCAATATTTTGGATGACTTGCAAAATACATCCCCATGTTATTTATATCCACAATTCAACCCCGAACCCCGCATATTCCTTTTGAAAAGGTTTTCTTTTACTTGTAGTTAATCAATTAAAATTGAAACATATCAGGGATTTAGAATTACTTGATCAGTGGTAGCGTTACAGTTGTCATTGATCGTTTGATTCGCAACATAATTGTATTTAGGAAATAAACGGTATGTAATTCTGCATAGTCTTGCTACTGAAATGAAAATGTATTTCAAGTACAGGATTAACCGGCAAATTAATAAGTCTTAGCATGATTGGAGTTGGACTCATCGAATGTTGAAACCCATGCTTTGAAGTGGACCCTAGCCCTAATCAGAGAGTAGACCGGTTCGCTACTCCGCACAAATGTTATCAAACCGGGTCATTATTCATTCAGTTGTTTTTTTATCCTACAATAAGATACTAGCAGACAAACGAATCACCAACTCTCATGACGTCACATGAGGTTAGTAAAAAAGTTAAAGAAATACGGAGAAATTAAGATAGTATATTTACGTTACGTTACTTATGTAGCCCAAAAGGAGACTCTTTATAACTTGTAACATATTTTTACGCGAATATTGTTTCTTATCGAAACCGTAAAGTTTTGTCGTTGATAGAAAATGGCTAAGTTAATAAATACACTTTATTGTTGATGATGATGATTCTAGGACAACAAAAAGGTAACTAACAATTGTTGTTGCTATTTACAGAAGTAAGTAGTAATTTCTGTTCTTAAAACGAATCAGATATGCAGTATCCAGTATGTCGCGCAGTAACAATGATACTGCTTTATTTATTTCCTTCCACGAGTGATATTCTGATAACTTGCCATATTATTCAGCCGTTTTCTAATTTATGTACACATAACATATCTCTCTGTATATGATGATATATAAGATTGCATTGATATCTGGAATTCAAAGTAACTTTACATCGTCAAAATTATAATTATTTTTCTTCAAAAAAGGCTTATTATTTGATCACAGGTTTGAAAAAAAATAGATTTATTCCACAGTTTCGTGTTGCCTACGTAATCGTGGTAGTTGGCTTACCAAGTCACTCAACAATATTGTTTCTAATTCGAATATAAATATTTCCTTGAATTGATAGATTTTTTGTGTCAAGATTTTTGTTCTTTACAAAGAAGTTCATATATTTTCTAATCTTATAGTTTATGTTAATTTTTGTTCCACATATAAAAATGAAAAGTACAAACTATAATCTCCGTGACAACGGAATGCAAGGCAGCTCACTATATATTTAACCGCTAGTTTATTACAATATATATTGAACAATTGATTTTACATATTAAATTACTCAGTGATTTAACGTTTTAATTATGAAATCAAGATGACAAAAACGGGCATAGAGTTGCTTATTTCTTAGGTTCTTCTTCCTTCTTCTCTTCTTTCTTCTCTTCCTTCTTTTCATCTTTCTTCTCTTCCTTCTTCTCTTCTTTCTTCTCTTCTTTCGCCGGCCCAACCGATATCAAATCGACTTTACCGACCTTCTTCAACTTCTTTACCACCGCAACCGCATCCATCGAACCAATCACCGTTAATTTTTGCTCCTTCATATCTGCTGCTATCGAATCAACTCCTGCGTAACACAATAACCAAGTGTTTTACTACTTAGCATAACTACAGTCTACATACTCTATCATCTTTGGTCATACACGTGTTTTGAATCTAACGGAAATGAAACACTTATAATCAGTTTTGTTCCCATACAAAGATTACGTCATACGGAAGCAGCCTTACTAGGGCCCAAAATCCTGATTGGCTAGGCCCTATATATTTATGGGCCTTTAAAATATTTGTGGCCCCTTACTATTTGTTCTTCGCCGTTAAAAGAATAATCATCTCGTTGACTACTTTACTTACCTAACCAAGCCTCAAACTCTGACGCAATTACACGATCGAACTGAATTTCATATAATTTTAGCTAAAAAATAGGAAATAAACTTGTTTAATCAGATAAAAATTACTACGGAGCAATAACAAATAGATACCCAGAACAAGATTCGATTTTAAACTGAAAGTAATTAGAGATAAGAAGTAGAAATGATAATCACCGAAGATATCAGCTGCAGCTTCTATGGCTTTCTGCTTGGTCTTATCATCAGTCATGGTTAACACCTTCAATACCACTTTCTAAGAAAAACACACAACAAAAGAGAGTAAAAAAATGTGCTTTTGAAGAAAGGGTTTAATCATACTCAAATTTTTAAAAAATACCTGGGCCATTTCGTATGGGATCTTGAAGAATCAAGAAGAGATGAGATCGAGAAAGGAAAGAGTTTGGTGGGTTTTTCTTTTTAATAGAAAATAAATTAATTTGTGGGGGAATAAAAGAGAGAATTGGGTATTTGATTGACAATTGACAAAAATTTGTGGTGGCTTTTGGTAAAGGGTGAGACATGTGAGTGTGACGTATGTTTGAGTGTAATGGACAGCTCTGCAATATTCTTTAGTATGCATGCTTTACTTAAAGTTGCTTTGTTTTTTGTCCTTATTAATTCTTAGGCAAATTGCACAATGCACTAGGTGAGAGTGAATTTGCAAATAGTTAACAAAACAAGTTAAGAGTCCAACTTTGCATCAAGCGGGTAAATTTTGTCTGTGTTATGTTAGATGTAAATACCAATTGCCCAAAATATTCATTATTCATTCACTAATTCACGCGTAATTTAGTAATATAGCATGTGATTTTTATTTGTCTGCTTGTCAGTTTTTAAAATAACATCATCTTTATAAAATCACACAATAAACAAATTTTTGTTATATATTAATCAATCATCTGAAGAGAATACCTAGCGGCTAATCAATTATTTGGATATAAATAACATATATTTTTGTTTATATTATACGTGTGATTTCTGTCAATAACATGTAAGATGTAACATATGAATGCCAGAAGACAAAATCGTATATGTATCACTTCTTGTTTTTCTAATTTTTCAATATTTTCATTCTTTTACCTAACTTCCCCTAATTTTTTAGGCCAGGGTGAACAAATTGTTTACAGTGATGTATTTGTTTTTCTCTTTTTTTTTTCCGGCCCTTTTCAACAGCTTGGGACATAAGCCATTTAATTTCTTTGACTAAGAGATTACTAGGGCTGAAACTTGGACATAATGAAAGAAGTCTTTTGCATTATGAATTTACTATGTTTGGTTATATTCTTTCAAAACTTAATTTCCTTGAGACCTCTATTTAACTATAGAGAACACTATACCATTTCCGAAAAATGTCATTGTTAGAAATGACTAGTTATCGTTTCATGGAAAGAAAATTAGAAGTAGTGAGATAAAAAATTTACAAAAAAAAAAAAGTAGTGAGATAAGGTGATTGTTCTTTTCGCATTCTAAACGCAAAGAAAATGGACCACCCAACCGTTCCGCGATTCCAAATCAATGACAAATGGTAGATGTGACCATAGGACTAATGGCTATCTTATATAGTGCTTATATTTATACAGATGAAGACAAGTAATATAAATAACTATATGTACATTGTAATAACAACAATAGTAATAGACAAGACAAGTAAATGTATCTATCTGTTCACACGAGGTTTCTGTCCCCGAGAAGATAAAAAAATGCTTTCATGTTGTGTCTTCCCGCATAAATATATACACATACATTGATACACATCCAATAGATCATATCTCCGTTAACAAAAACCGAGCGAAAATTATGGACACTAAAGAAAGTGACGAGTCTGGGGTTACGAGACCAACCGAACTTCCACTTCATGATTCAGTTTCTAAGAGAACAGGTAAATCCGTAAATAATCACAATCATAATCATTAGCAGTTGATTACATGACGTTTACTCATTTGGTCGCTAATATTACGTTATTGTGTGATCTTTAATTTAAAAAAATAGGAACGTTGTGGTCGGCGGTGGCACATATAATAACAGGAGTGATCGGGGCAGGAGTGTTGTCATTAGCTTGGGCCACGTCGGAGCTCGGCTGGATCGGTGGTCCGGCCTCCGTTATAGCCTTTGCCGCAGTCACAATTCTCTCTGCTTTTCTCCTTTGCGATTGCTACCGTTTTCCCGATCCCGTCAACGGTCCCCTCCGACTTAATTCTTACTCTCAAGCCGTTAGATTGTATTTAGGTAAATTCAAACCTCAAATTCCATTTCATTTACACAAAAGAAACTTTTTTTTACCCGCCGAATTTTTATTTTTAAATTTGTAATTAAGTTTACTAAGATGGTTAATTTAATTTGCAGGGAAGAAGAATCAAATCGTATGCGGGGTCTTTGTATACATTAGCCTTATTGGTTGTGGCGTTGCTTATACCATTGTAACAGCTACTTGCATGAGGTAATGAAGTGTAAACATATACTGATTTTTGTTTTCCTTAGAAATTTCATAACTTCTAATATTGATATGTTTCTTCCATTTTCGTTACAGAGCAATTCTGAGATCGAATTGTTATCATAGAGAAGGACGCAATGCAACATGTTCTTATGAAGACTACAACAACTACTTCATGCTTTTGTTTGGTTTGGTTCAGGTCTTTATGTCACAAATACCAAATTTCAACAACATGACATGGCTCTCTCTTATCGCTGCGATCATGTCTTTTACTTATTCCTCCATTGGCCTTGGTCTCGCGTTTGGCCAAGTCATAGGTAAAGATACATATCTTTACATTGATTTGGAGATGAAAAGCCATTAAATGGAATTTTTGTGTGTTTGAAATGAAGAAAACCGACAAATCGAGGGAAGTATAAGGGGAAGTCCAGCAGAAAACAGAGGTGCAAAAGTATGGTTAGTGTTCCAAGCTCTTGGGAACATTGCCTTTGCCTATCCTTACTCAATCATACTTTTTGAGATTCAGGTAATTCAAAATCTTAACTGACTTCATACATATATATCTAACGATGCCAAGCTAGATTAGTTAACACATTAGTCACTACTCACTAGCTCCAAGAATTTTTTTTTTTTTTACTCTAGATCACAAGAACACGATTTGATATCTTGCTGATCAAGAAACCTTTTCAATGTGGTTTAAATATATATTTTTTTAAAACAGGACACATTGAGATCGCCACCGGCAGAGAAGCAAACGATGAAGAAAGCCTCGACGACTGCTGTAGTCATAACAACATTCTTCTACCTTTGTTGTGGATGTTTTGGGTATGCGGCCTTTGGAGATTCCACCCCTGGAAATCTCTTGACCGGTTTCGGATTCTATGAGCCTTTCTGGCTAGTAGATTTCGCCAACGCTTGCATTGTTCTTCATTTAGTTGGTGGATATCAGGTATTGGTTGATTTGACGTTTTCGTTTACAATTAAACCAAAAAAAAAAATTAAAATATTAATAATTGATGTTTGATTTGATATAACATGTTACATGTTCAAATGGCATTTTATAGGTGTACAGTCAACCGATTTTTGCAGCGATGGAGAGATGTTTAACCGAGAAATACCCACAAAACAAGTTCATCGCCAGATTCTACGGCCTTAAACCACCGTTTTCAAAAGGAGGAGCGGTGAAACTGAATCCAATGAGGGTGTGTCTGAGAACGACGTATGTGGTGATGATAACGGGAGTGGCAATATTGTTTCCATACTTCAATGAAGTGCTTGGAGTGTTGGGGGCTCTTGGGTTTTGGCCTTTGGCTGTGTATTTCCCTGTGGAGATGTGTATATTACAGAAGAAGATCCAAGTTTGGACACGACCATGGCTTCTTCTTAGAGCTTTCAGCTTCATTTGCTTGCTCGTCTCTCTCTTGGCTCTTGTTGGATCTATTCATGGACTTGTCGGAGCAAAATTCGGATGACCAATTGACCATTGACCAACCAACTATTTTGTAAGAGCACAGGCATTGCAGAGCTCCAAATGGAACTCTTTAACAATTTTAAATAATAAAAATATTAGTATTTTAATTTAACAGCTTTAGTAACAATTTCAGAATTTTGAGCTATGCATTGCAGAGACTGTAAAAAGTTCTTAAATATCGAAATTTTTTTTTTAGATGAAGAGGATTAGCTGATGAAGCAGCAACAACAACAAGATAAGATCCCATCTTCAATTCTTTACTTGTTCTTCGTTCAACATGTTTGCTGTCTCCTCAGCTAGTACAGCTCAGCCTTTCCTTATAAGGCCTTGTAAGGGGACTTTACCTTAATCCCTTTTGTAATCTTGAACGAACCAACCAAACCAAATACATACCTTAATCAGCTCAACTATGGTCACACTCTTGTTGATAGCTCTTCCCATTGCCTTGAAGCTAACTTTCAATCCCTTTTCCTATATACAGAAAAGAATTCCGTTGTAAGCAAGCCAAACAGGTTATAAATAATACTCGAAAGCCATTGCTGTTTACAATATAACTACAGTTTGCCAATACAGAGTGAAAAAAGCATACAACCACACTACAAAGGCACAAACGACATAACTAATATTTAGAAAAGCCTGAATATCAAACAGCCACAAAGTTAAGAAGCAGTTAATCAATAATTTGCTCGTTCAGGAAGCAAATTCATGTTTAATTTTTTACATAAAGCAACATAAAACTTAAGAAATTAATCTAATCACCAAAATGCATATAGTTCCATGGAAAACAAAAAAAACGTCATTCAAAGAGAACATAAATGTTACTGGATTCTTTGAAATCGCTGAGCTTCAAATTAAATGTACAATCGTCTACTCCATATACGTTACCAAGGTCTAGTCTCTCCACCAATTCATTACAGTACGAATACCAATTCAGCTTTTAGGAAACATTCGCAGAAACTCAATAAACACAGACGTTTTCAGATTTACAGAAAAGACCCAATACCTGAAGAAGAGTCATCGCATAAGTAATGTAGTTTTGCGCCCTACCCATACTAGTGATACGAATCTTGTTCTCAGCGTCTCATCCTTGGGCTTCTCCACTCGATTATACATCTCCATCTGAAAAAATACACCACCAAAATACCAACGAAAGCAACGCAAAATCAGAAGAGTCCTTCTCAAACAGAAACCGGCGATACGAGACTAAGGTTTATCCGAGTGAATAAGAACCGAAAAACGAACCTGGAGGAAGCAATCGGAGTCCTTGAGGATTGGACCATCGAAAAGCCCAGATTCGATGAATTAGAGTTCAATTCGTCGTCACAAATAGAAAACAGCCAAGGAGAACGAGAAGAAAAAAGGGAACCTCGAACAAGAACAAATCGGAGATCGAAGAGGAAGGATTTGGAGCAGAAGTTCAAATCGGAGAAGAAACTGAGAAAACGAAGAAAAAGAATTTCGAAGAACAAAAAGGAAAAAAAAATCTCGCGAGGCTTTTTTCCACGCGACATGTGGCGAGTAAAACCGTCTCTCAGGCCTCTTCCGGGAGAGACGCCTCTGGCTTTTGGGCTTGCTACATAGATAAATGTTTTCCTTTTTTATTTTATTTTGGGCTAAAGAACTCTCCAAAAACTGTGCAGTGCCCATGCTCTAAGCACATAGAAAAGAATACCCTATTCAATAAATGAAGTGATGTGTAACGTGTATTTACTGTTCATTAGGATGTTTTAACAAACACTATTTGTAATGTTTAAATGCGACCACAATATATTTTAGCAAATGTATGTTAGCTAATACAGTTTCGAAGATTTATATACTAGACTTGCATATTTTCATTTTATTAATGATAACTTTGAAAAAAGGACTTTAATAGCAGTTGGTCATTAAAAATATTTCTGGAAGAGCGGCGCATATAACCAACACGCCGATGATAAGTGGAAAGGACATTTTTCCACGAATGAAGGCTGAAATCAACGAACTACACTTATTGCAATAGTACTTTACTTGCTCGATCTCAAAAGTTCAAAATTTAATTTAATTTTTTATTTTTTTTAAAGACTGAAAACCTTATAATGCTCTAAAACTAATCTAATTAATATATTAATAAATTTATATGAGATATATAGTGCTATAGAGAAATAGAAATATTGAATAGTAATCCCAAACCCACGATGATTAACTTTTTTTGTTCAAGAAGGTCTTTTGGTTTCCTACTTCCTCCGTTACTAATTTTTTGTTCCTAAACCTAATCCTAAGGTTTATGGCGATTTTTTCAAATTAAACCCTCAAGCCGAGCGTGACACTATTAAAAAAAGTTGATGTGCAACTTGAGTGTCGATATTCCTTACCTCTCAAGCTTCTCTCTCTCTTTCTTTTTCTTTTTTATTCTCTCTCTCCAAAACTCTTTCGAATCTTTTCTTACTTGATTCTCTCCTTCTTTTCCCTTGGTTCCCTCCACCGGATCGGAGTATGAGGAACTCACCGTCCAAGCACGGGTCGGGAGGGCATTCTCGTAATTTCAACGACGCCACATGGTTTCCCTTTGTCAAGTCCGGTTTCGGAATATCTCCAAACAGATCATACGCCGTCTTCTCTCTCCTCATCCTCCTCATCGTCGGCGCTTTCATCTCCCCGCGCCTCCTCCTCGACGACCCCACAGTAAGTCCCCCAAAACGACAATCCACTTGTCGTTTTTCCTGAATCTAAAAACTCTCTCTCTCTCTCTCTCTCGGTGCTTGTGCACTTTAAACTTTGAATTTTGTTCTGTCACGTGAGAATTTCGAAAGAGTCTTGGTGGGTGGAGATGTCGGCTCTCTGACAAATCTCGCAGAACAAAACACGTGTCTTTTGTGGGACCCGTCTATGACTTTTCAAGTCAATTAGCTGTAACCCAAGTCACACTCTGTTTTCACACTTATAGGTTCTTCTGATAGAGAAAGAAGCCGTGACGACGACGAAGACTAAAACCCGTACGATATCCCCGAAATACCCTCGACCAGCTGCAGTAATTACACAAAAACCACTCGAGTTCACATTGCACTGCTCCGCCAACGAGACATGCCCGAGAAACAATTACACGACGACGGTGAGCTACAGAGAAGATGATTCTAAGCTTCCCACGTGTCCCGATTACTTCCGCTGGATCCACGAGGATCTCCGTCCCTGGGCGAAGACTGGGATCACGAGGGAGGCACTCGAGCGTGCCAAGAAGACGGCGAATTTCCGGCTCGCCATCGTCGGCGGGAAGGTTTACGTGGAGAAATTTCAGGACGCTTTTCAGACGAGAGACGTGTTCACAATCTGGGGATTCTTACAGCTTCTTCGTAAGTACCCTGGCAAGATTCCAGATCTCGAGCTCATGTTTGACTGCGTTGACTGGCCTGTCGTTAAGGCTGCGGAATTCGCCGGGGTAAACGCGCCGTCGCCTCCGCCTCTGTTTCGGTACTGTGGAAACGAGGAGACGCTCGATATCGTCTTCCCTGATTGGTCCTTCTGGGGATGGTAATTAGCACTTTTGTCTTGTAATTTCAAAGTTCTCTCAATTACACCACATTAGTTTCGAATTGATCAGTCAAACCCATAACAACAAATGTAGGTCGGAGGTGAATATAAAGCCATGGGAGAGTCTGTTGAAGGAACTAAGAGAAGGGAACCAGAGAACCAATTGGATAAACAGAGAGCCTTATGCTTACTGGAAAGGGAATCCAATGGTCGCAGAGACAAGACAAGATCTCATGAAGTGTAATGTCTCTGAGGATCACGAATGGAACGCTCGTTTGTATGCTCAGGTAACAATAAAGTTGAATGCACTTTGACCAATAAAGAAATGCAGTTCTGAGGAATGCTAGTAGTATATTTGATTCTGCTAGTTTCAACTGCAATTGTGTGATTAAAGAAAGAAAGAAACCAACTGTTTTTGTTAACTTTTATTTTCTTGTAGGACTGGCTCCGAGAATCAAAAGAAGGCTACAAGCAATCAGACTTAGCGAGCCAATGCCATCACAGGTAGTGTATATAATGTAGACTTAATGTATTCAAACATCTGAATTCAGTGTTTTGGCTAATCATGAAAGTTGATATAAGAAGTAACGATATAGCTCTGTTGCAATGGTTATGTAAAGGTACAAGATCTACATCGAAGGGTCTGCATGGTCCGTGAGTGAGAAGTACATTTTGGCGTGTGACTCGGTGACTCTGCTTGTGAAACCTCATTACTATGACTTCTTCACCCGGGGCCTGCTTCCGGCTCACCATTATTGGCCCGTTAAGGAGCACGACAAGTGCCGCTCCATCAAGTTCGCTGTTCATTGGGGTAACTCTCACATTCAAAAGGTACATTATTATTTAATCTGTGATGAAGAGGATTTTGATTGTTTGTTTGTGTTTGTTACATTTAGTGTATTGAGTTTTTTTTGTTTAACTAGGCGCAGGATATTGGAAAAACGGCGAGCGAATTCGTTCAACAAGAACTCAAGATGGACTATGTTTATGATTACATGTACCACCTTTTAACCGAATACTCGAAACTACTCCGGTTTAAGCCCGAGATTCCACGGAATGCGGTAGAAATTTGCTCGGAAACAATGGCGTGCCCAAGGAGTGGGAACGAGCGGAAGTTTATGACAGAATCACTCGTGAAACACCCTGCAGAGACCGGTCCGTGTGCCATGCCGCCTCCTTATGATCCGGCGTCGTATTATGCGGTTGTGAAGAGAAAACAGAGTACGGCTATGGGAATCCAACAGTGGGAGATGAAGTACTGGAGCAAGCAGAATCAAACCGGCTCTTGAATTTTCTAGCTGCGTTTCGGCTTTTGTTAATAAAATACTTATATTACGTAGTACCGATTTGCTGTATTTTGTAGAGTACTAGAGTAGATTATATGCTTCATGTTTAGGTTATTTCACACGAGAATTAAATGAAAAGTATTCATGCAACATTTTAAACCTATTTGTTTGTTAGAGACACAAAAAACTTGATGTAGAAAGATGTTATATTGTTTAGTAGCTGATGTCGTGTCTTAGGCATCCATGAAACTCGAGTGTTTATAGTATCTGATACGTGTGTTTGTACTTTGTATGATCAAATGCTTTGAAATATTACGAAAAAAAAGTCACTCTCTGGATAAGACTTCCCGATTAGTCTTCTAATAAGAGTCTGCATACGTCAAATGCGGAAAACATAAGCCAGCTTAATTAGTACTTAAGTCACCGGCCTAGAAAGTGATTTTGAAATTAGTTTAAATTTGGTAAAGGATAACCATCACCTGAAGAAAGTATTAAGCGCAGAGGTATAAGATTAAGTTGTTTATGAAATCGATGGTGTGACTTGATGGCAACTACATGCTCTAACTTTGTGAGTGATACATTGCTTCTTATTTAGGCCATACTCATTGGAAAGCTGTTTTTGGTGTCTATCTCTAATTTTTCACGTCATGTAGGACCCAAATTCACCTGTTTTTATTTGTTTTGATTATAGAGTGATTTGCACGTTACTGTACAGATTAGACCCACCGCATCGCACTACAATACTGTATTAATCATCATATATGATATATATAAAGATGAAGCTGTTGTATATAGTACCACACAAAACTAGATTATAACTTTTAACTTTGAAAATGGTAAATATTAAATCAGATACACACTGAACAGCAAAACTATGAAGATGTACTTCAACTATGTCGTATATCTACTTGCACATGTGCATATGTTGTTCTTTGATTTCTATCTATTTCTTAATCATTGTATCGCCAACTTGGAATCTAATCCAGATGTCAAATTAAGTTATTGGTATATTGGCAATTCAATTGTCTGATAATTCTTAATCATGGTTTGTTATCTCCCGTAATCCTTATCATCTTATTCTTATTGATAAAAAATTATGATTACATTACATGTTTACCATTAAACGAATTCATAATTCTACAAAACTGAAGAGTATAGTTATCCAATCAGAATTCATAATTCTAGTTTCGGGATTAGCAAAATTATCCAATCAGATTAAATTGCATCACATTAACCCCAGTCACGTGGTTTTACGTTGGTATCACGTGTCTGTAACGGTTCGCTTCATGTGCAAGAATAAAAAAAAGCGAGCGAACAAAAAAAAGAAAATTATTCAGATCTCGCAGCCTTTCTTCCTATCTTCACATGCCTAAGCGCGTACACGTACTCGCATTCCGTAGCGCGTGAGGATAAGAGAACCACTCTGGATCCATCTGTACAACACCCTCACTTAATGCAGAAAAAGGAAGTGTAAAACTTATCCTCTATGATCTCCTCTTAATTATGAAAAGGATTTAGATGTTTAAGAACAGATGAAACTTTTGTAGGTTTTCTCATAGATCAAAACTAGTTCTGCAATATACGTATTCAAAGATCAGATTTCCTTCAAGAAAATTACGTGTATCCCTTTACTAAATTATACACAGTATGTTAATCTGTTTCTTCTCTTTTTGAGGATTAACTTGTTGTGCACATACTGACAAAATATATACCGAATGTCCTGATTTAATTAACCAAAAAAAGCCACAATTATTTGCTGAGTAGAAAGCAATCTTTATTTGTATATCCAAATTTTGATATATTTTTCAAATATTTATTTATGTCGTGGGCCAAGGGAACTAACGGCTGTTAGTTACCTCCGTCATTCGTGGCGGCAATAAAGAAGAATACCAGCGTTACCGGCTCGAAATTATCGGGTGATGTTCAACTTTGGTTTTCTGCATCGGTTTCGGTTAGGGTCAATTGGTTGAAATTCATTTGTATTCCTTTTCAGAAAAGTTAATATTTTCACTAACATCAAATAACCAAATGAAAAACTATTAGAGATTAGAATTGAAAATTGAAAGAATAAGGCATAGTGCAAGTTCAATCATTGGTTTTTCTGGTTCAATTTGGTTCGGTTTACGTATATACCGTTACAGTTGTGAGCGGGCGAGTTTTCACAAAACACCAAAAAGAAATTCCGTTTCCGTTATCTCCGCACTATAAAAAGTGACCACTTCGTCTTCTTCATTTCCTCGCAAGTCGTAACCGTTTCAAATTCCCTGCAACTCCTCTCTCTCTCTCTCTCTCTCTCTCTCTCTCAAATTCGGTTGCATACTTGGCTATTTATCGAAAATGCGTGAGATTCTGCACATCCAGGGTGGTCAGTGTGGAAACCAGATCGGCGCCAAGTTCTGGGAAGTAGTTTGCGCCGAGCACGGGATCGATTCGACGGGAAGGTACCAAGGGGACTCTGATTTGCAACTCGAACGAGTCAATGTGTACTACAACGAAGCCAGCTGCGGGAGATTCGTCCCACGCGCCGTCCTGATGGATCTGGAGCCCGGTACCATGGACAGTGTCAGATCCGGGCCGTACGGTCAAATCTTCCGCCCCGATAACTTCGTCTTCGGTCAATCCGGCGCCGGTAACAACTGGGCTAAAGGACACTACACGGAGGGCGCTGAGCTGATCGATTCCGTTCTCGACGTCGTCCGTAAAGAGGCCGAGAACTGTGACTGCTTGCAAGGTTATAATCTCTTTCTTCGATCCCGTCTTTGTGAGCATAGTTTGAATTTGTTCTGTGATTGTGGATTTATCGATTTCTTATGCAATTCTGGAATTATAATTCACTTTAAGTGCTCGAATCGTAGAGTTTTTGGAATTTTGTTACGAATATAGTTCATAGTTACAATTTGTGTGATTCGAATTTTGTGTTCATGTGAATGATCTCTCCAGGATTCCAAGTCTGTCACTCACTGGGAGGAGGAACTGGATCTGGAATGGGAACTCTGCTGATTTCAAAGATCAGAGAAGAGTACCCAGACCGGATGATGCTGACGTTTTCCGTCTTCCCATCACCGAAAGTGTCCGACACCGTTGTTGAGCCTTACAATGCAACGCTCTCTGTTCATCAGCTCGTAGAGAATGCAGATGAGTGTATGGTTCTTGACAACGAAGCTCTCTATGACATTTGCTTCAGAACTCTCAAGCTCACCACTCCAAGCTGTAAAAGCCTCTCTCCTCTCTCTGATATTCCCATTTATTGGCTTCACTGTTCTAATGGGATTGTTTACATTTTTGTTTCAGTTGGAGATTTGAATCATCTCATCTCTGCAACCATGAGTGGTGTCACTTGCTGCCTCCGTTTCCCTGGCCAGCTAAACTCCGACCTCCGCAAGCTCGCCGTGAACTTAATCCCATTCCCTCGTCTCCACTTCTTCATGGTCGGATTCGCGCCGCTCACATCACGCGGATCGCAGCAGTACCGAGCCTTGACCGTCCCTGAGCTAACCCAACAGATGTGGGACGCCAAGAACATGATGTGTGCAGCTGATCCGCGCCACGGAAGGTACTTGACCGCCTCAGCAATGTTCAGAGGCAAAATGAGCACCAAAGAAGTGGACGAACAGATGATCAACGTTCAGAACAAGAACTCGTCCTACTTCGTCGAGTGGATCCCCAACAACGTGAAATCAACCGTCTGTGATATTCCACCGACGGGTCTGAAAATGGCTTCCACTTTCATTGGGAACTCGACTTCGATCCAGGAGATGTTTAGGCGTGTGAGCGAACAGTTCACTGCCATGTTCAGGAGGAAAGCGTTCTTGCATTGGTACACGGGTGAAGGAATGGACGAGATGGAGTTTACGGAGGCGGAGAGCAACATGAACGATTTGGTCTCGGAGTATCAGCAGTACCAAGATGCTACGGCTGATGATGAGGAAAATTATGAGTTTGAAGAAGACGAAGAGGAAGTGCAGGAGGAGCAATAACGCTGAAAAGATGGAAAGGCCTCGTATAGCTTCTCTCTTTTATGAAATCAGAAACAATTTGTGTGAGCTTTTTCTTTAATTAGTGTTCGTTTTTTCTTATGTTGATTGCTTGGTTTTTACATTTGTTCGGTTTTGGTTTTCATGTCTTGACATTTGGCTATGTGTGATTGTGCTTTTAGGTTCAGAGCTTAGGGAAAATATGTGTTCATATAAGTCTTTGTGATTGGATTTGAGATATTGTTTGTTACCTTTCCTTTAAAACTTGTGTGATAAAATGACTCCTCTCTATGCAAAACCGCATATTTGTCCCATTGGTATCGCGCTTTCAACTTGAACGGGAAGCAAAATCCGGTTTAGGAGAAGCTTTTGTTTGAAACAGCAGGTTGGTACGGTCTCTACTCTGTTTTGTAGAGGTCACTCTCTTGGTCTTGGGTTATGTTCATTACGAGGATTTACATTTTTTGTGCACTGTCTCTCAAGATTATCATAGTGAAACTGTTAGTGTAGATGTAAAGACGTATAAATTCTCATTCCAAAATCTTCAACTCCTAGTTTCACGTTTGTGTAGTTTCTTCTTCACTCTTATCTGTTTACATGTCCTCTGTTAAAACAAAGTTCATGGTGTGTTTTTGGTTCGTGATTACTAGTTAAATAATTTTGGAATTATGAAACCAATGATCTTTTTTTTATTCAAAAATTAGTTTTTATTGTTTGGTATAACTGCAATGTGCACATTGTCCAACTAGTACAATTCTTTTGGAAACATTGCATTTCTGTATAATGGTATTGTATTACTATCATCACTAGTGGTCGTTGTAACTATTGTATTGTCACATTTAGACATACTTAACCACTGTAATCTTGGTTAATCTCAACTTCTAATATCACGATAAAAGATCATTTAGATCAGCTTGGCTTCGACTCAAGGTACCTGATCATAATAACATAACCAAAAAATTCAAACGACGATGCGAAGTTCACAAACTACAAGCATTCATGGTCCACGCACAAGAAAAAAAAAAAAGGTAAAAAAGAGAAGGAAGAAGTCAAGAGTGTACCGCTAGAGTTATTGCCTGGAGCCTTAGAAGCCTTGAATGACAAAGGAAAAAAAAAAACATATAATTAGTTAGTTATACAATCCACTTTTAGATGAATCGAAGCTTTACAGTCACTAAGGTGTAAAAAAAATGCATCTACTCTGGAAAACTGTATTGACTTTGACTATAATATTTTCTGTTTGTAAGATTTAAGAAGATTTACCAAAGAATCTGTAGTAGAAGCTGGAATGAGATTATGACACGTTTTATCACATGGATATGGGCCATCGATTTCTTTAGCTATTCCTCTCCCGAAATACCAATCTCCGACCGTCGCAGCAATTGTCTGAAACCAAAACCGGATCCGGTTTTAAATAGTTGTAAACCGTACTATTAAAAACGACTGAGAATGAAGATCCGGTTTATACCTTATTGTTGATTCTCGGTGAAGTTGGAGAGAGCCAAGTATTCTGTGAAGCACTCTGACAATGATCGAAGCATGAGTTTATAAACATTCCTCCTCTCGTAAAATTTCTGAAGAAATTCATTAAAGCTCCCAACATATCTTTCCTAAACCCTGCAAAAAGAAAATCAAGATTTGTTCAGCCTTCGTTGTCACCGGTTCTGTAGCTCAAACCAAACCAATTCGGTTTTGAACCTTGGAGTGCATCGAGTTGATGTGGATTACATGCCGTCACATTAAGCTTACAACGAATCCAATGCCCGGTTCGATCAGCAGAAGGTGGAACCAGCCCATGATGGAACTATATAACGAGTGTAATAAACCGGCTTAGAAAAGTGTGATACTTATACTCCGGTTTAGAAAAAATAAACGGGTGAAATGAACTAAAGAGAACCTGGAATACATCGTAGGCTGAATTTAAGATGAAAAATGGCGTTTTAATAAATCGCAATACGTATTGCGGGAAGAAACACTGCAAAATTTAAGAATCCATGATAATTTTATAAGAAGAATAAAAGAGATTAAAATATATGTTAGCTATGAGATTGTACCAAAGATGGCTCCGGAAAGAATGCGTGTGTACACTTTGGATCGAGGTTTTTTTGTATATCCTGAAAAGTTTGTTCGCCTAATGTAAGAAAACTCAACAGTTGAGAATTTTAAAACTTGTTAGCAAGCAAGATTTCTCAGGTACCTGTAGAGACACAAGTTGTGAGTAAAAAGATCTCATTGTCCGGTTTGATGCTACGTCGATTCTGTTAAACCAATACAACCCGCATTTGTTATTACTTATTACCAAAGATGAAAAGTGAAAACAGTTACATTTTGATCAAGAAAACTTACGCGTCAAGAAAGAATCCAGCATCGCTCATGCACTTAACGCTTGCGGTTTTTGGCAAATAGCTCGTGAAGTTGTCACAATGTAGAAATGTAGACAAACCACCAGCTGAACAACCGGTTAGAAGAGCCTGTTTATAACAGATTGATTTTATGAAATTACTCGGTTTAGTATCAACACATTAATGATGTAGAGTCTACGAAGCAAATTAAACTAACAAATATGGAGATCACAGTTTTTTACTTGACTGATGAGTTTAATTTGGAAAACATTGATTTAGTTAGTGATACTAGACCAAAAGACCAAACAAAACCGGGATAAAAAAAGAAGAGATTTTACCTTGCGGGCTTTTGCTAAACCTTTGGGAAGAAGGTCACGAATGATGGCATTCCATATTCGTTGTCCTCTGAAATAAAGCAGTGACGTCTGTCATTGATTCAATCAGTAAAAAAAGAAAAAAAAAATTAGATCATCCGGTACGTTTTCCCGGTTTTTTAAAACGGTTCAAGAAAGAAAAAAAGAAATGGTTTAGAGCAGGAAACGAGTAAATTATTTTTACCCCGTTGCCAACTTGCGTATCTCCTGCGAATGAACCTCCGTCGCAATACCTCAGCCTAACTCTGTTCCAGTTGTAGAAATCTGATTACACAACAAAAATAAAACAAAAATACAACCAATGTGAATGATGTTTCAATAAAGCAAGACTCAAACTGGACTTCACATGTCCAGATGTAAAATTGACAGTTTTACCCTACTGGAAATAGATATCTAATCCGATGAAGCCATGAAGGTAGGTTAAATATGTAATATGACATGGGTTTAGGTAGGTCGATAGTGTGTGTGTGTGCTCGTAAGGAAGGGGACAACGACAAAAGCAAGCATGGAGAACAAAGCCATAATTTAATTACTAGAGAGGAAAGAGCCAAAATTATTATTTCTACACATCCCTCATAATTTATTAAAAAGCTGATTTTAGCAGAAACATTTGAACTGTCACGTGAAAGATAGACCATAACAACAAGCAAACATGTTCTTGTAAATAGTATATTATTAATGATTAATAGATTGCTGTTATTTATTCATTCATTATATAATGGACTTTGTTATTTAAGAGAAAATGAAAATGACCTGGATTCAAAGAGGCGTTATTGCTCAAGATTCCAGAGAAGACGATAGTTTTGCTCATAAATCGTGTCGAGCCTCGAAAAGTCTTTGATCTATCCACGCATGATGCTATATCATTGCACCATCCTCCTCCCTATGACATACAACTTAATTAAATGTGTTCATAATTTTGGATAAAAGAAAACAAACTATAGAGAGAAACAGAGAATGTTATAAATGCGCGTCATAAATCAGTTACTAGCATCGACTTATAATAATGCGTGTCCACTTGGTTACATCTTATTATTCTCTTGATTGGGTTTGATTACCGAAATAGTGTACAGAGTATACCCTACCCTTAATATATAGTGAACAGTAATTATTGTTAAATCGCTATTGTGATTAATGTTAAAAAGTTAGCTAATATTCTGTAGATAACTAATCATATACAAATATATATACTATATGTAAATATCCGAGGCTCTTCCATATAGCTGGACTCAATTATTTTTCCTACTCATGGAGTTGGTTACAACAGCAAAACTTTAAAGTAGTGAACCAGTTAAAGAAAAAATGGCTGGCTGATTGACTTCATCGCAGCAAATGACTGATTAGTTGATAAAATATTGTGTTACTAGTTCACAAGCATTTTAAGAATAAAAATGTATTATATGTTTGAATCATGTTCAAATATTCTAGAGTAAATATAATAATTTAATTACCTCAAACTGCAAAAGCCAATTGTTTGCTCCAGCACCGAAGCCTCTGTCTAAATTATACGCCGGTAAGCTACCATCCAAGCAAACTACAAAAGTTTATCAAAAAACGAATAATTTCAATATATTTTCAACGTAAAAAATAAAAGTATGATAGCGACTATGAAGCTATGAAAGAGTGTGGTTTATTTCAGATGATGTTGTTTGACTTGTGTCATTGTACCTACGCTTAAACCTATAATGTGCGGTTAAAACGTTTAGTGAACAGAGCGACAAAAATGATAAATCTAGAGAGAAATATCAATCTTCTTGAATTTCTAACATATATCAAGAAAAATAGTTATATGAACCAAAGTATATATAAACGACAAAAGAAGAAAGGAGCTGGAAGACATACAAGCACCAAGAGCAGCGGCGCCTCGAACCAGTGTCATGTTGATGCGCCGCTCAGGGTCACCGGAAACGAGCGACGGAGCTAATAAGGCCACGCAGAGGAGAAGAGCCATGGCCGCCGTTAGATCGAGAAGCCGCGTCGTCGTCTTCATTGTTTTCACTTTCTGACGCTTCAGTGGCGATGAAAACGGTTTCCTTGAATAAATTGATTAGGGGAATTAAGAGGGAAATGGAAACACTTATATTTATTATTTTCTTCTCTTTTTGTCTTGCAGCAATGGAAAACGTTTTATAATTTTAGGCTTGGAGCTAGATAACAGAGATGATACATAAATATAAGGAAATAATAATCTGGAGAAGAAAGGGACAAGAGAGGCCAAGTGGGCAGAGGGTAAGAGAAAGGGAGATATGTTATGATTTTGATAGGCACAAAGAAACTTTCTTCATCTTAAGAAGTTTGTTTCCTTTGTATGGAAAAAAGGTGGATTTGTTATAAATCTCATATATATACTTATGTATACACATATTATCTCATGGAGAGAGAGATAGCTTATTTTTCATGTGGCTGTGTGTGTAAAGAGAGACAGCTGACCAGAGATTAAATCTTTTTAACCTTTTTTGTTAATATTTACATTGAAAATTAAATTTCTTACTAAAGATAAAGGTCCACATTTGATTTCATTGTTAAAGGAAAAATAGTAAAGAAGAACTTTTAGCCATTGAATAGATGGGATAATATTTTTTACTTATTTACTCTGTTCAACAAAAGATTCATTTCAATTCAACATTCAGAATTCACTTACCTTTTTTTTTCCGTAGTTCTATTTGTTGCCTTTGTTGGTCACCATTCAAAATCTATTATTTCGATATTTGGATCTTACTGGTTTTGTAAAACTTCCTTATACTGAAATCTAATTCCAGTGACTTCCACAAGCACTTTACACTTCCACACGAGGGTGAAGTTTACTTGTGTGTAGAACAGAGCATAGGGCGAGATAGGGACAAACAAATAAAAATGAGAATAACTTTCTTTTATTTTTATATAAATGATTCCTAAGTATGGAGAAGTGTGGGTGGGTCACCAGCCGATGGATGAAAGTCCAAAATCAATCTTCTGGTTTAGGTTCACCGAATCTTCTTAATCTCTCTTTAGACAAAAAAAATATTAACGAATCTTCTTAAGTGTGTACGTTTTTTTGTGCTATTTTCTTGTAAGATCTCGGAATGTATTTAATAGATGTTAAATGGGAATATGTGAAATTCAATAAACATTTATTTACAATAGTTAACGAATCAACTGTGTTTTGTTTGATTGTTAGTTATGGTTGTTAGCCATTATGAGTTGGTTTGGTCCCTAGCGGTCCTCCTTGTTCTCCAAACGCAGATGATTTTTTTTCTTTGCCTTTGAAGTGAAGCTACCAAAATCTACCCAATCAAGTCCGAGAGGATGTGGAAATTTCTTAAAAATGGATGGAAAAAAACTCAGATTTTGGTCTTGAGAACATGATGGAACAATGACTACTCAAACATAGTCTATATAATTTGGTGCAAGGTTGAAAAAAATTGCATTAAACTCTAGGAGAAGTGATTTAAGTCTAGATAGAGATGATGAGTATAAATTGAGCTCAATACTCAACCAATTGTTAACCTAATGAATCGAAGGACATTTCGATCGAGCTAGATTTATGAATGAGATTATCATAGCAGTTATGTGGATTATGCAAAATTGCAAATCTTCTAAATTTGATGTAGAAACATTTAATTTGATTTCTTCAAAATCATTTTGCCAAAATTTTCGTAGTTTAATTTTAATTTTATTTAACAAAAAGGGGTTTTGAGACTATTTTGTTATAATTTATTTCAGTCTAAAACCTCTCTGGTTCACGGTGGCTCTCGGTTCATCGGAGAAATTAGGGTTCATATCGGCGTATAATCCACCGGCGAAGGGGAAAAAGAGCAGGAATGGGTACTTCGGTGCAGGTTACTCCCCTCTGCGGAGTGTACAACGAGAATCCTCTCTCTTACTTGGTCTCCATTGATGGCTTCAACTTCCTCCTCGACTGTGGTTGGAACGATCTCTTTGACCCATCACTCCTCGAGCCTCTCTCCAGGTTTCTATCCTTATTTCTCTCTGTGCTGGGGATTGAAAATCCAATTCGAATAACCGGAATGCCTCCGTATCGGATTACATACTTCGGAGGACATTAGCACTATAGATTGAGTTTTGATTTCTTCTGGGTTTCAGGGTTGCTTCTACTATAGATGCAGTTTTGCTTTCTCATCCAGATACGCTTCACCTCGGTGCTCTTCCTTACGCTATGAAGCAGCTTGGACTCTCTGCTCCCGTTTATGCCACTGAGCCTGTTCACAGATTAGGCCTCCTCACAATGTATGATCAGTATCTATCCAGGAAGGTGAATTTCTTTTTTGTTTTTTTTCATTCTTTAGTGGCAGGATTGATTAAGTTGCAGAGTTTTCTGCACTATGGTTGTGCTTATGCGATGATCTTACTCTTGCAGCAAGTCTCCGATTTCGATCTTTTTACGCTAGATGACATCGACTCTGCTTTCCAGAATGTGATCAGATTGACTTACTCACAAAATTTTCATCTTCCTGGTACGTGAATTTTTAAAATTCGTAGTCTTTCCAAAATCGACACACATTTGAGTTTTTGGTTGTTGAACTCAGTGATTTCTTGCTGTGCCTTCAATTTTTTATTTTATTTTTGCTCTACTAGGAAAGGGAGAGGGTATTGTAATTGCTCCTCATGTTGCTGGACATATGCTTGGAGGTAGCATCTGGAAGATAACAAAGGACGGGGAGGAAGTTATATATGCTGTTGACTACAATCACCGGAAAGAAAGGTATACATGTTAAGCTTTCACCTGATCTTGGCTTTAATTTTGCGTCCATAACATTAATATAAAGAAGCAGATTTGTGATATTGAAGTGTGCATCTTGAATTCAGGCATTTGAATGGAACTGGTTTACAGTCTTTTGTTCGGCCTGCTGTTCTGATAACCGATGCATACCATGCTCTTTATACCAATCAAACCGCGAGACAGCAAAGGGACAAAGAGTTTCTAGGTTGGTTTGTAGCTCTATATGTGTGATATCTCTTCTATTGTATCAATTAAAGCCTGCTTCTAACTGATGGGAACACGTGTGCATGTCTGCATTTGTAATTCAGATACCATTTCGAAACATCTTGAAGTTGGGGGCAATGTTTTATTGCCAGTAGACACTGCGGGTCGAGTCCTGGAACTGCTCTTGATACTTGAACAGGTGGGAGAGTCAATTCGTATGTACTATGTTTTCAGTTAATTCTTCAGCTATTTATGTAGATACTGAATATTGATGAAAACCTGCAGCATTGGTCACAGAGAGGTTTCGGCTTTCCCATTTACTTTCTCACATATGTGTCATCTAGCACTATTGACTATGTTAAGAGTTTCCTCGAGTGGATGAGTGACTCCATTTCAAAGTCCTTTGAGACTTCTCGTGATAATGCCTTCCTATTGAGGTAAATTTTCTTTTGATAATGTCTTATTTGTGCCGTCGTTTGCATACAATGACGGGAGAAATTAAACACGCAGGCATGTAACTCTCCTGATAAACAAGACTGATCTGGATAATGCTCCACCTGGTCCAAAGGTTTGTTTATAATTAACTCACTCATGTTTGGTCGTGCATTGATTTTTATCTTTTACGTCCTTTTTTCTATTTTTTTATACTGATATATCGAAGTGACTGAACTCCTTATATAGATTGTTCTTGCGTCCATGGCTAGTCTCGAAGCCGGTTTTGCTCGTGATATATTCGTGGAGTGGGCCAATGATCCCAGAAATTTAGTCCTCTTTACTGAAACAGGCCAGGTACGTTTTTTAGAGCCCTTGTTTGTTAAGGAACTAAAATGTACTGCATATTTGTAAAGACCTGATGGCAATTTCTTCCTAGTTCTGGTCAGAAAGTGGATATGGAATCATGATATATGAGAACCTTTTTTTTGTGTCTTTTGATTTTTTTCCTACTTATAGTCTGAATATTTCACCACCAATGTGTACAGTAGGCAAAGATTGAGTAACTTGAAAATTTCACCACCAATGTGTTTACGATTTGCAAGATGTGGCGGTTTGTAATCGAGCACAGAAAACCAAATTGCTAACTCTTTGTTTTAATTTTTGCTGTCATGTGTTTCTGTTTGCAGTTTGGCACTTTAGCTCGTATGCTTCAGTCAGCCCCACCTCCCAAGTTTGTTAAAGTAACCATGTCTAAGAGGGTTCCTTTGGCTGGAGAAGAGTTGATTGCATACGAAGAGGAGCAAAACAGACTGAAAAGGGAAGAAGCTTTGCGAGCTAGCCTCGCCAAAGAGGAGGAAACAAAAGCTATCCTTGGAGCTGATGATAATGCAAGTGAACCTATGGTCATAGATACCACGACTACTCACGATGGTAATTTTTTTCTTAAGTTATAAAAAAACTTTTAGTAGCCTTGGATATTCTGAGGGCTGAGGCCTATCACTTCTTATTTTTTCTATTGAAGTGTATATAATTGAAATGGATATGCATACGGTACTCCCTGTAATGTATTGGTTAGCTGGCCTTAGGAGGCATTTATGTGGTTATCTTGGAGTGAGGTATAAGCTAGATTTAGAAGCCTTATGATACATTTCTGGGTAAAATTTGTTTTCAGTTTTTCAGAGCCTCACAATATGAACCCTTTTCAATTAGACTTCCTGTTGCCTTTGTTGATGGTTGTTCTTGGCTTGTCACGAAGTAGTGTCCGCACCTAACTTATCACATTTCTGACGACACATGCAGTTGTTAGTTCTCACGGGCCTGCATATAAAGATGTGTTGATAGATGGATTTGATCCCCCGTCCAGCAGCCTTGCTCCAATGTTCCCATTCTTTGATAACACAGCTGAATGGGATGAATTTGGGGAGATAATTAATCCAGATGACTACAAGATCAACGATGAAGACATGGACCGAGGAGCAATGCATGTACGTTCGTTATAATATGTTTTGTACTTTTATTTTGTAGGAGCTTCCTATAAAATCTTGTGAAGCTTGTCAAATTTGTAATATAAAATCCTATTTCAGTCAGGTGATGTTGATGGAAGGCTTGATGAGGCAACTGCTAGTCTCATGCTTGATACAAGACCTTCGAAAGTCATATCAAATGAGCTCATTGTAAGTAGACTCTAATACAAACTTCATAAGAGTTCTCTATCCGTCTAGATAGCAAGACATTTGGTCGCAGCTAATTCTCTCATTTGTTGTCCCTTTTCTTTTCTTGAAACGCTTGTTAGTATTTTTGATTCCTTATAAATGATTTAGCTTGATCTTATGCTTTTGTGCAGGTGACTGTTAGTTGTTCGCTTGTTAAAATGGACTACGAAGGTCGTTCAGATGGTCGCTCAATCAAGTCTATGATTGCGCATGTTTCACCTCTTAAACTCGTACGTCACAATTTTTTTCCCTCTCTCCTATATGTATAGTGTTAAGCATTTAATCATATAAAACTTCCAACTGATGTAATCACGTACCTTGTGAAGGTTCTGGTGCACGCAATAGCTGAAGCTACAGAGCATTTGAAGCAACACTGCTTGAACAGCATCTGTCCACACGTGTACGCTCCTCAAATAGGGGAAACCGTGGATGTGACATCTGATTTATGTGCTTACAAGGTAGAAATCCTGAAACTAGGAACATCCTCTTCACTCTTCACACATGGGTTTTGAGTTCTGCTTGAATTAACTCTTCCCCTCCATAATACATCAGGTCCAACTCTCTGAAAAGCTGATGAGCAATGTGATCTTCAAGAAGGTACCTTTTGTTCTCCATGTTTTTTTTTTTCAGATTCTCACCCAATGTCTCTGAATCATGTAACATTATAGAAAATGTTGAAAAATATCAGCTGGGAGATTCAGAAGTAGCTTGGGTGGATTCTGCAGTAGGGAACACAGAGAGCGACACAACGAGGTCTCTGTTACCACTGCCAAGTGCTGCTTCTCCGCACAAGCCTGTTCTAGTGGGTGATCTGAAAATAGCAGACTTCAAGCAGTTTCTGTCAAGCAAAGGTGTACAGGTAGAGTTTGCAGGTGGAGGAGCTTTACGTTGTGGTGAATATGTCACTCTACGAAAGGTCGGTCCAACTGGTCAGAAGGTAAACAAAGCAAAGACTGCATATTTTCTTACAAATCTTTCTGCTGTTTCTAAACCATTGAAGCATATCAATCACAAAATGATGGTTTTCTTCAGGGTGGAGCATCAGGACCACAGCAAATTCTGATAGAAGGACCCTTGTGTGAAGACTATTATAAAATCCGAGATTATCTCTATTCTCAGTTTTACCTCCTCTAACGATGATATATAAGAGAGAGAAACATATGATGCTTCTTCTTCTTCTGTTTTTGACTGTTTTTATCTGTTTCTGTATGTTTCAACTCCTTTTAACTCGTGTAATCTCGTAATATCTATAAGATTCATTCATTTAAATAAAATCCAAGTCTCCTATCCTTTTTTTGTCTTTTGTCATTTTACTATAAAGTTTAAAAACTTTTAAGGCGCAAAAGTAAAAAGCAAAAATATCTTACAGAATCTTGAGTTATTTACACTAAGGAGCACTTTTCTCACTTTCCTATCATTAATAGGCACTTTGTGAATAAGGTGCACTTTTCTCTGTTTTCGATGAAGTTTTGTACCATGGATGACCAAAAATACCCTTAATGAGATATTGTGCGTAAAGAGAAAAAATGAATTTAGCCGGTGACCGTAAAATAGATGCCACAGTTATTTTCCTTTTTATAAACCAATGCTGCCGTCACCAGATTTGTTTATGGTGTTCTTCCACAACGATTTAAAAGGAGGAATTGCTTGGTCACCGTTAGTGATGGAATGAAACCAAAACAACGGGAGGTGAGACACTTGTAATTTCATGGGTTATTATTCAGATTTGAGAGTTTTTCAAATAGAAACTGAAACAAGTTTGGTTTGTCGGGTAACTCGGGTTTGTCAAGAATCAGATCTGGGTTTTGGTAGATTCGAGACATATCAATGGTTTTTGTGTATATGAAAACTTGACAGATGTAAAGTATTGATCTAGTGAAGAGTTGTCTTGTATCCAAATAGAAAGTATAATGTGGATACTAATTTAAACAATAGAAAAATTAATTTGTTGTCCCAATTCGGGTTTGGCTCAGAACGTGCAAACATGTAAAAGAGCATTGGGCATGAGTTCGTGTACACACAAACAAAATGAGCATTCTGACCAATTAATCGTATACATCATGTAGTATCCACTAAAATTGTTAACTATGATCTTTCGAAACCATCAATGCATATCACCATCAATGCATATCCAACATTTGTTGTCCAGTACAATGTGTCCATTGCTGTAACCATCAACTTTATCCATGAAAACGTGAACATGTAAGTAACCATCAATGGACGAACGTCTCCACCAATTTAAAAAAATCTTTGGTATTCGAGTAAGATCCATTCTCAACATATGGACAGCCTACTGACATTGTAACTTATATCTTAGTTGATATGAACTAAACCGATATAGGACTATGGACGCATTCTAATGGACCTATTCATATGGACAGTCTCCTAAAAGAATCAATCATCCAACAGAACCAGATGTTATATGTAAGTGTTATACATCCATATGGATACAAACAGATGGATATAATTTTATATCCATATAAATATAGGGGTTTGAAAAATATATAGTATGTATGGAGGTGGATACGTCAATATGGACATACAATAGTGGAAACTTATGGACGAGATCCTGTGGATGATCCTAATGAAATTGAAATTGTATGTTCAAATACTGGTGAAGGAAAGTTGATCTCTGACTTTCTGATTGTTGTTGTTGCCATTAAAAGTCTTCTCAGATTGTCATGTTTCTCTTTGTACATATAACAAATACAAGTGCTTTGAGTTCATAGAATGAACTTCAAAATTTATAAACGGATGTGGACCATGTGGTGCTTTGTGCTTTGTACTGTCAAAATCATTACAAGAACCATTATGATGAACCAATATAACAAAATGGACACACCCAAATGGAGAACTTTGGACAGACAAAATAATGTGGACATTCGATAGTGTAAATGAACCATTATAGCAGAAAACTGGATACATCCAAATGGACAATCTCATATGGACAAATTAATGGTCCTTTAGTAGTGTGTGGTTTGTATTCTTTGTGGCACTGTCTTGATTATCATAAACTCTTAAGAAGTTATCTGGATTTAGTTAAAACTTGTTTTGTGAATCTAAGTCTGCATTCTATGCTTTGATCATTTCAAAACTCTCATTTGGATTTGGCTTTGAAACTTCTTATATCATAAAGTGACATAGTAAAAGGAAACAACAATCTTCTCGTACGTAGCCAATCTGAACCAAACAAAACAGAATAGTAGATAAATAATATATCCATAAAACAGAGAGTCTTGTATGAAACATCCAAATGGAGAACTTCATATGGACACATTAAGACAAAACAAAAGCAAGACATATGAAGATTGTACATAGGTTTGACTCTGCAGCACGATGTAAATACAAAATTTGACAAAAAACCATATGGATAAACTGTTATGGACAATGGCGTATGGAAAGGAAAACATTAGAAAAAGCAAAGATATATGGACACACTTGTTCACAGTTATGGACCTATATACGTGGATATTTATCTGTGTACAGCAAAAATGGTTTGAGTTGATTGAGTTGTATTTATCTCCTCTAAAGCTTGTATTTGAGTTGCTTAAAAAGAAAGAATAAACTTAGTTTTTTCTCCTGATGCGTCTCTAGAACACTAAGCTGCTTTGTAATGTCCTTGTTTACATAAAAATTAGAATAGGATAAAAAGTGCAACATCAAACCGTGGGGATATGGATATAGCATATAGGTGTAAAGTGTTAGATATACATATGGATATAGGAGTATGGACATGGTCATATGGATACGATCCCGTGAAACATGCCTACGAGATGACCCGTAATTTCATACCCATATGGATATTGAGTTATGGACACAATGATGTGGATAGCATACATATTTGAAAGCTCTCGATGAACAAACCAATATGGACAATGCGCTTGCTCCACTTTCCCATGCCTCACTCTGCAAATTTAAAGATTTGGAAGGGTAAAATCGATTCTGATTTGGTAATCAAAGATTCAATAAGAAGGAAGATCTAGGAACCTGATAGTGCAGATTATTAGTTGGTGAAGCATATGGAGCAGAAGAAACCTCTCCGAAACTTGAAGATAAATCAGGTAACAAATATTAGTAAAAGCAAATCTTACAATTGAGATAAATCAAAATTATAGCAGATCAAAAAATCAAATCTGGTTACAATGAGTACCTTCCACAGTGACGGTGGCTGGTGCTTTGAGAGCCGGTGAGGACTCCATGTGGTGGAGTATGGAGGCATAAAAGAGAAGGTGGGTTATGACGACGGAGTCTGTAGGCCATATAAGAAAACATGAACAACTCAATTTATGGGTTTGTGGTGATGACGTGAAATCAGAGATGGATTGGGTTATCAATGGGGATAAAGCGAACATAAATTTTGGGTAATTGATGGCGGAGGTGAAGAAGCTGTCGCCGGCGGAAGGTAAACAAGCTGTAATTTTTTGTGTGAATAATTGAAAAGCATAAAGGTGAAAATGTGTGAGCGAGAGAAGGTGAAAGATGACAGAAGGTTATTGTTGTCTTTGCATGTGTTGAAAGTGCACCGTAATCAGAAAGTGCCTTTCTTTATAAACTGTAAGTCTAAAAGTGTGTCCCAATGTAAATAACTCCAGAATCTTCTTCATTCAGTTGGTTCTTGGCTTATGCTGACGTGGCATTTAGCGTTTACTTGATAAACCAATTGCTAATAAGCAGTCTTAATTAAATCATAACGAAAGATTTAAAAAGAAGCATTTTAATCAGCTGGTTAGGTGTGTGTGAGAGTCTTTGTGTGAGGCTCATCACTCCAACAACGCTTCTCTCTCTCTCTCTCGATTTCGATTCGATAACGAAGAAGACAAACCACCAACACAAACGCATATGATATTATTCTAATTCTAATCCTAAACCCTAAAGTCCTTCTTCTTCTACCCATTTCTCTCCAGATCTTTCTTATCTTCTCTCTCTTGCTATCAACCAACCATGGCTTCTGCTACCGCCACGTGGACACCTAACTCCCTCCAGCTCCGTCTCGCTTTGAGCTCCTCCGTTCGCCGGAGATCGCATTCCGGTTACCTACGACCTTCTCGTCTCGGCAGGAAATCCGGTTGTGGAGTTGTATGCGTTTCGCAGAAGCCAGGAGTTGAGGCGTGGACCGGATCGGATTCGTCAAAGCCGCCAGCCGATGGTGGTTTGGCTGGGTGGGACGATTCCGATAACAATGACAAGCCTTCCAGAGCTGCGAAGAAGAGTTTGATTGAAGGTATATGCGAGATATTTGATTTTTTTCAGTTCTGCTCTTTCGGATTTTCCGAGGTTCGTTAAGAACAAGTTAATTCAGCTGGTGAATGTGTGGTTACAAATTGAAAATGCATGTTCAATGAATACAGATTGAGCTAATATTGTGATCTTATAGAGGTTTACTCACAATCTCCATTTCTCTAAGTCTAAAACGTTTTTTCGCCAAATGGTACATTGTGTGTTAGGACTCCTTCAGCATTTTGATTTCTCTTTTGTGAAGCTGTATGTAGTTTACCGGTTATCTGGTGGACTAATAACAATCTGCAAGTAGTTTGCTTTCAGGTGTAGTTGGGGCTGGAGTGGCTGGAGTCTTTGTGGTTGCTGCGCTAAGCTTTGCGATAGCATCTTTCAACAAACGTTCTACTCCCAGTAAGTTCGCAATCCTTTTCTTTTGTTAGACTTACAAGTCAAACGATCGTCTTTCAATGCTACACTCAAGCTCACTCGATTGTTGATGTGTATGGATATTGAATTTTGAGCGCAGGACTAAAACAGGAAATGCAGCCGTTGACTTCTCAGCAAGAAAGCGTGCTTTTATCATCTGATGAAACTCCTAATGATGAAGTCAAGGTAGCTAATAGTGAGGAAACTAGTCTGAAGGACGATGATAAGAGTATAGAAAACAGTGATGTAGGCCAGCTAGGTGAAGACACTGAGAATTCTTCATTTGATGATGGAGCAGATGGCACTGAAAACATCACTTCCCAAAATACGCCTGAAGCAGATTTGATCATCGATCTGCAATCTGATCCCGATACAGCAGAAAGTGAGAAAGTAAACACTGAGGCTATTCTTCTAGATTCAGAAAGTAGTAATCTTGCTGAAGCGGAAGATCCAGATAGCCTTCCAAACACTGAACCAACAAATGTGTCTGATTTAGAAAATCATGTTAACAATCAGAAGGAAGAATCCCTGTCTTCTTTCTCTGACATCGATGCTGATGCAGCCACCGAGGCTGTAACTATTGGCGTTTTGGTTTCTTCACAATCGGATTTGACTTTGGATACTGTGCCACTAAATGATACGGAAACAGCATTCTCTACTGTAGCTGAGGAGCTGCCTGAGGTAAATGGAACACCCGAGTACATAGATACAGCCAAAGAAATTGAATCTTCAGAAACTCCTGTGCCAGAATCAGCATATTTGTCAACAGAAGAACTAAACGTGAACAGTCAAGATGAGCTTGGCGACAACGGACTGTCTTTGGAAATACCGAATGGTGCAAGTGCATTTTCTTCCGCAGGAATTCCTGCACCCTCCATTTCTTTTCAAGTAGTTCCTGGAAAGATTCTTGTCCCCGCAGCTGCAGATCAGGTTCAGTGTCAAGCATTTGCAGCTCTGCAAGTTCTGAAGGTAATATTTTTTTTTGTTATACTGTGCAGAACCGCTATGTTTTTTGATGGTGACATGGTGTAGAGCTTTGCTTCGGTCTGGCACTTGTAGATCTTGCAGCTTATCAATCATCTTTTTCCTGTCTTTCAGGTCATTGAAACTGACACCCAGCCTAGTGACCTATGTACTCGCAGAGAATACGCCAGGTGGTTGGTTTCTGCCAGCAGCGCGTTATCAAGGTATAGTTTTATGATAATATTTTTGTATCTGGAGCGGTTAAAATGTTCATCTTTGGTATTAAAAGGTGAAACTGATACAGTAATGTGTGTGTTTCCAACTCTTTTTTGCAGAAACACGACCTCAAAAGTGTATCCTGCTATGTATATAGAGAATGTTACTGAGCTTGCTTTTGATGATATTACTCCGGAAGACCCTGATTTTCAATCCATTCAAGGTGAACGAAGTCTGATTTTTTACTCTACCCAAAAAGAAGATAACCGGTGAAGCTAAATTCTGTTTACTCTTTTCAGGGTTGGCAGAAGCAGGACTTATCACGAGCAAGCTTTCTAACCGCGATTTGCTCAACGATGTTGAAGGCACATTCTTGTTTTCCCCTGAAAGGTTTGCTCGTTGCTGGAAACTCATCTTGTCAAAAATAAATTCTGCATTTTTATATACTGAATCGACAGTAATATATAAATAAATGTTTTACTGGTACGGCTGCCTTATTTCTCTTCATGACGTGAGTGCAATGTTTTCAATAATCTCATGAAACAAAACGGCATAAAATTATTGTTCTTTCTGTTGTTAGAGTATTATGGTATTTTGTACTTTGACAAAGCCTTTACATTTCATAATAAGCTCATTTCTAAAAGTTTAAGCTTGTTTCTTGTCAACGCAGCCTTCTTTCGCGCCAGGATCTTATAAGCTGGAAAATGGCCTTGGAGAAACGACAGCTTCCAGAAGCTGATAAAAAGGTTGCATATCAAGCTTGGTTTTCTTCACTCCTTCTCATAATCTTACAGATAATCATTAATTCACTTCATCGTGGCAGATGCTATTTCAACTCTCGGGTTTCATTGACATTGATAAGATAAACCCAGATGCATGGCCTGCCATTATCGCAGATTTATCTACTGGGGAACAAGGAATTGCTGCACTAGCATTTGGTATGCGCAGATTTCATATATTTAGATATGTCTTCTTTGCACAATCATGGCCTTATTGTATAATGCACACACCTTTTTTAGGTTGTACAAGATTGTTTCAGCCTCATAAACCCGTCACCAAAGGCCAAGCTGCCATTGCTCTCTCAAGTGGTGAGGCTTCTGAGATAGTCATTGAGGAACTGGCACGCATCGAAGCAGAATCCATGGCTGAGAAAGCGGTGTCTGCGCATAACGCCCTCGTTGCAGAGGTCGAAAAGGATGTCAACGCCAGCTTCGAGAAAGAGCTTTCCCTGGAACGAGAGAAGATTGAAGCTGTGGAGAAAATGGCGGAACAGGCGAAACTGGAGTTGGAGCAGCTGAGGGAGAAGAGAGAGGAAGAGAATCTGGCATTGTTGAAAGAACGAGCTGCGGTTGAGTCGGAAATGGAGGTGCTCTCAAGGTTAAGACGTGACGCTGAAGAGAAGCTGGAGGATCTGATGAGCAACAAGGCAGAGATATCATTTGAGAAGGAGAGGGTCTCCAGTCTTCGAAAAGACGCTGAAGAAGAGAGCCAGCGGATTTCGAAATTGCAGTATGAATTGGAAGTTGAGCGTAAAGCCCTGTCCATGGCCAGGTACTTCAACTATACATTTTGTTTATAATGCGAAAGAACCTAATCTGCATTCTGATATCTATTTAGTGAGTGTTATAAGCGTTTCGATTTGTCCATTACCGTATTTCGAGTGGCTGATTCATCATATGTTGTTTTGTTCAGATCATGGGCCGAAGAGGAAGGAAAGAGAGCTGGAGAACAAGCAAGAGCCTTGGAAGAAGCTAGAAAGCGATGGGAATCAAATGGGCTAAGAGTCATTGTTGACAAAGACCTACAGGAGAAGAGCAGTGGAGAGGTAGACCAAAGCTTACTGCTAAACACCGCAGAGCGATCTTCGGTTGAGGAAACTGAGGAGAGGGCACAAACACTAATGGAGAAGCTGAAGGAGATGGCGAGGTCCGTGGGAGAAAGATCACGGGAAGTGATCTTCATTGTGATGGAGAAAGTCCGTTCATGGATTATGGTTTTGAAAGAGTACGTAGAGAGTTTGGGGAAGCGAGCAGGGGAAATGAGAGAGGCAGCCATTGTTAGGGCAAAAGGAGCAGCAGAGGAGGTTGAGAAAGGGACAGCTCAGGTGAGCGATAAGGTGAAGAGAATGGCTGAGGAGTGTAGAGATGGAGTTGGCAAGATTTCTCAGAAGTTCAAGACCTAAGCAAATTCTTAAACCTTTGCTCTCCTTTTTTGTACTTTTGGTTTTTTGAAATAAAAATAATGGTATATGGCCATTACAGTTGCAGTATTGGTCAGTGATGATCAATCAGAGTTTAAAATTGTATCATTTTGTAATCTTTGTTATGTACTTATGTGGTTACTTACACAGTTACACTTCAGTGCAATATTTTACAGTTGCCTTGCTGCTCAGACCTAAAAACAACAGTTTATGATTCACTGCAAATTTTGCACACAAAAAAATGATTCACTACAAATAATATCCCAACGATGTCATCTTTTCTGATAATTAACTTTTCCATCTTTCGATTTTTTTAATATGGTTCACTTTATTAGGATTTTTAATTCTCGATCACAGTTATAAATTTTCCTACACACAACATCTGACTTTAATAAACCGAATCCATTTGAGAAGTTGATACTAAGGAAGCGAACGAATTATCATATTTAATAAGATATCAAGTATATAAAAACTTCTGATAATCTCTTCCATAAAATTAAAAAACCAAAGTAGTACATGAAATAACTGGAGATCGTTTGAAAAAAGAAAAAAAAAAAAACTGGAAATCTAAGGATTGATAAATCCCACGGATAAAAAGAAAAACAAGTCTTGCACAAAATCAAGAACCAGAAGAAGAAATCAAGAATGATTAAAAGACAAAAGCCTCTTATTTCTTCTCTTCCTTCTCAGCCTCAGCGGCTCTTTTGGCTCTGGCACCGGCATGACGCTTGTTTGTACGCTCAAGACGGATCTTGTCATAAGCCTTGAATGCCTTCATGTCAGCAGTCAACTTCACAAGCTCCATAGGGGCCTTCTCGCTAACAATAGGCATGTAATCTCCTTGGACTTGAGTTGCATTAGCAAGCTCCTCTGCTGTAGAATCACCAGCCTGCAAAACAAAAAGAGTTCCCAAAAAATTGTTAAATCTATAAAACATGAAATTCAAAGCATCCCATATCTCAAAGTACTGCTCTTACCTTGACTTTACGGGATCGGCGAGGGAAGACAACCAACTTAGCCTTGTAAGTCTTCAACCTCTGGACATTGGACTGAAGACCATCCAACGAACGGTTCTTGCGACGGTGATCAACTGCAATTCCGATGGTTGGAGCCAACTTCTTTGCGATACCAGCAGCCTGATCAAATCCAAGAAACAGAACGAAACATTTAGTTTTCATCTTTATCATCTTCAAAAGAGAACCAATAAAGAACTGAGACATTTCACAGACCTTGAGCTCTTCAAGAGTGAAACCTTTCCCGGCTCTGACTTTCATGTTGTACTTAAGAGTCTGGCCATGAACGACAGGGCGGAGAGGTCCAGCGGTAGGACGAGGGAAGATCTGCACAGCCTTCTTCTGTCTAGCTGAGATATCACATCACACAAATAAGTTTATTCAGAGACTATGACATGGCTAAACTTAAAGTAAAGAATTACAGTAGAAAGATTAGAGGGCATAGATTCACTAACCAACTCTTCTCCTGGTTTTCCTGGCGGGTTGGTTAAACCATGTCTTCACATAGTTTTGCCAGTGCTTCCTGAAGTGCGAGTTCGGGATTTCATTGTTGTGCTTCATCTTCTTCTCTTAGCTACACAAAAAAATAAAAAAGCAGAGCTCAACATTGGAACAAGACTGTGTATGAAAATGCACTTTAGCTACACACATACACACCAAGAAGAGAATCAGGCATTTCAATCATATTCAGGTACAATACAATCCTTAACCACATTCTACGCAAGACTTATCGTACCAATTTAGATTCATAAACATAATCAATCAAACAACAGTAAAACACAGTGATTAACAAAATCAAACTGGAAAATATCTTGAAGAACGAGATTTTCCGATATACTCAAATGGCTCAAATTGCAAAAGAACAATATCAACAAAGAAATACTCAGGATAAACTGAAAAGCAGCACAAAAACAATTCTACAGGCGTGCAAAGTATGATACTATCACGGCTAAGCTCGAAATCTATAAAATTGCGGATTTAATACTGATCAACACACACGAAAGAAAGCGCTCGTATTCAGTAAGAGAGTGGTATCGATTGATCCAGAGACTGATTGAAAAGTTAGATTCCGAGTTCATACAATGACGAAAATTTGTAACAGAAGCTAATACAGATGACGAAGAGAGAAGATGAAAAAGAGCTCAGAGAGAGAGACTCACAGTAGCTCCTCCTTCCTGCAGCGGCTGGACAGAAATGTCTAGGGCTTCTGATAAATACGATGTGGCGTTGATAAAGAAGAGAGAACCCTAATTGCAGGCGAGTTTCTTTCTTACTATTGGGCTTCACAATTCTAATATGGGCCTTGTGCAGTAACGACGAAAACGGACGTTTAACATGTGAATCAGTGGATATCGGTTTAGACTTTTCGGTTAACAAATTTAACATGTTGTCGTTTTGGTTAGCATACTTCAAATGACGTTAGTTACTTTTCTCGTTTTTGGTCAGTAGGCTTTTTGTTAAGACACGTTAAGTAGGTTTTGGCCACTACTTAAAAATTGAGTACCCAAAAACAATGCAATAGCAAATGCATGTAACTGATGTAAAAGAAAGCCAACTACTAGTGTTGTCAAAGAGCCAATTACTAGTTGTAAATGATTTATTCTTGGTTTAAGCTTAATGGAAGCAAACGGAAAATGTATTTGATTATTGCTTGACTTGACTTATTTTTACTTCTTTAGATCCTTACCAGAAGTAATACTTCTCCACGATCAACGTGCGATGCTCTAAATTACAAATCAAGGAAACCAATTAGTGTGACGCCACAAGGCACACACAGTAGTTTTATTTATCAAATGGACACTACAATATGATTTTTTTTTTTTTTTTGTTTTTTCCAAATTATAGAATCGGCAAAAGAGAAATTTTCTTTCCTGTGTCGCCCATTTTAGTATATACACCCATAAGGCCATCACCCATATGTATATGAAACATTTTAAAATATATTTGCTAGAAAATGCTTGAACTAATATAAATACCACTTATTTGCAAAGATACACTAATCTATCAAAATCAAGAAAATAAAACATCAAGACAAGTGTCAATTGTCAATTATCTTTCGTTTTGGCAACAGCAAGTATCAATAACCAGCTTGCTCGAATAGCCATGTCTAAAGTCCTCCTTCTCTTCATCTTTTGTTTGTCAGCTTTGGTTGGATCAATCAATGGTAGTAATCTTTTTCTTTTGTGGATAAAGAATATGTTATTACATTTTTAAGAAAAGAAAAAAAAGTGGTAATTAATAGTATCACTACATATATCAAATCCATTTCTATACAAACTCTTGTATATAATTTACAAAATATAACGATAACTTATTCAGGACAAACGGGGTGTGGATCAACTCCTGCGACGACTAATTGGAGGGATCGGATGGACTCCTACGAGGAATCACAACGTCAAATGGGAAGGATAGGTTTGGAGTGCCAAGGCTACACAGGTGGTTCGGGCTCAGTGTCTATTGCTGCCATCTTTCTCGACCTCTTTGCCTTGCTTTTCATTATTGGTGTCGCCATCGGCATCTGGTGCGTGTGTGTCCAGAGGCAAAAGGCTATAAACGCAGCCAACCTCAACCACGTTTCTGGTTAGTAACACGCAAAAATACAATAGTTAACGAATTCCGGTTGGTCTTAGTGTTGGTAACGATTTGGAATTAAATACAATGGTGATCTTTTACTATAAGGTCAAGTGGTGGGAGCTAGTCAGGTGGCTCATGGAATTGATCTCAAGTCGTATCCACAAACCACGACCGTCCAAAAGGGAGATCCTAATTACCAAGTTTGATTTAATGTTATCACAAATATGGATAACAATAATTAATTATCGGTTATTCATTGGTTATATGTTTCCCACTATGCCAACTGCCAAGTAATCTTTTGGTTTGCTTAATTTTCTCTCTTCAGTTTTACTTTTAGACTGAACAAACATTTGCGTATCAAATTTTATCTTCTCTCTATATCTCTTGGGTCATGCATGTTCAAAGTTTACACTCACTCAAAACGACACCGTTTCGAGGTGCAAGCTGAAATTAGAGACAACAGAAGCAAGCAAATAATCCAACATCATGTTCATATAGTGCTAATCATGTTCATACTATAACAGTTTGCGATAATTTGTAACGGAATTGGCACTTTTTTTTATGAAGTAATCGGCCATTTTCTCATATAACTCGCAGTCTTTTCTACTTAGATATTGAATTAAGACGAAACTTCTCAAAAGTTGAGTACACAAAATGATATAATAGCAAATGAATGTAACTGATATGAGAAAGCCAACTACTAGTTGTAGTTAATCATTGGTTTAATCTTAATGGGAGAAACGGAAACTATAATGATTATTGCTTGACTTGACTTATCTTTAGTTCCTTACCAAAAGTAATCCTTCCCCACGACCAACGTACGATGCTCTAAATTATAAATCAAGGAGACCAGTATTTGTACAAGTGAGACTACAGAGGAATACCCAAAATGTATAGTATAAAAAAAAAAAAAAAAAAAAAAGAGAGAGAGAGAAGAATATGTCTTTTAAAACCCACAAACGTCATTTTTCTAGCTAGACTTTTCAATTGTTTTGTTGTTGTTGTTGTTGCTGCTTATAACCCATTTTAAATCATAACTATGTGTTATGGATAGTATATGGAAAATACGAAAAAGACAACTAAGCCGAACCTAATACTTGTAAATAAAAAGTAAATTATTTTATGAGTTGGAGGTTGGCCTATTCATAGCCGAGCTGACTCGCAAGTTTTAGGTCCATTGTAATTTATGTGACTAAATCATGATACCACAAATTTAAACCACAACTATATGATACTTTTTTTTTGCTTCTTCAACAATCAACACTAGTTCTATGCCTCTTGTAATATCTCATACCGATGGATGGAGAAAGTTAGACCAGTGAAAAACAAACCAACATAACTGAATATTTTTCTGTAAAACAATGTACCATTAAAAAAAAAAAGAACACAATTTTTTAGTATATGAATGAACTTTTATTTTATAGTTAATACTTAATACGTAACTGAATCATCTTTAGACACATATTTGAATGAGAATGACATAATGCCAAATATGTCATCCGAGTTGATGTAGAGAAAATATATAAATTTTTTGACTTGGTATCTAGTATTTTTTTTTGTTTCTTTTGTCTTATGGACACTACAATATGATTTTTTTTTTTCCGAAATTAGAATCGGCAAAAGAGAAATCTTCTTTCCTGAGTATACACCCATAAGGCCATGACCCATTCATCCATTTGCTAGAAAATGCTATAATTAATATAAATACCACTAATTTGCTAAGATACACTAGTCTATAAACATCAATTAGACAAGTATCAACTATCTTTCTTTTTGGCAACGACAAGTATCAATTACCAGCTTGCTGGAATAACCATGTCTCGAGTCGGCCTCCTTCTCTTCATCTTTTGTTTGTCAGTTTTGGTTGGATCAATCGAAGGGTACGCAACTGGTTTAGGTTCGATCTCTGGTATTGCTGGTCTTATACTAGGCCTTTTAGTGGCTACCATGTTTTTCGTTTTCCTCTGCGTGATCCAATGCTTGTGTGCCCGGTGGACAAAGTCTAAAAACGACGCAGCCAACCTCGTTCACGTTTCTGGTTAGTAATACGCATAAATACAATAGTTAACAAATTTCGGTTGGTGTTAGTGTTGGTATAACGATTTGGAATATGATGATCTTTACTATAAGGTCAAGTGGAGGGAGCTCATGGAATTGATCTCAAGTCGTCTCCACAAATCAAGAAAGTCCAAAAGGGAGATCCTTATTACCGAGTTTGATTTGTCACAAATATGGATAATATATAATCCTTAACTATCGGTTAATTATCTATTTGTTGTATATAATCTTTCATAATCCTTAAGAAAGCAATGAATGTAATCAGACAATCACTATACCACAAGGTCCACATAAATCATTGGCGTTCATGTAAATGTCCCCCGTCACGAATATGGACACACCAAGACAACGTAAAGGATATCTGAGTCATATTCATGAGGATTTTAAACGTAAAGGCATCGTTCCATTCATCGAAAATCATTTCCAATCTCTCCCAATCGACAATCTAAACACAAAAACTTTCTGAAAATAGGGTTCTATAATGAGTTAAGGGAATTTACTCAAGATGAAAATGAATGTAATTGTTTATTTAACAAACAATGTCGTTTTGAACCCTACATGACTACATGTGTTGTTTTGCTTTCGTTTAACGATAATGTAGACGAAGGGTGTTAGAGCCATTCAATATTAAGTTCAAAGTCATATATGCATTACCATTTCGTTTTCAAGATCAACAACAGAATCTTGGTAACTGGTCTTCTTGCCTAGGCTGCTTCCACAGAAGATATATATTCTTCTGAACTTTGACTATAGCAATTCATAGGCATATTACACACTTCTAAGATTGAAACCATTGTAGAAAATATCTATTACCTAGTATTCAATCCGGTTGCAGCACTAACACCAACATGTAAGAAAAACATCTCACCTTTTCCTAATGATGCTCAATGGCTAAGAAACCCACGAGAGATGCTTCAAGTATGAATGTATGATTAAAATCTCAATCACTATGAAAGAGTATATGGACCTGCATTGAAATTGTAACCAACCAAATAAATTCATTGGAACATTCTTGCAAGCATCAAATTGTATCTTAGATTAATCCCAATGTAAAAGCCAAAAATCATCGTCTACCATTTAAGGCTTTGCCCTTTTTCATTTGTTTCCTTCTACAATATCAATCCAAATTAAAATTGACTAATCACTTGATTTCTGAACCAATATAATGGATTATGTGGGAGGACAATCTTATGAGCTTTGTTTATCTTCTGAGAATGACATGTAAATATATAAAAAAAGTAATCCAAGCTAATATAAATGAAAAAAAAAATATATATATATATATATATATAATTGGTTAAATAAGTAGCTAGTCTTATTTAATTATCTAATGGACACTATCATATGACTTTTTTTTTTTTTTTGCCAAGTCAGAATCATCAAAAGAGAAATCTTCTTCTTTCCAGTATACATAAAGCCACGACGCACATGTACAAAAATTTCATCTATTTATCAAATATGACATAATGCTGCATACGTAATCTGAGCTAATATAAATGAAAAAAAAATACAAAATTGGTCAACTAACTAGTTTTGTTTATCAAATGGACACTCACACCAGATTATGATTTTTTCTTTCCAAATTAGAATCAGCAAACGAGAAATCTTCTTCCCAAATTTTAGTATACACCCATAAGGCCATGACCCCATATGTATAATAAACATTTCAAATACATTTGCTAGAAAATGCTCGTCAGTTAGTATAAATACCACTAACTTGCTGCAAAGATTCACAGCAAGCAAAGAAAACATCAACTAAACAAGTATCAATTACCAGCTTGCTCGAATAGCCATGTCTCGGGTCCTCCTTCTCTTCATCTTTTGTTTGTCAGCTTTGGTTGGATCAATCAATGGAAAAGGTTTTTTTTTTGATTAAAGAATCAGTGTAAATAACATTGGTGCTAATGTTACTACATATCATATCCATTTCCATGCAAACTCATGATTAGTATATAATTTGCAAAATATAACGTTGACATATATTCAGGGGTTCCAAAATCGGTTCCAAAATCGGGGTCAAGTTCGGGTTCAGGTCCGAGAACGAAGTCTTTTGTCTACCCTCTACTAGCCTGTTTAATTGTTCTCTTGTTTGTCGTTCTCGTCACCGTGATCTATTTCGTGCGCAAGCGGTGGCTAAAGTCTAAAAACGACAGAGCCAACCTCATTCACGTTTCTGGTTAGTAATTCGCATAAATACAACAATTAACAAATTTCGGCTGGTGTTAGTGTTTGGTAACGATTTGGAATTAAATACAATGGTGATGTTTTACTATAAGGTCAAGAGGAGGGAGCTAATCAGGTGGCTCATGGAACTGATCTCAAGTCGTCTCCACAATCCAAGACCGGCCAAAAGGGAGACCGAGTTTGATTTATCACAAATATGGATAACATATATAATCCTTAACTATCGGTTATCTATTTGATGTATGTTTTCTCGATTATGCCAAGTAATTTTATGGTTTGCTTAAACATTACTCTTCAGTTTATCAAATATGACATGATGCTAAATATGTAATCTTAGCTAATACAAATGAAAAAATATATAAAATTGGTCAAAGAACGAGTTTTATTTACCAAACGGACACTACAATATGATTTTTTTTTTTTTCAAATAAGAATTAGCAAAAGAGTAATATTCTATCCAAATTTTAGTATACACCCATAAGGCCATGACCCATACGTATAATAAACATTTCAAACAAATTTGCTAGAAAAATGATTTGTTAATAAAACGGAGAAAAGAAAGTGGTATCAAATTCATCTTCTCTTATTTTATTTCTGTTGAGTCATGCATGTTCAAAGTCTCACTCAAAACGGCACCGTTTCAAAGCGCAAGCTTCCTACATACGCCCTTGAAGTGGGACCCATTCCGAGTCATCGGAGGAGCGCCAGAGAGAGCTACACGACGATAATTTCGAAAAATTATTTAACGGTTAACTTAACTTTCTCTTTCTCTCTCTCTCCCGAATCTGAAATATATCATTTTAACAGAAAGAAAGAAAAGGAACGAAAGGAAACAAAATTCAAATTCAAACATTTTCCCTTATCTATAGATTCATTTTCGTTCGATTGGTGATAATATCTGTACAACACACTGGGTTTTGGATTTGAGAACAATGGAGACCAAATCGACGACGAAGGCAGTTCGGGTGGTGGCTAGGGTGAGGCCATCGACGGATCCGGCTGTAGAAGCGTCATCGAGATCAATTTCAGTTCACAAGCCCAACGGAGATGAATCGCAGACAGTTTCGATTTCATTCGGAGCTCAATTCGCTGGGTAATTCTCTTCACTCTAACTTCATCTCTCTTCCTCAGTGATTTTACTATTGATAATTTTTTAATTGATTGCAAATTCGCGAAAAGAGTTACATTTGGAGAATCCGACTCTAAATGAACTCCGTAAATCTCGATCTGTTTGCATACTCGTTTGATTTCTCTTCTCTGAGAAAAATGTAAGCTAGAATCATAGATTTTGCCTTGGATTTGATTTTCTCTGATTAACTTTGTCTCTACATGTGTTGTTTAGTTGTTGAGAATTGTGGGAAACCCGAAATGTTCTAAGAATTGATGTGCGATTTTGAGTGGGATTACTATTGAAAAGAGAAATAGATGATAGATCTGGGTTGCTATGAATGTGTAGACTTGCCATTGAACTTGGTTAATTTGCTCTAATTACTGACGGAAACACGATTTACAAAAAATATTTCACTGAGTGTATATTCAAACATTCTCAGTCTCTAGTGATCAGTAAACTATTCAAGCCTAATTAAGGAGTATGTTTTTCCTCTCTATGTTGTGGGCAGTTCGAAAGACTCATATAAATTGGACTACTGCTATGAAGAAAACGAAACCACTGGTTTAATTCTCACAAAGGAGATAAAACCTCTTATCTCTACCGTCTTTGAGGGTAAGGATACTAATGTGATTGCACTGGGAGCAAGATGTAGTGGAAAAACACATCTAATCCAGGTACTGAAAGAAACGATACTTGCAAGTTACTGATCATTATTATTGTAGATGAAAATGCTAATGGGGTTATGTATGACATGTTTTAAAGGGATCGGAGAGGGAACATGGATTAGCCGTCTTAACAATGGCTGAGATCTTATCCATGGCTGAAGAAAGAGGAGACTCAGTTTTGGTATCGATTTATGAGGTTTCTCAAGAAACTGTTTATGATATCTTAGGGCAAGAAAAACGAGTTGTTTCTGTGCTTGAAGGTGCACAAGGGAAAATCCAACTCAAGGGACTTTCCAAGGCAAGTCATCATATAGTGTTCTGTACATCATGCGTATTTTGCAGATTAGCATCATTAACATTTCATAGTTTCTGCTTTTCAGGTACCCGTGAAGTCACTTTCAGAATTCCAGAACATATATTTTGGTCTCAAGAAATTCCAGAAGCTGACCAGTGACCCTCCTCAAAAGAGCCATAGAGGTGTGATGATACATGTTACAACGGGAAATGTCGATTCACGTTCTCTTGGGAGGATGAACTTTCTTGATATGGCAGGTAGAGTATTTTTCATGTCACATTTCAGTTATCTTTTCTATGTGATAAATCTTTTGTCAGCATGTGATGAATGTTGTCTTCCTCTGACAGGATATGAGGACTCCAGGAAACAAAACAGTGATGTAGCTCCTCTAGAGATTACCAGAATAAACAAGTCCATATATGCATTACAGAATGTCATGTATGCTCTCAACGCTAATGAATCTCACGTGCCATATCGGGAGAGCAAACTCACCCGCATGCTGAAAGATTGTTTCAGAGGATGCAATAAAACATTGCTGATCACTTGTTTGGTAGATACTTTCTTGCTATTGAGTTGTTTTAGGTTTTTGCTTCAATGAATGCAATTGCAGACGATGCTAACCAATTCGTTTTTTGTTTTCAGCCCCGGGAATATAGCCAAGACTCATTTTACATGCTAAACTTAGCATCACGGATTTGTCTAGGCGGTAACCGAGCCATGGCTAATACTACTAAGAAGAACAACGGTCTTGCAAGATCTATTTCATCATCCTCTGCCGCTCAAGGGAGACCGACACCTTTAGCTGTGTCTGCTAATCCTAAAAAACAGACAGGGTTAAGGGAAAATGTGACAGAGAAAAAGACTAAAATCATCACTGCTACTTCTGCAATCAAAGGAAGGTAATTTTTTTAGAACCAGCTATACCTGAATCTGCTCAGTTCAGTTTTAGAATATCTAGTAGTGACGCCTTTTTTGTTTCTTTTTTTCTCAATGGTTGAAGGAAACTGTTCGGTGAAGCAAATGTTTCTGTGAAATCTAAAGTTAACTCTAAGAAGGTAATTAATCTTTCGTTCTTAGCCTAATGAATTAAGAACTAGTTTAGTAAGACTTGTTTTGGATTTTGTAGATTGAAGGCAAACCAAAGACTGAAGGCAAACCAAAGATTGAAGGCAAACCAAAGACTGAAGGCAAAGCAAAGATTGAAGGCAAAGCAAAGACGGCACTGAAAAAGGTATAGAGCATTCTCATTCTAGATATTAGAGTAGTGCTCTTCATTTTCTTTTCTAATCACGAATGACATTTTTTGTTTTCTATTCCGATTCAGAAAATCTCCACTACAAAGGCTGTCTTGAACGTTCATACCTCCTCATCTGAAGAGGTAAACCCTTGCAAGCTTGAACTAAATGGAGCTGCAGGGGTTCTATATTACCAAGGCATCACTTACAAACTCTTCTGTTTATTAATGTAGGAGGTCTGTTCGTCGTTTATTGTTACAGAATCTCAATCGTTTATCGTTACAGACTCTCAATGTTCTGTAGTAGAAGAGGTAATATTTTGTTATAACGTTTATGATATATGAAAATCATCAAGACATTACTTACATTCGGTGGTTCACGGCTGGTCACTATCTAATTGCAGGAAAAATCTACAGTGGCTTTCTCAAGCACTGCAGTAGCCGTGGAACCGGTAACAGACTCTCAATCTTCTGTGGTAGAAGAGGTAATATTTTATATCAACGTTTATGGTAGATTTGAAAATCATCAAGACGTTACTTACATTCGGTGGTTCACAGCCGGCCACTATCAAATTGCAGGAAAGTTCTGCACTGGCTTTCTCAAGCACTGCAGTAGCCGTGGAACCGGTAACTTATGGTGAGGAAATATTTCCAGGAGCCAATTCTTGCCATGATGCTTCTGCAGACAGAGGTGAGACTGTATGTTTAGGTAGAGAAGGGTCGTGGTTAATGAAAAACTTAGCTCTGATCCTGGTTTTTTTTAATAAATGGCAGCCGAAATAGTGGAGAAAGACGACATCAGTTCAGTCACTGTTGAAGATTCGACTCTGGTTAATGAAGGTTGGTTGTGATTCTTGTGACATCAATCTAAGAAGCTAGTAAGGATAAACTTTTTGTTCAATGACTGGTTTTTCTCTTGATTGTAGGTGAAAACTTGGTCAAAGCAAACAACAGTTTGCTGTTCAATGAAACCGCATCACCACCACTCAGCCTGCGGCTTCAAGAACTATCCAACACATTGAAGTCGATATGCAAACCCTCAACCCAATTTTCGGCGCCTGAGAAGTATCAAACTTCCCTATCTAAATTACACATGGAAGAAGTATCAGAGCTTAGCGGCATTACTTCTGAAGCTGTTCACAGTGTAGAGCTCAAAACACCGGAGAAAAGCATGCCTTCAAACATTGCTTGTAGTCCATGGAAGACATTCAGTGCACACAGCACTAAACTGAAGGTAAGAAGACTTAACAAGCATGTATAAAAATTGTTCTTTTTCGAAATGTATCATATCTATATGACAGCTGGGTAACAGTATGTTTCGGAATTCACATAAACATCTGGAACATGGAAATTTGTATGGTGATTAACATAACGATTTTTTTTTCTGGAAATGTTGCAGAAGTCTGCTGTTGGAGAGTACCTCAAGTTCTTAAACACAGCAGAGAAGTAAGTTGTTTTCTCTCTCTATGGTAAAATAATGTCATTCAAGAGATAGTTATGAATCATCTTACAACTTTCCAAATCTTGATATTTTTTCCGGGTATAAGGAAATGATCTAAACTAGTCTTTCTCTTCTCTTGTTGTAATTACAGGGAAGATCTAAAGAAGCTGAAGGTAAGATGACTAGCTTGACCAGAAAAATAGTAAATGCTTGTTTATGGTATAGTCCCTTTAACTATATTTGTTGAATGATATATAGGGTATTGGAGAAAAGAGAGCGACTTACATAGTTGAGCTCCGCGAAGAATCTCCTGAACCATTCAAGACAGTAAGTATTTGCGATATCTCTTTTACTTTTTACAAATTGTCATAAAGTTTTGTAATTGAGAAGTTGCAGCAACTATGATGTAAAAAGATCGCCTTGTTAGTTGTATAATAAGCTTCTTGTATCTTCCATTGCAGCTTGATGATTTGAAAGACATCGGTCTCTCCGCTAAACAGGTTAGCTTATTATCATTAAGTCCTTCAATTTATCTGTTCTTGTTGAGTCAAAAGTTGGTTACCAAATCATATATTTTGAGGATATAGCTAAAATCTGGAACATAATTTTGCATTGACAGATTAAAGGATTGCTGAAGAAAGAGATGGGAGATATTTTCTAGCTGAAGAACATTCCCCATTGTCACCGCAAATGGGTCTGAAAAATATCGACGCAGGTTTTCAAGAGATTACGAGACAACACGAAGTTGTTCGAAGTTCTATTTATAATCAAGTAGTAGAAAGCTAAGTTGTTGAGTGTGTGTAGTTGCTTTATTACAAAAAAAAACTGTGTCCTGAATCTGTTTCCTACTGTATGAATATTTGGGTGTATGTTAGATCAAATTTCTTATATACATCACTTATCGTTAGCATATCAATCATGGCGTCATAACTGAACCATCTATATCTAAAGCCACCAAAATGGATGTTACCAATATTCACGGTAACATGAACAACCTTTCATTGTTTCCCAAAACTCTAATAATATTTGTGCTCAGTGGTGAAAACTTTGATTTATGTCTCCACCCACTTTAGACAACAATCCTTTATTCCAGATTTGTCAACAAAACAAAGCACTGTTTAGGGTAAGGTTAATTAACCTTTAGGGAAAAAGATCTGTGTAAAACAAAATTTAAGTTTACCCGAAATGTTCATAAAACTTTAACAGATGGAAACAAGACACAAAAAGCACTAAAAACGGAACAACTACAAATCAGTCTCCTTTGTTATCGCCGGAGAAGTAAATCTGACAAGACCGAGGAAGAAACACAGGCAACAAGAGACCGAACAGATTATAAAACCACATCACGGTGTTAACCGATGCAATCGCTCTTCCTCCGTACAATCTCACCGGACCACCGGGACGCTGAGTGTCTGAGAATTCAGCTTTAACCCAGTCCAAAAGCGCGAAAATCCGACGAGCGTTGTAGAAGACCGGTCCAAGAACACCAATCGGCGTCGAAAACCTGTCGGAGAAACCGATTGGTTCAGTGAAGGCTTGACCGGAGAGGAGGAATAGATGTGGAGCTGCTGCTCCAGCGCCGTGTATGTCTCCACGGTATATTCCGTCTCCGATGTAGCAAATCGGTAAGAGTAGGCCTGAGAGAGAGACGGAGAGAGTTTTACTATTTGTAAGGAAAAAAAAAAAAAAAAGAAGAAGCTCTTGAAAAAGAGAAGATTGATAACCGATAACGGCAGTGGCAAGGAAGTAAGCTTGAAAGAGTTTGTTTTTAGGGTTTGAGAGTCTCTTCTTCTGCTCGGTTTGCTTGCGAGGGAAGGCATATCTGGAGAGGAACTCGTACAAGTAGATATAACACAGTACTACAAACGCTATCTCTCCGAGACCGACGAGTCCTTTAGCGGTTAGTAAAATCATGAAGGAGAGAAACACGAGCTGTCTCTTGCGGCTGATGAGACCGCGTTTTGGTGCCGGTGGAGAAGGTTTAGTGTCGGTGAGATCATGCTCTCGTCTTTCTTCCGACATGGTTTCAATTTTCAAAGAGTGTTGGAAAGCTTTGAAAGTTGATGAACAAGAAATGGTGACTTTTTGGTTTGGTGAGGAAAGAAAGAGTGTGGATATGGAGTGGTTAACCTTCCTCTGTCTTCTTATCTATTTCTGAGATAGAAAAAAACGAAATCATGACAAGTGTTCCGCTTGAAATCTGACAAGTGTTTGTGTAGTTGTGGAATGAAATCATGTCAAAAGGAAACAAAAAAAGGTAGAATAAGAAAGATGCAAAAAATGAAAGAGATTATGTGCAGAATATGACTAGTGTTCCGCTTGAAACCTCACATGTTTTAGAAAGATTTATTGCCAAATAACCACATTCTATGATCCATTAGAGAGAATCTTTCCCTATCTCAGTGAAATGTGTTTCTAAAGGCGGCAAATTTGTATCAAACACATGATAAACAATCAGAACAACAACATTCATCAATATCTTAAATCCTCTCAATGTATAAGAAGATTCAAATCACTTTTATTATAGTTTATTCCCTAAATTAATGCACTTTTATAGCTGCAAATCACACATTCACATCACACTGATTAAAAGTTTCTTTACAACAAAAAGTCGCATTTTTTGAAGACTGAAAAATTTGCAATGATTCAAATCATAACAAACGATCCTTGACGTTGGGTCTTTTTCATCATGATGCTTTAATTTCTAATCCATTGCAAATAGATTTCAGATTTGCAAGTGTAATTAGCCAGCAATAGCAAATGGGGACAAACTTTTATCTCTAGCACCAAGAAAGGTTTCTTTGTTTATTGGACGATATTTTCTAAAAATTACAGAATGCATAAACCGATACATTACCTCCAACTTAACTTTTCGATACTGGATTATACAAGTGCATTTTGATTTTAATATAAATAACGAAAACACTTACAACATTGTCCAAAAGACTCAAAAGTTCCAGACCAACACACTAACATAATACCCTCATTTAACCACCACAATAAACACGCCAGCACTCTTGCTGCTTATTAACACCGCAAGAGCAATTATTACCGTAGCTAAACAAATCCATAAGTTTTTCTCCTTAATGGAATCACTGAAACTAATTAGCCAATTAACCCAAAAACCAAAATTTGGAGATTGGTTAATTAACTAATTAACCCGCCAGATTGATTCAAACAAACCCATTACCGTTGGCAATACCATTACCATTACCGTTACCATTACCGTTGGCAATACCATCACCATTACCGTTGGCAATACCATTACCATTACCATTGCTGAGCTTCTGTCCATGTTCTTCCTCTTCCTCGACGAGTAAAAACTCTTTGCTCTTGACGAGCTTTTCCATAACAGAAGCTTCGAGAGTGATCTCCACGTCAATGCTCATACCTCCAGCTTTTCCTTGGTACAGATACATCATCCCATTAAACCGATTGTTCGACCCGCTCCTAACGGTTTCCGGTTCTCCCCACCCGAAATCCACCTCGTACACCAGGAACCTCGGCGAGCTCCCCACCGCCACGCAATTCACTCCGGCGTCCTTGAACTGAAATATCTTCGGAGACTTCTCCCACTCCTCGTTCCGCGAGTCGATCGCTTTCGCGTCGTGAGCAACGATCGCTTTCTGGATCACCGAAGCTCCGAACTCCGGCCCGTGCGCCGCCAGCAGCCCCGCCGCGGTTCCGGTGAAGATCGCCTGGATCAGGTTTCCGAAATACTCCTCCGGCACCGGAGGGTCCACGCGGCGGCGGCAGTCGGCGAAGACGGTGAAGATGGTGATGTCCTCGGGTTTGAGCCCGCGAGCGAGAGTGACGTGGCGCCAGATGTGAGATGCGAGTGACTGGAAAGTGGAGAAGGGTTTTGAACCGTCGGATGGGATTACGGAATTGGCTCTTGACTTGATCGTGTGGATGGCGGAGTCCGAGAATCTGAAGACCTTCTCCACCAGCTGCGGCGGCGCCGCCGTTGCATCGCCGTTGGAGGACGCGTTGGGGTCCTTAGAGGAAGCGAGGTCGAGTTTCACGCGCGTGTCACGCGCCTTCGCACGGTCGAGGAAAGGTTGGGTCGAGATGGACTTGGCCCCACGGCAGATCTCGGCCCATGAGCTCATGAAGTGCCACGTTGCAGTTCCGTCGAGGACTGCGTGATTGAAAGCGAGGCCCAATGCAAGCCCATCTCTAAGCTTGGTCACCTGTTACGAAACAAGATAATAAATGGTTGAGAAAATTTTGAATTTTTCCATAATCGAGGTTTGTATTAAGTACAGTGTTTTTTATTGGACGATTATTTCGAGACCAAAAAAAACATAAACAATGACTCTCCCCACGACCGAACCGGTGTTGAGAAGCCTTTACATTAACTGCACAGTAAATGCCGTTGAGAATTCGATAATAACGATGTAGTAGTAGACATGCAGTTGCTTACGTATAAGTATTTACACGTTTATTATAAGCTTACGTAAGGTTCAGAAAATAAATTTTTGTTAGGTGTTTTAGTTTTTCAACATAATTAGTAAACATATTGACTTATACAATGCACATAATAACGTGTGTAGTACTTTCCACTACTGAATATACAATTATTATTATTACTTTATCAAAAAAAAAAAAAATACAATTATTTATTTGAATCGAGAGTGATGTTTAGTGGTGCATTTCGATGGAGTATTGTTTATCGCTCTATATAAGTGCTGTAAAAATAGCAAAAAGACGTGTTTCTCTACAGATCCCGAAGATAAATTATTTTCAAATTTTACATGAGATATCTTATTAACCAAAAATTTAGAGATCAAATCAAAGGTGGATCGATGAAAGAAAGATAAATATGAATCTCATAAATGTACTAGTTAAGATGCGCTAACATGCAGTGGGGCTAAGATTTATCTAGGTTTTGGTGCTATATAGTAGTATGTGTTCATGATATTATTAATTTTTACTGACTGCTATAACCTACAAGTTTCATCTATTTATTGTTTACTTATGCACGCCAACATGGCGTTGTCCCGCTACTTACCTGTTAGTAGTTACCATCCACAATTGTTACTGGTCAAGAATTTAATGCTGCAGTTATATTTTTGTTTGTTTCTTATACATAAGAATTTACTCATCCAACAAAGGTGGCAGCAAACGCATTTGAAAGCCAGATTTTGTCAAGCCATTGACTGCAATGATTTATAAGCTTTATAGAGATGAACATGCACTTATTACCCTACCAAATGATATTTAGTTGATTTCAGTTTAAGCCATCCACTAATAAACATAGAGAAAATAACAGCCAACATATACATTAATACACAAGAAGTCAAGCACAACTTATTTTTACACCAAAAAAACTGTCAATATTTTCTAATATAAATCTACATTTTGTCAAGACAAAAAATTATGTTAACATCTTCTGATAGACATGCAATTCTTTCATCTTGTTGGAAACATGCACTTCTACTTTATACAGGTTTTTGATGAGTTATATTATTGTTGCTTGTTGAATCCAGTTTAGCTTTTCTTTGGAGCTGACGGACTTTTCACTTCTCAATGATAAAGGAGCTATAAGTTGAACTAACATTTATGATCGATCGCTAGTGAAAACTTTACCACAAATTATTAATAAAATGAAAGTTTTGAAAGATGGCTACATTCTTAACATGCATCAAGATTCAGTAAACTACATAATCTTATATTCTTATATTTATGAAAGAGTTGAAACGGGGAATCAGAAATAGCTACCATGGATAAATTAACGACAGAGATTTTTTTTTTTTTTTTTTATAAAGTAAATTAACGACAGAGATACTAACATGCATGGAAGAAGTGTAATAAAATACAAATATAAATAGTTAAATAGATACCTGGACAGCAAGAAGAGGTCTGCTAAGTCCTTCCAAGTTCAAGATCCCATTGTACGGAACAAACTCTTTGAACTTCGCTGTCCCGTCCTCAGCTGTCAGATCATCAACGCTGACGTCAGTAGCATCAGTCACCGAGAACACCACGCCCTTGACCTCTTCGTCGTCGGCGTCGTACTCAACTCGGAAGACTCCTTCGTCGTCCTTAGCCAGCTTACCGGCGAGCTGATAGAAATCTTCAAGAACCAAACCCAAACCATCCTTGAGGTTGTCAACGACGTTGTTTTGGAAAGTGGGTTCCTCGAGGTCGAGAAGGTTCTGGAACTTGTAGAGAAGAAACTTCTGGTTGTAGTAGAAAGCAAGGTAAGGAAGATCAAATGTGGTGAGCTGGAATTGTTTCTTCCCAATTATTGGGTTGTTAGGTTTCACATGAGTTGTGTTCATTATCTTTATCTTCATAATGAAAAGATATAGTATAAAATAAACTTTTGACGAATGCACAAGAATATATATTAGCTTATTGCTTTTGATGTGAGATTAAAATGTAGTGTGGGGTGGTGAAAAAAGAACTCGAAGCTGTGTTTTTATAGCGAGGACAGTGTGTAGTTGGCTTAGGCATTTAAGGTTTCGTGGAAGTAGTTGTGGTTCAATTAATGACTCACTTAAACTCTTTTCTTTAAATTTATTCGCACAAATTGTTAAGTTGAATTAGGGTTTACGGTAAAGAAAAAGGAAGAAAATAAATAAGTACTTATTTGTAATGATGCTATATGCATGTGTAGGAAGTACACTATAAGCGCCGATAAAGATGGTAAAGAAAACTTAAAACTAGGCGACAAAGACAAACGGTATTATTATGGATGGATCGTACCTGGATATGATTTACAAAAATCCTAGGCCATCAAGACTTTTTTCTTCTCAAGGACATACGTTTTAATAGTTTAAATCACTTTTGTAAATATATACCTTCTCTTAACTTTACACATGTAAACCGCTTTATTGGATCTCAATGACTCTGCTTTTTTTTTTTTTTATAACAAATCTCAAGGACACTACTTCGCATATTAATTAGTAGGTAAGTGAAACTGTGGAAGTTGGACAGCGACTTCTCCGGCTAATAAAATCTTATGGAAGTACTGTATATAAATTACCCAAATAAAGGATGCGTAGTTTTAAAGAAGACAATAACAACCGATGAAAATAGGAAACAAAAGAAGACAATGAAGTAATTACAAGTGTAACGTTTGGGTTAAAAAAAGAAAGTCTGACGTGTTGTGTTTGGCGATTTAAACAAGGATGAAATGTGACGTGAGATGTCTACCATTATCAATAACAGGGTAGGAGTTAATTAGTCAACTGTATTACATTACTGTAAAGAGTTTTTTAAAACAAAACATGATTGTAAAAGAAGTCTTGTAAATTAAAAGATATATAGAGCCATTGTACGGGCCAAGATAATAAATCCACAACAATGTATTAAGTGGAGGAAAAAAAAAAAAATGTATTAAGTGGAGAAGCTTGTATATTATAATCATTAGATTATGGTGAAAGTGTTTTGGATTATTAGACGACTATCGGTTTTAGCATTATCTGTTAAATGTAGAGATTATGAGTCATTAATGATGCAGTTGATCTCTGTAAAGTCGTTAGGAAAAAATAGATAGGACGCACACATGCTGTGAAGAAAGTTAGAAGCAGGAAACAATGGCTTCGAATGGTGATACAGATCAAAAATTGCAGATCAAATAGTAAATCCAGATCATGTTGAACAAATACAGATCATGATATGTATGCAGATCAAATGCCTATCAAATATATTAAATAATTATAAAATATCATACTTAATTGGACAATAAAAAAACAAAGAAAATTTACAATATATATATAATATATAAAGTTTTCTTAGTATATATATATATATTGAAAATTTTCTTAAAAACAAGAAATTTAAAAATTGAAACATTATCTAAAATTTAAATTCGATTACAACATACAAAAAATTAACGTGAAATGTTTTGGTCGGTTCATAATGTACTTGCAATATGTTCCCTAATGTTAACCATAATTATATATAGAATTGTAATTTATAAGCTATATTTATATATAAATAAACAAAATATCTCAAAATATTTAAAATCTTTAGTCATATATATAAAAAAAAATATATTTTTGCATTTATGAATTCATTTTACTAACTTATATGAATCTCTTTATCATAAAAGAAACATGAAACTCAAGAAATTTAAATTTTGAATTGTTATGTTTGTAATATAATTATAATGATATATATATATAATAAATATAAATATATAGTGATTGTAAAAAAAATACCTATTATATAAAAAATATGAATATGTAAAGTGAATATATTTAATTTTTAGATATAAAAATTGTTATGTTCATTAATATTTAATTATTTATTGAAAGAATCAATATAAAAAAAATCACAAAATAATATATAAATTATATAATATACCTTAAGCTACTAAGAATCTTATAGATTTAATTTTCATATATATAAAGAAATAATAATTAGAAAACCCAATATTTATAACCAATTTTTAGAAATAATTAAAAATGTAAAATACATGAAAAATTGTTATGCATGTAACAAATGTTTCTAGGCGAATTTTAATTTAACACAGGTTTTGTGGATTTATTTGTATAAAAGTAAATAATAAATTATATTTTTTTTATCATTTATAAGTAATTAAGAAATTAAAAGTAAATGAATATAATAAAATAAAAAATAGGTCTGCATGTGTTCAGGAGGTTTTAGCTCTTTCTCTGCAGATCAGAAAAATATCACAAAAAGACAAAAAAATATTGATCTGCATGCAGAGTGATCTGTATTTTCTTGATCTGTAAATAAAAGTGTGATTGGCTATGAAATACAGATCAATCTGGACTTCCATTCAAGGCCAATGATGGAGATATTGGAGGAAATGCCTATCTTTTATGTAATTTTTGGATTACGAAGCTCTTGCCTGGAATTTATCCAATTTTTTCCCCACTTTTGGTTTAGTATAAAAAACAATGTCAAATCAACACGTTAGTAAGTGAAAGTGGAAGTAATTATGTCATCGTCTAACTAGTATATTATGAACAATGAAGAGTTTGCTTAGACACTGTATCAGTAGATGTGTACCAAACATTTCAAGAGAATCTTGGTTCAAGTCTATTATAAGAACCCAATTCGAATGGTCCGATCTTTTAAGAAAAGAATTGGCCGGCGATATAACGCGTAAACGATAAACGACATGGATCGCATAAACGGACGTGTTGGCTCCATGTTATGATTCGCTTCTTGAATATTCCTCTCATAAGCATATATAATTTATAATATTGGACGAAAATAATTTTAGTTTTTGTTTATTGTCTATAAGACTATAACTCACATACTTTCAGTTTTTAATCGAGATTAAATGATATGACAACAAACTAATACAAACAATTTAAATTAATTTGTTATATTGGCATGTTTGTGCAAAATACTAGGCGACAAATCGTAAATCAACCAAGTGAATTGTCTCTCTAGAAGACTCTGGATAAGAAAATAAATCGAATGTTCTTGATCCACATCACATCAAAATTATAAATTGCCTTACACACTCATCTTTCTCTCCATTCACGTTTTGTCTATTCCAATTTCATTATCTTGAAAATGTCATCTCGTGGCAGAGAAGTGGAAGTGAGGATCTCATCAGCAAAGGAAATCAAGAACGTGAATTGGCGCAACGGCCCAAACAAGCCATACGCCGTCGTATGGGTCGATCCGAAATACAAATCCTCAACGAGAGTCGACGAGGACGGTGACACGTGTCCCTCTTGGAATGAGACATTTGTCATCCCTTTGCCTCCGGACAACAACGACGATAACAAGCTCTACGTCGACATCGTACACGCAGGTCGTGAAGAGAACACAAAGCCCCTCATCGGCTCCGCTCATCTCAGCCTCCGTGATGTCATTGATGACGTCGGTCTCGGCGTCCCTCTCGCGACAACCATCAAGCTCAAACGTCCTTCCGGCCGACCTCACGGCAAACTTGACGTCACCGTCACCGTTCGAGAACCTCCGTATTACTCAGCTCCAGGATCGTACAACGCGCCGCCGCAATATGTTCATGGTGATCCATACGCGCCGCCGCAATCATACGGAAACGCGGCGTACGGACAAGCGGGGTATGGATATGCGGCGGAGAAAGAGAAGGAGAGTAAGTTCGGTGGGATGGGGACGGGACTGGCGGTTGGGGCGGTGGCCGGAGTCCTGGGTGGAGTGGCGTTAGCCGAGGGATTGGATGCTGTGGAGGACAACATCGCTGAAGAAGCAGCGGAGAAAGTGGAGGAGGATCTGGATGCCGGAGACGACGATTTTGACGGCGGCGACGATGACGGCGACTTTTAAATCTTCTTATAATCAATAAAGGCCTGATTGAATTGAATATATGTGTTGCGAAAGAAAAGGCCTAAGAAATTTACATAATGGGCTTCCCCTCCATTTTCATTTTGTTTTTCAAACATACATATAATTATCTGGTTATATTTGGTAAATGCTAAATGGGAATTTTCTACGTATCATATTCATCTGTAACTCAACTGTGTCTAAATATAACCGAATTTGTATCTATAGTCTAAACATAATCGTTTTTAATCGTACACTGTATTAAATGTTTATAGTAAGGAGGATAAATAAAAGCTAAACCGGCGGTCCTTTTTGGCATTATCATTTATCACCACGGTCCACGGAATAAAGGTTTATGGTTTGATATCATATCATAAGTTTGGGCATTTTCTGGCAAAAAATATTAATCAGTATCTTTTTTTTTTCCTCTGAAGGAGTCAAGGAGCCAGAGTGCTTGACATACCTAGCCACTCTTGGGTTGCTGGTTCGAGCTCTCGGGATTGTTGGAATATGACGAGTGCCCGCACGGCCGGACCACAAATTGAGTTTCTGCTCTGCCACTTGACAAGTGTCCCTCTTCTGCATATCTAGCGTCTGAGGAACATTTTATTTGGGCTGATGGTTCAAGTAACTATATGTATCATTTCTCCTTCTCTCACACATGGAATCAACTCCGAGCAGTGCAGCAGATTTTATCATGGCTCAAACAGGTTTCGTCCCAAATGGCTACGTAATTGCGGTGAAACGTAAGCCCAATTGAAGCCCAAGATCAATGTCCATGTAACTAGGGTTCCCAAGCAAGTAGATTACTATAATCGTCATCGTCGTCCCACAATGTAATTAACTATTGTTTTCGAAGATTATCCCGGAGAAAAAAGAACCACCACTAAATGGGTTTACAATGGATAATTATCCCAAGAAGAATCCTTTAATTTGGTCCTTGAGTTTTGAGATGTACTACTCGAGTGAATGTCACAAACAAGTCTATATCCTATATGTATATATATCAGTATGCTATATATGTATAGAGCACCATCTTCTTGGCAAGCTTTTGGGACTACATGATGTGATTAACATGTTTCTTTAACATTTTTCATTCTTCTTGGCATCAGTCTAGACCACGTATTCGCTTGCTCTCCCATGAGAGTTTCTGACCCACAAGTGGGCTATGGTCACATGTTACATTTTTTTCTTAGCTTTAATGTTAAAGATACATTACTTTCAATCTTTGTCCACCAATTTGTTAAAAGAAATCTTTCAAGGAACGCCATGCGATGGAAATATGCAAAAGAAAACCCCGTGAATTGAGAAACCCTTACAAAACGGAAGAAATACACCCAAAATTAATTAAGTTGAAGGAACTTTCGATGAGAACTAATTGTGTCGATCTACTACTGGACTGGAGGAGTCGGTCTCTCATGTTCCGATCAAATTCATTCACCTTATAGCGCGGGTTCACAAGTTGAGAGGACGGTATATATAGTCATATAGATGATTTCGTCAAATCAAAGGTCATGTACAAGTATTACCAAAACGAAATTAATAACATATCGAGACACCCAAATATCGAGTTAATTATCAACGTAACACTTCTACGTAAGTACGTTGATTTTTGTGCTAACGTGTGTAAATATTTTTAAAATTCTAGAATTCAATCTAATATATATATATATATATGTGTATAACTTTATATAAAAAAGCATACCAACATGCTAAATCTTTTTTTTTTTTGCTAAAAGTTTTCTAAAAAGTTGATAGACGTACGGTTATTATGTAGTTTAATCTGCTAACAAATATCGATGACCATTATGATATCAGTTGCTTCCGCTCATATGTTGAAACTGACTAAATATTACAGCGCGGTCCATAGTGTCATAAGATATATGGAATGAGAAAATTCCTACGAATGAAGATTATGCGGTTGCTGAGTGCATATGAAATAAAGAGTGCAAACACAATAATATTTTATCGATGTATTGGACGGCTTAAATATTATTTTCGATTATGAAAATTAACTGAAAGGAGCTACCATTATATTTTTTTTTATAAAGCGTTTGGTGTTTTAGATTAGTCTTTTTTGCCAGAGTTTTTTCTTACGACGCGAGGTTTTGATGGCGGTAGCATGGGGTTCTCTTATAACCAGTTTATAACAATAAGGAAAAAGGTTTTGTTGAGAGGGTTAAGCCGTTAAGGCGTCAGCGAGCTAAATGATGGACGACAATGACGAAAGGATGAAAAAATAAAATAAAGAAACATCAATAATTATTTTTTGGTGGAATTGACTAGGGCAAATTTTACACCAAACTTACGTATTTAATTTATTTGGTGTAATCCATCACTTAACTAAATTTAGTGCAAAGTTTGGTGTAAACAACTTTACACTAAAAAGGAAAATTCTCAAAAATATTGCATTCTAGCTACGTTTTATAAAAAATCATAAAATTTTGAAGTACCACAAAATTTAGGAAGGATTCCTAGAAATTTAGGCGTCCTAATAATATAGCAAACCTTTTATAAACTGTTATAAATCCTTCCTAAACCTAAAATTTAATAATATCACAAATTTTTAAAAGATGATGTAATTTTCAAAACTTAATGATATTTTAAGAATTTCTTACAATATTTTTTTCTTTCTTTTATATGATGGAAACATATTTTTTTTGGAAGTAGTAATTGTGGGGACCAAATTTGTAACAAATTCACATGCGGAGTGAAAATGACTTTGTGTTTCCTAGTAATATATAACATGAACCTCGTACGGTATGATTGTATGAATATAAACGTGAATCATATGGGGTCGTACGTCTTCAATGTGGACCATCCTAATGGAAAAACAAGAGCGACCACTAAACTAATCAGTAATCAGTTTATATGGTGGAAAATTGTCCGATGCCTAGCTAGGTCGTACTCTTTCTTGTAATGCTTGTTTCTAATTTCCTATATATATATATGCGTAGAGCTCAGTCGTTTTGGCAAAGTTAATTGCAATAGAAAACTTAAAAGCATGGAGAGTGAAGTTCATCGTCCCATAGCTGACTATCCAGCGAACATCTGGGACGATCTCTTAACTACTTTCTCAAATATTGACGTGGTACGTATATATATTTTTTTTAATATCCGCGTAATATTACTTTGAAGCTTTCACTTTAATTACAAAAAGGTAGTCTATTAATGTAATAGACAGTTATTTTCTTAAACTGAGGAAGAGCGATAAGTTTTGACTAATTCATAAAAATAGTAAATTAACCCTTTTTAGTAGCCTGTTATGAGTTGATTCACTTATGTCTACTCATATTACTCCACTGTCATATAGGGGGGAAGTGAGACATACAAAGAGAAGCATTGTATGCTAAAGGAGGTTGTGAATGAATCGTTTATGGCTTCGAGAGCGAATCCGATAGAGAACATTAAGTTCATCGACGCTCTATGTCGCCTTGGTGTCTCCTATCACATTGAGAGAGATATCGTAGAGCAATTGGGGAAGTTATTTGACAGTCTTGATTTTAATCGGATGATAAGACAGGACGGGTGCGATTTACACACGGTGGGACTACTTTTCCAAGTTTTCAGGCAATTCGGTTTCAAACTTTCCGCCGGTAACTATTTAATTTTGTTTTATATGTGTAAATCAAATCAAATATAATTATATATTAAAAAAAACTAGAAACTTTGCATGGTTTTCAATTTAATCCAAGTTTTAATTTATACATATTCAAGATGTTTTTGAGAAGTTCAAGGACGGAGATGGGAAGTTCAAAGGACACTTAGCGGCAGACGCATGTGGTATGTTAAGCTTGTATGAAGCTGCACAATGGAGTACTCAAGGAGAAGACATTATTGACGAAGCTCTCGCTTTTTCAAGCTCGTATTTAAAAGAAAATTCTTCTCGATGTAGCCCCCATCTCGCAGTACGCATAAAAAATGCCCTAAAACATCCATACCACAAAGGCATCCCAAGGATAGAAACGAGACAATACATCTCATACTATGAGGAAGAAGAGTCGCATGACGCAACACTACTTGAATTTGCCAAGATAGATTTTAATCTACTGCAAAGGTTGCACCGCCAAGAGCTTGCTTGCGTTGCAAGGTAACTATTTCAGCTGCTGCATGCTCGCTTGATACATATGTACGTCTTTGACTTGCCTGGAGTTGACTTTTTGTTTGTTTTGTTTTCATTTCATTTCAGGCGGTTCAAAGAAATGGAGATTGAATCTAAAGTAACATATACAAGGCATAGAATAGCGGAGGCCTACTTGTGGTCACTTGGAGCATATTTCGAGCCTCAATATTCTCAAGCACGAGTTCTAATAGCTATTGCACTAATCTTATTCACAGCACTTGATGATATGTATGATGCGTATGGCACAATGGAAGAACTTGACCTTTTTACAGATGCAATGAAAAAGTACTACATTTGCAAAAAAAAAAATATAATAGACTATATATATATATATATCATCGATTTTGATTTTTTTATGGCTATGACTAATACGATGAATGGCTCAAACACAGGTGGCTTCCCGTGGCCCCTGACGGGATACCTGAGAGCATGAAGTACATTTACCGTATCACGGTAGATTTCTATGATAAACTCGAAGAGGGACTTGAGAAAGAAGGAAGGTCAGGTTGTGGCTTCCACCTTAAGAAATCAGTTAAGACTTAAGACCACAAGAATCACCCTTAATTAAATATCACGTTTACCACATTTATATTTGAACCTAAGAAATTCTTCACAATCAGTTGAAAACAACGGCTCATGGATATATGCAAGAAGCAAAGTGGTTGAAAAAAGACTACACTGCTACATTTGACGAGTATAAAGAGAATGCGATCGAGTCTTCCGGTTACTATCCTTTGATAGCCATAGCATTCGTGGGAATGGGTGATGTCGCAAAACTTGATGCCTTCGAATGGCTAAGCTCAAACCCCAAAATTAGGGTAGCTTCTGAGCTAATATGTCGATTCACGGATGACATTTCTAGCTACGAGGTTAGTCTAACACAGAATTGTTCTTTTAAGTTTGTAGTCATAACTATACTGTACAAATGTTTTTCAAATCTAATACAAATGACTATGTATATTGCGGTTGCAGTTTGAACACAAAAGGGAGCATGTAGCAACGGGTATTGACTGCTACATGAAGCAATTTGGTGTTTCTAAGGAAAAAGCCGTGGAAGCAATAGGCAGTATTGTTTCAAACGCATGGAAGGACTTGAACCAAGAGCTAATGAGGCCTCACTTATGCCATTTCCCTCTTTTGATGCGAATATTTAACCTTTCGCGTGTCATCGATGTATTCTATAGGTACCAAGATTCTTACACCCAACCGAAGTTCTTGAAAGAGCACATAATCTCTTTGTTCTTTGAAGATATACCCATTTGAGAACATTGTGGTGATTTTCCAATCGATGGAATGATTCAGTACACAATGGTGGTTGGATTAAATTCTCTTGAACCTTGTCGCTCGCAACATATGTATTATTATTTGTGTTTCTGTTGTATTTGTGTTTGGTAATGCTTGTATTTCTATTCTTGTTTGTATTTCTATGATTCGCTTTCATTCGTTATGGCATTGATGTACTGCACATGACTCTTAAAGATATGATATCTTTGAATAATGAAAGTGGTTACACTTTTGAAAACTATGCATAATAATAAGTGGTATTTTCGTAATTTTATATATATATATTTTTTATTTTGGTAAATTTTCAAATCTATTACTAATGATTTCTTGTATACTTTTTCGAAATTTATGTACATCAGTACATGCATGAACATTTGCGGATTTGGGATTCGTAATAAACTTAAGTTTCAACTTTCAACAAAACGTACGTTCCTTAAATAAATTAGGTGGGCGTTCGCAAAAAAATTCTTAAAATAGCGGTGCCCAACTCGTCCATCGAATCAGGCAACCAACATAAGTATACACAGTACTAAGATCACCAATAAACTTTTTTTCTACTTTTGTGCTCTTAAAAGTCACTGCCTTGGTACAGAACATTGAATATTTGTAGCAATACCACTACTAACCGAACTCATAAAAAAGTACACATTATTAATTATTATTATCGTCGACCTATCCATTGCGTGTCAAATTCATGTCTATAAATATATTCACATACACATAGAGTACTGATATGAGCTAGCTCGCAAACGCCTTTTGTATATTTTGTTCAATTCTAAAGAACTAAATGACAATGAAGCTAGAGCTCTTAAGCAAAGAAGTGATCAGACCTGTTTCACTTAACCATCCTCAAACCCTTCATCTTTCTCTCTTCGACCAGTTTCTTCCTTCAACTTACGTTTCCGCAATTTTCTTCTACGATGATCAAGCAAACCAAGAGATTCTTGGCCAGAGGCTCAAGAACTCACTCTCTCAGACTCTGTCACTTTTCTATCCACTCGCTGGACGGATCAAGGAAGGTGTCATTGTCGACTGCAACGACGAGGGAGCTTTGTTTACAGAGGCGCGAGCCAATGTACTTCTCTCCGATGTTTTGAGAAACCCTTCAGATGCTGGTTTGGTTCAGAAGCTCATTGTTTCTCCAGACCATGCAGATCCAGAGACATGGCCGTTGTTGCATGTCAAGGTCATTTTCTTTAGAGACAGAGGATTTTCAGTTGCGGTTAGCGTCTCTCACAAGATATGCGATGCGACCTCGTTGTCAACGTTTGTTCGCAGCTGGACAAAGGCTGCGAGAGGGTATGTTGACAATGTGAACCCCGAATTCGCGGCGTCCGTTTTCTACCCTCCTGCTGATAATTCGATCGAGTTTCCTCCGTTACTCGTACATGAAACAAAATCCAAGACAACAAGGTTTGTCTTTGGTCATTTGGAGATTGAAAAGCTCAAAAGAAGAGCTTCCGGTGGCAAACGTGTATCACAAGCTACCCGTGTTGAATCCATAACGGCACTGCTGTTACGATGCATGACAAAGGCGAGGCGGTCAAAGGCGGGTGAGGTCACGGAATTCGCTATAACACAGACCATGGATTTGCGCCCTAGAGTTCCTTTCTCTCTCTTGCCGCGCAAGGCAATTGGAAACTTCTTTTTACCATTACTGAAAGAGAGTTCAGAGAGTAAGATGGAGATCCAAGATACGGTGTCTAAGCTGCGGAAAACTAAAGAGGAACTCAATGAGCTGATCACAGAGGATCCTGAAGATGCAAAGGTGAGTAGCGCTGGGGCCAAGGAGAGAATCGCAACCGCGATGCTTAGCTCGTTGTGTGAGGTAAGTCCTGAGACAGAAGCATATGTTGTGTCTAGTTGGTGCAGAATGTCGTTTTACGAGACGGATTTTGGGTGGGGAGTTCCGGTTTGGGTTGCTCCAGATTCGGTTGACAAGACGCATGTTGTGTTAATGGACGCAAATGACGGTGAAGGAGTAGAGGCATGGGTGACACTACCTGAGACCGACATGGCTGCGTTGGAACATGATGGTGAATTGCTGTTTTACGCTACTGCAAGTCCTAGTGTCCTCCTAATCTAGTAATAATAATGTTTATCAAACAAGTATGGTATAATATAAGTTTTTTCTTTCGGTTTATAATAACTTAAGGCATTTGCTGTAAGTGAATGTGATATGTGTTTTGTTACTCTTTTTCTGAAGTTTTCCTATTTTTGTTCTACTTTTTATTCTGCTTTACTTATGTTTTAAATTTTAATTATGCTAAGAATATGTCCCAGTTCTATTAGAACTCTGTTTTTAATATTTAAAATTGATTGATTTTTAGATATTCAATTATAGACTATCAAAACCGTAGAATTAAACTTTTGAAACGATGATGATGATAAATTGATAATGATATGTAGTTGCAGGATAACATATATTAACATTCCACTTTTGCAATATTAAAAGAAAAATTCAACAGCAAACCATCTAAACATCAAAGGTCATTACAATGAATATATAAGCAAACATAGTTAGAGCATGAAATGAAATTGATCACCAGTTGAAACTAATTGCCTCAAAGTGAAGGTTCTTAGCCAAACCAGATGAACAGATCTTTGCCACCTCATGCCTCATCTTTCTTGGTCCACACACCATCACTCCAACGTCTTCCGAGCCTTCTGCCTCAAAAAGAATCTCTGCAAAACAATATCGTTGAATATCAGTTTCACGTTTGTACATTAACTTTGACCATTTGTGACATGCATGTGATGATTCAAGTGGACTCTAGGGTTAATAAATTACTTACTTTTCAGATTAGGTTTGGAGCCGAAGTGGACTGAAGTGGCTTCTACAATAGATTGATACGGTACGCTCTCGAGCTCTCTCTCCTGGTTGCTGAACCATGAACCTGGAGAAGAAGTAGGCGTCTGGAAATCTACGCTTTGTACCTGCTTCTTGGACTCCTTATCTCCTTCTTTGTTCTGTTTCTTGCGCCACAAGAAAACTATGCTTGAAGAGACGAAAATGCATACACATCCTAGGAACATGTCCCAAAGAGCTCTATACGAGAAGTTGTAGATCTTTCCTGTGTTGCGATCAACAGGGTATATGTAATAACGTGTGACAATCGCTATGAGCAAGAGAAACATCACGAATGATGATAAGATCACGACTCCGAGCCAGAGTAAGTTGTTGGGTCCAAGAACAGGTGAGATGGGAGAGTCTAGAGGCTGCGGTTTGAACCATTTTGTCTTCAGAAGTCTGTGATCATCGGTTGTCTCCGGTTTCTTGTCTTCTTTTGTAACATAGGCCTCGATTCGGAGATTCAGCCTAGATATGTCTGAGACTGATATATCTGATGGGAAGATTAGGTCTAAAAACGCAAGATCATGGTAATGCTTAAAGGCGCAGACAAGAAGAACATTTGGTAGTTTTGTGCTCTGGTTTTGGCTCATAAAGATGAGTTCTCTGATAACCGAAATGAAGGGTGTAATTCCACTGCCACCACTCACTAGTATTAGAGAGTCATACCTATATACGATGTGAATGATAACATTAAGACAGGTGCAAGATAAAAGTATAGTTAAGTAAGAAACTGAATATATTAAGACCTTAAAGTTCTCGTACCTCAAATCGAAGGAATTAGGGCCATAAGGACCTTCAGTAGAAACTTCGAGAGAATCGAGGGAAGAAGAGATATGGGTGTAAAGCTTTTCAGTCCAACTGCCCTGTCTTCTAATGACAACACTTAGTGTATCTTTCTCCAAGTTGCTGCTCGAGGTTATTGTGAATGGATGCCATTGAAGCTTGGAAATGCTCGGCACATGTAGAAACAATATGCTCGTTGGTGTATATTGTAGCCCTATAGTTAGATGAAACTAATGCTTACAATAATTAAAAAATAATACCGTAAACTATTTGTGATTTCATTTGAATGTAAACGTAAATGGAGGAACGTAGTTATAAACCTGGGGTTTTGGCGAAAGTGAGTTCGAGGTTGTCTGAAGGTAAGATCCGAGCAGAGACAAGCCTGGATCTCTTGGTGGATTGTAAGAATCTCAAGTAGCGGTCGATGAAGAAGAGGAAGATGTTAGGCAAGATCATGCAGAACCACGAGTCTCCAACATGGATTACATAGAAGACTATGTAGAGACCATATAGTTGATGAGTGTAGAAGAAAATCTCAAACTTCTTTCTTCTGAAAAATGGTAAACTCGTCACCCACATAGCTATTCCAATTACCATCGCAATTGTTCCAGCTAGATTAGGCACATATGTCGGATTCCATGCGAATGTCTTCAGATATTGAAAAAAAAACAAAATTAGGCTAGGTAGAAAAAATTTTAGTTAATCCGATGTGTGTTTTGTCATCCAACAGGACCAACACTATAGTATTCAGTTCAAGATAGATTAACAAAAAACAAAAATCTTACATGATGTCGAACAGTTCAGTATTAAAAAAAAAAGGTTGTAATATATAAAGACAAGAGAAGATTTAGCTTGTTGTAACGAACCTCCATTAACTTATTGACCATGGCCCAGTAGATGAGGAAAACGACGGTGTGAACGAGGAAGAGAAAGTTTGAGATATGTCCGAGCCAAATGTGATATTTGATACTTGACTCCGAAGTCAACCCAACAAGTGGCAGAATCGTAGAGGCTCTTGTCACAGGGAAGAACAAAAAGGCCCAACAGATGTGACCTACGTATCCTATTCTCAGCCCAAATGCCCTAAACTTTGCCTGCCATCTGCACCATTTCATTCAATGATTAAATCAACTCTCTCACAGATTTGGTTTTTTATGCATAATAATAATTTCCAAAATCTGTGGATGAATCGGATGTTCATGATAAACAAGGCGTTTAAAATAGTTAACCATGATGAAAATATTTGAATTTCAGTTCAACACTCAAAATAATGAAATACACCCTTTAATTATTGGACTACCACAATTCGTTTGGATTTGGATACTTGGAGGCATTTGTATAAGATGTGAAGTACAAGGAAAAAACATTTAGAGAGCTTACATTTTGGCGTTGTCGTGGTTATGAAGACTGACGTGATAGCTAAGGTAGAGATAATTGGAGAGAGCCCAAGTCAAAAGAGCCACAAACAATAGAGAAAAAGTCAACTCTGTGGCTGTCACTATCCCCAATGGGTTCATCACCATCATCACCCTCCCCATTTTCCCTTTCACCTTCCGTTCTCTGCATTTATATATGTAAATACGACTGTGATAATTTGTAACCAATACTAATTTGTATGAAGGTATAGCTAATATTTACAACAATGAGATTTTAACAAGCCAAACCTTTGAGTTTGGGTGGGTTTCTTCTGGATATGCAAATAAACACAACTCAGAACCGCAATGAACATCATTGGAACGGTAAGAAGCACAAGGTTTATGCCTACACATTCATGATGAATATTAAACACTCGGAATTAAAGGAATATGTAGATACTTGAAATAAATGCGAAAACTCGAGAGATTAATACCTTGAGGACCAAAATAAGTAGTATTGAGGTACTTGGCGAGTTTGGGGGTCCAGGTGCTTTTGAAAAGGTTAGTTGAAATCATAATCCAAATAAAAATCCATCCAAGAAATAGAACCACCATTGACATCTTCAGTAAGCTTCTCATATTCTCCATTTTCTCTTCAACACAATATATTGATGTGTGTTGTTATATGTGGAAGAGCTTTTTGGATTTGTTATTTATAGAGGAGTGTAGGGGTAATATCGTAGTTAATTATGTCATGTATATAGTACTATATAGTATATACATACATGTCTGAGAACCCTTCCACTGCTTATAATTATCTTTATCTCCCGACAGGTCTTTGCCGGCACAGAATATCAACAACTTATAATTAATTATATAGTACGAAGAAATACATATCACATATATATATCATGAATGATTTGATTACCCGCGCAAAATTGTATCACATAAGTTCTTAACATGTACATATACACACAAATACGTAACGCATATAGGATATCTTTTTAGATTTCCCCCTTGGTCTAAAGTCTATACATGTTATTTAGAATCGTCTTTTAGCATGTGTAACTGGAGCATTCGAACATTGTTTCAATAAATAAAGAATAATAATAAGGAATCTCTTGATACACAAATTAATATTGATCAGTACTTTTGCAGTTGAAAATGTTAGCAAGTATGTCTACCGTATTTCATGTTTTTTTTTGCTGTACAGATAGTTTGCGACAGTCCTAGATTATTTGCTGTATAAAAACTTGTGAGTTAAAAGCAAATGATCGATTACGCATATTTCTATTTTACAGCAAATATTGGGCAAATCAGAACAAAAACATCACCAAATGTAAGTTACTATTATGCAGGGGTTGAAATCTCGTTGAAAAAAAGAGCTATGTAGGTGATAATAATTAACAAGGTTGAGAAACGAAATATACCAGATTCTTCCAAACTTCCAATCAAATTAAGGTATACTTATTATTAAACCTTCATTAGTTTCTTGAAACTATTTTGACTTAGTGTTTCGTGCGTAGAGAGCTCAGATTAGAGAACATTCTATCAAGGCAAAGGGCCAAAAAGGCATGATTCATGCGTGGACAAAATTAGTACTTGGTGTACTACATCTTTACTTATTCTTAGCTAATAATCCATCTCTGCATTAAAAAATATATAATTATGTTAGTACGTACGTACTACTAATCATATTTAGAATAAGATTATATCAATCTTTGTTTGGAATAAGCATTCGGTATTCAAATCCAGTTCACGAGATGATATGTAGCAAAAAAAAAAAAAAAATTGTAATAAAAAAGTTCAATTGAACACATCCACATTTTCGACAACGTCAATTTATCTGACTTTATTGGGAGATTAACGAAGAAAAGAGGATAAATCTGACGCTTTTGGTTACAAATATTTGGAATCACGATAATCTTATTGATCTAGTTGTTGACATTCGACATTAGAGAAGTACATTTGACTTTTTAATAACGAACTCATTCAAGTACATTTGACTTTTCAATAACGAACTCAATCAAGTACAGTTGACTTAAATTGAAAGAGCGGTACAGTAGTACAATCTCTACATTATCACTAGATTCTTCACTTGAGACATGTACTTTTATAATAAGACATGTACCAAATCTATAGATAATATATAGTCGACACACTTTGATTGTGACACGTTAGGATCAACCAATGGAAATGGTTTACCGTTTATTTATGAGATAAATGCATAAGAAACAAATCCTTGCACCAATCTTATGAGTAAACAACTGATTTTTGGAAATATAAAACAAAAATTCAAAATTAATAAGACAACAAAAAATACTCCAATTTTACAAAGGAGTTTGGCTTCAGAATCCTTACACCAATCTTAAAACCTGTTTAGAGAAATCTATAATCGTTTGAGGACAAAAACTCCAAATCCAATGCCAAGAAAAGTTGCAATGGAGACTCCAAAAACGCCGGAGAGAATCCCTGGAACGACAAGAGAAGTCCATCCTTTTGCAGTTGCCATGGCACAAGCTGTGGTTGGTCCTCCAATGTTAGCGTTAGATGCAAGAAGCAGCAGCTTCATGTCAACACATAATAACTTCCCCAGAGCCAAAGTCACTGCAAGATGAACCATTACTTGAATTGCAGCAAAGAGGAAGATACTTGGTGCAGTGTTGATAACATTCCATACACTCCCTGTAGCTCCAAGAATTGTGAAAAACACCTGGCACAAAGAGACTCAAATATGAAAAGTTAAACCAAGGCTTATAAGCATCCCTAATTGAGTAATGGTTATATATACCTGCATGAGAATGAGAGAGATGGTTTCAGCAGAAGGAGCAAGAGAGTTAAAGAAATCAGGGAAGGAAGTCGCCAAGATGATGGTGATGGCTGTTACTGCAGGAAGCATGCCTCCTTGGATCTTAAACATCTCTGTCATCAAAATCGCAGCTTTGCATATCAAGAAGGAGACTGATAATGCAATCGAAGTTGAAACCACTCTGTTCTTGTCCTCAAGCTTCTCATGCTTATTAGTCTTGTCAGCATCTGTCACAGGTCAACATAGAACTTGAGTAGAAGTGTTTGTACATATGAAATGTGATAAAGATGAAGTTTTTACCAGGAACAGAAGCTGAGGTCTCAGGGGGTATCTTTGAAGCCAACGCAAACAGAGCCATGAAGTAAACAGCGCAAATCACATTGTCTACAGCTACACCAGCTGCTACTACTGATGGAGAAATGTGTAGAGCCTCCGATATCGCAACAAAATTAAGAGCTACATAGAAAAAGCAAGAACCTTTTTTAACTCTGTATGTTAACAAGCCAAAGAAGCAAGCAATGAGGAGGCTACAACAACTTACATCCACCAATGTAACTTCCCATAAGAGCAGCTGCTATTTTCCAGTTATCCGGACCAAGCGATCTCATCGGTACCAGCAGAAAAGCCACCACAGTCCCAACAACCGTCGCAACTGCCACCAACCAACTACAGATCAATATAAGCCACCACTAATCACACCATCAATTGCAATGTAGCTTCATAAATGAGCAATCTTTTGACAACACACTCTTATTTGGGAGGCAATTCTCGATTCTCTAAACACCTAACATGTGTAAAGATTCAGTTTTTGCTGCCACAGACAACAAAAATCTTGCCTTTAAGCAAAATGCAGAATCTTACCGGATCCAATTAAGAAAGCAAGGAGAAGTGACCCGGTGGATCGGATAATACGGCGGAGATCAGCTCTAAACAAGAGCAGTGGAATCGTATGCGGCAAGAGAAACTCCATGAAGAAGGAATACGACGGCGTTTCGAACGGGATGAGACCTAAGTTGCTGGCGGCGAGCCCAATCAACGTGCTGGTCAACGCCCCACTCACCATGCTCCCAATCTTCGTCTTCTCCGACCTGAAGAAGTCGGTAGTTTCACATAATCAGTATTACAAAATACCCAAAACAGCTCGAAGTTCCAATGTGAGCTGAATTACCAGACACCGAAAGCGCCGGCGGCGAAGAGAGCAGCCCATTGAGACCAGTGATCGTCGGGAGATATTAAAGGGAATCGCAGTTGAGAGAAAACCTTCACACCCCGAGAGGAGACAGGACTCGGCGGAGATAACGAAGGAAGCGTTCCCGGCGATTTGTTTCGGCGGATGGAAATCGACGACAAGGGGTGACGATGGCAGTGGCGGGAAGGAGACACGTGGCTCGATGAGATTGAGGGTGACAGTGGATTTGGTGACACCGACACCACTGTAAATAGAAGTGCCATTGATGAGTGCCAATTAATGCTCGAGGCCCAACACTGTGTGTATGATTTGGTTTTGGAAAATCCGATAAAAACTTACCTTCCACTTCTAACACTAACGATTTCCATTTCTACACCAAACAGTGACAACATGCTTACTCAGCATTATTAACATTAACGGAATACTCAAATTTTGGTGCCAAATTTATTTTTGATATAACCGTTTTAACGTCAAAACAAATTCTATTGTTTTAGCTCTAATACAAAATATAGCCGTTTAATGCTAATATAGGAATTTACGGTTTTTTGCCTCTTTGGTACGAAAATAAAATTTCACTATTTTCCAAATAAATTAAAACGAAATTTCGCATTTTAACGTCAAGTTTCACAATTTTGTCCTAAAACACAATTCTGCAAATTTCTGTTAAATTATAACTTTAGAATTTTTATTTTTATATAAACTCATGATTTATCAAATTTGCAATTTTACATATAATATTATAAATATGGGCATAAACTCGTTGAATATTTTCAACTATTTTTTTGTGTGCATCCCAAATGCAATATCAGGTTAAGCACAACTCACAAGTCACACAACTCATAAACCATCTCAATTAATCTCATGACAAAGCGGTAATACTTATACATAAGTTATCCAAGCCTGAATTGACAACCATAGTAAGAATGATTAACTAAAGTTTTATACTTTACCAAACCCGTAAAATCAATAGTTTAAAAAGCAAAACTTTTGAAATGATTGCCACCAAATAACTAGAAAAGCAGGTTTGGTTTCCCATTGTTGTTGACAAAATTTCTCTCCCTAATGATTCGCAAACACTCTCTTTCACTAAACCTTAGTGGAAAATACGAAAATGAATACAGAGGTGCCAGCAAATACGCACTTTCTAGTTTCTCCATTTTCCTTCACCATCTCCACTCTTCTCTTTAACATCAACAAAAACTTTCTCAAAACCTCTCCAAAGCTTCCTAACAATGGCGTTTCCCATAAATCTAATCATCACTCTTCTCTTCTCCTCCCTTTTCCAAATCTCATTCGCTGCTTTCACTCCAACTGACAACTACCTCCTTAATTGCGGCGCAAACACCAACGCCTCCTTCTTCTCCACCCGCTCCTTCCTCGGCGACTCCTCACGGCAAGGCTCCGCTTTTCTCTCCACCGATCGATCCATCTCTCTCTCCGACCCAAACCCACCTCCGGACTCGCCGGCTCTATACCACACCGCCCGTATCTTCCCCGGCGGATCATCTCCACCTCCCGCTTACAAATTCACCGTCACCAGCAACGGCACACACTTCATCCGTCTCCATTTCGCGCCATTCAAAGCTCCGGGATTCGACTTAACCTCTGCGAAATTCCGCGTCTTGCTCAATGGGTTCTCCGTGATGAACTGTCTCGCCACTATAAACTCCGTCGTCGTCAAAGAATTCTTACTCAAAATCGACGTCCCTCTTCTAGAGATTTCGATTTCTCCCTCCAAACCCTCTGGATTCGCGTTCGTCAGCGCGATAGAAGTCTTCTCAGCACCAAACGATTACATAATCGACAAAGGCACTAAGCTCGTAACCCCTAACTCCGCCCAAATCTTCAGCAACCTATCATCTCAAATCCTCGAGACGGTACACAGAATCAACGTCGGCGGATTGAAATTGACCCCCTTTAACGACACATTGTGGAGGACTTGGCTCGTCGACGACAACTATCTCCTCCTAAAAGCAGCTGCGAAACGCGCCTGGACGACCAATCCTCCGAATTACCAAACCGGCGGCGCGACGAGAGAGATCGCTCCGGATAACGTCTACATGACTGCGCAGGAGATGGATCGAGATGATCAGGAGCTGCAGGCGAGGTTCAACATCAGCTGGGGATTTCCGGTTGGATCGAGACGTGTTCTTCACCTGGTTCGTTTGCATTTCTGCGATATCGTTAGCTCGTCGCTTAACCAGCTCTATTTCAATGTCTTTATCAACGATTATCTCGCGGCTAGAGATGTTGATCTCTCCACGCTTAACTTCCATGTCCTTGCGTCTCCGTTGTACATTGACTTCGTCGCTGAGTCTGATCACGATGGGATGTTGAGAGTGAGTGTTGGACCGTCTGATCTCAGCAATCCGGCGAGAGCTAATGCTTTGTTGAATGGAGTTGAGATCATGAGGGTTCTGAATCCTGTGAGGTCCAAAGTCGGATCTGGAAAGAAGAGCTTCCTCTGGATCATTCTTGGTTCGGTTTTGGGGAGTTTGGCTCTGCTAGTCTTGTGTGGTTTATGCTTTTGCAGGCGTAAGAGCAAGAAAACGAAGAGGTCAGAGAGCATTGGATGGACACCGTTGAGGAGGTTTAGAGGAAGTTCCAATAGTAGAACAACTGAAGGAACTGTTAGCTCTAGTGGCTATCAAACTTTAAGAATCTCTTTCGCTGAGATACAATCAGGAACCAATAACTTCGACAGGAGTTTGGTAATCGGAGTTGGTGGATTTGGGATGGTGTTTAAAGGCTCTCTCAAGGACAATACTAAAGTAGCGGTGAAGAGAGGCATGCCTGGTTCAAGGCAAGGCTTACCGGAGTTTCTCTCTGAGATAACCATTCTCTCCAAGATCCGTCATCGGCATCTCGTCTCGCTTGTTGGATACTGCGAAGAACAGTCTGAGATGATTCTTGTTTATGAGTACATGGACAAAGGACCGCTCAAGAGTCACTTATACGGATCAACAACCAACGCGCCTCTGTCTTGGAAGCAACGGCTTGAGGTCTGCATTGGTGCTGCGAGAGGTCTTCACTACCTTCACACCGGCTCTTCGCAAGGGATCATCCACAGAGATATCAAATCCACTAATATCTTGCTGGATGACAACTACGTGGCCAAAGTTGCAGACTTTGGACTCTCGAGATCGGGTCCTTGTCTTGATGAGACTCATGTGAGCACAGGCGTTAAAGGAAGCTTTGGTTATCTTGATCCTGAGTACTTTAGGAGACAGCAGCTCACGGATAAGTCCGATGTTTACTCGTTTGGAGTTGTTCTGTTTGAAGTTCTTTGCGCTAGACCAGCTGTTGATCCGTTGCTTGTTAGGGAGCAAGTGAATCTTGCGGAATGGGCGATTGAGTGGCAGAGGAAAGGCATGCTTGATCAGATCGTTGATCCGAATATCGCTGATCAGATCAAACCTTGCTCGTTGAAGAAGTTCGCGGAGACCGCAGAGAAATGCTGTGCGGATTATGGCGTGGATAGGCCAACGATTGGTGATGTTCTGTGGAATTTGGAACATGTGCTTCAGCTTCAAGTATCAGGACCTTTAGACAAGCCTGAGGAAGTTTCTGGTGACCTTACCGGCTCGGGAACGGCTCGGAGTGGCTCGAACACAGTGAGGGACAACGGAGATGGAACTTCAGGGATAATCAGTAGTACACAAGTGTTCTCTCAGCTAATGACGAATAATGGGAGATAGAAGAAAGCTCATTGCTATATAGAGTGTTCATACTTCATAGATCTTACATTAACCGGGAAACCAAAATGGTGTACCGGTGTCTCGGATTCGGTTTGTGTTGGTATTTGATTTGTGTAGATTTTTGCTCATATGTTTGTAACTTTTGTAAGACGGATTAACCATAAACCGGAAAAACCAACACATTATTTGTGAATTTTGTGTGTTGTTTGGTTTAATTTAAATCGGTTAAACCGAAATCTGAAAAGTTATTGATAAACGTAAACCCTCTCAAGCCACAACGCTCAGAGAAAACTTTCTCTCTCTGGGAGACGAAGCGGAAGAGCACACTATCAATGGCGTCTCTGCGAGTGTTCTCAACGAATAATTATCAATCGCCGCTTCTTCCATCATCGTTCTCGTCAAAACCCCTGATATCTTCGCCACGATTCGTCAAAAGCCCGAGCAGACGGAGTCCAATACGATCCATTCTCCAATTCAATCGCAAACCGGAGCTCGCCGGAGAAACGCCGCGTATCGTTGTCATCACCTCCGGAAAAGGCGGAGTTGGGAAGACGACTACAACCGCAAATGTTGGGCTCTCTCTCGCTCGTTACGGCTTCTCAGTCGTCGCCATTGACGCGGACCTCGGCCTCCGCAACCTCGATCTCCTCCTAGGTCTAGAGAATCGAGTCAATTACACCGTCGTCGAGGTCATAAACGGAGACTGCCGTCTCGACCAGGCTCTGGTACGCGATAAGCGCTGGTCGAATTTCGAATTGCTATGCATTTCTAAACCTAGATCGAAACTTCCAATGGGATTTGGTGGGAAAGCATTGGAATGGCTTGTAGATGCTCTGAAAACCAGACCGGAAGGCTCTCCGGATTTCATCATCATCGATTGCCCTGCAGGAATCGACGCCGGATTCATAACCGCCATAACTCCGGCGAACGAAGCGGTCCTGGTAACAACTCCTGACATCACCGCGCTCAGAGACGCCGATAGAGTCACGGGCTTGCTGGAATGCGACGGAATCAGAGATATAAAGATGATTGTGAACCGAGTGAGGACTGATATGATCAAAGGAGAGGATATGATGTCAGTGTTGGATGTGCAGGAGATGCTGGGCTTGTCGTTGCTCGGCGTGATTCCTGAAGACTCTGAGGTGATCAGAAGCACGAATCGTGGGTTTCCACTTGTGCTGAACAAGCCTCCAACGCTTGCGGGATTGGCGTTTGAGCAGGCGGCTTGGAGACTCGTGGAGCAAGATAGTATGAAGGCTGTTATGGTGGAGGAAGAGCCTAAGAAACGTGGCTTCTTCTCCTTCTTTGGCGGCTGAAATGGATTGGAATTTGGAACTGAACTTCCTCGGGTATGTATGCATCAGAATCATTTTGTACAGGAACCAGATTTTTGAAGATTTTGTCTTCTTTTCTTTGAGGTTTTAGAATTGTTCACTAGGAGGTATGGAGAGTTCTATTGCTAGTTTGTTGCTGAGTTCAAGCTTTGATTCTATGTCCCCTTTTGTTTCTTGATCTCTGTTTCTGTATCTCTTTCATGTAAAATTGAGATTTTTCAATATATCTCGAGTTCTTTGGTTCTCAATCTTTCTTGATTTGTATGAACTTAACCAAACTTGAGTTGAACGATTTGCATATCATAATTTCTCAAAAACTTTTTATTTATTGGAACAAAACAAGTTTACATGCTCTTTGAAGATTCTGATGCAGGACACTGTATTCTGATAACCGCTAACAATTCCGGTTTAAGACGAACCGGATATGTTTGGATCGGTTAACCATTTCTTTACTACTAACTTTACACACATGCTCATTAGAACCATAGCAGCATTTACGTTACTAGGTTCCTCACTTGTGTCAGAGACACTGACAAAACATCAAAGCCAAAACTTTTGGATACGACTCTATTATACCATGGGTTATGAACACTGTGTGATTCTTGGATTATGCTGATACACTCTCTTGAGGTTTGCCAATGGCAGCTTCTAGATCATGACTATGACAGCTGTCGGAGTCTGTGAATTTCAAGTAGTTCTCGATGTTATCTGTACTTACGTTTCTGAGCTGGTCGAGCCAGCGGTGGTGACTACCCTGTTTGGGTCTCGGACGGTTGCTGATGGCGATGGCGTGGTCGTTAGGGAAAAGATCGCGGAGGACAAAGGCGTGGATGATGGTGGTCACAAGCAGCGCGAAAACGACTAGCGTCGCAATGGCACAGAGGACCACACACATGACTTGAGTCATGGTGGTCCTCACCACTGCTGCGTACCTGATGGTTGCAATTGCAGCTCCGGTCATCGGAAATGTGTACGCCCACCAAGACAGCGAAAATCTAGTTAAAAGAAAAACGGTTGGAGGAAGTTAAGCTAATGAGCAAATAAAAATCATAGTGTGAATATTCTAAAAACTGAAATTTTCTAAAGCTTACCTAATTCCACGGAAGAAATTAATCCGAACAGCCTGAAAAAATTGTACAAAACAAAGAAAGTGTAGATTTGTATTAGTGAGTACTTTTCTGAAGAAATGAAAACACGTATGAGCCAAGATTATATGTGAAACGTACCAAAGAGAAATAGAGGAATATGGCGATGAAGTAACAAACTTTGGAGCCATAATCGAAGGAGCCAGTGATCCTAGCCCAAGCCATGGACGCGACGCTTGGAGCCGCGACAAAGAGGAAGAAGACAGGGTGGAGATCTTTAGGCAAAGTCTCGTTGGTCGGTAGTCTTTGGTAGAGAGTCACGAACAGAACCAAGTAATGAGCCATCCCAACAGCGTAGAAGAATAATGGGCCTTCTTTAAGTCCCATGGTCGCACCAAGCAAGGCCCCGACAAAGTTCCCGACGACCGAGAGATGGTTCGTCGGGTTTGCGACTCGGGACAGCCTGCGTTGACCACCGGACATCCACTGACCGTAGATCTTGAGCTCGAGACAGATGAAAGGAAACATGAGGAGGTACCAAAGCCAGTGTGGCAACTTTGTAATTATGGAAGGTGGGACACCGAGGGCTAAGAAGAGTAAAGAAATGAAAGGAGCGAAGAAGAAGTTGACTCTGATCGGATGGTAGTATTCTCGGCGTACGGCTTCGAAGTAGAGGATGATCTTGAGGAGGTAGATGGTGGCAATGGTGAAGATTAAAGCGACGGAGATGAACCAGAGCACCTGGTTGATCAATAGAGGTACGTGGAGGAACTTGGTTGGCTCCGCGGTGGCTAGGGTTTTCCACATTATGGCTTGGCTGCTCACTCCGAGGCACATACCGAAGGAGGAGATCGGGTAACGGAGAAGAAACGGCCACGTTTGTTGACTTGGTAGAACTATCTCTTCTTGAGGCTGCAAAATCCGAAAAATAAAAAGAGAGTTACAAAACATGTCACTCCAAAATATATGAGCCATAATGCTTAAAACATAATTAAAACTAAACCATATTAATTCAAATGTAATGAAAATAATTTAGGTAACAAATTATTTAGTTAAAGCCAAAGATTATTTCACATATTGATTTTGCTATTCTTTTTTTGTATATATATAATTTTCCATGATTATTTCGTTACTTTGTATTATTATATGAGCTAAAATAAATGTTGGTACATACCCGGAGAGTCTCCAGTTCAGGACCTTCCAAGGCATCATAGTAACGGTCCACAGGCATGGCTTCATTGTTATGCACCTTCTGTTTATCCCCGGTTGGTGACTCCGGTTCAACAATAGCTGGTTTTCTTGTGAATTGTCTCTCGAGTTTCCCCGACCAAGTCTTGAACGAATTGTACCTGTGATCCTTAAGCTTATTCACCGCCGGTTTAAGGTCATGGTGATGAACGCTCTTATGATGACGATGCTGATAATGATTATCACTACGATGTTGACCATCATTTTCGTTACCGGTGTCTATGTAGAGAGAGGAGACTTTGGTCATCATCGGCTGAGAGAGGAACTTGACGGATTTGCCAGTGGAACCAACGTTGTTGCTGTTGGTGTCGGAAGAAGAAGATGTCGGATCGGTGATCATGAGAATATTTGGTGAGGTTGGCATTGAAAGTGATGGTTTTCTTTGATGATTAACCATCATCCATGGCTGAGTATCTTCCTGATGATCTCCTATTGTTTCTCTTGATGCTTCTTGATCATTCTATCCACCATATATATGGTAACATGATTTTCTCGGAATTAGTTATATAATAAGATATAATATAATGTTTTCGAATGTGGAAAGTATAAATAAATACTATACCAAAACAGGCGTGGAGGCATGAGAAGGATGAAAACGACTGACTGGGTGCGGACTGATTGGGTGCGAAAGAGGAAGATTATTATTATCTTTGTAATTGTCAAAGCCAACCATTTCTTCTGTTGTGGCTTTCCTCAATAAAGTTGGGAGCTCCTCTTCTACTTGTATTACATGATTTGGTCTCTCCTCCATCTTTATTTATTTAGATTTCCCCTGTAACAAAATCGTCAATTGATTATTGGTAATGAGAGTCAAATATAATTTCTTAAAAGCATATGCGAGGGCGGAAAGATATTACATAAGCAGAATATTCCCAATAAATTTATTGGCCAAAGAGAAGGATTTCTGGCGAGTTTATTTCCATTAGATTTTTACCCTTTTCTCTATCTTTATTCTTTTATATTTATTCTCTATAATTAAAATATTTTACTAACAAGATCGGGAAATGGATTTGGGTTTTACATTTTCTAAAAATCACAAACTGATAAAAATAGAATAAGTTTTTCTATTTAAACAAAAACATGATCTAACCCACTAAATCCACCTTACCTAAATTCTCCACCTACAGACAGCAACCTAAATGTCTAGTGGTAGTGGTCTAGCCACTACTGGTTTCTCAGCTGAATGGAATTCGACTACACTCTATTGAATATCGTGGCCTAGAAAAAATCTACCACTACAAATATTAATATGATCATTCGGGAGGCCTTGAAAATCCTCCTCAAGCTGAAGAAAATAAACCTCAGCTTGGCCTTGAGAAAATACAAATATAAATATGATCATTCGGGAGGCCTAGAAAATATATGTATGAAAACAAAGTAGAACAAAAGAACAAATAAATTGTTTTAATTCTCGTTTTTTCGTCTAACTCACGCCTAACTTTTGAAATCCAAGGTTTTGTTTCAGATATTTAAGTACAAATTTGGTAATTGTAATATATGTCTTCATAGCGATTGTTACGTGGTTTTTATTTTTCCCCTTGTGATCATTTGAGATTTTCCACGTCAATGGTCTACGCTAAAACCATTTTAAAAGCCGCAGTTTCAGCAATTTTTTTTTTCAAGTATGGATACTAACTAAATTGGTTTTAACCAAACATAAAACTCCTGTAAACAACAGAAAAAAAAAAGAAAGAAGAAATAACATTTTCTTGAAAAAAAATGACGAAAGATTTCAAATCAATTGTGTGGTGAGTAGTGAGCTAAGCTGTTCCCATCAACTCAACGGGTCCACTTGAAAGTTATGGTCCAACACGGGTTGTGGTTAATTTACGCGTGTTAGCGTGTAACAGCCACAGGCAATCAATATAGTTCAATCGCTGTGAAACCGGTTTCATCTTCTCAAAGATAACTACACATGTAAACCGGAAATCTGTCTAAACCTATGTTCAAGCTGTAAATTTAAAACTAACCCGTTAAAAGTTGCATCGATTGGCATTGAAGTTTTAATTCTTAATTTCGTTTTTTTTTCGGTGGAAGCGTTTTGGGTTTAGGAAAGAAAGAAACGATCGATGAGAAAAAGAAAACAACAAGAAACAAGAAAATAATAAATATAAACCATAAATTTTAACAGATGGTAACCAGAACCCTAAGATCAGATTCGTTTATTGCCTATGCATTTATACGTTAAAGAAGAAAGATAATCCTAAGGCTCTGTCAGCTACGAACCACGACGAAGAAGATAAATGAAACAGTCACTAACCTGGCGATTTTGATATTTCCAGCCGTACGTAGAGCTTCTTAAGTTATGTCTAAGAATCTGGGGGGAGAATCAAAGGAAATGCTGTGATGATCTCGAGATCTTCTCTGTATCTTGTACAGATAAAAATGGTGTTTCTGTTAGAAAGAAGCGAAGAGGAAGGAAGAATAGAAAAAGCGAGTTGGTTTTGGCGAAAACAAAACACGTCTTTGTACTATTTATATAGATATGTATTTTCACGTAAGTACAGTTACGGAATTAATCTATACTGTATCTATTTATTGTATATATTTGTATGTATAGCTGTAATTCAAACTTTTCAACGTGGCCGTCTTCTTGTTGATTAACTAGTCGTTATTCACGTCATTGACAATCTCGAGTGTAATTTTCTTTCTTATTTTTATTTTTAGACGTATTTCTTCAGTTTTTTAAGCATTGGTCTTCAGATGGTGGACCACATTATACATAACGGACAAAAAACTAAAGCAACTTGGAAATCTTTCAACTCCAAATTTTATGATGTTGAAGATCATATTTATAAAATAAACACATACTGTTGATCATATAAATGATTTTTTTGAAAAATTTCAGAAGAAATTTGTATTTTTATGTTCTTATAAGCTTATTGGTAAGTTTTTCTTTAAATCGAAGAAAATGCACTGCTGCCCATTAAAGTCCACAAATAAATTGTATGAAAAAAAGATTATGATCGATCAAGGGTGCATTCATAATTTTGAAATGTTAGACATACTTATTATTGAAAACATTTATGGTGGTCAAAAACATTTGTACTATAAGATTTAATTTTATATGTGACACTTTAAAACGACTAACACGACAACTATTATAATTTGCGCAAAGACGTACGTAGGAAAGAGGAAGAAACCAACTTGGTTTACAAACCCTTCGCAAAGATTGTGTTGTTAGGTACATATTTGGTTGATTGATTGAATTAGGATTTGTAGCTGTCAGTGAATTGTTTCTGTCATATAAAAAATAAATATTGCTCCGTTATATTTTGTTGATGCTTTGTAAATAAAAAATTCGGTTCCTATCTACATGCGCTGTACATGAGTTTTGTCTTTAGAGCGGACAAAACTTAGGTTTGACCTTAGGGCAAATTGATAATGCCGAAGATAGACTTAACGCGAAAACAACAATAATAACTCACCGTCGAACGTCTAATTGTATATTGATAGTTTAAGGTTTTCCTACTAAAATAATTTTCTAGTTTGAAAATTTATTTGAATGATCTGATTTATTAAATATAATGCATATATGTTTGTTTGAAAGAGAGTTCATAATAGTACACATAATTCTTCAATTATTATCTCCTTCAATTTATATGCTGACATTATATTAAATTCTCTCTTAACACGTAGATGATCTCTACGTATTTAAAGAGGTAGCTAGGGAATATCCTGTGCAATCAGACAGACTTGGTGTTTGATTATTCCATAATAAAGAAAGCAATGATAACCACTGATTATCTTAAATTATCGATAATTGATCTCAAATGTAACAAATTTGTCAAATCTAGATGAAAAGGACTTGAACTATATCGGACTAACAAATTAATTTAGAAAACTTATTGATTTGAATACAAATAGGATGGATATATCTTGAATTCTACAAAATTTGTTGCATATGAAACAACTACAAAAATCATTAACGTTTATTATATATTTTGAGGTTTTGCTATTAAAATTCTCTTAAGTCAAACGTATTTGATCTCAAGTAATTTTAAGCTAAGTGATCTATCCGTAAAATGATTGTTGGTATCATTTACACACCAAATGAACTTATAAAAACGATTTATAAAGAAATGATCGTTTTAGTAATTAAGTAATTTCCCTTGATATATTTTCATTTTGCAGTATCGTTTTCTTATGTTAGCTTTTTGTGGATGTCGTATGTTTATGTAAAGAGAGAAATTTTGGTTGGATGAGTGATCCAAGCCGACAAAACTAGAGAAAGATATTATTGTTGGACAATAAAGAAGGACAGGAAATTGATTCCGTCCTCCTACCATTTTGTAAAGGAGTGAAGGACAAATTTTGGGGAAAAGTGAATAAATTTTAATAAAATATGGAGCTGTAATATGATAGGCCATGGACCCATATGAATTGATAAGTGCTGTTTCGTTAATTGTCACTTGCTATAGAGTTTGGAGTCCTTATCGTAAGTAAACGTGGGTATCTTCCACTTGTGTCGGTCCATATACAGTTGCCCCATGCAACCTAAAGTTTCTAGAAGAAAAAATTAGTGGGCTAATCGGTTTCTAATATTAAAATACCTAAACAGTAAAAAAACTGTTATAATTTACAGTATACAACAAGAATTGTTGGCTCTGAACCAAAAACAAACAAAACAGGAACTCCGGAGGAAAAGAAAAACATAAATTATGGGGAAAAAAAGAAAAGAATAAGATATTTGACTTACCTTTAATACTAATATGTATTCGATTTGATTTCAATCGTAGTTAGGCTAAAATTAGGATCTTATATTAGTGTTATTAGGACTTAGATACCAAATTAAACAAAAATATGCCATATTTATACCAAAATGTGCCATATTTAGATGATGTTTTAATATTTTTCTTTTGTATAACAGAAACTCATCTTTTGGATACCTTCGGAAAATGTTAGACATATGCTTAAAACTAAAATGTGTTGACTTACTCTGTTTATTGTCTTAGTTGGGGAAATGGGTTGGCTTTCTTGCTTGACTTGTAGTCAAAACTGTTAAAAGTAAGAAGTGGCACTTATTCCAAAACTGAAGCTAACAGATCATATATATATATATATATATATATGCATAAATGGGTAATATTTCAATGCTCGATTGGGGAAAGTAACACATAGACATGAACCACATAACATTACATCGTCAAGAATCAATTGAAAAACATACTAAGGAATTGATCCACCAATCTCCAACAAGCCAATAATGAAACTGTGTGTGGACTGTAACAGGTCCTTGCCGTTAACATGTGTTAGTTCATGCTTGGCTGGTGAGGATGGTTCCATTGATATGCAATAAATTGAGGGTTGGTTTGGTTCATGGGACTGTGTTCTGTTGCATTCTGAGATTTTACTACATGATCATCAGGATTCCTTTAAGACTCGTTTACTTTGGTTTATGAAGTGTCGAAGCAAATAACAATTCTCTCATCTGTCCCTCAGCATTGTGTACTGATGTTGCCTGCAATACAGTGTTTCTCAGGTCACATTAATCTGAATAAAACTGTTATGTAAATTCACAGGTCCGATTTAGTCTTGTGGTAAATCTCATAAGCCGACGTACCTTTATCGAGAATGCAAACCGTAATGTCTCAATTTGCATTCCAGAGCAAAGCCTGAGGTCGAAACCAAGTGAATCTATCCCAATGAGCTTCACTTCCTACATTGTAAATTTGTAATGTCATATGGCAACATAGTCCTAAAAAGCTAGACAACTTCTTGTCCAAATTTCAGTCTGTAATGTAAAGTTCCATTTTCCTTTTCTTTTGTTTTACCTCTGCTTGAATCCCATTATGTCTCCAACACAGAGACTTCAGAGCTTCAGTTAGTTTATCGCCATCTTCTTCTAGACGACTCACAATACTGTCTGACGCTCGAGCAATAGCATCAGGTTGTGCTTTCCTGACATCTCCCACTTCCACTTCAGCCTGTTCAAAAGCAAACACACACAACAGAGCAAAAGCATTAAATTTACATAAGAGAGTCTGTTAAACAGTAAGTACAAAAATGGAGAGGCTTTATCATAAAAACCTGATGCCCCTGTGCCGTGATGAGCTGGATCCTTATCATCTCCAGCTTGTAATACGTTATGGCCTTACTCGAATCCTCAAGCTGCAATATCTCAGATTCATCATCCCCACTTGGCCTAACAAATTTCTCTCCTTCCTTGTTTTGGTCAGTACTTGTAGAATTAGGATCAGAGATATGATTTTGGATATCTAAGTGATCTTTCACAAAGACACGACTCAGTAGCCCCTGGATCGCAAGGCCAGTGGACGCCTGCTTCATCCAGTTCACAGGATCATTTGAAGCAACCTCAGATATCCTCCTGGCGAAATACATAGGATGGCAAGTTCGCATTGTGTCCAAGTTTGCCCAGTCTCCAAGTGACTCATCAGAATCTGACACGTAATCATCGTCTTCATCTCCATCTTCTAGAACAGCGATCCATTCCTGAAGTCAAGGTTACAACTATCTTGTTTTAAGTTCTTTGATAGATGAGTACTAAAAGATGATCGAAATAATTGTTTACAAACCTCGTCATCTTTGTCTTCTTCTCCTTCATCCTCATCCACCTTGTTTTCATCCTCTACTTCACTTATACCTTCTTCGATTCCAAAACCAATACCAGAGGGACTGCTCAGCTCCATGTCCTTGATCATCTCCATTGTCTCAAAACCTACTATCACTTGCTGCATTGCATATGTAACTTATTATGGCTCTAGCTTCTAACAAGTGAATATAGAGAAAACAATAGCGTAAACTGCAAAGACTAGACCATGAAGCAGAGTCATTTTACTACATAAAACATATGAAACAGTGGCACAAATCTAGATGACTGTTACTGAAGCATGCCTTTGCGTGTTTGGATTCTAGTAAGTTATCAAAGAAAGAAGAAAAACAAGAGAGCAACTTTATCTACCAGTGCAGAAGAAAATTGAAAGCAAATTGCTTCAAATGACTTAAAGCATCCATTCTTCCATGAATTGTCTAAAAGTGCATGTAATGCTACAGGATATGCATGAAATGCCTGGAAAAGAGAACATACCACATAATTATTATCGGAAGTAACAACAGTCTGCATTATGTCTTCGTTTTCCTTTACTTGAAAGTATATATCTGCATTGCATGAGGGTAACATTCAAATAAATACCTGACAGTAATAAGCCAATCAACTAGTAAATAAGAAGAGAAGAAAAAGTTTGTTTTCGTTTCTTCGTACTTGCATGCTGATCTGTTACATAAGGTATATCAGGCCAGAGAATATTCTCATGAAGTCCAATACCAAGTAAACCTGAAAGCATCAGCGTTCCTTTCTTGTTCACCTGAACAAGACACACTACGGTAAATGTCAGATCCGCTAAGCAAGCAAGTTGAGTTTTCAGGGCTGCATTCTGAATATCTGATAGAATAATACTGAAGAAACTTATAATGGTGAGCGCTAACATGTGACTATAGTTAATAAGACATTTCTTCCTACAAATTGGTTTTACTAGAAACTTTATCTTGTGTTGATTGAAAGTTGTGTTATACCTCAATGATGGTTCTAGCTGTTTCTGCAGGTGGAAGCCTAGAATCTCCATGATTCTCTGCCAGATAAGCTCTGATTTCTTCTGAAGGATGATAACTTGACTTCCCTGTTGGCTTCTTTGGATCTGAAGCTGAACCCAAATACTCTGCTATGGCTTGAGTCCTATTCTTCCTCGGGTCCTTTCTTGTAACAAACTCACTGTTACACTTCAGAAATCCATTCCTGTTAATGCACACACAAGTCAATTCAAAAATTTGGTAAAAATATGTAAATAAGAATTCACATGTAAAGAAGAAAATGCAATTTGAAACTCAATCTTTTGCAGTTGACTACAAATGAAACTATTCGTACACTAATACATAAACAAAAGTGAACAACTTTGGACCAAATATGAACAAGTAATGTTCTTCAAATGGTACCAAGTATAAGTTAATATGAACATAAAGATTTTTTTCACTTTGTGCTAAATCTCAACATTCATGAAAAATGTTTACTTTCAGAAGAGAAAAATCTCAACTTTGATTCACAGGATTAATAGTAATGAAATAAAGGCATCTACACAGTACCCAGCAATAGTGTTGAGCCGGTGAGAATGAATTATTCGGCGAGTCGCGACATGGAAGTAGCTTCCTCCGTCTTCTGGGTTCGCCACAGGACGATAATCTGCAAGTATTTGCTCGAATTCAGATAATTCAAAAAGGAAAACCAATTACGACTGGAGAACAAAAATTCAGATACAGAGAGAGAGAGATTACGGGGAAGTGCCGTCGACGAGAAGACTCCGGGGGAGAAGCGGACGGCCATGACGGACTCAGCCACCGGGAAGCTGAGGCCTGAAAAGACCAGCCACAGCTTTAAAATATCTCTTCGGGATTTTGCTAACTGGTGCTGACGTGTCTTATTATCATTGGCTATTACTCCCGATGATGCGTCCAAAAAGGTTATCTTTGAAACGCCGCGTTTTGGGTCTGATTCATTTAACCCATCATCGTAGAAACGATTCAGAAAAATCATAGAACGTTCATAGAAAAATGCAGTGTCTAAAATAGTTCTGTTTTAATAATTGGATCTCTGTAATTTATTATCCATCCTTACTATTAATGATAAATTTATCAAAACAATTTATAATTTAGAAATATATAAACACACAACACACACACATAAACTTAAGGTATCATTTATAGTTTGAATACTACATTTTAAGCTGCGTAGTTAGTGTTGGTAACTCTGCAATCTCGGCGAATCTCTCCAGCTTTTCCGGTCAGCACATTGATAGAACCCATCCTCGACACTGCCAAAGCAAAAGACTTTCTGAAATCTTCAAAACCTGAAGCGAACTCTTGCGAGATCTCCTTGGAGTCATCGTTGTAGAGCAACTGTTGGTCCACTCCCAAAACAGCGTTATGAGACAAGACACGAGAATAGTAAGAGCTGCTGAATCTGTTGCTCGAGCCTGTGTCTGGGTTTAGGTAAACCAATGGATCGGTTTGGCCCTTTTGAGTTCTTGGAGGACAAAGATATCGAAGTTGTGAAACCAAGGTTGTGTTCATGGTCGGATCTGGTTTCCCTGTGTCCTTGAAGTTGTATAGTCTGTTCACTATGTGGCTGCAGTGTGTCTTCCCCATTGAGTGTGCTCCTGTTCCATCATCAATATGTAAAACACTTTCATATTTTCGTGAAATATTTATCAAAATGTAAATGCATAAATATTCGAACGCGTTAACGTATGCGTTTGCATTTAATAAATATCTTTCCTTATGGTTGTGTATTTATTTGGATGAAAAAGTGTAAAACAACGCAAACGCAAAACCAAACCCAACGTAACCAAACAATCAAACTTGTAATAGTAGCATTGCGATTAGGAGGCCACTTGAAGATGCTTGTGTCTAAAGGAAGAAAAAAGAAGAAGGTGGTGTAATACCTAAAAGAGTAGTCATGTCCAAAACGTCAAGGCCTTTGGACTTGAAGTATGCCAGTGACTCCTCAAATGAGATAGACGGTGAAGGTAGATCCACGGCGTCTGGATTGAGTTCCCCACCGTCCCTTCTCCCGGTAAACACAGGGTAAGACGGTGCACCGGCCTAATCATCATTTCATCGAATCCATCAAAACACATTAGTAAAACTCATTATAATACTCTCCTAGAACATAATCAGTTAAGAACATGCGAATCTGTATATATATGTACCATGTGAACAGCATCTCTAGTGGCAAGATTGAGGATATCAGCGCAAGAAACGACACCGGGACAACGCGATTCAAGAACTTGTTTTATCTTATCGATTAGCACAAAGCCTGCAAGTCCTCGGTTCTGGGGAGCTGTCCTCTCTGACTTTGGTCCTTGCAAAAGAACCGAAGCATCACACCCCTACATATACGCATTTTACATAAAACAAACACCATAAGTTATCAATAACAAATTAAAGTAATGTTGATGCTATGGTAAATGAAAAGGAAAAAGAAGAAGAGGGGGGTTTTTATACTTACATTAACCATACAATCGGAGTAGAGAAGACGAAGGAGCTTGGGAGCAATGGTAGTGTCATTCCTATAAAACTTTTCGACTTGATATCTAATATAAGTTTCTGCATCATCACAAGTATCTTTGTAATAATGCCATACCAGCTTCACCGGGGGGTTCATTCCCGTCGCAGCGTCCACCATCGATATTTTGGCTAAGCTTATTACTACGAGGATCAATAGTGGGGAAAACTTCACAAACTGCTTCATTTTCGTTTATGAAAATGGGAAAAACAAATCTTCCACCACAAAACCCTAGATGTCTATATGTTACTTGATATTATTCTTATGATGTGTGTGATTAACAGAAACAAATAGATAGAGGAAATGTAAATGTAATAATGAATTAAGATATAGGCATTAGTGGTCGATGAGTGAGGGATATATATAAGGTTTTGACAACAGAAAAAGGAAAAAAAAGGAAATAATAGAAGGTTTTGACAAGAGTGGCGAGTCCACGTGGATCCACCGGTTATGTCGATTTTCGATATAAAAGAATGTTATTACGTTTTGACTTTGAGCGTTTTGGTGTACAGTACAAGGAATCGCGTGTAGGCCAAACGCGGATTCACATGAAACGATGTCCTTCCATGTTCGAGACTAATTATGTGAATTGTGTGTAGGACAAACGCGGATTCTTGGTGAATGTCTTTTCATGGTTTAATGTTGCTATAGGTATTGTTGTTGTAATCTTAGGGTATAACTCGTTGATGATAGTGGATTCCGGTATACTATTCTAGGAATCGCTAGCGAAAACTCCTTCGTCTTTTTTTTTGTTTATTTCCACATTGAGTAACAAATTAAATCGCTATTTAATCGATCTGGATTAATTGGCACAGACACCATTTGATTGAAACTTGCAATCAGAGACTTGTGAGACAAATTGGTCGGCGAAGAAACATTTCGCTTGCTTTTGTTGTGGATGTATTAGCAAGTTTCCATGTATAGATATTTATATTTCGCTAAATACTAGGAATGACGACTAACGATCCGGTTTGGCCAGTCAGTCTTTACAGCTAGATTTTGACCGACGTTGTAAGCCAACACGTTGCTGAAAACTTGTCCTTTCTTAAGCGTCAATTGATCGAAAAATTTGGTATTTCATTTCTCTTTATTTTTTTTTATTTTTTTTTGTTCAAATGGTATTTCATTTCTCATGATCATGAATGTGTGTAAATGGTTACTTTATAAATCAACTACGCTATTTAAAAAAAAACTACGCTATTTTATTTTGTATTTACATATTAGAACTGGTTTTTTAAGAAGCCAAGAGTATCTTTTTAATTTGTAGTCTAATACAAAAAGAGAAATGATATAAATAAAATACAAATGGTAAAAAAAAAAAAAAAAACTACCTAGGAGACATTGAAGAGTAACTACAAGTAGCATGAGACCGAGACGAGGAAAGATAGCTCTGAGAGGTTGTGATGGTATTACTATTAACAGTGAAAGAGCTAAGCTGATTGTTAATCTCTCTCCTCATCGCTCTATACACATCCTCCAATCCTTCTTCTATAAGTTCCAGAATCGTCTGCGGCATCGGTGGCAAATTTATCTCCTCCGAAGAACCTTCTAAAAGCTTCACCACCTCTCCCATCGACGGCCTCATCGATACATCGTCTTGTATGCACCAGAAAGCCACCTTAAGAGCTTTCACTACTTCTCTTTCATCTGCTACTCCTTGTAGCCTCCTATCCACAACTTTCAAAGCCGTCCCATTTGTTAGTTCCTATACATCAAAAACAATGTTTATAAAAACTATTAGGCGTTAATGGGACATTCAAGTGCGGTCTAAACCCTAGACAGCATCTAGACGCCAATTTTTTTTACTTCTTGTGATATTACCTTGTAGGCCCATCCAGGGTAAAAGAAATTCTCAGCATCATAGGACACATCAAGATTTCTCCGACCACCAACAATCTCAAGAAGAAGCATCCCATAGCTATACACATCGGCCTTCACTGTGATCGGGCGGTTACTGACCCATTCCGGTGCTAAATACCCTCTCGTGCCTCTAATCATCGTAACCACTTGCGAATGCTCTCTCCCCATCATCTTCGCGAGCCCAAAATCCGATACCTTGGGACAGAAGTTTTCATCCAGCAAAATGTTTTCAGGTTTAATGTCGCAGTGAATAATCCTATTCCGACACTGCTCATGAAAATAAGCAATCCCCTGCGCAGTCGCCATCGCTATCTCGAAACGTGTTTGCCAATCAAGGTGTTGACTCGACCGATCCGAAGAGAATATCCATTTGTCTAAAGACCCATTTATCATGTACTCATAAACTAGAAGACTGTAACAAGAAAAAAAAAAACACATTCTTGTTAAATCATGTTGCTTAGAAAGAAAAAAAAACAGAGTAAGGGGATGATTGGTAAGGGCTGTGGTTGCTCTGCACAGCCCTAAATCTCTCTACAGCAATACAAAATTACCAATCAAGCTCTCATTTTATCTCTTTCCATTTTTGAAACACAAAGCAATTTTATTTATTTATGGAAGTTCCGTGGCTTTGGAAAGCAATTTTTCTAGAGCACCAAATTAAGTGCTCTTAGAATTCTCTCTCTTCTCTTTCCTTAATAATCTTTCAACATTTATTTTTTAATCTATTATTTCTATATCTTAACTTTTTTGTTTTAATGTTATATTTAATGACACAATCTATAATAAAAAATCTTACAGCACTAAAATCTAGAATCACAGCCAAAATTTCTACAGCATTAATTCTACAGCAAAAAAATTAAAGCTACAGCCACAACCAATCAGACCCTAAATTTTATTGTTTAAGTCTTTAAAAAGGTTAATGTTTTGTTTTATTTTACCGGTGTGAGTCGTCGGAGCAGTAACCACACAAGCGAACGAGGTTCATGTGATGCATTGAGCCAATGGTATTGACTTCAGTGATAAACTCTCTTTCTCCCTGAGATAAAACTCTGTCTAATCTCTTCACTGCGACCAGCGTTTCACCCGCTATTATTCCTTTGTATACTGTCCCAAATCCACCTGTCACATCATGAAACAAAGAAAAATAAGATTTTAAACACTCCTTAGTTAAAACTTGTTATAAATTCGAATGAAGATTCTTGATTCTTGATTCTGACCTGATCCAAGAAGTTGGGAGAAATTGTTTGTACTGTTCTGGAGTTCGCGGTAAGTGAAACTCACAGGAGAGTCACAAAGGATCAACGAGTTCTTTGCAGCTTTCTTTAGTGTTCTCTTCCTATCTACATTATAGTATAACAACATCCCAAGCAGTGCCACAAGCACAAGCATCCCCACAACTATAGGAATCACAAGAACCTTTTGTCTTAATCCGTGGCTCTTACGTGATTTAGAATCATTATTATCATTCGAATTCGAGGAATAAGACTCGTTAGCTCTAGTCTTCACGAAAAGGGTCGAACCAGGATCTCGAAACCCGCCAAAATCCAGTCTCTTTAGAATCCAACAATAAGGCTTCTCATCATCTAAACCGTAAACCGAAGCCACACACTTACAATCCGACAGACACATCTCACCACAACTCCTCACGTTTCCGATATCGCTGTAATTCTCGATGACCGAACGTTCTGAGAAATAGTAGTTTGTCTCTTGGACGGTTGAGATCTTGAAGGTACCGTTACGGTTGATGCTTCTCTCACATTCTTGCACCAAAGATGAGTTGTCTGAACAGAGTTTAGCGTTTTCTTGATCAGGAAGCTTAACCGAACCGGGCAAACATAAACAGTCTGCGTTTTTCTTGGTTCGGTCCAAATTGCAAACTCCGTTACCGCAAATCCCAGCTATGTCACACGGATTTGATACAGCTGCCCATTCAGGCACCCACTGGCTTGAACCGTTCATGTCGTTGTCCCATCGGTACAACCGGAGATTCCCGTTGTTTTCCAATACCAATCTCCGCGTAACCGGTGTTTTCGATAACCGGAAATTCCGGTTTTCGTCTGCCGGGTTCTTGTAGACGTACACTGCTCCCGTTGAGGATTCTCCGTAAACGATCTTGAAGCTTCCAGTATCATCAAGAACGGCGGTAACATCTCCGGTAACGTTTGAAATCTCTGGTCCGGACCAGTAGGAGTAGTTTGCGTGAGGGTCAAGATTGATGTTGTAAGTTAGGCCGAGGCTAAGCGAAGTGTGATGCTGAAGCATTTTCAGGGAGTAATGGCCATGGCGCCACGGGGATGGGTTAGAGGTTAGTTCCAGAGAAACGGTTAGGGGTTGGTTTGGAAGGAGAGTGTCGGAGGGTTGTGAAAAGCTCTGCCAAATGGCCGGAGAAGCAGTACCTTGTGTTCCAAGGAGGAGGAAGTTTCCGGATTCGGACATGGTCACTGATTCCACGCCGTGGTTTGAGGTGTTTGAAGTCCAAATGACTGTGGTTCGGTCGGAGAGTACGAGGTTTCCGGTGGCTTCTAGCTCCAAGACGGCTTCTTTTGTGACTGGGGAGTTTCTATAATTTAGATATTTGGATTTTTGAATTAATTTGGAAAATTTTGATTATAGGCAAGTTGATCGTTGGTACTACAAAAATTATGTGTGTTCAAAATCAAAATTCTATATTTATATACTCTATAGTTTATTGCAATAACTAAAAATCAAAACGGATTATGCGTACCTATTTGGAGACCAAACGATCGTTGGATCACCAGGAAGTTGTGCGAACCAAATGCTCAGTAAGAACCGGTCGGTTGGTTTAATCCGGGTAAACCCGATTGCAAAAGTACCGTTAGCGGAAACCCATGCACGGTTCGGTTCACTGGCTTTTAACTTTGAACCCAAACCGATTCGTGGTTCAATGGCACCAACTTGAACCGAGCTAATTAAGATCAAGGAGAAGAAGAAGACACAAAAAGAAGGAAAATGAAAATGAAAAGAAGACATGGTAGAATCTGGTAACAAGAGAGAAGAGGCTAAAAAATTGTTGTAACATAAGCTTTAGTATTCTTTATATATCAAACATTTTATGATTTGAACGCATTTAGAGAGATGGTTCGGTGGGAGAACTTTGAAGAATGAAATTGTGGCACGTGTCTTTGTGGGTGAACTAAATGTTGACAAAAGCTTATTGTTTTCGTAAATGGTCGGTTTTAAATTAATTGACAATGCTGGGTACTCGGATATGGCGGCACCTGCTTTGTGCCTTTATGTCTCTTATCAGTATTTTTTATGGAGAATTTGAATATTATCATAGTCTAATAATAGTTTTTAATTTTCTAATTTGTGAAAATGTGGTTGAGGTACGGAAGACTTACCACTGTCGCACAAAAATAAAACCAGATTTTTTGTTTTTCATAACATTATTAGTCCAGTCATTTACTAAAACTTTTTGAACGATCGATGGTAATTTTTTTTGACGAAAGCAAATTCTTATTTTAGTGTTACAAAGAAAAGAAACTCAACATCCACACACACAATAATTCTTCAGAAACCAAACAAGTGAGAACACATACATACAATGATACAAATACAAAAGTCTTCAGATTCGTTTCACACACTAGCGAATATAGATGAACTGTATCCATTTTTATCATCCCAGAATTTAGACCAAAGCATAACACCTCCATACTTCTTAGACTTCTTTAGTGTCGGAAGAATCTGCGAAATCAAAATATCTGGCGGAATATACCCACTTCCAGCGGCTTCAGGAGCTGCCGGAAGGCCAAGAAAGATTTTCTCGGCGGTGATCGAAGTGGTCCACGTGTTCCACGAGTCCAAAAGGCTTTTAGTATTACCTGAAGTGTATTGACACGGTGCATTGTTGTAGAACTGGATCCAAACATAGTCGAAGAGTTTAGTGTTAAGAGCACTTCCCATTAATCTATCAGGAAATGGACATTGTGGGGCTCCTGATAGATACACTTTCCTTCCTCGGTTGCTAAATTTTGAAAGAGAGCTGTCCAAAATAACAACATAAAATTTGAATTTGATATATATTTCCTAGAAAAAAAACCTACAAAACTAAAGATTTCAAGCGCCTATATCATATCTCTATCATCTTCTTCATAAGTATGTAGTTTTGATAGATAGTTTGATTCAACTGATAACTATAATGCATAGCCAAAAGTATTATTGTAAAACATTTTCAACAACACTGTGTACCTAGCGAGATCATCCCAGTGCTGAGGAGAGCCAAGCTCGATATTAAAGTCAATACCGTCAAGAACAGCATCACCTAATGGACGTGACGATGATTTTCCTCCCAAGAAGTTGTTCCACAGGTAATCCGCAACCACTTTTGCGTCGTCTCTAGACCCAATTGAGTAGTTTCCAATCCCACCGCCGAGAGACAACATAACCTTGTCGTTATTAAAAACCAACGTTGACTTATTATTTAGTAACCATGGCCAAATCAAATATAGAAATTCTGATTTCAATATATATATATGTGATTTTGTCTAATTTTGTGACAATGACATTTTTGGCTCATCTTGAACCAAATCCTATTCTAGGATCAGCAAGCATATCTTACTTTGTCCAAACTGTGTCCCCTATATATATATATATATACTAGGGTTTGACCCGTGCCCAGCACGGGGTGATAGTTTCTGAATTTGTATTTTTATTAAAAATGTTTATTTAAATATTTCGACATTTTATGCGAGAGATTTTTAACCTTTGTTATTCGTTTATAGTATGGAAATTAGGCATTTTAATCCATTTAAAAAAAAGAAATAAATTAAAGCATTGATCGTAACCACAGATTAAATATGATAGATTTAACCGAGATACATAAAACTCAAATAACTATAATATAATAAGATAGTTTAAAGAAAAAAATTGAAAATAAAACATTATTCTTTAGAAAAATTATACATCATGTATTTCATAAGATAAAAAGTTTTAGCTGTGTGGACACGGATTAGAACTAATTTTTTTCTTTCTTTCAAAACTAAAACATGCTTTATTATAATTTCAAAACAATCCAACCAATCAGAAAATAATATGCAGAATCCAAATTGTCAAAACAGCAAAAATATAATTAATTTTGTATAGAAAGTTGAAACAGATAGAGTAATATTCAAAAGTTTAATCAAAATAAAATATTTATAAAAAGAACTTTTTTATTCGATTTAATTATAGATTTTAATTAAAAAACCATATTAAATGAAAAAAAAATTACTTTGGATACCTACTAAATGAGGTTATATACGAAACAATTTATATTATTTTGTTTTTAAAAATTCAAATCATAACATGTACAGAAAAAGTTTTAGATTTTTTTTGATAGATTTTTTATATTGTGATTCAAATTATTTTATTAAATAAATTTAAACAAAGATGATAGAAGATGTATACTGATTTTAAAAGAAATTATTATGATGAATTAAATTGAATCTCATATCTTCCTTATTTACTAATTTTCGTAGTTGCCAATTAAGGAAAGAGAATGATAAATTTAATTTCATTATTTGGTTGTAAGCATAATATGCAATGGCATATATTGTAATTTGTCTAGTAAAGCTTGTCTTAATTAGAAATTGCTCTAAGAGTGAACCTAGTGATGACACCTAAGCAATGACATTCTTGTTAATAACACATTAGACAAAGGTTATTTAGTTAGTGTTTTCTCTTTTAATATATTAAGGATATATATATACTAGTCTATGGGTAGAGATGTATTGAATCATAACGATTTTAAATAATTTGTTATAGGATTAAATATTGAGGGAGGAAAGAAAAACTTGGACGCATTGAAATTTTTTGTTGTTGCAAAAACTCAGAAAGTCATCAAGCCCTTAAGGATATGTGAATGAACAAACCTTGATGCCACGAGACTGACAATCTTTGACCTGAGAGCCAAAATGGGTGCAAGTGTTGGCCGCAGGGTTGCAGTGGCCGGCGAGGTTGAGCTCCGGCGTTTGGCCGTTTCCGAATTTTACAAGAAAGGCGACGTTGACGTAAGCATACCTGCCGGTGGCACACGTTTCCGAGAGACTACCTTCGTTTCCGTTTTGGCCCCAGTAGATGGATATGCCACTCGATGCATCCGATTGTTTGGTAACAAAGAGACTTTTGAAGAAGAAAAGCGATACAACAGACTTGAGAATTTTTATGTTAGTCATATTTTTTGTTAGTGATGTTTTGTCTTCTTCGTGGTTGTGTTTGTTTGAAATTGCCTAACTTCTTATATAAAAAGACTCGAGTTCCCAAAGAAAAAAGATAGGTTTTGTTAATATTATTATTTTTATAGATCATATCTACGTATATCCCTAATATATTAAAAGAGAAAACACTATAAAATAAACCTTTGTCTCATGTGTTATTAACAGAAATGCCATGCTGATGTGTCAACACCAGGTTCACTTTCAAGGTTAGTTTTAATTAAGACAAACATTACTAGACTAATTACATGTTATGCCATTCATATTTGGTTAGAGAATGAAATATATATGATTAATTTAGTCAGAAAAATAATTATTAATGAAAATTATTTTCTTTCAGTTTCCTTATTTGGTAATGACGAAAATTTATTTATTAGTCAATCAATCAGTAAAATATGGAAAGTTTTATTCAATTGTATTATATTAATTGTTTAAAAATTAATTTATTCATCTATCATTTTTGTTTAGCTTTACTTTCAAGAATAAATTATATCATCACATCAAAATATTTAAAAAAGAAAATTAGTTTTTTTTACATATGCTATGGTTTGAATTTTTAAAAATGAAGCAAATCTCTAAAAATGTTAAATGTCCCACATGATTATATTTTGGGATAATAGTTCAAAAACCTATTATAAAATAGGATCCAAATAATGATCAACCATAATCACAAATAGGAAAGAAAAATTTACCATGTTTGGAAATCTTTAAAATTTCTTTTATTCGATTTAATTTGATTCTTTAATTGAATTAAATAATTAAATCGTATTTTTTAATATTTTGGTTTGATCAAAATTTTAAACGTAATAAATTCTAATAACTTATCATATAAGTTAAATTATTTTAGTTATTTAAAATTGATAAAAACATAAAATATATATGCCATTTTATATTTATCAAAATATAAAATTATTTTAAATGTATTAAAATTTAATATATATGTGGGTTCGGAAAGGGAGAAACTGTTGTTAAAGCAAATGTTAGATTACCACACTGTAAACGATGACAAAAATCAAACCAGGCTAAAAAAATATATGCAAAAATCACTATGCATCACTCAAAATTTCGTCTAATATAAATTGATTTTTTTAATTGTCTAACACTCTATGTTCCTAAAATTGTATGTAAATAGACATCTTTTAATAAAATCAAATTGAGAAAATATCATCCCGTGCAAGGCGCGGGTCAAACTCTAGTTATAATTTTATAATGCCTCTCTCACACACATTGCATGACTTTAATTGGTTGTCTTCTTTTTTCCGTCAAATTATATATCGCTTTAGGACTTCAACTAGACAAAGATCTTAAACATTAAGAAGCCATCTAGAATATCTGACCACTAACTGGAATTGTTTTATGAACTAAAAAATGAGAAATATTTATTTTTAAAAATCGGTGATTAGTTCAGTACTAAGATTTTACACATTAGTCAGAGAGAACGAAGAAAATTAGAAGAGGACTCCTGAATTCTTTTAGCCTTGGGACAAAATTGATCTTTAACATCCTCCGTTATAATTAGATCAAAGGTCACTTGTAATATTTAACCGTTAAACCAATAAATAAAATATAGTATAATCCAATATTTCGTCTGGAATGAAACTTCACGTTGTGCTCGCCATCACTTTTGTGGCGTTGTCGTGTTGACTTTATCCCCTTCGTGGATTATGCGCAATCGAGTCCACAACAATCCCTAATATATTAAAAGAGAAAACACTATAAAAATAACCTTTACACCACAAGAATGCTATGCTAATGTGTCATTATTAGGTTCACTCTCAAGACAACTTTTAATTAAGACAAAATTTACTAGACTATTTACATTATATACCATTGTATAATTTTGGTTAGATATAGTTTATATTAATCATTTATACATATTTCTGTATTTAATCATAAAGATATCATTACTCTTTCCATATCTTATCAAATTAATTATTTTCTTAAATAATACATTTTCCTCTCATTTCTTGGTTGGATTAAATTTTATAAAAATAAATAAAATATCACATTGACCATATATTAAAAAAACGTACATTTTTTTCTACACAAGTTATAGTTTGAAATTTAAAAAACAGATATCAATTACTAAAATGATGAAAACAATAAGTATATCATAAAAGTCCCACATTGGAAATAAAGATATGTGATAGTTCATAAAATTATTATAAAGAGAACAAAAATGATAAGAAACTATAATACATGCAAGTTTAGTTTAATAAGCATCCAAATTTATTGTATATTTGGTTTCATATGGTGTTTTTTTAATAAAACTATATACCTACACCAAATACAATTTATATTATTATAAATATTTTACTGTGAAAAAAGTTGGAAATATTTCTATCAAAATATTAAAATATGTGAAATAGTTTAACTTGGTTAAAAAGTTAAAATATTTAAAATATTTTTTTTTCACAAATTTGAATACTATAAAATTTCAACTTATCTTATTAAATACATGAAACATATATATTTTTAAACAATAATGTTTTATTCTTTCAGTTTTTTTTGTTTTTCAAACTATCTTATTATATTGTAGTCATTTTAGTTTTATTTTTTCGTTTAGTCTATCATATTTAATCTGCAGTAAAAAAATTAATTACCTTACTTAAAATGGTTTAATATGCTTAATTTATATACTATAAACGGATAGAAAAACTAAAAAAATCCGTCACAAAAAAAAAATTCGAGATAATTAAATATACTTTTGTAAAAAAAATACAAATACATTTTTTAAATTAAATACATATGATGTTAACAAAAATGTAATATTAAAAATATAGAAATTTAGAAACATTATCCCGTGCAAGGCGCGGGTCAAACTCTAGTTACTACCTATTTCTTTATAAGACATCTACAAAGTTTAGAATACGAGATAAGGCCGAGAAGTATTTATATTTAGCTTTGAAAACGTCTGCTGCTTTCAGCCAGTGGATTGATGACCAACGCTTTTACTAAATCTTTGAATTAACTAAAATCCTGGCATTCTTTCCGACTTCATAACAAATGTTTTGACCAAAAAAACAAACAATCATTGATTTGACTCGCAATGAAAAAATCATTTTAAGACTAAGTGTTTTTGGTATATTTGGAAAAAAAAAATTTATCGGTATTTTTGGTAAAATAAAACTGGTGTTTTTTAATCCAAAAACTGTTTTTGTGGTATTTTAAGGTATTCCTGTTCAAAAGATAAAGTTACATATCTTTTTTTCATTCTGCTAAAATGAGCAGTCTGAAATTTTTTTTTTGGTAAAAAGTCTGAAGTCTGAAATTTATTTCTTCGAAAACAAACTATCAAAATATGCCCTAACCTACAATGTTACTAGTCGCAGCACTAGTAGCTGCTGCTTGGCCTGAGTTTCCTGGAGTTGTAAAACCAGTAGACTCATCAACTAAACATTCAGTTCCTATTCTCTGTTTCACTGAGTCCACAAACACCTCGGCTTGATCACAAGCCACGCGAAACAATTCCCATTTCTCCCTGAAATTCTCCAATGCAGCATCAGTGAGAGAACATTTCTTCCCGCCCGCACTCTCCTTAGACTCAAGAACACTAGCTGAGGCAAGAACAAAGTTCTCGTAAGCTTTGTTCATCGTGTCCACAATGTTATCCATTTGATCTTCCCCTTCGAAAACTTGCATACACAGGAAGTATCAATCAATATCATTAATTATATGAGAATTTAAGTCATAGAATCAAGAACAAGTCTAAATCTAACCAAGTCATCGTGTTGGTTCAATGGGTTGGCGTTCAAGTGGTGAAGGAATTAGAGGAGCCGTTTTGGGGATTTGTTGATTAAATAAAAAAATCTTAGGCATATCTGGAAATAAGAAACGCTAGACCAAACCAAAATTCTGAAGTCGTTCTCGCTAAGCGTTGAATGAGAGAAATCAAAACATCACGCGGTAGTAATACATACTTGTGACCAAAACGTAAGGATTGCGAATGTGCGATTGCTTCCGCAAATACAGAATCGTCGCTTGAAGAAATTGATTCTTTAAAACGGTTTTAGGCAAAAGCCAAGCCGTAGACCAACGAAATCGGTCTGATACCGTCGGAGAGATTTAGAACAGGAGAATAATACGTACTCAGGGTCGTGAGATTTTAATTGCTACCGCGTGAAATCACTGATGTAGGAAAGAGTAGAAACTTACCAGAGATCAATTGAGAGTCGATTGGTTGCCAGTTTTTTTTCCTTCTCTTGAATAGATTAAAATTAGGTCAAGCCTATCGATTAAATCAGGGGCCGATAGTCTTAATCTTATAAAGTATAGAACAATGTAAAAAATAAACCTTAACACTATAATTCTGTCACATGTTGTTATAAACGGAATATTTTCTTCTTCCTTTTTTTTTTTTGTTTTTTGGTTTAGTTTCAATTATGTGAACGGATGGATTTCATTAAAATTTTATGGGTTTTAAAATTTTCAGAGCATGATTATTAAAGATTACCTTCGGTCCGGGGCATCCAGGGCAACAATTTGGAATGTACTCAAATTATAAGAAAAATCACTACTAAAATAGTGTTTTGTTGGAATGTAGATAATTTGGTTCATGAAACCCACTAAAAGAGATGTTAATCCATATATTTATGGGAGATTGTTGATTGGTCTTAAGTTCAGAACAACAATTCATAACCCAAATACTGATCAATACTAGGACCATAAACTATTTATGGCCCATTTCCGATGGTCGAAATCGTACATATAAAATAGAAGACAACATACTTATGACATGGCCTACTGGAGGACCTAGCCAACTCAAAGTTGTAACCAAAAAGAACAATTTTCTGTTGGATAAAGTATATGTAGTAGAGTATGTTTTTATCATGCTCTACTTCGATCCCATTGAGATTCTGGAAAACCTATCCAAAAGAAAATATTCTGGTTAAACTATGAATTGTCAAGCTGAGTAAATCATGTAAAGAAAACCAGCCGTTTAAACCCGCACTAGATGATGTAATTATCATTGGAGTTCATTTTTTTAAGTTTAATTTTAGTAAAATAATTGTTTTCGTTACATAGTTGATTTTCCCACGCCAAAGATTAGTGAAGAATGGCAACAAAATTATAAGTCCATCGTTCTTCCATTTCAATTTCACCAAAAACAAAAGGTTTGCTGTAATCACCAAACCTTTTGCTGCAGGATATAATTATTTTAGTATACACTTTTTTAATTCGATACTAACATTATTAACTCGATAATTTTTACATGATTACATTTGAAAACCAGCTCAATATGTATAGGAATAATATTGGTGAAGGTTGTAGGCTTGTACCGCAGATTTACAAAGAATCCTAAGCCCTTGACTAGTAGCAACTCTCTTGTCACTTTCCCTTCGCCGTTTGAATATTCAATGTTGTTAATGTGGATTGGGATAAAGTTTTAGCTTATTTAATAGTGAGACGACGATACTAAGCATATTGGGAATAGAACAAAAAAAACTATAAATTTGTTCGTAATGGAGACAATAAATGAATTTGCAAAAATAATTTATTCGTTTCTCTCGGTCGTCATCCTTGGCCGCACATGTAACAAAAAAAAAACAATTCCACAACAAACAACATATATTAGTAAAATATATCAACTACAATTAATCAAGGCGTAAACTTTACGTCAATGATTATGAGATGCTCGCAGATCATGTGAAGTTACATTGCCAAACACATATAAATATTTAATTTTAACAATATGTTATATATTAATCACTAGATATACAAATTATTCATGCAGGTGCATGTGGAGTCATAGACTTAAAATAAAGGCATATAAAAGAAGAACAAAGATAAATGAATTAACAGCTCATATTCCCTTTAATGATTTATAAGTTAACAACAATCCTCCATCACTACCAATTTTTGTCCACCATCACGCCCCAACTAATTCTCATAAGTCATAACCATCTTTTACATTCTCTCCTCCCAACTCAAACCGAATATTTCAGCCAGTCCTTGATGAGATTACTCATTTGAATAGTAAGTTTTTTACTCTTCTCTCTCTTTTCAATTCCGTGATATCTGCTTGGCTTATAATTTTTGAGACGTAAACTTTTGGAATGTTTCTATTTAAATATCATTTTAGCTCCTCTTGATTTGTTTTGATTTAGAATCATGTCAGGCAGAAAGAAAAATATATTTCGAAATAAATCTAAATTTCTCATCAAACAATTTGCATTTGTGCATCTCTAATGCAGATATAACCAAGCCTCCATCACATAACCACATAGTTATATATTTTAAGAAGATGAGTAAAAGATTTTCCATCTTCTACTCTCTTTTACTCATCTTCTTTGGATCATCGGCTCTGTTTTCTCCGGTCACCAGTGACCTCGCCGGCGACAGACAAGCCCTTCTCGACTTTCTCAACAACATAATTCACCCGCCGTCTCTAGCGTGGAACGCAAGTAGCCCGGTCTGCGCCACGTGGTTAGGCGTCACGTGCGACGGAGACGGCACACGTGTCACTGGTCTTCACTTGCCCGGAACAAGTCTTCTTGGAGTAATCCCTCCGGGAACTATCAGCCGTCTATCAGAGCTTCAGATTCTCAGTCTCCGATCCAACGGCCTACAAGGCCCGTTCCCTATTGATTTCTTGCAGCTTAAGAAACTCAAGGCAATTAGTCTTAGCGGCAACAGATTCTCCGGCCCATTACCGACCGATTTTGCCACGTGGAGTAATCTCACCGTTCTTGATCTGTCTGTTAACCGTTTTAACGGTAGTATTCCCGCGGGATTTGCTAGTCTAACCGGACTCGTCTCGCTTAGCTTGGCTCAAAACTCGTTTTCTGGCGAGATTCCGGATCTTAACCTCTCCGGTCTACGCAGACTTAACTTGACCAACAACAACCTCACCGGATTAATCCCAAGATCTCTGGAAAGATTTGGAATCTCTTCTTTTTCCGGTAACAACTTAATTTACGACACTGCCCCTCCTCCGGTGGATTCACCACCAACAGAGAAAGAGAAAGAAAAGAAAAAACATGGGATCTACATCTCAGAGCCAGCGATTCTTGGGATAGCAATAAGCGTCTGCTTCTTGATATTCTTCGTGATCGCGGTTTTGATAATCATTTGCTATGTGAAAAGGCAGAGGAGGAAAGAAACAGAACCAGCGAAACTGAAACCCGCAGAGAAAATTCCACAGAAGCTGCTTAATGAGAAGGAAGTTTCTAAAGTAGCCAAAGAGAAGAATATCAATATCGAAGAGATGGAGGAGAAGAGCGAAATCAACAGAGTTATGTTCTTTGAAGGAAGCAATCTTGCTTTTAACCTCGAGGACTTGTTGATAGCTTCCGCTGAGACTCTAGGGAAGGGCACTTTCGGGATGACGTATAAAGCGATTCTAGAAGATTCCAAGATCATCACGGTGAAACGATTGAAGGATGTAGTGGTGTCTCGGAAGGATTTCAAGCATCAAATGGAGATCGTTGGAAACATTAGGCACGATAACGTTGCACCTTTAAGGGCTTACGTGTGTTCCAAGGAAGAGAAGCTTATGGTTTATGATTACTACCCTAGAGGAAGTCTCTCTGTTCTTCTTCATGGTACGTTTTACTACAATAATCAAATATTTATGTCTATAAAACCAAAAAAAATAAATATTTATGTTTAAAAATGTTAAAAGTTGTGGATAATGTCTGTTTCTTGCATCTGAAGAAAGTTTTTTCTTTTTCCGGCAGGCAAGAACGGAGACGAAGGCAAAATTCCGTTGAAATGGGAGACGCGATTGCGATTCATGATCGGAGTAGCAAAAGGATTAGCTCACATACACATAGAACACAAGCTCTCACATGGCAACATCAAATCTTCTAATGTCTTCATGAATTCCGAAGAATATGGATGTATATCAGAAACCGGTTTAGCTGTCTTAGCTAACCCGGTTAGGAGGGTAGATTCATCAGCCAGACAGGCACTACGGTACCATGCCCCAGAAACTATCGACACGAGAAGATCGACGCCGGAATCAGACGTATACGGTTTTGGGATCCTGTTGCTGGAGACTTTAACCGGAAAATCAAGAATGGATAATCAAGAGGAACCGACAGATCTGGTGGTATGGGTGAATAAGGTTTTGGTACATCAATGGACTGGTGAAGTGTTTGATTTGGAGCTTGTGAAGACTCCAAACATTGAAGCAAAGTTGCTTCAGATGTTAAACTTAGGGCTGGATTGCACGAATAGGGTTCCGGCGAAGAGACCGGAGATGCTGAAAGTGGTTGAGACTTTGGAAGAGATTGAGAGGGATCAGTTGCTAAATCATTAAATTGTTTTTACTTTTTTAGCACTAATGATTTGAGTATATCACCAGTTGTAGATATACTTCAACCCATTTTTATTTACCTTTCAGTACATCAAATTTTAAAATTATATATATCTCACATTTCTAGATGAAACTTCAAGAGGAGTTTACTCAATCAGTGATTTAAATTGAATTCCATAACTTTTCTATAAACTTGAATCAAGGGGAAAAACAAAATGAAACGAAAACATATATTTTTGTTTTTGGGTTGCAATAATTGCTAGAATAAGGTATTTGTCTACGCTGGACACAACAAGCTGGAAAACAGCCTAACCTCTGTTTAGGCCAACCAAAATTTGTGAGAACGAGATAAAACAAAAACTAATTCAAATGAATTAGAAATTTTAGTTAGCCCTTTCACATTCACAAGTTTAAATTTTTTATTTCCAAAAACGGATTATTGTGAAAATAAGCATCAATAGTTGTGGGGCAAAATAAGAGATGTTTCGAGAGATGCGGGTCGTCCATAATTGTTCAATAAAATGCCAAAAGCTCTCATAATTCTCATTACCTCTTCTATCGCTCTGCCTAGCTTTTCCTTTATTTTCTCCTTTCCTTCATTTTACTCTCTCCCTTGTTCTTCCCTCTCTGAAACCATCATCCAAAAAATCAGGAATCAAGAGAGGGAAGAACGTTGACAGCAAAAATGTCGGGTTTGAAGTTTTTGTTTGGAGTTGTTACATTCGTATCAATAGTTTTCTCCATATTGTTGCCAATGGCACAGGCTCAATCCGCAGCTCCTGCTCCGGCTCCAACAAGCGATGGTAAGTTTATACATAGGTTGAAATAACAGTTTTTTTTTAAAAAAATTGTTACATTTGTAAATATATATCCCATCTTAATTCCTCAAAACATCTATGCTATACGAATTTTCCAATTTCCCTTACTGAATATATGTTGCAATTATTAATTTTCTTTCGGATGGTTAATGTTGGAACAAATATATTGCAGGAACAACAATAGACCAAGGAATCGCATATGTCCTTATGATGGTGGCCTTGGTCCTCACTTATCTCATCCATTAATTGATCCTTTTGTCATTTTAATTTTGGTCTCTATTTAGTTTAATTATATTTTTTTATTTTGGATTATAGTTAGATAGAGACCAGAAATTTTTAATATGTGGTCGAGAAATTAAAGAGGTTTTCTGATTTTTTTGAGTGATACAGTACTTTTGAAGTTCCTTTGTATAACGTCGATGTGCGTTGAGCTATTGGGAATATATTTCATCGAATTACATCTTTCTTCATTCACATAGTCAGTATCTTAATGACATTATGCTAACTACATTCTTTTATAACTGGAGAATTCTAAAATTAAAACTCAAACTATATATAATATATATTATCAATGCCATTTGTTGAGAAACCGATTAATAAAATAAATCTCTAACATTATAACTAAAAGAAAGCTTAATTTTCCAATAAGAAGATTCAATTCTGTTACAGAAATATTTGGTAAATTGAAAGATGGCTATAACAAGGATATTATGGAGTAAAAATCCGCTTATTCCAAACATAGATCTCAAAATAGGACTTAATTAATAAGCAGAAGAAAATAAAACAATAACATGATAATAAAATTTGACTAGCTATTACGAATAACTATCTCTTTAATCAAGATATCACGTAAAATGTCATTCCCTCTTAGTGATTAACTAAGATTAGAACTCTCCAAAACCACGGAATGGATGATTTGGATCAAAGTTTTTAAACGGAGATTCCAAAAGGACGGTGGACGGAGAGTTTGATGTAGAGTGAGAAGCCGAGCCAGCATCGCGAGAAGCAAGGAAATCGTAGTTGACATTAACTCCTAGATCACTGTAACTCGTAGATCCGAAGAATTCATTGTTGTGATCTACTAGTGGAAGCATATAGGCGTTGTTACTCTCTACATTTGGGGAAGAGGACAAAGGATAGTGAAGGGTTTGATGCAAAGGTGCTTGATGATTGTAGCTGTGATGACCAGTGTCTAGACTTTCTTTCACGATCTCAAGATTCTCGTGTTCTTGCGTCTGTCTCGGTTCAAGAATCTGTACCGGAATGGTTGAACCGACATTTGCGGCTTGGGAGCAAGAATGTATACCTCGGTAAATAATCTCAAAGAGCATCGGATTTTCGTCACATCTCTGGACTTGTTTGGTTGCTTCACATCCTTGAGATTTTCTGTACGTGCATCTGTAGTATCCTCTGTACCAACAAAAAAAGTTGATTTTTTTTATTCTTTGTTGTTCCTCGTATGATTTTAAGACTATAATAAATGTTTGTTACTTGTGTTTGTGTAGTACTATGTTCCTGTCACAATTGTTTAAAATCAAGCTTTTCCTGATTTATTATGTGTTGTAGTTTTAATTACGAGACTAACCTCGGAAATTTGGCTCCGAGGATGTCCTTCTGGCCGTACTTTCTCCAACTGAAGCCATCGTCAAGCGCTCTATCAATCCCAACTCCAGGGGTAATACTGACTTTTTGGGTCCACCTTGGCATTGACTTCTTCGAACTTGATTTTATATAAGATTTCACATTTTCAAATTATTATGAGTTTATGTAAAACGAAAAATAAAATAAAACACGTTATATAAACACTGCTAGCTAATATCGTTGTTGCATTTTCGTCCGAATTCAAATCCACTTGATATATATATATATATATATATAGTTGACAAAGAAAAAAGTACGTTAACTATCTAAGTATCTATAGTTAGTAGATATGGGGTACCTCTTGAGGATACGTGGTTCTTGGTCGGAATCATCGCTCTTGGGGCTTCCTCCACTGTTGGTATACGGAGAAAGTACTGGGTCGAGTTCGCCGGAGTAGTTCATAATGGTGAGAGACTTGTGGTAAGATTCGAGAATCTTCTTGGCTAAATGTTCACGTGATTCTTGTGATGAAGACGATCCGAGCTGAGACTTGAGCTGGTGAGCATAGTCTCTTCCTTCGGTCATCAGATCGTTGATCTCCTTCTTCATCTTCTCCCAATCTCCACTACTACTCTTCTGCTCCATTACGTTAAAAAGAGTGAAAAAGAATATGGACTAAATTAGTACACAATATTTTTAGAAATGTGTTATCAAGAGTGTTTTATGTATGTATGTATGTATATTTGATACTATGTGTTTATTTTGTTGTGTGCATGGCTTATGGAAATTTTGAAAGTAGGGAATATAAAGAGGATTGTGTGTGAGAGAGAGAGTTTGACTTTTTGACTAGAGAAGGAAGGAAGCTGAGGTGGAAGTGAATGGAAAGGTGAGACCGGTCGTTGGTCAATGAATTTGGAAAGTCCAACCTGCTGACCAGTTCTCTGCTTCTCGATCCTTTTTTTGTTTTTGTTTTTCACTTCTTCTTCTCGATCCTTTTTTTTTTAATTGGATTTCATATATTTTGATTTTGATATCATAACGTTTTTAACTTTTCGCATTGACTGAGAGGTCGAGTGGAATCATACATGGATCACAAAAATTATAAAATACTCTAAAATATGAAAAAAAACCCTAACGATTTTGATTTGCAGTTAAGAGGTTACAAAAGCATTAATCACGCTTAGTTGAGACTTTTCTAGTTGGAGTATCGTTTGTTAAAGATCAACACTGAGAGATTCAAAAAACTTGTGTTCTAAATTGTTAGTACAAAACCCTTTGCTTCCGGAAAAAGGCAAAAAAAAATGTCTAATAACCAAATGATGAGTTTTGGACAAGTGGCGTTTCTTAGGAACTTCTAGTTCGATTTTGGCTTGGAAAGTGTGTCACATGACGTTTTGTCCTATAACCAAAGGATAATGGAAGCAATTTTGTTTTTGTTTTTGTTCTTGTTGGGTATAACCTCATCATTAGTACAAAGTTAACTTCTAAAAATAGAGACGATACCACGCTTTAGATACAAACGCCAACCTAAACACAACAAATATAGAAATCAACACTAACGGATGCGGATGACTCAAGGCAATGCATATGTAGTAGTAATAAAAAAGGTACATGACGTTTACATGACGGCCATTCAATGACATGACCGTCATTAGATAATCATAACTACAATTGGAAATAAACATGGAAGTGCGAGTGTGCGACTACAGTTTTGTGATGATATTGGCTTGACCGTTCTTTTGTGATCCACTGAAAAATACTTTGAATTAGAATTACGTGTTAAGGACACATCTTCATATTTAATTGATGTTTACTAAACTATATACGTAAATTTACCGCCACTCGGATCTATATAAAATTCACCGTGAGGATAATATTTGGCCTCAGTTTTACATATCTATAGAACTATAGATACATGATTGTGTTTGTGTATACTTATTTAAGTGGACCTCAGATTAAAACCAATCATGATCTATAAAATACGGCATGAATATTATGAATTGACAAGGCATAGACCAAAAGGTTTGTTCGTTGCCGTGTTATAGACTCTATGAATCAACGTTTGTCACACATTTATACTTTCAACTCTTCTACGAATCTTCTGCACCGCTCAAACCCGGTTTTAAGCTATTTCTGTACAACCCGGTTCTGTTGATTACACCTTTTTAGTACAAATCAGGTTAAGAAATCAACTGGTAATACCGGTTCAAATTTGCGAAAATAATGCATCCGAAATCTCAAACTTTACATGTATAACTTTTCGGTATCGGTTTAGTATAATGATATAATACAACGATTTGCTATTCACGGATACGCAGCTATAAACTATAAGTAACTCTGATATTACATTACATACATACACAACTATACCAACGGTTATTAAGTATCTCATAAATTCGAGGAATCGTACCAAGTATGCTCGAATGGTTGAGTGGGCCGGTTTGGTTTTGGTTTTCAGACTATGTATTGACGGAGGTAATCAACTCGAGCCTGATGCTTAAGCTTCATCAAAGCCTTGACTTCATGTTTCCTCACCATTTCTCTTGAGATGTTGAGATTTCCAGCTATCTCTCCAAGCGTCCTGTCTCCTTTCCCATCAAGACCGTACCTTTGCCGAATCACTAGACTCTCTTTCGGCTTCAATGAATCCAGCTGAAGAAAAATGGACTGTCATCAAAATTTATATAAAGATGAAGCCAAAACAGAGAAAGATGAGCCAAATGAAACTTACAACATCGTCGAGAGCAAGCCTGAGAAGAGCAGGTTGTCTCCTGATATCAGCTCCAACACCATCAACATCTGTGATTCCGTTGATGAACTCTTCTTGCGTAACCGAATGTTTCGAGTTAAGTGAGAAAACCGGTTTCGCGGCTCTCAAGACTTCACGGTATCTTTCAGGTGATATCTTGAGCCTCTCGATTACCTCTTCCTCTGTGGGAAGTCTTCCAAGCTCAAACAACAGCTCCATCTTTGCTTTATAGATCTCCACTCTCACCTGAAAACGGTTTCAAGGAAATGTATAATGTAAGGTCTCTCTGCAAAGTCAGAAAAACAGAGCCAAAAGAGAAAGGGTTAATAAAGTGTGTACCGATTCAAGTCCAAATGGGACACGAGTGAAGTTTGAGGTCGTCATTGAGCGTATGATGGCATGTCTAATCCAAAACAAACCGTAAGTCGAAAGACGAAACTTCCTCTTCGGCTCAAACCGGTCTATTGCTGTGATAAGCCCTCTCATACCGGCTTGACACAAGTCTTGGAATTTCGGTCCGTTGGTAAATTCTTGGAAATATTTGTTCATAGTAAACAAGACAAGCCGGAGATTGTGCTGCAATATTAAGGAAGCAATAAGTTATAAAGAGAGTTATTGTCCATAACCATAGCCTTTTCCAAGAATTGTATTGGTAAAAAACTAAAAATCACTCACCTTGATAAGTTTGTTTCTTGCAGCTCTACCAACTTCAATCTTCCTTTTCACTTCAGCCACATCCATATTGATCTCCTTAGCTATTTCAGCTTCTCTCGGTTCTCTTCCTAGACTCTTCTGCATTTCATCTTTCACTTCAAGAAGAGCCTGCAACGTCAAAGCCCCCAAACAATTTAGCATATACATCCCAAAGAACAATCAAACTATTGGTGTGAAAGCACAATACCTTCATAGGTTGCATCAACTTGAACAACCAAGCATGTTCAGAAGAAGAAAGAACAGGAGGGATCTTCATCTTCTTCCAGTCCAAGGTGACCATTTCATTAGAAGCTGAATAGTCCCTAACGAGCCTCTCGATCTTCTCCTCTTCTTGCTGCCTCTTCGTTACTTTTCTCTCAGAGATAACCGGTTTCTCTTGAATGTTTCTCTTCATAGCGATCCGTTTATCAAGACTCATTCTTTTTTCCTTGTTCCCATTGTTCCTCACAACAACTTTCTTCTCTTCACCATCACTTTGTTGCTTCCTCTTTCTCCTCCGTGAAACTTTCCCTTTGGAGCCATCGATACCATCCTCCTCCTCTACCAATGTGGCTGTCTCAGGACTAAGCTTGTAAATGCTCTCTAGTCTAGCGGCAGCTTCATTGTAATCAACTCCTAACGAACACGAAGGAGCCACATTTTGATCTAAAGGATTCGCCTTTTTCGTGGTTCTCTTCGTTACCACTCTCTTCTCCTTTCTCTGTTCTGCTGGAATCAAAACTTGCTCACGAGGGATGATCAAAGCTGAGTTGGTGGAATCATCGGCTTTAAACGCAACAATGGATGGCTTTTTCAGTGAAGAACGGTGTGTGAGAAGATCGGTGCTTAACCCGAGTGGTGACCTTGCGGCTGAGCTTGAAAGAAACACAACTCCCATCACAATCTTAAGGCTAAAAATCAAATCTTTTTCGAATCTCACTTGTGCTCAAATTGTTCTGCAGCAGAAACATTTCAATCGTCATACATATAACAGAGGAAAGCCAAATCTAAATCCATGAACAGAAGAAAGATCGGATTTTTAAGAGATTCGACATTTCAAATTTCAAATTTTTCAAAAGCAACTGAAAGATCGAGAAAAATCCAGTTTCGAATTTATTTGAATTACAGAGAATCCAAATGCAAAGGCGGAGACTTTCGTGAGCATTGACTACAAACACACGGAAGAAACCACCGATCAACAAAAATTGTAAGAAAAGCCGCTAAAGGTTTAACAAATCTTCTACTAATTTAGATCAATTCAACTTCGGAAAGTAAGATCGCATCAAAAATAATTCGATAATCGAACAAAGCAAATCACTTTAGCTTACCTTTGCAGTATCGGGGAGAGAAATTTTGTATTTTCTGAGAGAGAGAGAGATTCTTCGTCTGATTAGATTCTGGTTCACGAAATTTTAAATAGAAAAGTAGAAAAATTGAAAATTTGGAGTGGAAGACGAAAATATGTGTCTGAATGTGCGCTACGTAAATTATGGTGTCCACAGATTAATGACAGCATGCCACCGTATATTTCTAGAATCTATTCATAAACCCCATGATATTTAATTTAATCAATTTAAACCTTTTTATGCTAGATAAAACAATTCGGAATAAACTTCTTTTGTTAATGGTTTGCATGATCGTTGATAAAGAATCGAATGTGTTTTAACGTGACTCTACCTTTTTTGCTAAACTATATATTTGCCAAAGTTCTAATTTGTAAATTATTTTATAATTTGGTAAATCAAATCAGCACTTCTATCATATATTGTGAGACAGTTAATTATTTGTCACGATTCATTTATAGTTTGTTTTAAATTTCCAGTATGATCTTGTAATCTTTGACTATGTGATGATTTCGTGGAATCTACAGCTTCATTCGTTTGAAAAAAGCATGCAATAGATATAAATCTAAATCTATATATATATATAAAAAAAAAAAAAAAAAAATCTAAATCTATTAAGCTATATGTGCAAATAACCCTTTATCAAAAAAAAAAAAAAAAAAAGCTATATGTGCAAATAATGCGAAGATACGCGTAAAGATGCATCTCAGGAAGATCCAACGGCCAACAAGGCTCTAGAGAGAAAAAACCAACGGTTGCGAGAATGCACAAGCGGAGATAGCGAGAGTGGTGACGTGGCTAATTTGTAGTGGAGGAGAAGATATTTCGTAAAGGACCAGACTTGTGGTTATATGGATCAGGTAATATACACGTGGATGGTCTTCTCAGCAACAGTAGGACCCAAATAAAGTGGTGGCTTGGAAAGCATCAACGTAGCCTTATTACAAACCGATTAATTTTGTTTTTGAAAATATAAAAGTCAAATCACTTCAAATTCCTAAACATTACGCAAAAGCCCCATTTTGTTTAGTGCTTTTGATTTTCTTCCCCTTAGTCGTTTTTGTTCTAATATCATACACATTCCATCTATGTATTTTTTGTGTGCTTCTTCGTCCTCGATTATATCATACACATTCCATTTCGATTAATGTATTGATTTAACAAAATAATTGCCACGCATACGGTCGAAGAGTTGTGTATGATATGAGAAATGAGGTTTTTCTTTATTTTTGGGAGACTATGAATTATTTTTTGATAGAAGATAGTAGTACTTTGATTTAATGGTAGAAGCGATCTACTTGATCGATGGCGGTTTATTATCATCGGAATAATTTGAATGGAAGATTTGAGAGGAATACGATGATGAATAAAAACCCTAATGTGAAATCTGGAAGATTTGAAAAGTCGACAACTAATGTCGGATCGATAGACTTCCGTTACAAGTAAGGGTAAAAGCGTCCACAAGATACGATGGGCTGAAACAAAAGGGATCGTGAGCCCTAATTCACGTTAAAGAGTCAGATATAAAAAAGCTGGGTAAGGGTTAGGAGTGGTGCTCTCTGCACGCCTCCTCACTCATCATCATCGTTTAATTCCCCGCAAGTCTCAAGATCTCTGTGGTAAGTAAGTAAGTTTCTCCCTGATAGGAACAGGTTTATCTGTTTTAGATTTGTGACCTAGATTTTGTTCCGGGTCATAAATTTTTTGATTGGAGACCGAAACCCTAATTTTGTGGCTGTTTGAGGTTCTTGTGATGTGGATATGGAATAGATATTGCAAAGGATTGAATAATGTTCCTGTAGACATGAGTTGATTGACTGCTCTTTCTTCTTTCTTTCTGTGAGTTGAGCAGAAGAAACAGAATAGTTATGCCTGTTTGTTTTTTTTTTTTTTGGACTAGTATCCTTGTGCAGATGGAGATGGAGAACCCTTTGAAGGAGGCATTTGTGTTTCCAAATGAACAAGAGTTTGCTGATGCCATAGTCTATCGCATTCAGCATCAGTCGCTAGTAATGAAACCTGTTCTCCGGCCCAAGACTTGTTCGATTATCTTTCTCCGTCGCGTCTACAGGCGCAATGTTTGGTCCCTATACTTAACCTTCGCTGATAAGCTCCGTAGGGGCAAGGGTGAGTTTCCTAGCACTGGCCTTCCATGCCACGTGTATAATGCAATCGACGCCATGCACCAAACCGCCAATGGTTTTGTGCAGCTAATGAGGAAGGAGGATTGTGACTCACTGGACAAGTTCAAGTCTCTGCTAGTGTCTGCTTTTGGGTGCATGTTTACTCTTGCAATGAAAGTCATGCCCACTTTGACTTATTTCCAAGATGCGAGGCAGGCAAACCGTAGAGAGAGAATGAGAAATTCGGAAGATTATGATGATGTTGCTGCTTCTACATTGATCGATACTCGCTACTTGGCTCACCAACGCTGCGCAGAAGAATTCCCTCTGACTGTTGATGTTGATAACGTTGCCAACTTTGTTGATCCTAATGTTATGCGTTGGCTTGAGGAGTTGGAACGTGAACATGGCTTCAGGTTCAAAGAGCCACACTGTGCAAAACTTTCCCTCAATCCCAAGTGGAAGGGCCTGGCTCGCTGCACGAACGCGAAAGCCTCGAAGACTTGAGAGCTTTCTCTTCTCTAATGTATTGATGAAGAATCAAATGTCGCTCGTTTTTTCTTTTATGCTGCTCTGACCTTGTTATGTTTATTTGCGGATCTGTGATGTCGTGGACCTTCCGTGTGTGTTTCTTTTGTTTTCTATGGGTAAAACCTCTAAGAACATATCTTCCTCCTCGATATTTAGTTCAAGTTATTTATTATTATTTGGTACGAATTACAACCGGTCCTAAATGCAAACTAACTATTAATGTTACAAATAAGCATATGCTAAAATAAAGCACTCATTTGTTTTTGGCATATGTAAACCAAATAAATAAGAGCCTGCAGACAAAAATATCGTATGTAGCCTTGTTTCAACCAACATCGTCCTTGAAGTGATAGAAATGTCCTGGAAGATTTCAAAAGTTGACAACTTATGTCGGATCGATAGACTTCCGTTACAAGTAAGGGTTCAAGCGTCCACAAGATACGATGTGCTGAAACAAAAGAGATCATGCATGGGCCGTGAGCCCTAATTTACGTTAAAGAGTCAGATATAAAAAGCTGGGTAAGGGTTAGGAGTGAACCTCTCTGCACGCCTCCTCACTCATCATCATCGTTTAATTCCTCGCAAGTCTCTAGATCTCTGTGGTAAGTAAGTTTCTCCCTTTCCCCAACTGTCTCTTAGTTTCTTTTCGGAGGTTTGCGTATGGATATCAGATCTGATAGGAAAACGTTTATCTGTTTTAGAAATTTGACCTAGATTTTGTTCGGGATATAATTTTTGATTGGAAGTGTAAACCCTAATTTTGTGGCCTGGCATTGACCGACAATCCTTTGACTGTTTGAGGTTCTTGTGATGTGGATTTGGAATTGAAATTGCTAAGGATTGAAATTTATGTCCTGCTCTTGTTTTTCAAAAGAAACAGAACAGTAGTAATTCCTATTTGTTGTTTTTTTTTTGTTTTTTGGACTAGCATACTTGTGGAGATGGAGATGGAGAACCCTTTCAAGAAGATGAGTGTCCTTCCTAATGTAAATGATTTTGCCGATGCCATAGTTTCTCGCATTCAGCATGAGGCATTGATCGAGACTGTTCTCCCCAAGAGTTATACGATTAACGATCTCCGTCGGATCTACAAGCGCACTGTTTTGTCCGTGGCGTGTAGCTTTTCTGATAAGCTCAATGGCGTCGCGAGAGAGTTTAAACAAAATCATCCCTCGATTGAGCGTCGTTTCGAAATGCCCTACGGTAGCTACATGGTCGCTGTATTCCAACTCATGTATGCAGCTCGAGCGGTTACCAGTACCGCCAATGGTTTTATGCGGCAAATGATCAACGAGGATTGTGACTCACTGTGCAAGTTCAAGTGCCTGCTACTGTCTTCTCTTGGGCGTATGTTTGCTCTTGCAGAGAAAGCCATGCCTAGTTTGGCTTTTCTCGATTGTGTGAGGCAGTACATGGCAAGCCGTACAGAGAGCAATTCGCAAGATTATGATGATTCTGATGCGGCGGCGAAGAAGTACATGCTGTACTTGCTTCAGGAAGGCTGCAAATTCCCTCTGACTGTTGATGTTCCTAATGTTGCCAACCCTGCTGATCCCAATGTTATGAGTTGGCTTGAGGACTTTAAACGTCAACATGGCCTTTAATTATCTTCCTCTTAGTCGTTTTTGTTCTTATATCATACACATTCCATTTCTAAGTATTTTTTTGTGTGGCTTTTTCGTCCTCTTACATTCGCCATTCCTGCTTTTCTTAGGTCTTTTGCGGTTTTCATTGTAATGCAAGAGTAATTGAATATATGAACTATTGAACTTTGTGTAGTGCTGAACCATTTAAATAAAATCAAATTTTACCAAAAATGTTTGAAATCTTTGAAGCTCTTTTAGAAATATCATCTCTAAGCTTGGCCCAACACAAGGCCTGACTTGAGTACTAACCGGAGGATGAAAACGACATCGTCGTACAAAGTCAGCCATTTTCCACAAATGTGCCACGTCCCGCTGAATAGACCTCCATGCACAAAGCCACGTAAAGCATCTCTCTCTCTCTCTGTCTCAGATCTCCCTCTCTTTCTGTCTCTCTCCTGACATCCATTCTCCAATCAAATGGTGAAACTTGCGACGGCGCGTGAGATTAGAACGTACGGCCCTCGGCTCGGCAGGAGCAGGGCCGAGTACATCAACGCAGGTCTATACCTGTTCGCCACCGTAGTGCTCATCGGCGGTTTCACGGCTACAGGATTCTCTTGGGAGCCAAGATCCGGCCTCGTCCTCATTCTCTTGGCTCTCGCTCTTATAACCGCCGTGAATGTTCACGATCTCGTGGCTCATTTAGCCGGAATAGATTACCGGTATGATACGCTATTTGAATGCACGAAACTTACTTGATTTAGTTTGCTCATGCATACTCTTGATTGTTGTTACTACTTACTTGACTATTTTTTGTTCCACATTATAATGTCATTAATGATAGAGACTCGCCTAGAATTTTTGTTTAATTTTACCAGAATTTGTAAGCTCGATATGAATTTGTAATTTTTGTTTAATTTTTGGTATCAATTTCACATTCACAAATGTCAGGGGATTAAGAAAAGTTTTTAATTAGTTAAGAGAAAGTTGTTTCTGTAATTACAGGTTAAGGTTAATGCAGTATGACTTGCAATTGGGGCTAGTGGAATTTGCAGTCCCTCTAGTCCAGGTAGCGGGTTCGGTCGTTTTCTTCGTGGGAATCTTTTTCGTTTTCAACCAGGTAAAACAACTTCTTTGTTATAATTAACAAATCAGGAATTTACCATATCACATGAATTTGGATTATAAACGAAAATTTTACATACATGCATATGCCTCATTACGTAACGTAAGTAACACGACAAATAAGAGAACTAAACTGGTTATGCTGCCATGTGATCACATCCTTATGACAATGTAGTCACGTTCTTCTCTGGTTCTCTTATTTTTTTTGGAATATTTAGGCGGAGACAAAACTGGGACACGGTGAAAGAGAGAAGCACGCGTTAAACATGCTCGTTGCAGGTCCGTTGCTTTGGGTGATAGGATCAATTCACAACTCGTGTCAAATCTACGAGAGAGCAGACAGTCACGTGCAGATTCTACAGCAGTGTGTCCACATACCTTTCTTGGTTGGATCCCTTTTATTCTTGGTTTCTGCACTTCTCAATAGCCTTGACCAATCAGGATCATCTCATAGTGGCTTAAAGCTTCTTGTAAGTACTTGAAAAAAAAGATTAACTGCATAAAAATGTTAAACAAAAACAAAGAAAACGACTCTTATGTTAAATAGTAATCTTGCAGGGGAGAAGATGGGTTTGGCTTGGGATTTCCGGGGGAATATGTTTGTTTGTGGGTGGATTGATGAACGTGGTTAAGGTTTTTAACTTCGTTCAGATCAGTGGGATCCGTCTCGAGAAACTACGGGGCGGAGCACAAGACAAGCTTCTTGAAGAGAGAGAAGGGTATCTTCCTCTTGTTGCTGAAGAAGAAAGAATAAGGAAAATGGAAGCTGACGAAGCTTCTGAAAGAGCCAAATCTCCGGCTCGCTTAGCCCCCAAGGCAGGAGCGGGAGCTGCAGAGACCGCGGCGCGATCTTCTCCCACACCGTACAAGGATGTTCTCGTCGGACAGAGCTGAGGATGTTAAAGGATTATTCACGTTAAAACGTGGTTTTGTATTATATATCTTTATCAACTCGTTTTTATCTGTAGACCACAGATTTTACTGGTAAACGACGCTTGCTTTGATTTGTTTCCTTCTTGGATCAGCCTTTATGAATAGTGAAAGGGTTTAAGAATACATCAAGATTAAGGATTTGTTCTGTATACGGTCATATGCTCACCGATCGCTGTATGGCTCGTGAGCATGCCGCTAAAATTTGGAACCGTACATCTCCCGTCTCAATAATAACTATTACCAACATGAAGAACGTGTCATGTCATTGGTTCAGACAAATGGATGCACAACATTTGGTCTGAATGAAATTGCAGCTTTTGAATGGACAGTTCTTGTGATTTCTTGGAGCCTTTCCACTGAAGCGCCGGGCTGCTTAAATTTGATATGCAAAGAAAGAATCATCATCCGATTGGATCTGATGACTGTTGTCACATATCAGCGCAGAAAGACGAGATCGAAATTATCGGCCACGAGGGAAGTGAAATTTAGCATAATGGTGTTAATAATATCACCGTTAATCACTGTTATAAGATGGAGGTGGATACATATGAGGTAGGATTTATTGAATTCAAAAGTTTGTATTTGATTTAACTATTCGATTTCAGATTTCAAAAAACTGTTCTGGGCATCAAACACATTCATAACTAGGAAGACAAGAAGCAACAAACAAATTAAAACATATCAGCTGTAAAGGAGACAAGAAGGAAACTTCTTAATGACAATATATTTCGTATCTCCATACTTGGTAATTTCTGTAATTACATTAACCTAGAAGCTTCCCTATGTACAAGTATATAAAGCATTGTAATATCTTCAAAGAGGAATAAGACTCACATTCTACATGGTATCAGAGCAGGCTTAATAACCTTTTCTTTCTTTTCGCCGCCATCCCCTTTCTCCTCTATCCCCTTTGTTTTCTTCCTTTCTTCTTTATCTCCTCTGTTTTTTTTTTCTCTCTCCTTTTTCCTGCAATGGCAGCCAATAATGACACCGTTGATATTGCTCAACAAACTGTTCACAATATCAACATGTCCAACATCACAAAGCTCAACTCCACCAACTACTTGATGTGGAGTCTCCAAGTCCATGCTCTTCTCGATGGTTATGATTTGGCCGGCTATCTCGATGAATCCAGCGCTACACCACCAGCGACACTCACTACTAATGAAGTCACCTCGGTCAATCCTGCACACACCAAGTGGAAACACCAAGATCGACTCATTTACAGTGGCCTTCTCGGAGCCATCTCCCTGACCATCCAACCGATTCTCTCCACCTCACGAACCTCTGCTGAGATCTGGAGTACACTCGCCTCCACCTACGCCAAACCTAGTAGAGGACACATCAAACAAATCAAGCATCAACTCAAGCAGTGGTCCAAAGGAACTAAGTCCATTGATGAATACATCCATGGCTTCACCATGAGGTTTGACCAACTTGCTATTCTCGGTAAACCTATAGATCATGAAGACCAACTCGAATACATTTTGGAAGGCTTACCCGAAGATTACAAATCGGTGGTCGATCAGATCGAAGGCCGCAACACACCTCCTTCCCTCACGGAAGTGCATGAGAAGCTCCTCAACCGAGAAGCCAAGCTCATCTCTGCTGACTCACTGTCGGTGGAAGCTCCAATCACTGCAAATCTGGCCAACACACCATCCACACACTGAGACAAGGCAAGACAATCGCATCACAAGAGAATATCAAGGGAAATGCCAACTCTGTGGTGTGCAAGGCCATAGTGCGAAGAGATGCCCTCAACTTCCATCATCGTACAACACAATCCCTCCAAACCAGACGCAACAATCACAACGACAGTGGCAGCCTCGCGCCAATCTCGCCATTGGCTCACCTGATCCGGCAGCTGGGTGGGTCATGGACAGCGGCGCAACACATCACATGACGAGTGATCTCCAAAATCTCGCTCTCCATCAGCCATACACCGGTGAAGACAATGTCCTCATTGGTGACGGCTCAGGTCTCTCCATTACTCATATTGGTTCAAAAACAGTTCCCACTCCTTCTCGATCCCTCACCTTATCGAATATTCTCTGTGTTCCTCATATACACAAAAACCTTATCTCTGTTTATCGATTATGCAATTCTAACAAGGTTTCTGTTGAATTCTTTCCTGCCCATTTTCAGGTGAAAGATCTGTGCTCGGGGGTCCCGTTGCTCCAAGGCAAGACTAATGGAGAGCTTTACGAGTGGCCGCTTTCAACATCTCATGTTACGTCTTTCTTTGCTTCTTCTCAACCTAAAATTACTTCGACGGACTGGCACTATCGTCTTGGCCATCCGTCACCACCAATTCTCAATAAAATCATTTCTAGTTTTTCCCTTGATTGCTCAAACACTTCTCCTACCACTTCTCTCTGTATTGACTGTTCTATCAATAAAAGTCACAAACTTCCCTTTCACCAAACAACTCTCAAATCAACTCGCCTTCTTGAATATATCTTCTCTGATGTCTGGTCATCTCCATTACTCTCTTGCGACAATTACAAATACTACTTAGTACTTGTCGACCACTACACCAGATACACTTGGTTCTACCCTCTCAAAACCAAATCTCAAGTCATAGAAGTGTTCAAACCTTTCAAATCGTTGGTTGAGACAAAGTTCAACAGCAAGATCAACAACCTCTACTCAGACAATGGAGGTGAATTCATCGCTCTTCGATCCTTCCTCGCAGCATCAGGCATATCTCATCTCACATCACCACCACACACGCCAGAGCATAACGGCATCTCAGAGCGAAAACACCGACATATCGTTGAGACGGGTCTCTCACTCCTTACTCATGCCGGAATGCCAAAAACGTATTGGACCTATGCCTTTGCCACCGCCACCTACCTAATCAATCGGCTCCCTACACCAGTAATTGCGATGGACTCACCCTACCACAAGATCTTCGGCGTTGTTCCAAACTACTCAAAACTACGCATATTTGGCAGCCTCTGTTTTCCCTGGTTGCGGCCATACAACACCAACAAACTCCAAAATCGCTCAACCCCGTGTGTATTCTTGGGTTACTCATTAACCCAGAGTGCATATCTCTGCCTTCAACCCAGCTCCGGCCGCATCTATGTCTCCCGACATGTCAAATTCGATGAGTCTGCGTTCCCATTTCACTCCTTATCTCGAACGACAAGTGAATCTCTCGAGTCTCAACCAACAACACCCACCACCACACCACCACACGATCAAATCCGACTTCCGCAGCCACTCGTCTCGCCTCCGCCGCCGTTGCAACCGGGACCCACGAACTCTGGTCTTCCGCCTGAACAATCGACATCGGAAGATATTCACTCTAACCCTGTTTCAATTGCAGGTCGTGACAGTGGTGACCAAACCTCTTCCACACCAAGCCCAGCAACACACAATGAAGCCCAGACCGAAAACACAAGCCCAACACCAAACAATGAAGCCCAATCCGAAAATACAAACCCAATTCCAAACAATGAGGCCCAACCAGACAACTCAAACCCTACAAGCCCAATAAGCCCACCAAATCTACCCAATCAAGATGACAATATCCAATCGTCGTTTTCCTCATCCTCCGATGACGATGCTCCGGATCCGCCACCACTAAACATCCACCCTATGCAAACCCGCCGGAAAAACAACATTGTCAAACCCAATTCCAAATACAACCTCTCCGCTGCCTTATCCACGAATATTGCATCTGAACCAATGACTTTAACCCAAGCAATGAAGGATCGACGATGGAGAGGCGCTATATCTGGTGAGATCGATGCTTTTGCAGTCAACCGCACCTTCAGCCTGGTCCCACGACCACCAAACAAGAACGTAGTCGGCTGCAAATGGTTGTACACCAACAAGTATCTATCATCTGGCCTTCATCATCGCCACAAAGCCAGGCTTGTTGCCAAAGGCTACAATCAACAACTTGGTCGTGACTATACTGACACCTTCAGTCCAGTGATCAAGTCAACTACAATTCGGGCAGTTTTAGATGTTGCAGTCACAAAATCTTGGCCTCTTCTTCAATTGGATGTCAATAATGCCTTTTTTACAGGGCACCTTGAATGAAGAAGTCTACATGGAGCAACCACCATGATTCATAGATCGTGATCACCCCGACTATGTCTGTCGCTTACACAAAGCGGTCTATGGCCTCAAGCAGGCTCCCAGAGCCTGGTATACTGAACTCAAGACATTTCTCCTCAGCTTGGGATTCCAAAACTCGCTTGCAGATACGTCTTTGTTCATCATGCGCACTGGTAATGATTATCTCTACCTGTTAGTCTATGTCGATGACATACTTGTCACTGGTAGTAGTAAGTCTGGAATCGCAAAGATATTATCTGCTCTTGCTGAGAGGTTCTCTATCAAAGACCCATAAGATCTCAATTATTTTTTGGGTCTTGAAGCTCACTGCACTGCAGCGGGACTACACCTTTCTCAGAGGAAGTACATCCTTGACCTCCTCAATCGTTACAACATGCTCAACGCAAAACCAGTCAGCACACCAATGGCCTCCTCTCCAAAATTGACACTCATGTCGGGTACATCTCTCACGGATCCCACCAGCTACAGGAAACTTGTTGGCAGCCTCCTGTATCTCGCATTTACAAGACCTGATATAGGCTATGCAGTGAATCGCCTTTCCCAGTTCATGCATCGCCCAACAGAGGATCACTGGCAAGCTGCAAAACGAGTTCTTCGATACTTAGCAGGAGCAACAACTCATGGTATTTTCTTTTCTGCGAAGAACTCACTCTCTCTTCATGGCTTCTCAGATGCAGACTGGGGTGTAGACTCTGATGACTACATCTCCACCAACGCTTATGTCATCTACCTTGGCTCTCATCCCATTTCCTGGTCAGCTAAGAAACAAAACGGTGTTGCTCGATCATCGACGGAGGCAGAGTATCGAGCTGTGGCAAACAATGCAACCGAGATAAGATGGATCTCTAACCTTCTCACAGAAATGGGCATCTCAACATCAACCAAACCAGTTGTTTACTGTGACAATGTTGGAGCCACGTTCCTCTGCGCCAATCCAGTGTTTCACTCTAGAATGAAACATATAGCACTGGATTACCACTTTGTGAGAGGGCACATTCAACAAGGGACTCTACGTATTGCTCATGTCACTACAAAGGACCAGCTTGCGGATGCTCTTACCAAGCCATTACCACGAGCACGGTTTCTAGAGTTACGAGACAAGATTGGAGTTGTCAAGACACCTCCATCTTGAGGGGGCGTGTAAAGGAGACAAGAAGGAAACTTCTTAATGACAATATATTTCGTATCTCCATACTTGGTAGTTTCTGTAATTACATTAACCTAGAAGCTTCCCTATGTACAAGTATATAAAGCATTATAATATCTCCAAAGAGGAATAAGACTCACATTCTACATCAGCATGTTATATCCATGCTTGGTTACATAATAATTCAGCAAAGCTAACATAAAGCTTCACCGAGCACACTCAATTCTTTATTTGATTTTCAAAAGGCGAATATTTTATTTTTTTCCACCCAATACATAGAATTTGTTATGGATTGATCAATCACGGTCCAACAGTGTTTGTGGCCATATAGGTTTTGCGATATGCAGCTGCGTTTGTTGGAATCAACATCTCTTTCAATCCTTCATCCACTAAATGTGCACCCAACATTTGCAAAGCCCACTAGTGATTCACGTAAGAAGTCATCAAAAGAAAAGAAAAACAATCTTTAAAACATGTAAATATGTGTGTAAGAAATAGGCAAGAAAATGAGGTGCCCTTACCCCAAAAAGTCTGAGGCTCTAAAAGCGACGAGGTGAAGGAAAGGGAGAGAGCAAGTAGCCCATGGAGGTGAGGGTTATGGCTACCAGATGAAGAACTAGAGTAAGGGGACGAGGGTTCATGCCCCCGAGAATAGCCATCATTCCGGTTGTTCGAAAATCTCCACTGCAAAGGTAACTGAAGCAGCCTTGTCGCAATCCCTCTCTTGCTTCGTCCGTTGTAGCAACCAGCACTTGCGAAAAGATACTCGCCAGCGTGTTTACAGTTGCTGACATTGGCTTTTTTCATTCAAAATCAACACAAATTAAAGAGTAAGAGTCCGTATTAAATCTCATTTCACTCATATGTGAGAGTTTTCCAGCAAAGTAAACATTATCTCATCAATAAAGACTAATCTCGCCAGTCAAATTAGAGGTAACTAATGTACAATGAATTAGCTAGGTGTGTCCTAATTGGTCGTTAACTAAGACAACTTGGTAATAAGAAAGTGGACTTGATCTAGCATATTTAAAGTACTGAGTCAATTTGTTTTGAATAACGTCTAAAAATATTCATCTTAATAAAAAAACGAAATATGTTAGAACAATAGAACTCACCTTGCGGATTATGTAAAAGGACCTGACAAGCTCCGAGACCTTCTTAGTATTGGCGAGGTTAGGCAATGGCCTGAGAAGATTTCGTAAAATGCAAACGTCCGAGAGTGCAACCATCATCCCTGACGCGATTACAGGATGACGCATATTAAATGCATCTCCCAACACAATCACTCCCTTCTTATCACACAACTTCGCTGACATACTTTTAGTCGCCGTTGATTTTATCTCTGGTAGTCCTTCTTCGATCCCTTTCAAAAATATCTCACGGAGATTTCCATTTTCAGGTATCTACAACACGAAAGCAAGATGATACGTACAAACGAAGTCATATATAAGAACAAAGTTATACCACTTGAAATCAATATACTTACTTAATTTTGACTCTTTCAAAATGTTAAAAACACACACACCCTAAAAGTTTTAGTGTTACAGTTACACCAATCATTTGTTATGTACCTGAGGAGCCATAGTGTTCCGGAGGAAGTTAGACATTTCACCATTCGCGATAGAAGGAATACTATCAGCGGGGACCTCCGCAACACAACGAACCTCCTCACTGGTTATTTGATATATAAAACAGACTAAAGGTTTTGAAAAGATCAGATGTAGACTATGTGGGTCTTCAAGTCGGCTATTCTTCGTGACGTAACCCACCATATACGAATGCACATCCTCCTGTATATATTCAAATAATTATAATCCTCAAACTCGTTAATTAAGGACGAGAGTATCTTTCGTTAAACATTCACAGAGAAGAAAGAATTCTACATGCAGTGCATAAGAGATACGTGTATACTCACCTTATTATCGACGACTGACCGACGAAGGTTTGAGTAGCAACCGTCGCATACCACAGTAAGAAGTGCAAAGGCCGTTGTTTCTTCGCCTGCGCTGTTCTTGTATGTCACTCCTTTAACCACTCCTTTTTCTTCTATCAAAGACTTCACCGTTCCTTCCTCTAGTTGCACGCTGCCAATGTTCAAAGCAATTTGTTTTTTACATAATAGTCATAGATCATTTTTTAATTCATTATCAACTGATTTGAGATGAAAATTCTTGATCAAGATGACAGATAGTATTGGAATCAAATTAAAATCACCATATATTGATATATATTTTGCTACAAATGATCTGAATGGTCACTAGTTAATCCGTTGCAATCATATAACAAAATTCAACAAATATAATTGCTGCCATATGTGCTATAGATCTACACAAATCTAAGTACGTAGCCAACGTCCAAAGATAAGAAACAAATAAATGACGGTAGCTAGTAATCATCACCCTAGTGGCCTAGACTACAAATCGATTTCCACTAGATGTATCTCGATTGCGAGTTACGGAAATTAGTTTTGATTTCGGTTTGAAATTGCGGGACTACTCATACGTATATACGTACTTGGTAAGCGAAGCTGCTTTTTTGCGTAGACGCTGTACCAGACGACCATTACGAAAAAGACTACCCACTGGTTCATAAGGAAACTTCTTGTCATCTGGAAAAGGCAAGGTCGCGTGTTTCCCGTCCTTGTAAATTGCTAAGGACTTCGCTGCTTGAGCGTCTATTTCCTCCAAACAATCTAATATAAATAGAAAAAACCAAATACAGTATCACAAATCAGATGGACACGTAAGATTATTAACTTTTTAGGCATAGATCCATATTCACTTGTGGCAACAAGATCAAGCAATGTGTACTAATGAATGTGAAGAGAGACCTTCAAGGCCAAGGTTAGCTAGCATGAGGCGGCCTCCCGCTTGCATAAGCTCTCCCATAAATCTTTCAGGTTCTTTCAAGTCCCTCTCTATCACATGTACTCGTCGTCCATCCTGCATGCATCCGCATTTAAATTAAGTAGACGTACTGAGTAGGCTGAGTATAAGGACATTTTAATCATGTACATTATCATATCAAGTGTTTTTTTTTCTTTCTCTTTTGCTGTCTAATGTGTTTACTCTTGGACACCCATGCATCTATACTTAAAGTCCATTTTTTATTTTCTTATGTTTTTCCATTTTGTCCTTTTTTTTTTAGCGTCATTTTTTCAACAGCAAATAAAATAAATTAAATAGTATTGTTGGACAAGCTAGATAAATTTATTCTGAATCTAAAATATTACACCACATTTATAATTAAGCAATACATTTTTAGTATTCTCATTGATTTAAATGATTTCATTTATTCGTATAATCCTATAAAAAGATATATAATCATATAAATATTATTTATTTATATAACCTTTGCCTTTTGAATATATTTTCAGATAAATAACTTTCTAACTGACAATAATATTTTTATAAAAATATTTGATTAAGATATCTCTCTACTCCATACTGAAATGCAACTGAGCCCTCTAAAATCATTACAATGGCTAAAAGGTAATTCATAATTCCTTTTTTTTTTCCAAAACACCAAACAATCTATATACAAACAAGTAGCTAAAAGGTCATTCATAATTCCTAAAAGAAACATATTTGACAAAACTTTGTATATTCAATAACAATATCAAAAACCTAGTTTAGTCGGATTTAAAATATCAACACAAAATTAGAATTAGAATCATCGCGACTGTCAGTAGCCTGATCACTACAATTAACACGGCCGGTCTAAACTTCTTAGATATATAAAAAACGAGACAGACATTAACAAGGTGAGAGTGACAACACATTGCCTAGCCGTAATTGATGAATGCATAAAAACAAAAACAAAAAACCGTCACGTGTACCTTAGCAAGAGCATAGGCGAGAGCCGCTCCTGCCACACCCGCCCCAACAATGATAACATCAGCGACACCGTCTCTTCTCTCTTCTGCCTCGGCCTCTGTCTCCTCTGTTGCCTCCTTCTTTCTCTTGATGATGTGAAAAACCATCCATGTCAGAACGAAGGCGAGAACCGTCCATAACCACGCGTACGTCGTTGCCATTACTGCTTAGTAATAATATATCTATCTGTCTTTGCCTTTGAAGTGATCTCGTTAAATAGGAGAAATCCCTTTAACAATCAAATTACTAGAAACCCACGAAGTCTTTTTTTTTGTATATCCACAAAGTCAAACGAAAAAAATATACCTAATAGGCTAATAAATTAGAGTTCCACAGCTTGGCAAAACGATGCACAATTCTTTATGACACATGATTTAACCAAAAAAGAAAATTATCATTCACATGCGTGTCTGGTATTATATGGTAAACAATAATCGTACGACCAGTCTAAATAAACAATAATTTCATATGCTTTACTGGTTTTATATGGGGTTTTTATTTAAATAATTTCTAATTAATTATCTTCGTTTAACAAAACTATTCGAATAAGTTCTCTCAAAAATATATAGTTTCTTATGATTATTTTTTTGGTCGAAGGAGGGGCAGAGCCCCAATTTATTCAAATATCAAAAGAAACTACAATCGAACTTGGCGTGGGATCGAGACACCCTCCAAGTCCTCAACGAAAATAGGTGTCCAATCCTTTTTTTTCTGGAAAACAAACGGTATTGTGTTGTATCACTTTTTATTCTAATTTATTTAACTAGCAAAAAACGCAACCATGATTATATAAATTTTAAAAAATTCAACCCTCTGATTGCAATAGCATGGCCACGACTACATGACTACCTAATCAATTTTTTAATAGCATATCCAATCTTGATCAGGAACAACATCATATACGTGTCGAGCTAGGAATGGGTAGTCTCAGTAATTAATTAACCCATATACTATTTAATTGCGCAAACAGAGAAATCAGAAGATTGTTGCATTAACAAATTCATTACTCATACCTCATAAGTCATAAGCGTGAGGGGCGTGGTATAATAGAATAATGCATTAAGGAGAATATGAGCTGGAGATGAAAAAAAACGAGAGGAAGATATCAAGTGATATTTCATATTACCAAATCAACTCCGCCAAAGTCGCTTCGTTGCTATCCTCTGTTGAGGTAATGGTCCACCATAAAGACGTTTCAAAACTGTAATTGTTTTCTTTTTGGACATCTGAATATGACTTGACATTGATTAAACGCCGAAACAATATAACTATGGTTAACAGGCTACCCTTTATGGGTTTTGTCTTCTTTGCAGAATACGTTGTACGAGGTGGGTTTTCTAATTAACATAACCATTAAATGACAAAACCGAAGCAAATTTTTACTATAAAAAAAGAAAAAGCTAAAGGTTAAATGAAATTTTCTTTAAGTTAAATAGGTAGAGGCAGTCGACCAAAAAATAGGTAGAGGTGAAGAAGTCAATGGGAAATTAAGCAAAACTATAATCATTTAGATAGAGTACACTATTTTGTCGAGTGTCACTTCAAAAATATAACCATTAAATATATTTGTAGATGGATATATCAATACTTTGAGGTAATATTGGAATACAATTCTGACAAATAATGCACAATCACAAAAGGTTTATCGAGGGTTTAGAGCATCAATGATTAGACAACTGTTGCGGCCATATAACTTTTGCGATAAGCGGCTGCATTTGCCCCAGACAACATTTGGCTAACCCCTTCAGCCTTGAGATGAGGAACCAACATTTTAAAAGACAACTGGATATTCACAGAAACAATAAAAAAAAAATCAATGTCAAAACTGTAATGGTAAACTAAAATTACCAACACTCACAGTTACGTAAAAACCAATTCTATAATATAAAGAAAAGTATAATGACTTACACCAAAAAGTCTAAGGCTATGCCAAACGCGAAGAGGAGATGGAAATGGAGAGAGCAGTTGACCAATGGAGGATAGAGTAATAACACATAGATGATAGATGAGAGAGATCGGACGAGGATTCATGCCGCCTAAGACAGCCATCAAGCCTGATGCGCCAAACCCTCCACCACTGAGGTAATCGTAGCATCCCTGTCGCATTGCCTCTTTTGCTTCGTCTGTTGATGCAATTAACGCTTGAGAAAATGCATTCCCTAGTGTGTTCACGGTCGCAGACATTGGCTTCACAAGACAAATACATGTATTATTTTCAAAATTTTGAGGTTGTACGTAATAAATTGGGTTTAGACTAGTATGTGATGCATTCTCACCTTGCGGATAACATAAAAAGACTTGATAACTTCTGAGATTTTGTTTGCATCACCGAGATTTCTCAATGGTTGGAGAAGACCGCGTAAGATGAGAATGTCAGACATTAAAACCATCATTCCAGAAGCGATTGCTGGATGGCGCATATTGAATGCATCTCCCAACATAATCACTCCTTTCTTCTCGCTCAATGCAGCTTCCATTCTCTTTGCTGCTGTCACTTTTATGTGTGCTCCTTCATCGATCCCTTTTAGAAATATTTTCTGGAGTTTTGGGGGTACCTAGAAAATAAGTGTAAAGAGAATATTTTGCATGACTTCCTGCTTGAAAATGTTAAATGTGTGTATATATATGACTTATATACGTACTTGCGATAAGCCCAATGTGTACCTGAGGAGCTATAGTCTTCTTGACGAAGGTGTGCATTTCACCATTTGAAATAGAAGGAATCTTATTGGCGAAAATTTCAAAACCACAACGAACTTCGGTGCTGCTGATTTGATACAACATGGTGAAGGAGGGTTTGGACATTATTATGTGCAATTTTTCGGGTTCCTCAAGGCGACAATCCTTTGAGATGTAACCAACAGAGTACGATGTAACCTCCGCCTACATAAAAATTGCAGCAGATAGATTCTTATTAACTTACTGACTGACTAAAAGAGAATAACAACATTTTTTTGTCATTAACATTTACATGAACAGATTTAAGCCTATTCGTTTCTAACAAATATATACTCACAGTGTTGTCGTTAAGAGACCGACGAAGGTTCGAGTAGGAACCGTCGCATACCACAGTGAGAGGTGCAAAGGCCGTTGTTTCTTGGCCTGCTTTGGTCTTGTATGTAACGCCTTTGATCACCCCTTTTTCTTCAATCAAAGATTTTACCGTTCCTTCTTCCAACCGTACACTGCAAATTAATGATATAATGAAATTCAGTGCTATTGTCATGTTTAGTAGTATCTGCTACAAAATTTACTACAAAAATGATTTTTTTTCAAAATACCACAAAATAAGTTTGTGTTCCAAAATTACCATAACTAATAGTATTTTTCCCAAAAAACACAATTTTTTTCTAAAATTTCACAAAATAACTTTGTGTTCCAAAATTACCACAATTATTTCCAAAAATACCACAGTTTGACCTTTTCCAAAAATACCACAAATTGATAGTTCATGTTACTTATAGATGTTCAATTGAATTCCGGTACTATGTGGAATTCTTAGCATACTTAACTAGTAGTATAAAAAACATTTCGATTAAAGAGAGATACGTACTTGGGAAGAGAAGAGGCCTTTTGGCGCAGTCGCTGGACAAAACGGCCATTGTGAAAAGTTCGAGCCGATGGTTCATAAGGAAAGTTGTTGTCCTCCACCGGAAAAGACGCGACTGCTTCTTTTCCGTCCTTGTAAAGTGCTAAGCCGGTGACTATCTGTTCATCTATTCCTTCCAAACAATCTATATAAATATAAACGCTCAAAATTTAGTCATGAAACTAAGACACAACATGTCATTTATAATTCCTTTAATTTACATTACATACCTTGAAGACCAAGCTTAGAAAGCAAGAACCGTCCTCCAGGCTGCATAAGCTCGCCCATCATTCTTTCTGGCTCTCTCATGTCTCTCTCTATCACATGTACTCGACGTCCGTCCTAAAACCCAAACTTTTTTCTTAATATAAGGCTTTAATCCAAAATTATAATACAGGAGTGTTCGTTACTACCCAAACTATTACAATACAATTACACTAAGGAAGAAAAAAATCATATAATAGAGCTTTGATTCTATCAATAGTAAATACATGGACGCCATTTTACGTACCTTAGCAAGAGCATATGCGAGAGCTGAACCGCCCACACCAGCTCCGACGATGATGACGTCAGCACCACCGTCTCGTCTCTCCTCCGCCACCGCATCTGCTAACTCCGCCCCCTTCTTTCTCTTGTTGGATACGTGGAATATTGTCCAAGTGAGCACGAAGCCAAGTAACGTCCATAAACAAACCTCCATAAAAACCATATCCATATCTATTATTGTTACCCCTCAATATGAGAGAGTTAAGAAAGGCGGAGTAACATATATAGTCGGATCGGACGCGGGTATCACCACATACTAATCTATCATACGTTAATGGCAAAATATTCTAAACCAGTAATTTTATTTTTAAAAAAATTATTGTCTTAGATACAAACATTGGACAGTGTCCCCACCCCCAATAATTCTGATATTTAAATCTATATATAGAACAAGCGAATAACACATACTTGTAAGTTTGAATTTGAAACAATCTTTAATTCCAAAAAAATACTGAATCATGAATCCAAATACAGTCAAAGATGTTATTTGTTTTTACTTTAGAGGCAGCTGTCTAGAGTTTTCATATAATTTTAATTCAATATATTCCACCATTTGTATGTGACACATATAAACTTTCATTTTTACTGATGATGCCTCTATGAACTATGATTATTATTGCGCATGAATGTTATGTACACGGTGTCGCAAACAAACATACATGGGAATTGGGAATTACGAGAAACAGAATTATGAAAGCTGCCACATATTTAATGGCAAACATACAAGTTTTCATCATGTATATGATGCATGCATAATTTGATCACATGGTCAGTTAGGCTGCAATTGGGTTTTCATTTTATCGGGTGGGTTTGCCAAATATTTTTGGAGTTGCTGCAAGGTCTCCCAACAATCACAGTGGTGTATTTGGTTTGACTTTAAATACAAAACATTGAAGAAAATTAAACGAGAGAAAAATATTTGGGAAATTTTGTACGTTCACTATGGGAGAACAGTACAAACTTATTACATATATATTATACATGAATTAATCCTAATACCTAAATTACTAGAGTGCAACAGATAATTCAAGAGCCGTAATTTTGCGTCCTCTTCTCCGCAACAACTGTATGATGATTGAGCATGGGCAATTCATATGAAACTCTGCTCACGGGAAAAAAGATCATATTCTTTGATATGTTACCATACCAAAACCCAAGAGATTTAATTGCGGCAGATAATCCAAGAGCCGTGATAACTAAATCAATTCGTATTTGTCGACCCACCAAAGTTGTGGCTATGCTCTGTGTTGAGATATGATCCACACCTTTCTTTATTCTTATTTTTCTTTTTTAAAACATAAGAGCATGTTTAACCATATAGCTTAGAGAGACACTACAAGAAGTTCTGTGTTTAGAGTCAGTTATTTTGGTAGTTAGCATCAGTTTTTAATTCTATAATTTTAAGGTCAGTTTAAAAAGTGATTCTAAAACTGCTGATGCTAAAAATATCTTGTATCAGTTTTAGAACTGACTCTAAAATTCATTGTTAGAGTCATATATAGTGTCAGTCTTGTAAATGATGCTATACCAAATTTTGGAGTCAGTTTACCATAACTGATGCTAGCAATTGAATTTTTTCTAGTATCAGTTTTCACAATTGACTCTAAACACTGATTTTTGTATCAGTTTTAAATAGATACAAGCACTAATCAAAATAACATTCTGTAAACATTCAAATTGCTATAATAAACTGTTCAAATTGCTATATTATCATCAAATATTGTCAACTGTAGTAAACACAATCACAAACTGTTCAAAATGGACCAACATGTACTACTGACCAAACTATTCAAACTGCTTTAAACCAAACTGTTCAAAGTGTAATAGAAATTCAACTTCTGCTTCATTGTTCCATAAGAGGGCATATATAGTTGAAATACTTTACCTTCTGCTTTCTTGTTCCAAGTGTAATAGAAATTCAACTTCTGCTTTTCATCATGTTAACCACATCACGCAACTTTTCCAGTTCCTCTTCAAGATAATTGACTTTGTTCCTCAAGCAAGCAACTTCTGTTTTCTCTGCTGTTGTTGTAGGCCGATTCTTGAAAAAGGTGGAAGGAGTAGGACCAAGACCAACGCAACGAACACTTCCAGGACGTTCAGCTCCAAAAACTTGAGAGAATTCATCGATTCCTGTATTTAGAGTCCTTGTATGAGCAAGTTTTTCCTGAAATCAACAAACAGAGCAAACAAGTGAATAAGAAACAGAGCAAACAAGGCAGCAAATAAGATACATACGCTACTCTCCTGAGAGATACTACATACGCTACATAAACAAGATACTATAGCTGAGAGATGATATAGCTGAGCAAAACAAAATCAGCAAGATCCAGGGCAAAACAAGGCAACAAGATCCTATAGCTGAGAGATACTACATACGCTACTCTCCTCAATTTCATTACGCTGAAAGATACTACATACGCAATTTCATAATCCAGGGCAAAACAAGGCAACAATTTCATAATCTTTCATTACTCACGCATCAATGAACAATGCTTTGATATCTCATTAACAAAGTGAAAAACTTACTGATAACTCTTGTGCTTCTTCATTAATAAAGCTTCCATCAACTTTTTGGCGTGAACAAATAAAAATCTCTGCTCTACTTGGACGTTTACCTGTCTTCAGAAACTAGAGAAGTACAAGCACAAATCAGAAATAAGCAACTTACAATGTTTATAATTTTTTAGCTTATAAGCAACTTACAATTTCTTTAGATTTTCGACAAATGCTCTTCTTCCCTAAAGTGTGAGGTATCTTGTAATAGCTCCGATTGTTTATATTTCGGTCTCTTAGTTTCTACAAATCACAGGTTACAACATTAGTTTAGCTCTAAATCACATGTAACAGAGTATATTACAGTAAACTAAATGATTTACAGTACCTTAGCTCTTTCAGTGAATTGCATATGCACAAAGTCTTGCCACTGCTCTTTTGGAATAAAATCTGGTCTAGCTTCCATAGATTCCTCAGGGGTATTGCGACGACAAGAACGCCATAAACGTGTTTTTAGGCCTTTGCATTTTTGACTTAGACTTTTCATGATAAACTTCTTTCGATTGATTGAGGCATCAAAATCAAACTTAGTCTGCAAAAATAAACACAATCACCATCAAAGTTATTAGACTGCAAAAGCCCGGAAATCATATGAAATCATATGAAAGCATGGAAATTATACCTGAATGTAATCCCATACATCATCCTTTCTCCATGACTGTACTTTCCTCCAGTCTTCATAAGTTATCGGAAACTTATTCAAGTCATTACTCAGCTGTCCTAGAAACGTACCAAATAGACCTCCACTTCCTCCTTCAGGTTGATCATATGGCCCAAACTCAAGAATGACTTTACGATTCTCCATTCCCCATATATCTTGGGCATTAAGTCGTTCCTCGGTTACATTTCTTTCTGAATCTGCAAAAAAATGGCAAACAAAAGCTTATATGTAAGTTTATTTCTGAATCTGCAAAAAAATGGCAAACAAAAGCTTATGTGTAAGTTTATTTCTGAATCTGCAAAAAAATGGCAAACAAAAGCTTATGTGTAAGTACCTATTACGTTAACCACCCATTTTCCTCTCTCACGTCCTTGTGTATGCATAAACTGAGAAAAATTGGTATTTTCAAGATGCTCATCATGCTGAAAATATGATTCACTCCCTTCTCCATAATGTGTCTCATGAAATTCATCCATCTGCATACAAAAAAAACATCATCATCATCATAGCATCATCATCAAACATCATCATATACAACAAAAATATTATGAGATTCATTCATCAACTCAAACAAGACATAAAGAGCTAAAACAAGGCAAACAAAAAGACAAGAAAACATCATCATCGCACCTATTTAAACGTCATCATCATCATCTAAAACATCTCTAACTAGTTGAACATTCTGTATATCATCCGAGATGAGCAATTCCTCATTGGCACATGAATCACTTATGTCAATATCTTCAAATAGATCATCTGATATATCAGATAAACCCATATCATACAAGTCCTTAGGTTGGATATGAACAGCTATATTCCAACCAAGTTCACTCGGGTCTTCGATATAGTACACCATCTTTGCTTGGGAAGCCAATACAAATGGTTCATCTTCCTCACCTTGACCGCTATGAATTATACGAGAGAAATTCACCATATTATGACCAAAACCGTCTCTCTTGTATCCACGACTATCTCGAGTATCTGCCCATTTGCACTTAAACAACACCACTCTAAATTCTCGTAATAGTTTAGTTGAATAATGTCCACAAGCTTACCGTAGTAAGGAACATTACCCGCCCTTGGATTATGATCACGAGAAGATGAATAGCTCACAGTCTCAGCCGATGTATAGACCCCACAGTTCTGTGTTTTCAAATCACCATCTCGATCTAATGTTCTGTATCTATAACCATTGACGTTATATGATGAGAACTTCAAAACTCTATCAGAAGGACCCTTAGCAATAATTCTAATATCATCATTAATGTCATCAATCTCATTCTTCTCTACTTTATGTCTAAGCCATCTATCAAAGTGAAGATGAACTGCTCGATCAATGTCTATAGTATAACGTCGTTTCCTACCACGAGTGTTTACTCTTCTCAGCTCTTCTTTATACTTTCTGGATATTGATAAAAAAAAGAGAAAATCAACACATATAGAAAATCAATAAAAGAAAGAAGTAAGGAAAACTAATTCCTTACTCTCGTAATCTATCAAGAAATGGACAACAAATCAAGATATAGCGATGCGCTTGTTGTCTCTCTATTGGACTTAGAGTTGCATATTGACTTGCGCCAATAGACCTCCCTAGTGATGGAAAGAAAACAGGAATAGCCGAGTCTGATCCAAGAGTATGAGTGGACATTGGAATGTCATTTACTCTTCGTGTGCGGTTGAATCTCGTCTCTATCCCATCAAGATACATAGAACAAAAAGTGAGGCATTCATCTGCCAAGTATTGCTCACATATAGATCCTTCTGGTTGAGCACGGTTTCTAACATAGGCTTTGAAACGAGAGAAATTCCTAAACACAAAGTGATAAAAAAAAATTGCAGACTAAGCACACAAATCAACACATCAAGAATGCAACGAAAACAAAAATGAAAACTAAAATGAATGAAAACTGAGAAGGAAAGCCATACCTCTCAATTGGATACATCCAACGAAATTGGATAGGGCCACCAAGTTTTATTTCCTCAGTCAAGTGGACAGTCAAATGCATCATCACAGTAAAGAAGGAAGGAGGAAATAACATCTCTAAGTGGCATAAGGTAAGGACAATTTGCTTTTGCAGCTTCACTAACTCACTATTACTGATCGCCTTTGAGCAGATATCACGAAAGAAATGACACAATTCTGTTATAACAGAAGTCACATGTGTTGAAGATATGCTACGTATAGCAATTGGTAACAAATGACCCATAATAATGTGACAGTCATGGCTTTTAAAACCATGAACTTTACGTTGCTTCTGATCAATACATCTTGAGAAATTTGAAGAGTATCCATCTGGGAGTCTTGCACTCTTTAAGATACTGAGAAAGGTATCTTTCTCACTATTGGTTAGCTTGAATGATGCTGGAGGATACTTCCCATTGTTGTCTGGCCATAATTCAGAACGAATACCTAACTCCCGTAGATCTTTCCTTGTCTTAAGATTGTCCTTGGATTTTTGTTTATCATCTAATAATGTCAAAACCACATTGTCGAAGACATTTTTCTCTATGTGCATAACATCTAAGTTATGTCTTAGCAATGAATGTTCCCAATACGGTAATTCAAAAAAGATACTCTTCTTTCTCCATTGTTGTCTGCTGCTTCCTTCTCTCATACTTTCAGCACGATCTCGTTTCCTTTTGCTAATCTCTGTTGGTTTCCCGAAAATAACATCAACACTTTCTACTTGCTGCAAGATTGTTGAGCCCGATGGTGTAATTGGAGGGTTTCTAAGCTCTTCACTACCATCAAAATGCTGCTTATCATATCGAAACTTGTGATCAGACCCAAGAAACCGTCTGTGACCCATGAAGCAATTCTTTTTACCATGTTGTAGACGTAGCTCAGTAGCATCATAGTTACACGATGGACAAGCAAGACCTGTATATGTATTCCAGCCAGAGAGATTTCCAAACCCTGGAAAGTCACTTATAGTCCACATCAAAGCTGCACGCATGGAAAACGTTTTGTTTTCTGAAGCATCAAAAGTTTGAACACCATCAGACCACAATTCCTTGAGTTCTTTTATCAAAGGTTGCAAGTAGATATCAATATCATTTCCAGGCATTTGTTTTCCTGGAATGATCATCGACAAAATCATTGAAGACTGCTTCATTGCCATCCAAGGAGGGAGATTGTATGGAAATAAGAGAACTGGCCATATACTATACTTTGTGCTCATAGAACCGTAGGGGTTGAAACCATCAGTGGCTAAACCAAGTCGAACATTTCTAGGTTCTGATGCAAAACCAGGGAACCTCTAATCAAATGATTTCCAAGCTAGACCATCTCTCGGATGTCGCATTTTTCCATCCTTGTTTTCTTGAGAAACATGCCATTTCATACTTGATGCAGTTTTTGATGACATGAATAACCTCTTTAGACGTGGCTTCAGTGGAAAGTACCGTAGAATCTTTGCAGCTTGCCTTCTTTTCTTTCTTGAACCCTCCTCACTTTCTCCATTTTTGGTTTTCCATCTTGACGTTTCACAGATTTTGCAGACATCGTGATCAGTATCTTCTCCCCAATACAACATGCAGTCGTTTGGACAAGCATGTATTGATTCATAATCCAACCCGAGCTTACTGATTGTTTTCTTCAAATCGTAGAACGAATCTGGCAGCTTTGCATGTTTGAATGCTTCTTTAAGAAGATCAATAATCATGGACATCCCTTTATCACTAACTCTAGAGATAACCTTGATGTGATATAGCTTAAGCATAAAAGAAAGCTTCGAGAATGCTGATCCTTCATAAAGCTCTTCATTGGCATCTGAAAGCAACTCATCAAACGCTCTTTTTTCCTCAGAATTATTAGCAGAATCTTCCTGAGCAGGCTGATCATCAACATAATCTTCTTCCTGAGCAGGCTGATCATCAACAAAATCTTCTTCCTGATCATCAACAAAATCTTCTTCCTGAGCAGGCTGATCAGATGGACCGACTCCACCTTCAAAATTTCTTCTAATGGCTGGGAACAAATTATCTAGCAGCTCCATTGTGGAATCTTCAATCAAACTGATATTACTATCAATTTGTTGATGAGTTTCCATTGGCATTTCAGATTCTACGACATTCAGTCGTTCACCATGAGAATGCCAATTTGTATAAGTAGGAAGAAATCCATTAAACATCAGATCCCCATAAACATCATCTTATACTTATACTTTATCAGGCAACATCGACGACATGGACATTTTATCATGTCTGCATTAGTTTTAGAAAACGCAAATTCCAAAAAGCTTTCCACCCCATTAATGTATTCTTCAGATAAACGTGGTTTTATAATCCATGACTTATCCATATTAACCTAAAACCACAACATACATGACCACAATAAGCAAAACTAAGAATTTTATAGAGACTACATGTATAAAGCATTTTTGAGCTACAATGTCAGAATCATTAAGATGCAGAGGTGATCACACATGTATCAGAGATTAGCTAATCTCAGAGAAGCCAAATACACAATCTCATAGACAATTTAATCTCATAGAAGCCAAATCTCATCAATCACACAATAATCTCATACGAATTTCAGAAACTTCGCTACCAAATCTCATCAATAAATCTCATCAATCACACAATCACATACGAATTTCAGAAACTTCTCTGCCATATCTCAGAGATAATCTTAGTCTAAGTCAATTCTCAGAGAGCACACATATAATCCATCAAATAAGATCAAGGGACTAACCTTGACAAAATCTCAACGAAGTTTGTGTAGTGGGTTTGATTGTTATCAGCAAAACCGTCCTAGAGGAGCTGATTTGATATGGTTTCGGATCTGAAAGCAAAATAAATCACTAGTTAAGCACAATCTCAGAGATACAGGGCATCAATTTACAATGCTTGTTCTCAAAGACATTTCGACAAACACCTTATAATCAAAAGACATTTCTCAAATCTGGAGCGAAAACCGGAATCAAAAGAGACGCGACCATGGAGAAATTCTCAACGAAAACCCAAATTAAGTATGAAGGATGTATAGAAACTCTCACCTGAGATTAATTAACAAATTTGTTGAATCGTAGATGTGACGGAGACGTGACGAGATGATGAAACGGAGACAGACAGACACAAATCGGAGATGATGAATCGGAGATATGATCGGAAAGGAGACGGAGAATTTGATCAAGCTATGAAGAAATTGACAATCACCGTCGAGATTCAGCAAACAAATTCGAGACTCAGCGATCGATTGAAATGGACGATCGAGCTCGAAGAAGAAAAGGAAATCAGCTCGATGAAGAAGAAAAGGAATCAGCTCAATGAAAGACGAGAAAATTTGAAATGGAATCACTGTTCAAAATTTGATTTCACTGTTCAAAATTTGAAAAATTTGCGCGATATGTAGAATCACTTATCTTAGTAAATGAGGCTAAACATTCAATGCCTAACGTCATTTACATATTAATGACACAAATCAAAATATATTAGCATCATTTATACATTAATGACACGAGTCCAATATATTAGCATCAATTATGTAAAGTGATGCGAGAAATGCCCTCTTTTTAATTTTTAGAGTCAGTTTTGTAAATTATACTAAATAACTGACACAAAAAAATACATTTCTTGTAGTGAGATGCTAAGGGAATCTTGCATTTAATTTAAATCAGAAATACATTTTTAACCAAGTTTTGACACCTATTTAGGCGTTATTACGCGTTCTCTCTCTTCATTTCTCTGTTTCCCTTCTCCTTCTCTCTCTCTAAGCACCCCTCATAAAATCTCCCATTGGAGCATACAAAACATATAGTTTTAACAAAGTGCTTAAAACACTTTTTATATTAAAATATTAACTAAGCGCTCTATAAAGCATTCTTGCGTTATACATGGCACTAAGACGTTTCAAAACCATAGTTTTTTTTTATTGTTTCGACACAATATGACTTTCACTTTGACAAGAAAAGCCGAAGAAATTACGCCTTTTCTCAATGTATTTTGTAAAGCCAAACAACCTCAATATATAAACGTAATCGATGTAAGGTCAAGCCGACGCATACAGAAACGAAAATGTTGGATTGAGTTGGACTATAAGCTTTCTTGTTTTCTATTCGATCAAGTAACTGTTACTTGAAGTAACCAATAACATCTTAGACCGTAATCAAGTGATGATTTCCATGTAGCTTCATAACAAATTCAAAACCATCATAGCTAAGTGATGCATCCCTTTTTGTTGTGGTATAAGTATATGTATAAAGACGAGCATTTGCTTTTTGGCCGCTTTACATGAACACGACAGCGTAAATTTCACCACATAACTTCATCAGTTATTAGGAGTTTAGGACGACTGCATTATGTTATCGCTGTCCACTTTTTCTTAGCTAATTTATATATGCACACGTTGTCTCTCCTAACATATTTTACTGAAAATATTAAATTATATACCTCAGTATATCCAGTTTAAAATATATTATAGGATTTCTTCTATTTATAAAAAGTAATTCCAAGTATTTAAAAGTTAAAGTTAATTTCTACTTTAGTTTATAAAAACAAAGATTAGCCACCATCGTACAGAAAGATTCAACAAAACGAAAACTCGTTACATCAGTAAGGACTGATTCAGTACGTACAATTCCCATTTTTTGTCTTTGGAATAGACCGACATGTAGTTATATAATAATCCAGTTAATAATACATTTAACTATATCACAACAAAAAGGGCATCACTTAGATAAGTAAGCACACTGCAACACAAATTTAACAAATGAACAATCACAAAGATTTGTGGTCCATACATATCTAACAATTCGCGGTTAAAGCATCGATGCTAGAGAGCGGTTGTGGCCATATAGCTTTTGCGATAGGCAGCTGCGTATGCTGGAGACAAAATTTGGCTAATCCCTTCCGCCTTGAGATGTGGAACCAACATTTTCATTGATAACTAGGGATTCACGTAAAGACAGATAAAAAAAAAAAAAATCAAAGTCAATAAAAAAGATCGACACACATATTTCTTATTTACGTACCTAGTAAAACAATTAAACACAAAATATAAATTAAAATATGAGAAGAAAAATGTTGACTTACCCCAAAAAGTCTTAGGCTATGCCAAACGCGAAGAGGAGAGGGAAATGGAGAGAGAAGTTGGCCAATGGAGGATAGAGTAATCGCGCATAGATGATAGGTGAGAGAGACCGGACGAGGGTTCATGCCGCCAAAAAGAGCCATGAAGCCGGACGTGCGAAAGCCGCCACTAGAGAGGTAATCGTAGAAGCCCTGTCGCATCGCCTCTTTTGCATTGTCCGTCGATGCAATTAGCAATTGAGGAAATGCATTCCCTAGAGTGTTCACTGTCGCTGACATTGGCTTCACCATACAAAATCATTTGTTCTTTTTAAAATTTTGAGATTGTACGTAATAAACTGTTTTTTGTAGATTAATATGTAAATCATGTGGTGTATGCTCACCTTGCGGATAACATAAAAGGACTTGATAACTTCTGAGACTTTGTTTGCATCACCGAGATTGTTCAATGGTTGGAGAAGACCGCGTAAGATGAGAATGTCTGACAATACAACCATCATTCCAGAAGAGATTCCTGGATGACGGATGTTGAATGCGTCTCCCAACACAATCACTCCTTTCTTCTCACTCAAAGTAGCTTCCATTCTCTTTGTTGGCATCGCTTTTATATTGTCTTCTCCCTCATCGATCCCTTTTAAAAATATTTTGCGGAGTTTTGGAGGTACCTGGAAAACAAGTGTAAAGATGTTGAATGCATATTTCAAAAAAAAAAAAAAAAAAAAAAAAAAAAATTAAAATTAAAATAATGCATATATATTCTGCATGCATGGAGTCATGAACCGCTCAAAAATGTTAGAATGTGAGTTTGTATGGCTTATCTACGTACTAGTAAAACCAGCTTGGTTGTATATTTATACATACAGTAATTCTTTTTAATTTGATCAAAAGATTAATAAGTCCAATAGACCAATACGTACCTGAGGAGCCATAGTGTCTTTTAAAAAGGTAGCCATTTCACCATTTGCAATAGAAGGAAATTTTCCCGGGGGAAGCTCCACAACACAACGAACGTCAGTGCTGCTTATATGAAACAACATGGTGAAACATGGTTTTGACATTATCAACTTTAACGTTTCTGGATCCTCAAGCTGACAATTCTTTGAGATGTAACCAACTTGGTACGATACAACCTCCGCCTATATGTATCAAATTAATTATTAACTAGCTAAATAAATAATAGTGAATAGCGTCAATTCTTTTTCATTAATATCCATAGGAAAATGTCGAAGTCTTTTCAGTTTCAATGTATACTCACCTTGTTTTTGTTAAGAGACCGACGAAGGTTTGAGTAGCAACCGTCGCATACCACAGTGAGAGGTGCTAAGGCTGTTGTTTCTTCACCTGCACTATTCTTGTATGTAACACCTTTGATTACTCCTTTCTCTTCTATTAAAGATTTCACTGTTCCTTCTTCTAGCCGCACACTATGAATTTATGTTTAGTGTATCAACACTACAAGAAATAGTAGCATTAATAGCACAATAAGATAGCACAATTTTTATAAATGCTATTAAAGAAGGTTTTCTGATTTGGAGTACTCTATTATAACCTACGTTGCATGGAAACGGAAACGGAAACGCGGAAGCGAAACGTTTCCGAAATGGAAAACGTGTATTTTCAAATATATAAGTTTGGAAACGTTTTGGAAACGTGTATAAATATAAATAAATAAATAATATCTATATATATTATATTAGATATTAAATAGTTAAACTAAAGATAAATATTATAATGTCTCATGTCAAAATTAAAAATATATTATATTATTATTATTATTATGCATTTCATGAATCAAACTATCTTCAACTATTTTCATCAAGAGGAAGATTTTAAATAATCAAACTCAATATTTAATAATAAGACTAGTTTTCATCTAATGTATCAAATTAATTAATTAATTGTCTTAAACAATTAAAACAATCCATTACTAATATTATTTTTATGTAATTATATAATTATTGTATTTTCAAAAAATAAGCAGTTAATTTTTCTCAATTAGGGAAACGCGAGTTTCCACAAGTTTCCAAACTGCAAATTTTAGGAAACGTGGGAAAACGAGTTTCCGACAAGTTTCCGAGAGTTTCCGTTTTGGAAACGTTTCCGAAACGGGAAACGCGACTTGGACGGAGTTTCCATGCAACGTAAATTATAACATTTCTAAAATGCTAAGTTTAATTTTCACTAAGCGGCGTTACAAAAAAAACTACTCGAGCCTAATTTCCCCAATTTTTTTGTCATAGGCCAACTACTTCGACAAAAAAAAAGAAAACACAACAATTAACATTTCAACAGATGGAAAAAAAATAACATGTCCCCTGAGAAAAAAAAAGGCTCTAGAAAAAACAGATCTCTCGCCATCCTCTTCACCTCCCTCCATTCTCGACAAATCTACTCTTCCATCGTCTCTAATACGAAATTCTCCTCAATCTTGCAATAGCCCTCTCTTCATCATCTCTCCCCTGCTTCTACATGTTCTACTTATCCCTTAGATAATTAGGGTTTTGGACGAAGAAGAAGAGCTAGCGTCTCTCGACTCTCTCTGTTAAATTATCAATCTCGCGACGGCGCTGGAGAAGATTCCGGCGAAAAAGAGCAAATTTGGCCTTCAATCGGGGTCTTTGAATACCAGTGATATTGACTCCGATAACTTCAATTCCGAGGGTGATAGATCCCAGAGAGAGACTGAAGATGGTGACTGAGATCCATGGTAATTGCTTCTTGTGTTTTCCTCCGGTTTAGCTCATCCTCAAATTGATATTTTAGGGTTCATGCTCTTGATGTGTGTGGAAATTTAAGCTTTATTAACAATTCGAAATCTAATAGGCTAATTTCTTTAGGTATATGATGTCAATGAAAATAGTAAGGAAGATGGGAGTGATGAAGGTTCAGAGCGATTCTTCAGAAGATGAGGTCTATGCTTCTTTTATTCGTTTTAGAATTTGTCATACTCTGTTGTTTCAGCATCTTGTCTAATTTTTCAATTGTCATAACCAATATTCTCATCTCTCGAGTTTTCGTTTGATATCAAACTTGATCTCTCTCTTGATCTGCTTTTGTAGAATAATTGGTGGTTTGTAGCTTTGAATTGTCTCTTGTGATTTTTCGTTAGCCTTCTAGCAAATATCCAGAGTAGGAAGCTCACTGGTTCATTTCCACATGAGCTTGGAAACATGTCAAAAGTTCATTACCGGTACATGAAACCTTTTTTTCATCTCTCTTTTACTATATTGTTACTATTGACTTGTATTTCATCATAAACGATTTATATGATACTTTGCAGGCTCCATGATAATCGTCTTACAAGTCATAAACCTCTCTCCATCTCTCTTGGGAAGCTTACTGACTTGTTTCATCTGTAAGTAACTCCCTATGTTTGCTTATATATGATTTTGGACCTATAACTACAAAATGTTCACGGGAACAAGTTCAGTTGGCTAATTTCTCTTCATTATTAGTTTGCTTAGATTATTTGTACGTCTTCTGATTTTTGCTAACATCTTCTGCACTTGTGATGCAGAAAGCTCAGATCTAGATTTGGCTATTCTGATATTCTCTATATTGTTGCATCTTTTTTGGCCGGAAGTTGAGTAGGTGAGCCTTAATTAGACCAGCCATGGAATTTCAAGTTGATTGGAGGGAGTAGCTTATCTTCTCCTTGTTGATCCAAAACACGAAGGGTAAACGATCAGTAGAGGAACAAAGCTAGCAAGGTTTCTGTTTCCCACGGATGCAAATGCAATTGATGATTCAGGAGGGTCTGTTGATACGAATCACGTGGCCATGTACTTGTGGTGCTAGTCTTGTTTTGTTTAAGATGTTAGTCTTGTTTTGTAACACTTGTTTTGGTGTGGTGTTTATGTAAGACATGTTTTGGCTTATTAATGAAACCTTTTCTGAACCAAATTTCAAATATAATTCTCTTTATGTATAAAATTGATTATATGCTACAAAACTGGGTTTAAAAGTGATATAATTTGTAGCATAAAAAAAAGAGCTCTAAAACACTAAATCATAGCCTGAAAATTGAGCAATGATACACTAGATCATAGCATTTGATGAACGCTATGATAGAAAAACATTTCATAGCGTTATGAGAAAACGCTATTGTATAGGGTCACCCTATTATAGCTTCGGCAGTCATAGCATTTATGAAAACGCTATAAAATCCTTTAATAGCGTTATTCATATGCTATCAATAGACATATTTCTTGTAGTGCAATCATTGTTATATGGAAAATCAATGCATATCTCAATACAAAAGTTAGTCCCTCGATAAAGTTTTTTTGTTTTTTTTCTGAAACAGCCTGAAAAAGAACAAGTTCATGTATCTATATATATATGTCGACTAAACTAGTTTACATTTTCTATGTGAACTTCTTAACATAGTATTACGAGAAAAAAAAAAAAAAAAAAAAAAAAAAAAAAAAAAAAAAAAAAAGAGAATTGGAGATACATACTTGGGGAGAGAAGAAGCCTTTTGACGAAGTTTCTTGATAAAAGGGCCATTGTGAAAAGTTCGAGCCGAAGGTTCATAAGGAAAGTTGTGGTCCTCTACTGGAAAAGGAGCGACTGCTTCTTTTCCGTCCTTATAAACTGCTAAGCCCGTGACTCTCTGTGCATCTATTCCCTCCAAACAATCTATATAAATATAAACGAACAAATTCAATCATCATAAAACTAAGACACAAAATGTCTTTCATTTATGGGACCCTACATTTATGTAAATGTTGATGAAAGTGACAGACCTTGAAGACCGAGCTTAGAAAGCAAGAGTCGTCCTCCAGGTTGCATACACTCACCCACCGTTCTCACTGGTTCTTCTCTCATGTCCCTCTCAATCACATGTACTCGACGACCGTCCTTTAAGAACAAATAAATAAATCTATTTACTAGTGTTCGTTCCAACCCAAAATATACATATTAGTCATACACAAATAGTACAAAAATAGTTAACAAATACGAGATGCTGATATAATATTTGGACGTGAAAGTGTCAACGCAAGTTTACATACCTTAGCAAGAGCATAGGCGAAAGCTGAGCCGCCGACACCAGCTCCAACGATGATGACGTCAGCATCACCTTCTCTTATCTCCTCCGCTGCTGCATCCGCCATCTTTGTCGATGTCTTCGTCCTCCTATTGCTGACGTGGAATGCTGTCCAAGTCAGCACGAAGGCGAGTAGCGTCCATAAACAAACGTGCGTAAAAGCCATATCCATTTCTATTTGTTCTCAGTTTGGCTTATATCAACAAATTAAAAGATAGATGGTTTATGAGGCGAGAGAGTCAAGAAAGCCGGAGTAAATAATTTATGGTAGCGCGCGCCGGACGTGGGATCACTACATGCTAACTTATCATAATCTACTACCATACGAAAAAAAAATGATAAATTGATATTAATTTCTTTTGTCCGTGTAATTTCGCTATCAGGTTGACAAATAAAAAAATAAACAAAAATTCAGATACAAACACAAGGTATTGTCCATTCTGATAAATGCAGTTGTTTTAACTTTTATATAGAAGCAAATCAAATTCTTGGTGTATTAAAATAGTCAAGAAGTAGCATGTAATCTATGTTATTAATAATTATAGTAAGTATTAACGTAGTAAACTAGGTCCTTAGGTAGTAATTTAGAAATTTCATATTGGCATTGTTCCTTTGGTAGCCGCAGGGGTACGACAATCGTAGCGATCAGCGACTGAAATTTGTCGCCACAAAAAATAGTCAAAAATCCACTTTAGTCTCAAAAACATCACAAAAAATTGTGATGATTAAGAACGGTAACAATTCACCACAATTTGTTATTTAGTTATTTTTGCTCTTGCGTAGCTCAATAAGGTCGACTTTAATGAAGAGTTAAAGGCCAATGAACTAGATGTCACTCATTGTTCTGTACGTGGTCCATAAGTTCTGTTTTGTCGTAAATTTTTGGAGACAAGATGAACTCGTTTTTTGGCTGCTTCCCATGAAAACGTTAAAGTAAACCTCACCACACAACATTATTAATCATTGAGACCACTGCACTTATCTACACGTGGCCTCTTGAAGATTTGAAGACTTATTCTTCAACATTATGAAATTTACTATGTATGAGGAGGGAACTTAAATGAAAAAAAAAAATTAAGAAATAAAATAATGTTATTAGAGATCAAGAATAATTAATCTGTTACTAGCAAGATATTTCCCATGACGTCAAACGGCGTTAGCGAGACTCCTTAAGTCCTGCTTCGAACCTGAAGCCATGTTCACGTACCAAATTTCAAGCTAACTCATAACTTTAGGATGAACAAAGTTAGCATTATTACGAACATCAACAGTTAGAGGGAATTCGCATGCCTTCCTGAGCCAACATGTGCTGGTTTTGTATCTGTCAAACTAGAAGAGGCACGATCATAATCTTCCAAATTTCTCTGTACGGCTTACCATGTACTGCTTCACATATATTCGAGATAAACCAAAGTAGGAAGAATTTTCATTGCTAGAGTAACATACACCCAAGAGCAGATAGTAGCAAAACAAAATAAGGGGGAAAAAAGAGAGCATGTCAATCAGTTCATGTCTATGTATGTATAGGCACCGAAATTTCAACCCTTTGCAATTCCAATTCCAATAACACAATCCAAATCATAAGAACCTCAAACACAGTGTCAATCAAGGCCACTGTTTTTTCTTAACTAATTAACGTTTTTATAGGAAACTAATTAAGAAAGAGACTCAAAAATCAGAAGGAAAACAAAAAACAATGAAGAATTAGATTCAGAGATCGATGAACAATGTATGTTAAAAAAAAACTAAAAATATGATGATATGATGTAGTAAAATGTGATTGAACTCTTTTCACTAAAAAACTATTAGTTACTTCATATATTGAACTACATAGATATGTATTATGTGGCAAATTTTGATTGGATAGTATTTTCATAGAATCTCTCTTTTAATTACTATTTTATTATATAAAAACAAAAATTTCGTGTAAAAATATTATAGCCACAAATCATACACAAACATTCAACAAAACGAAAAACTCGTATTATTAGTAAAAATCCTTTTGTTGTCCTTGGAATATACTGACATGTATTAAACACACTGCAACACAAATATATTTTATAGTATTTTTTGAGGTTAAGAGAATCATGCTTAGAGAGCGGTTGCGGCCATATAGTTTTTGCGATAGGCGGCTGCGTTTGCTGAAGACAACATTTGGATCCCTTCCACCTTGAGATGCAGAACCAACATTTGCATAGATAACTAGAGATTCACAGGAAAAAAAAAACAAATCAGTGTCAAACTCTAATGGGAAACTTAACAGATCGACACACATAATTTTTAATTATTTACGTACGTAGAAAAATAATTCAATACCAAATATACAACATAAGGATAGTTGACTTACACCAAAAAGTCTTAGGCTATGCCAAGCACGAAGAGGAGAGGGAAATGGAGAGAGCAGTTGGCCAATGGAGGATAGAGTAATAGCGCAAAGATGATAGATGAGAGAGATCGGACGAGGATTCATGCCTCCAAGCAGAGCCATCATGCTAGACGTGCGAAAGCCGCCACTAGAGAGGTAATCATAGCAGCCCTGTCGCATCGCCTCTTTTGCCTCGTCCGACGATGCAATAAGCGCTTGAGAAAATGCATTCCCTAGAGTATTCACCATTGCTGACATTGGCTTCACCACACAAAATCATGCATTCTTTTCAAAATATTAAGGTTGTACGTAATAAATTGGTGTTTATAATGGTCAATGTTTTAGATTAGCATGTGATGTGTATATGCTCACCTTGCGGATAACATAAAAGGACTTGATAACTTCTGAGACTTTGTTTGCATCGCCAAAATTTCTCAACGGTTGGAGAAGATCGCGTAGGATGAGAATGTCAGATAATAAAACCATCATTCCAGAAGCTATAGCTGGATGACGCATGTTGAATGCGTCTCCCAACACAATTACTCCTTTCTTTTCGCTCAAAGTAGCTTCTACTCTCTTTGTTGGCATCGCTTTTATGTTTTCTCCCTCGTCAATCCCTTTCAAAAATATTTTGCGGAGTTTTGGAGGTACCTGGAAAATAAGTGTAAAGAGATGTTAAATGTACATTTTGCATGGATTCATGAACCACTTACAAATGTTAGAAAGTGAGTTTCTACAACTTATCTACGTACTAGTAACACTTCCTTAGTTTATATATTATGTTCTTTTCCTAATTGGTCAAAAGAATAACCAGCTCAATGCGTACCTGAGGAGCCATAGTGTTTTTCAAAAAAGTAGCCATTTCACCATTTGAAATTGAAGGAATATTGCCAGGGAAAAGATCCAAAACACAACGAACGTCGGTGCTGCTTATTTGATACAACATGGTGAAAGAGGGTTTGGACATTATCAAATTCAAGTTTTCTGGATCTTCAAGCCGACAATTCTTTGAGATGTAACCAACTTGGTAAAGACAGAACCTCCGCCTATAGATAAATAAAATTATTGCACATTGATGCTTATTATACTAACTAAATAGATAAAAGTGGATGTAGTAGTATCAATTCTTTTTATCATTAATATTCATATGAAATGATCGACGTCTGTTCAACTTAAATGTATACTCACAATGTTGTGGTTAACAGACCGACGAAGGTTTGAGTAGCAACCATCGCATACCACAGTGAGAGGTGCTAAGGCTGTTGTTTCTTCTCCTGCACTATTCTTGTATGTAACGCCTTTGATTACCCCTTTCTCTTCTATTAAAGATTTCACTGTTCCTTCTTCCAGCCGCACACTGTGAATCAATGTTTGTTGTATTGTTATAAGGAAATTCATTGCTACTATTAAGTTTAGTAGTATTATCTAGTTAGTCATGAATATGATTGTTCATGTTTCTTATATAGTTGGATTGAATCATATATCTAACATTTTTTTTACGTAACTTTTAATTAACATAGTAGTAAAAAACAAAGTTGAATAATGATGCATACTTGGGGAGAGAAGAAGCCTTTTGGCGTAGTCTCTGGACAAAACGGCCATTGTGAAATGTTCGAGCCGAAGGTTCATAAGGGAAGTTTTTGTCTTCTACCGGATAAGATGCAACTGCTTCGTTTCCGTCCTTATAAATTGCTAAGCCGGTGGAAACCTGTGCATCAATTCCCTCCAAACAATCTATATATACGCGAACAAATCCAACCATCATGAAGCTAAGACACAATATGTACATTTCTTTTTGTAAATGCTAATGAAAGTGAAGTGAAGACAGACCTTGAAGACCAAGCTTAGAAAGCAAGAGTCGTCCTCCAGGTTGCATAAGCTCGCCCATCATTCTCTGTGGCTCTCTCATGTCTCTCTCTCTATCACATGTACTCGACGTCCGTCCTATAACATAAAAATAGAACTGTTATCCATATTCATACACAAATAGTACAAAAATTCTTAACAAGTGCGATACATATATAATATTTGCACGTGAAAGTGTCACGCTATTTTTACATACCTTAGCAAGAGCATAGGCGAGAGCTGAGCCGCCGACACCAGCTCCAACGATGATGACGTCAGCGCCATCGTCTCTTATCTCCTCAGCCTCGGCATCCGCCATCTTTGTTGTCTTCTTCCTCCTGTTGGTGACGTGGAGTATTGTCCAAGTCAGCACGAAAGCGCATAGCGTCCATAAACATACGTGCGTAAAAGCCATGTCCATTTCTATTGGTTCCCAATATGGTTTATATCAACAAATTAAAAAAGATAAATGGTTTATGAGATGAGAGATTTGAGAAAGTGAGAGTAAAGTGATTTTATAGTCGCGACGGACGTGGCATCACCACACGATCGATTCTGATTTGTCTAAGTTGATTGATACAGACGATATTTTTTTCGGATACAAGATAGTGTCCACACGTTAATAAATGCTGTTGTTTTTATATAAAAGCTACCACTCAAATTATTGACATTTTTGAAACTCTTATATGATGTATTAAAATAGTCAAGAAGCTACGTAACTGTCAATCAATGTTTTTGATAATTAGAGTAACGTACTAAAATGGTTGTTTAGGTAAAAGGCTAGAAATTTCATATTATTTACACAATCTACTCCACCAGTTTATATGTGGACACGAATCAACTTTCAATTTTTAGCTGATGATATATTTTTTGTTTTATTTTGACAATTTTCATACAAAAATAATTCATTTTTTGTACTATTTGTGCAAATGCCCCTTTTTATCAATTTAGTTTTGTGTAGCATGTAGTTTATCATTAAAATCATATTTGAAGAAATTTCATAAATTCTTTGATCTAGTTAGCCCAACCCACAGACACGTCTTCGGGCCCATTAGCCCATTAAGTTCAGGATAAAAAGATAAGAGCCTCCTTGTCCTCTATGGACAGAAAATTCAGAGAAAGAAAACAAAATAATCCATTAATTCAAGAACAAGAATCATAGGAAGAAGATGATGAAGAGAATTCCTCGTATCAAATTTCCTCAGAGACACTCCTCCTCTGCTGTTTCATCAGGTTAACAGTTTTCTTTCTTCTTCACACCCTCAAAAACTTTATGTATCTTAGTAGACACTCTCTCACTATTATTTGTTTTTCTTGCTTTATTAGATGCCAATTGCTCATCACTATTCTTGTTCTTGTCAAATATCTCAGGTTCTGGACCGGCGCCGGGATCTGTTGCCGGCGGCAAGAAGAATGTGACGGCGAGTTCGGATGTCCCAGCGGCTCCAAAGAACACTGCTGATGGAGGAAAAGCATCACTTCAGCCGAAACGCACGCCTGTCTCCGACAAGGAAATCGAATCTATAATGGTGAGACTATCATTGTTGACACATACACTTTCAAATCAAAAATTGATGAAAAAGAAAGAATAAAAACAATTTCAGTAACTCAACTCTGACTTTTTAACTTGCAGTTGGGTGGTTGCATCTGACATTTCGGCGTTTGAAGATCTGATCAACACTTCTGCTGGTGAAGCTTATTATGCTTTTCTTTTTTCATTTTTAATGTAAAGAAAGAAACTAATAATGTAGAGAAGATGACTTTTTATATGAATGATGCTCTAGTCTTTTCTACTTGTCACACAAAAGGCCTTTCTGGTTTCTACATTATTGTCTTCGCAATTTTTTATTAGGATAGTTGCACTAGCCACACACTAGGTAACAATTTAGATTGTCAAATGGAAAATAAAATAAAATAAAAAATTACACCATAAAAAACAGGGAAATAAGGTGAATGAATTAAACGTAAGAACACACAATTGTATGGACTTTATCATTCAGGATTCAAATTGCTTGAGTTTAAGCTCTCAATAGTTTTAAACTGGTAAACAAGAATTTATTATTGTTACAACTTACAACACATCAACTTATCTTAGATAGTCAATGTATTTTAAAAACGATGTAAACTGAGAACTTCAAGAAGTTGAATAAAAAAATAATATTTGAATATGATCAAACAAAATGACAAAAGACTTAAGCAGCAAAAGAGCTTGAAGAAACAAAATACACACAAGGAGCTTCAAGACCCCAATCCCCCCAACAAAAAGAAACTCAATCTGCATTACTTATGATTCATGTGCAAGCAAACCACCGGATCAGGTCAAACACAAACAAACAAATAAAGGAAACAAGAACCTTTGAGAAGAATCAGGTCTCAAGATCTTGAGACCAGGAAGGGCGATTTTCGCGGTTTGAGTATGTATGACTATAGCTCAGTGTCAAAGAGACGGATCATTATTTCAGAGACCATCCTTCTTGCAAATGGTATATAACTGAGGCTGTACCTGTCATCATGATTGTGTATAAGAAGATGTTCAATCCATAAAAAGGTTAAGATTATTCGAGTCCTTATAGAAACAAAACTCTGTTTTGGGTTGAAGCTTACCAAATAAGTGCACAAATCTCGCATATGATTGCAAGAAAGGTCAAAATTTTGCTGTGGATCTACAACACATGAGAAAGATTTTTATAAAGACTCAAACTTTCAAGCTGAGAAATAATTAGAAACAAACAAATTGCAGATATTGGACACTACTCGGATTATAACTTGCAGTTAACTTTAAAACATCTAGTTTTGGAACTATTCATTGTCACTGGATTGTTGTATGAGAGAGCAAGGACTTACCAAGAGTGCACAAATGAGTGCAAGAACAACACATCCGATATAAATGGATGTAGCGTAGAGACGAACAGGGTCCAACATCATATTTAGCTGTTGCTCAGGTCCCATGAGGAAAGCTGTGCTGCCAAAGAAAACACTCATCTCTTGTGGTTTAAAAACAGTAAACAATGTGAAGGTAGAAAGTAGAAACGGCAAGAGATTTATCATCACATTCTTGCCAATAAGCATCAGAAGTCAAAATGACAATCTCTAACTGAAATTCATCCTAAGCACAGAAGAAGAGACTAAGAGATGAGCAGAGAGCCATTCAAATCTGTGAAAGTCTAAGAACTGAAATGACTAATCTTTTAGTCCAGTGGAAACTTCTCTTCCCCAACATTGGAGCAAAAAACATACCTTCCAATAGCGAGCACATTTCCAAATGTGAAGAGCAGTGCAAATTTGATGGGGATGGAAAATACAATCATGGACTGCAGAAGAAGAAGAAAACAGAACTCCAATTAATCGGAAATTGGTAAGTATAGCCATGAAATTGGAAGAGAAAGAGTGAGAATTGATATGTGAATTGATGTTTACCAGAAACATAAGCAGCAGACCAGCGGCCAGAGACGCGGCGAATGCGTACATTCTCTGCAAATCGAAGATAATTTCAGTAAACAGAGAATAACGAACACTATATACATCGCTGAGAAGAAGAGAGGGAAAAACCTGGGTGGTAGAGAGAGAACAGAGACCCTCCGATCCATCTTCTAGGAAGTTATCCGATGCTCCGTCGCCGTCTCCGCCGCCGGAGAAGAGCTCGTTCAGCTTCTGCATCTCGATACTGTTTTTTCCGATGATCGGATAAGTTATAAGCTAAGCCGTCGATCTGAAACTAAAAGCGATCAACGAAGAAGAAAAGCTTATCGATCATTGACGTGCAATCATCTCCATTATTGGCCACGTTAATCCCAGATAATTATTTTTTACTTTTGTTTGCTCCCTTGTTTTAACTTTTAACTATGTGTTGTCCCCACGGTAATTTTTTTATATTTTAAATATGGTAAATTAGGCTATTACTCATTTACTTGTGCTTGTGCATATATTATTACACTGTTTAATAGTATTATTTTCCGAAATATATTTAACGATTTTGTCAAAACAAGAGTGTATCTGATCTTAGTTATTTTAATCATGTATCTATTTGTATATTATTGTTCTTGTGATGATTTTATACCATTATAAACTCATAGCTTACGTAACATATTGCCCAGTTTTGAAAAGGTCGATGCTGGCTTATTGTATTTGTATTGGTTGACTGAAATTTACTTTTCTTTCCGGAAGATTTTTTTTTTTTTTGTATTAGAATATGAATTCATATATTTTCTTGTTTGGCATATTGTAATCCCTTGTGTATATAACTCTCAAGTCTCAAGTCTCAAGTCTCAAGTCTCAAGTCTCAAGTCTCAAGACTCAACAAACCAATACATCGATCGGGTTTAATATAATGTAACATTAAAAGCTTATAAGCGATCAAGATTTTTTAAAATAATGGAAGATTTGAGCAAGTAACTAAAGGAGGTGGCGTGCAGTTAATATGAGAATCGAACCAAATATTAACATTTAACCCCAACAAAAAAATTACGTAAACAGAGAGAAGAGGTCAGAAAACTCAAAAGCTTATAAGTATGGAAACCGTCTTCATGATTTGGGGAAAAAGATGGATTTTAGTTTGTGTAGTGGTGATATTGCTTGTTGATGTATGTTGTGTAATTGCATATCTAAGTAATACTATAGTACAAATTAAATGTGAAGGTGAGGTTAAACGTAATGTTGTTACGTCATTGTTTTTTCTTTCATTACTTTTTAATCAATATACGGAGGAATTCATCTAAAGACGTACGGATTCAGACTTCTTGTTAATAATTTTAACTGCCAATTTGTAGACAATTTCACAATTTGTAAATAAAGAAGCAGTTGATATGGTCAGGCTAATGTCAGTATAATAGGGATGGTCTCAAAAAGTCTTCCTTCCCAAAAGTCTACTTATTTATTTTATTGGTACTGCAAAAAGTCTTCTAGTTTTCTACATCTGTATAAATAGCAAGATGCTTCATCTCATGTGTGTAATTACTAATTAGTAAGAAACTCTTATAAGTTATGTGTCTTGCTCGAAACGAAAGAACTTTTTAGTCTACTTCATCGGATTCTATAAAATTCGATTATTAACTTGCAAACAACGGAAACTAAGGGTATGTTGTTTCTTATTTTCTTTTCTATTTTCACCATTTCTCGATCGTGCTATTTTCATTCCTTTTTAAAACAAAACACGAGTTCCTAGTTCCTACAATGTTTCTATAGACCTAAATTTGTAGTATATATTCTTTTTGCTCTTGACCTTTTAAATTCTTATTTTGTGGATAAAATCTTCACCTTTTAACATAAAGTTAGGTTGGTTATTACAGTGTAACATATATAAGGCTAAAGAAGTTAAAGAACGAGATAGGAAGAGCGCGATGGCCACAGTAAGAGGGATTTCCAGCGTTACTCGTCCTTTGCATCTGACCTCTATTGATTGGTACCTATTTTATTTTATTTAATTTCTTGCGTTTTGAAGTAATTAACGATTTTTTTGGTATTATAGCCGAATAAGTATTCTTGACTGAAAAGAGTTAAACTGAAAAATATTCTTGATTGTTTTTAAACATCTTTATTTCAACATTTTGTACTAATTTCCATTGGCCCTTGTATTTTGATCTAGGAACAACACGCGCGACCGAACCTCAGTGGCATCATGTTTGGTAGAAGGAGTGTACAAAATGGAAGTGGATAGGCAAAAGAATCGGTCAGGTCCCGAATTACAAGCAACGATCTGGTGGGAAATGTTGCACTTCAGTTTACTTGAAACCCTGACCAACAACGACTCCGATAGCTCCATATATGGTGCCGTTTTCGAATACAAGTACTACAATCACCAAAACATCCCTGGTTCGACAACACCTCCGCGTTACGTGATCGCGTTCCGCGGCACAATCCCGAAATCACAAACTTGGTTTTGTGATTCGGCACTTAATCTCCGAATCATCTTCGACAGCCTCCATCAAGGCCCTAGGTTTACGCACGCAATGCATACAATCCGTAATTTCGTGGCCAAACACAACCACACATCTGTTTGGCTCGCTGGTCACTCTCTGGGAGCTGGCTTGGCATTGCTGGCCGGAAAAACCATGGCTATGTCTGGATTCTTGCTCGAGACTTACATTTTCAACCCTCCAGTCTCCTCTTTTCCTCTGGAGACGCTAATTAAGAGTAGAGTGGTAAAAGGTGGAATTAAAATCACCGGGAGTCTCATCAAAGTCGGCTTAGCCAAGATCTTTAAGGATCTTGAGGTAAATAATCATCTTTATATATAAGAAATTAAAACTTGTTCGAAGTACCATCATGATATTTTGATATTTTTAAAAGTTACAAGAATCTTGATATTTTTATTTTTATTATATTTTCAGGAAGATGATCCATCTACGAATATAGCATCATGGACGCCTAATTTATATGTGAACCCAAGAGATGTAATCTGCTCAGAATACATTGGTTATTTCAAGAACAAAACCTTCATGTCTAAGATTGGTTTAAGCGAAATCGAGAGGATCGCAGCTAAAAACCCACTTAGGAGTCTATTCGTGGGAAAAGGAGGAACATCAACACCAACAGATTTGTCAAATGAGCCTCTTCACCTTCTTCCATCGGCTTTTATGACTGTTAATACGAGCGGGTCGCAAGATAGAATAAAGGCTCATGGGCTTAACCAATGGTGGGATCCTTTGTTTAAGGGAGAGTATGTTTTGTACCAGTTTAGTTCATGAATTTGAGTATTCGTCGCTACAATCGTTCCAAGTCACGCTAGGAATGTCAACTAAAGTCGGTTAAATAATTTACTGTCTAGAATATGCTCAATTTATCAAACTATACATACATAAGTTTAAGCAACATGATGTATATGTATATTGTGAACAACTATTGTTTCTCGCTTTTGTATCCACACTTATATACTACGTATGTGATTGACTATATCGAGTTCCTCTTTTATATGGGTGATCCGAGCCAGTGCCCGACTATTCTCGAGATGTGAAAACTCGTTAAATACAAGCAACCGAAACTCAGAGCCAACTGGTCCAACATACATGTTTTTGTTTCTAATGGTAGTCGAACCATGAAAATAAACAGAGTACTTTATCCAAAAAGAAAATAAACAGACTCTAGTACTCTACTACCGAGTTCTTTGGTAACATTTTTTTAAGGTTTGCTAACATATTACAACTTATTTACGAACTTGCTGGGATCTTGACAAATGTTTTAACCAAATCTTCACATTACTATCTTTGGTTTATGATAGTTAACCAAGTGAGAAAATACAAGAAACTAACAAACCAAGAGAAAAAAGAAACAACGTAAACAAGGGAAAGTGGAGGAAAGTGCCGATATTTAGCCCGATATTTATGATCAAGTGATGGTTTGGAATAGTTTATAGTACAAGGCAGTCATCAGAGAATTATTGGGTCCTCTCCCATGCTCACTTTTCTCAAATGAATTTGAAATTTGGGCTCTATTTTGCCAAATTAACAAAAGTATAAAAATTTAAGGGCTCAAAATACTTAATAAAAATGTTCTTTTATTGACAATTTGTAAATTAAGTAAGTGTTAATACACTTTTGCACGTTTCAGTGTTAAAGAAATGGTCCCATATGGCCATAATTAATCTCTTCAGATCCGTAAATTTTCAATACCCACAAGGAGAAGATGGGCCATTTCATCTGTACAAAAACTCTATAATAGTTTTCGTCCCATCAGATTCATTTTCAGATTCGACTCGACGCAGATAGATCTTTCGAGAATACAAAAGAAGGGTATGTTGTTTTCTCTTGGCTTGGTTGATTATCGTTTTCTATTATTTGTACGTAGCATTACTACAACAAAATGACAAATTTTATCCACTTTTTTTTTGTTTTTTATTAATAAGATAACTCTTTTCTTTTTTCCTGCATTCATCAAAGAAAGTGAATGATGATGATATAATCAAGAACAATTGATATCTATCTACAATTTGAGGTAGAGAAAGCATGGAAGACGAAGATGATGATATGGTGAGAGAGGGGCTAATAGCTTCTCCAAGAGAGATCTTCAGCATTTCTGGTCCCATCCATTTAACTTCCATTGATTGGTATTTTCTATTAATTCATCTCTTTCAATTTTAACCACATAATATCATCTTCTAAATCCATTTCTTCACAACAAACTCATCATCACAAATCGCTATTTTTTTTGCTAATTCAACGGTTTAGCCGGAGTCAATAATTCTCTAACCTTATCCTCCCAGGCTCCCAAGCCAAGCTGTATTAAAATATTACATTCAAACAAACAAACTAATACACTAAAAGTCAACGTCTTTGATAGGAATAATTCGTACCATAGAACCTCGGTGGCATCATGTTTGGTACAAGCAGTGTACACACTGGAACGAGACAGACAGCAAAGCCGGATTGGTCTCAGATCACAAGCCAATCACTGGTGGGAGTTTTTCAACTTCACTTTAGCCGAAACCCTAATCGACCAATCAGACAGCTCCATATACGGCGCCGTTTTCGAGTACAAACTCTTCTCCTACAACTACCATAATAACCCTCACTCGAAAATGCCTCCCCGTCACGTGATCGCGTTTCGCGGCACGATCATGAAGCGGCACTCACGGTCACGTGACCTTAGGCTCGACCTACGCTGCATCCGCGACTGCCTTCAAGACAGCACAAGATTCGTGCATGCGATAGAGGTGATCCAAACCGCGGTGGCTAAAACGGGCAATGCAGCTGTGTGGCTCGCCGGACATTCTCTTGGGGCTGCCGTGGCTTTGCTCGCCGGGAAGATCATGACTAGAAATGGTTTCCCTCTCGAGACTTACCTATTCAATCCACCTTTCTCGTCGATTCCGATAGAGAAGCTAGTGAAGAGCGAGAAGCTTAAACATGGAGTTCGATTCGCCGGAAGTGTCGTCAAAGCCGGAGTAGCAATCGCTGTCAAGGGTCGAAACCATCACAATAAGGTACGTACTCTCTTGTATTCATGCAAGTTAACAAAAAAAACAAAAAACTATATATTTCACAATAAATGTGTTTATTACTGGAATTCTGTTATATTTTATATTTACATTAATTTTAAAACTATATATAGTTGTTATCAAAAGATACATTGAAATCATAAAACTACATTTCTTCACGATAAATATATTTTTAAGCAAAACAATGACATTGTGATATTGGAGGAAAACTATATAAAAAAAGACTTTGCATGGGGAAATGCAATTGTTGCTTTACTTCGTGGAATCATGGTTGCTTGTTCGAATCTTACAAGAATTTGTATATACACTATTTACAGGGTCAAGAAGACGATTCCTTCATGAAACTAGCATCATGGATACCTTACTTGTACGTGAATCCGTCAGATCCAATCTGCTCAGAATACATTGGTTACTTCAAGCACAGGAACAAAATGTTTGAGATCGGAGCCGGAAAAATCGAGATGATCGCTACGAGGAACTCACTTAGGAGTCTGTTGTCCGGAGGAGGAAGTAGAGGAGGAGGAGGAGGGAGTTCTTGTTCAGATTCTTCATCGGAGCCTCTTCATCTTTTACCATCGGCTTACATGACGATAAACACTAGCAAATCGCCTGACTTTAAGAGAGCTCACGGTCTTCACCAGTGGTGGGATCCTATGTTTAATGGTGAATATGTTTTGCACCAGTTTAATCACTGACTTAAAAGCTTTCGTTGCTTTCCAACACTTTGAAAATTGAAAATGAAAACCTTTCGATTTTGTTATTAACTTGTATATAATCTGTAAAAGATCAAATTTGTCCAAGATTTGAAGGAAAAGAGAGATTTAATGGCATATTTGTTCTAGCAACTCCAATTCGTCAGTTAAACAGCTAACCAAAAAGAAAACGACCAATGACATATTTTAAAACCATAATATGTTTTATTTATATGACTTGTTCATCATCCAGAAGAGTTATAATAATGTCGGACTCCAGAATCAGGACCGTTATTAAAACAAAAACAAAAAAACACAGAAGCATGGCGATTCTATAAACACAAATCATCATACCAAACCACTGTTTCCAAAAGCCAAAGACAGTGACACTTATTTATGTTGTGGACACCAGATATAAACAGTCACGATATAGACTGAAGCCATATCTTGAGGGAGAGCGAGAGCGATAACGATATTTTCAGCTCAAAGGTCGAGACAGTTGTCCATAACAGCAGAGACGGCGCTGATAAACTGCTCCTCAGTACTCTCTGGTGACACCATGGCTTCTGCATCGTGTATGATTTGTTCGATCACAGATTCTTTCGTAAGTGTTTCTCTGCACATTATGCTTCCGATTGCAAATGCTGTGAGACCCTTTGCAGCACCTTTCTTGAGAAGCATGGTCGAGATGCGGAGGACACGTGTGCACGAAGCCGGAATCTCCCAGCCATGGAATCTCAGAAGTTCAATGTCTTTCTCAGAGTCCAAAGATTTGATGTATTCCAATATCTCTGGAGAGTATTGCTCTTTTGCTTGAGGCCAATATAGCCACTCAAATGTGCAATCTTCAAACTGCAAAAAGATCAAACAAAAGGTGTTTCAAATCAAAAACCATTCTGCAGCTGAAGATTTCAGTTTATAAAACCAAAAGTGTGTTAGTCGTTTACCTTATTGGGGATGCAATAGCCGTGGTCGATTGGAGTAAGCCTGATCTGACCATCTTCTCCGTCACGGCTAACCAAAATGTTGCCACCGTGGCGATCTGCATTAGCCAGCCTCATGTCGAGAACCGATATCTTGTGAACCTGATCAACAGGGAAGACTCTGTATCCCATATCTTCACAAGTTCCAACGTTGTTCACAAACATCTGCAGCGAACCGATCTTTACATTCTCAGGAGAGACGCTGTAACCATTGGGATGGTTGAAGCCTTTGTGCAAGCATTTAACCATTGTTGTTGGCGGGACTCCAGCGAAACCGGTTTGGTCATGAGGGAAAGTCCGTGATCCGGTCATGGGATAGTCCAAGACGTAGGCTGCTACTTCTCTGATAGCTCCTTCACCGACCTGTGTGCCTTTCTTTAGTCCCTCGCCGTCAACTGAAACTGACATTCCGTGTGGATTGTTCACAGCCATTGGCTCCTCGTCAATGGGCTTGAAGACAGAGACGTACTTGTGTCCGGATGGATCTTGCATGAAATAAGCTCCCCCTGATCCATCAGATGATTTGACCGGGCCATTTCCCTTCTCCAAGCCTTCTATAGTGGAGCTGATAAGCTCTTTGAGCAATGAAGGCAGTTCGATTTCACGGTTAACAACAACAGGCTCCACCAAGAGATCTTTAGGCTTTGCTTGTGGTGAACTGTTCTTGTGAGTTCCAACTTCAATAGAAACCTCAATATCTTTCCCAACTGGGTTTGCTCTGACTTTAGCGGATTTCCTAATTAGCAAATGAATCACATTCTCTCCGTTTTTACAGAGATCAGTGATGAGTCTCTGGTCATCAAGCTCTTCACCATCTAATGTGAGTTCATGATCCCAAGGATTCACGAGCTCCTTCCCCTTTAAAGCTATTTGCTGCTTCACGTATCCAACGTTTCTACTCCTCTCAACAAAGAGCTCAAACTCCTTCCCGCCAACTGTCTTTACGGAAATGGCTTGGAGATCTGAAAGCCTAATAACCAAATGCAACAGCTTCCCATCACCAAGACCATAACCATTTCGAGCTATCTCTCTACTTTCGTACACCAGCTTCTGCTTCTTCACAAAAAATCCCTTGATACTCTGAATCCTTAGCTTCACCGACGCTATTGAACCTGACTCCATAACCCGCTTCGGGTTCAGAGATCCAGCAATAGTCAGGAAAATCAAGATTGGGTCGTCTAAGTTGAGACCAAACCGTCCAATAAAACCTGGAAAGTTCACAAGTTCCTCCAGGGCTGGACTAAGAGCTACAACACTAGCAACTGACATTCCAACTGTACACTTCTATCCTAAAATCTTGACGAGCTGGATGATTCTTGGGAACGAAAATCCCAGAACTCAAACTCTTATCTTCTTCCGTGCGCTTTAGAAAAGACCAAGTTCCTGCACGGATTCAGGAACTCTGAACAGAAGAGCTCTCTAACTTACATCTTGCCAACCGATATTTCCCGAGAATTCATATTGAAAGCTAACACAATCCAAAACCACCTATGGTTAGGCTTTCATTCACAGTAACGTGTGAAAGATTGTCACGGTAGCTGAAAACTGTCCTGTAGTCTCATCAACTGCAAAGAACCTGAAATCACCAATGATCACAGGAACCAGTCATGGATATGAAGCTAAAACATAGAGAGGAAATTCAAATCACGAGAATAAGAAATTCAGATCAAACACAGAGAAGAAATCAAAGAAAGTTTTCAATGCCAACCTCTTGTATGGATGATGAACAAGCCAGTAATTTCAAAAGGTTAACGAAGTATATAACCTTTGAAAACTTTTCGTTTCTCATCCGTATATAATTAGACTTGTTCACAGCTAAAATTAGCTAAGAAGCATAACCAAACAACGGCCACAAATAAGTTTCTAGTCAACGTCTTATTCGGATTTTTATCAACAAGACGAACAGGTTGGCCTAAGTTTTTAAGTTTTATCTGGTAACAAAGTTATTTTAGGTTGACCAAGGAACCAATTTTATCAATTAGCTCTCTCACACTTTTTCACATATGAAGGAGAAGAAGCAGCAAAACAAATAGTCAAAATCCATATCAACAACAGCAACGGTTATCTATTGTTTATCACTAAAGAGGATCATCTAACGAGCTTCCCGAAAATGGAACCGCTACAGAAAATCTTCACAAATCCCCCAAAAAAAAGAAAATCGGCTTCTAATTTTCACTCACATTACTCGATCATCGAACAAATTTATGATCGGAAGAGACATCAGCAAGGAAATCGAGAATAGCAAACAAATTGATTTTTCACAGAGATCGAAAAATCAGAAAAAGGTCATACCTCGGAATCGAAATTCGTGAAGCGATGAATCAACCGAGTCATTCTTCTCGGTAAAATCGGAACTGGTTCGATGATACTTACTCGCCAAGTAGCCGAGAATCCGAAAACCTTCTCCAATTTTTTTTTTTCTCGAGAAAATTTCAGCGTTTCCAGAAAAGAGAGAAGAGGAGAAAGAGAAACAGTGACAAGACTTCTTTGAACAGCGACGAAAATTGCGGAGACCTATTTATAGGATTTGACCTCGCTGACTTTTGACGGCAGTTTATTGCGATTTTTAACGTCGTGAACTGCTCTCCACGGCAGATACCGTTTCCGTAACGGACGCCATTTGCTTACCATTTCAGACGACTCTAGCAATTCAATAATTGTATATTTCCCATTTTTTGGTCTAGTTTACTTTTTGTTTTTATAGAAAATTATAAATAATTCATATAGATTAATTACATTCTACAAAATATTAAAATCAAAGAAATATATATAACATATGAAGTTGTTTGAACTGAAAGTTGGGGACAATTAGTCGATCACCAAACTAATTAAAAACCATAGAACTATAGTAACATATATCTCAACCAACAACCAACCATGTGTGAAGATTGTATCAAATTTTTATAAAATGTTCTTAACCCCTCATTTGTATATGATATTAAAAAAAATGACAAGAAATTCTAAAATTATTATACAACATAAATGTCATCCTAAGAAATATCGCAAAACATACTTTTGGTCCGCAAAATTGATAATGATTCTCTTTTCAAGCACATTGTTATGTCATCATGGATTTTACTTTACCACATCATTCGCTTCAACTGTTTTTTTTTTTTTTTTTTTGTACAAAATTAAAAAGGAATACGGAGTACTGTATTTGGCACAAAATTAAGATTTACCACGAAAGTCGGATCTTTACCATTGAATGTTCGACAAATGGCAATGGGGGCCAATAGCCAACGACGTTCAAAACCGAAAACCGTCAAACCTGACGGCGTTTCACCGGAACCCTAAAAGCTCTACATCGGTTAAGTTTGGCTTGCCTGGGTTGTCTACTGTACGGACTCTCGATAACCGAAGAGAATCGGAATAATAAGCCGGTTTGGTTGCAAACTCAAATTCAAAAGAAACACTCAACTCATATTACCAGACTGTCCGAAGTACTAGATTATCAACGAATCGAACCATGTATGTAAATCAAAACTTTAAAAGGCCGTATCACCAATTCAATAGGGCATCATTGACATGAGAGATATATCATTCTTTTTCTTGTGAAGAAGAAAAAAAGAATGTGAAAAAGTTACTAGTTTCATAAGCTCTCCTCTATAAACTCCCAAATCCTCTGCTCCATATAAACCCTGTCCTTCTCCTTCCTCGGCATATGCCGTTCATCTGGAAACATCAACAGCTCATACCTCTTCCCGGCTTCAACAAGCGCGTTCACAAGCCTAGCCGTGTGCCTGAAATGCACATTCTCATCGATCATCCCATGCACCAACATCAGCTTCTGCTCATCCCTCAAGTTCCCAACATGGTGCATCACCGAGCTCTTCACGTACCGCTCGTCCACAGGAAGCTCCATGTACTTCTCCGTATAGAACGTGTCGTACCCATCCCATGACGTCACAGGAGCACCCGAGACAGCACAGGTAAAGATCTCAGGGTATCGTGTCAAGAGCGTCGCTGAGAGGTATCCACCATAACTCCATCCATACACCCCAATATGGTCCGGTTTAGCTAGACCTTTCTCGATTAGCCATTTGGCTCCGGTTACTTGGTCCTCCGCATCAACATAACCACATTTGTTCTTGATCGAAGATTCAAATTTCAGCCCACGCCTTGGTGTTCCTCTGTTATCAAGCTGCAAAAAAACCAGTGAATATATATATCAGTTCTAAAGCATCATCAAACATTTCACCGAGAGGGTAAAGAATTTTAACGAACCTTCCAAACCAAGACGCCTCTGCTTCTCAAGTACTGTGTCCTCATGTCGACTGTATTGACCCAAGAATCAAGAACCAACTGGTGGCCGGGACCTCCGTAAACATTGATCATCGTTTTATACGGAGGAGGACCGAATTTCGAACAGTCAGGTTTGTAAACAGCTCCACACAGCATCGTCGTGCCATCATTCGCTTGTATCTGAACAAACTCTGGAGGCTCAAGTTTAAGGCTTTTCAGTACAGGCAGAGGAGATGCCTGCTCGTAGAGAATCTTCAGCACGGTTCCATCGCTCAAAGAGCAAAGAGAAACACGTGGAGGCGTATCGACTGAGTCATGAATGTCGACGAAGTTCTTCATCTGGTGATCAAGCACAACTACATGTTTCCCTTTCCCATGTGTAAGCCTCAACGGTTGACACCGAGACGCCTCATCCCCAGCTTCCAGTTTTGTGCAGTAGAGATTAGTCTCAAGCGGTCCATCGAGAGTGGCAGTGAAATAAACCAGAGACATCTGCTCATTCACGCCTGCTATCTGCTCAACCACCCATTCACCGCTAGTGATGGGTCCAAGGCATGTCCCATCAGACTCATAAAGATACAAATGTCTGAAACCAGTCCTCTCGCTGGCCCAAATGAATCCTCCTGAACGCCTCGACGACGAAGGGACTTTCTCTAGAGGTGTGAAACAGTCATGTAAACTCACCCACGCATCGGATTCTTCTGTCAAGATTATGTTTCCTTGACCAGTGTTTATGTCAAAGCTGATGATCTTCAGTTTACTCTGCGACCTATTTAGAACCTGTGCAGTGAGAACGTTCCCTGAAATCCAGTTAACTCTGCCAAGATACTCATCCTCCGTATTGTTCTTGCCTCCGCATGTAAGATTCATCCAAGTCGTCTTCCCACCGCCAGATGAAGAAACTACTCCGAGACGGACAGAGGAATTGAGAGCTCCTGCGAAAGGATAAGCATGATCTTCTTGTGCCTCTGAACCAACTGAACTTTTGCCCTGATGCATTATTCTGAACAAAGGGATCAGTGAGGAGTCAACTTCTGTATAGGCTATAAACTTGCTATCTAGTGACCACCAGTAGCCACTCCTCCGATCCATCTCTTCCTGAAATTGAAAAGAATTTCAAGAAAATGATTCAGCTATCACTTGTAGCATTAAAATGTGGAAGTGGAAAATTCCATGGAAAAGTTTCTCACCTGAGCTATGTACTCAGCAAGACCATAAGTCTGCAGAAACAAAACAAATCACACTTATTCTCCCAAGAATATGAAACTAATAATATATGAAAACAAATAAGACCACTAGAACAATCATGTAGCAAAAGCTTTACTTACAAGAGTGCTTTCATTGGCACCGTTTGTTAGCTGCTGTGTCTGGTTTTTCAACAGATTCAAGACATGCAACTCGGAGTCTCTCACGTATGCAAGCAATAAGCCATTAGGAGATAGACGAGGATCAATGACTGGAGAAGTTGGTGTACATGGAAGTATGAGCTCCGGATTTGGTGATGAAGTAAGATCCTTCATATACACCTATCCATGGTCACAACACAAAGCCAAAACAAAAGATCTTGAGAGCTCTACCAAATTGATGATACCACAAAAAGTGTCCAAAGGTTTCAGGATCCTAACTAAGAACGTAGTAACTGATAATAGAAGCAAATGGGAGTAAGAGAACAAACCCCGGCAGGTAAAGGCACGACAATGAATTTCATCTTCAAGTTTGTCTTGACCCATTCATACCGAGTCACTCCTAAGCCACGCTCACGCAACCTCTCCCTTCTCAGCTTCTCTTCCGGTGAAATGTTGCTCTCATCAACTCCACCATCAGGAGGACTAAAAACCAAACTAGACTCTCCTTTGGTAACATCAAACGCGTACACTCTCCTATTCAAATTCTCTTCAGGGCTAAACAAGTAAGTGATCAGAGAGTCATCAGGACTAAAGCTGACTGCGGTTGGTGCTACACAACCGGGTAAGGGCATCTGAACAATATCTTCAACCGTGAAAGGAACGTCCTTTTCGGGTATTTCCGCCATAAAGGACTACTTTTTCTGATTCTCAAAGGAATTTGATTCGTTCAGGGAACAATCTGCAACATAACCATGAAAATAGAATCTTCAGTGGGGACATGAAAGGATTGAGAAACCCATTACTCCAAGCATCAAGCTTTCTTGATCACAAAACAAAAAAAAATCAAAGAAAATCAAAAATGTATACCAACCCTTTCAATTGAACTACATTTCGCTACATACACAAATACACAATAATAGTCAATTTCATCTCAGTGACTTGTGAGGAAGCATTAGATTGCAAATATCCTATATGAAAGGTAGATAAATGTCTGCAATTCAATCAAAATTAACTAACAGGCAGCTCCATCTTGACGGTGAAGATTGAAAAACAAACTAAAGATTGAAAATTTGACCTCAATGCGTACAATTTATCACCGCTTCAAAGGATTAACATCGTCAATTTACAGTTTTAGCTCCTCAGCATAAAAAATAACAAATTATAAACATGCGCATGAACAGAAAATAGCATCTGGAATCGAGTTACAATAAAAGGGTCAATGGATCGAAAGCATACCGAAATATTCTTCGTAGTTGACCAAAGCAAAATGTAAAAAGTGAAAAGCGAAGAGGAAGAAGGAGATTAGAGAGATTGGCAGATACACTGATTCCGGATAAGGATAATACCTAATCCAAATGGTTTCGGTGAGAACTGATTCAGCTATCTGGGAGAGAGAGAAAGAGAGAGAGATTCTTGTTCGGTGAAAATGACTGAACTTTGCAAACTTTTAAAAAAAAAATACAAATAAAAATGTTCAATTTTTCTTTTTTCTTACAGATTGTAAATAAATTTGGCAACTTTAAAACAAAAAATGGACATTTGTGCTTACTTCCATTTTTAAATCAACGGTTGAATCTTGAGCGAATTGTTGCTTCATCTCCGTCTGCTAGTTGATAGCTCCATATGGTTTTACCTAAAAGGCTATGTCTCATGCGAATCGCTGAAAGCAAATCTCTATGTTTGGGAAGTGCAATTGTCCACAAATCACATTATTCGAATCTGATCTTCAATGCACACAAGGTGTTCGACGAAATTCCTAACTTGAATGTGGTTTCCGGTACAGCTGCGATTGGGAGCTTCGTGAAGCAAAACAGACACGTAGAAGCAAGCCATGCTTTCAAAAGGCTCTTGTATTTGGGCATCAGACCAAACGAGTTCACTTTCGGCACTGTCATTGGGTCCTCTACATCTATGAAAGATGTCAAATTTGGGAAGCAGCTACATGGATTTGCGTTAAAGATGGGACTTTCGTCGAATGTGTTTGTTGGTAGTGCGGTTTTGAACTGTTACGTGAAGCTGAGCACGTTGATAGATGCTCGTAGAAGCTTTGATGATACTAGAAATCCCAACGTAGTTTCTATTACTAATTTGATAAGTGGGTACTTGAAAAGACATGATTTTGAGGAAGCCCTTTCATTGTTCAGAGCAATGCCGGAGAGAAGCGTTGTTACTTGGAACGCAGTGATTGGTGGGTTTAGTCAGACAGGAAGGAATGAAGAAGCTGTGAGTACTTTTGTTGATATGTTAAGGGAAGGTTGTGTGGTGATGCCTCCTAATGAATCAACCTTCCCTTGTCTTATAACAGCTATTTCCAATATAGCTTCTCACGGTGCTGGCAAAAGCATCCACGCATGCGCAGTCAAGTTCTTGGGTGAGGATTTCAATGTCTTTGTTTGGAACTCTCTGATTAGTTTCTACTCGAAATGTGGGAACATGGAAGATAGTCTTCTTGCTTTCAACAAGATCCAAGAACAAGAACGGAACGTTGTGTCTTGGAACTCTATGGTTTGGGGTTACGCGCACAACGGGAGAGGAGAGGAAGCTATAGCTATGTTTGAGAGAATGATTCAAGAGACGAACCTGAAACCAAACAGTGTGACACTTCTTGGAGTCTTGTTTGCGTGTAACCACGCGGGGTTAGTCCGTGAAGGTTACTTGTATTTTAAGAAAGCAGTGAATGGTTATGATGATGATCCAAACTTGCTACAACCTGAGCACTATGCTTGTATGGTGGATATGCTGTCTAGATCAGGGCGTTTTGAAGAAGCAGAGGAGCTTATCAGAAGCATGCCTCTTGAACCAGGGATTGGGTTTTGGAAGGCTTTGCTTGGGGGATGCCAGATTCACTCCAACAAGCAACTGGCTAAATTAGCGGCGTCTAAGATCTTGGAGATGGATCCTAGAGATGTTTCGTCGTATGTTATGCTTTCGAATGCTTACTCTGCTGCGGGGAAGTGGGAGAATGTGTCGGAGATACGGAGGACGATGAAGGAAATGGGTTTGAAGCGTGTTACGGGTTGTAGTTGGATTGAAGTTAGGAACCAAGTTCGTGTCTTTGTCAATGCTGACAAGAACCACGAACTCAAGGATGAAGTTTATAGGATGTTGGGACTTATTACACAAATTCTTAAGAGAGACGAAGATGAATGTGTGGAAGACGTGTGAATGCAACTCCACATCATGTTTTTCACTTCTTTCTATTTTTTTTGGGCAAACAGAGAATCACTTGTTCTTCCGATCCAAGATTGTTATCAAGATGGAATTGTTGCAGACATTTTCAAATCCTAACTCATATTTATATCATCATGTTCAAGACTTTGTACAAAAATGTAAAAGCAGAGACGAAGGCTAAAAGTGGGGGATGTCTTCTATTTATATCTTCATCTACAATCTGCATGGATTACTTAGAAAGATAAGTTTTGCAACTCCAATTCTTCGTCTTCACAAGATAATACAAAACTTGGAAATGCACCCTTTATGTCCCTACATTTACCAAGAGTCTTATCATCAAAATTTGGTTCAATGTATCAATCAAACTTAGATATTTTTCTTGCAATAATAACATTGAAGTACTCAATATAAAGTTATACACTCACTTTAGATACGGCAAAGTCATGTTCTTGATAAGCGACGGATTCTTGGACACAAAATCTTTCCATTCGTCTGGATCAATTTTTCCGTCGTTTTTGCGGTCTGCTTCAACAAACGCCTGCAAATATACCACCACGTCCGTATAAATTATTTGTCATTAAGATATATAAGCTTCAATATCGAGGTAGCATATAGTAAATTAATCTATAGGAAAAATAATCATACAAGTGATACCTTATCCACCATTAGTTCGATCATATCTTCGGAAAGAACAAGTTCAGATTCATGAAGAAGCGCGATTACCATCTCTTTCAACTATATTTTAAAGAACAACACACAAAATTGTGAGGATAAAGATGTTAAATTATAAATACTTGCGGTTTATAAAAAAAATCGTAAATGGACTCACTTCTTCTCTCTCTATGAATCCAGTTTGCCGTAAATCATACAATTTGAAAGCAACTGCAAATTTATGATAATTGTATTTCATTTTTAGTTCACTTAAGAGAAAAAAAATGGATAAACATCAAGTACTTTACATAGAAAGAATGTGAAGAAGTTACATTTGATTTTTTCATGGACAGGAGCATATGGATGGAAGACGCCTAAGGACCTGACAAATTCCCCAAACTCGATCACTCCATTTCGCTTCACATCAAATACATCAAATATCTGCGTATAACATTTTATCAACCAAAACTTCATTTAAACATATATAAATGTAACTTGTGTTAATAACTTAATATATATACGTACCCGATCAGCGAAAAGGTTCTTGCGGTTCCGATTTCTGAACAAAGCCAGCTGAAATTCTTCCTACAAATTAAAATCACACTTAAAACTTTAAGCCAGATACGAATATAAAAGATCTCAAAAGAAAAGTAAGGTCTCTGGATTAAAGTGGATGAAAACAAAGAATGAAAGAAGAAACCTTATGAATAAGACCGTCGTCAATAATTGAGCTGCTTAGCTTCTTGAACAGTTCATACAAAGCCTCCACTTCTGCTACCGTAACTATTGTCCCTCCCAACATTAAATGTGAAACAAAATAAGAGTTTTGTTCTTGAACAGTTCATACAAACCTTTTTGTAACATCTGAGAGTATGATACTATATATTAAGCTTCAAAACTAAAAACTAACACGGTGTAACGGAGGCAAGAAGGTCAGGATCCTCATATCCCGGCGGTCGTATTGCACTCTTCTTCTTCTTCTTCGAAACAGAGCAGCCCATACAAACAAACCTTCTCTCAACTGTTTTTAGTGTTTGTTCTCAAACTCTGCAACCGAACATAAAATAGTCTATTACTCTTTGCTTGCTAATATTTCGTTTCTTCCTAATACTGTGGTGAATTAATAATATCCTCCGGTAGTTAGTTTTACAAATAAAGTCCAAGAACAAACCAATAAAAAACGAGTGCAATTAATAATATCCAATTAGAAGTCGACGGCTATATGAAGGATTGGTTCATTGGTTTATAAATAATAAATATATAAGATGCATAGTTGGCCAAGTTACACGTCTAAATAAAGATACGAGTAGCTTTCTCGACAGCTACATTAAGCTCTCCCCAAACATCAATTCACGTTTAATATTCGAATCAAATAGCCAAAACAAGAAGAAAACGACCTTTTTTCGTATTTCAACTATAATTTAGTAACCATTCCAATAAACAAAATGAAACCAACGCAGAAACACAGTTACGTATGAACTGACGTATTGATAAGAGCGGACTTTTTTTCTCTCCTAATTATCTTATTGGGTAATAACAGAGATAACTTATCAAAGTCTCCTATGATATAAGCATATACAGATAGTACATCAATAAAAATATGGGATCAGATTCAATCGATCTACGTATATATTTGCATGAATAAGTCAATATATCTGGTAAATAGTTAAGAAGATGATTTTTTTAAAAATAATCGTCAACACAATCACGAGAACACTTTTAAGCGAGCAAAAACATTTAGAGGTCTCTAGAAGTAGTATACTAATTTTGTACAGCCATGAAGTCAAATATAGGAAAATCATATGAAGTTCTTTTTCGAACGAGGCATCCTAAACCAAAACCAAATTTAGTCCTTGGAACATATAATGGATCTTTCCGAATAGGACAGAGAAAGTTCAAATCTAAAGGGGACCAGATTTATGCAATCACAAAAAAAAGGTGATGCTTTATTAAAATTCACGAGAGTGAGACAACTTCTTTGTTGCTTTGTTCAATTATTGTAGGACATTATATGTGCTTTACTAAATTAATTAAAACGAAAGGGGTTTAGTTACGTACACTGCTGTATAAGTAATCTCTGTGTATTAGTGTATGTACTTAATCTAGATGCAGCGTTTTCATTTTTGTAATGACCATAAGGTTCAATATTTTGTTGCTTATTCAAACCGACCATGCAGCAAAGAAAGATGACTTTTTTCTATTAATTAATTTCTCTACAAGTATTTAAATAGTGAATGAAATACAACTGTATTGACTTTTAATTTTTTTTTGTTATATATAAGTTTACTTGCTTGCACGGTATTCACTCAAGCTACAATACGAAAGTACGGGTCCTTTGATCAACTTGATTTCTTAGTAAATTTAAACGTCGCCCACTTATGATTTCCTAATCATAGCTCGATACCACATTGAACCGAGGTAGACCCCACAGTCTACCAATCCTTAAATGATTAAACCAAACCGAACTTAATCCAATTGCTGCTAATCTTCCTACATTTTGAAACAATTTAATTTCGATAGAACTTCTCTAAAACCAAAGAAAACCAAATTCCTATTGAGTATCAACTGGCAACTAGACACTCAATTGGACGGAAAAAGAAACGCAAACGGTTTAGTTCAGTCTATCTCACTAAAGAACTCAATATAGCCAGATTATTGAAGAAGGGTTTGTTTTGTGTTTTTACATTAAACCCAACTATATACTAAATTTTATAACTAGATTCCTAGAGAACCGGACCTGATTTTTACTCTTTAGCAAAGAAGAAAAACTCAAAAAGGGTTAAACATCAAAACTGTGAAGTCTTCGTTTTTGAAAAGAAAAGGAGAGTTTTTTTTTTAACCTTTTTTTATATTGTTGAGTCTGATTGGATCCCTTTAATGTGAACTAAAAACTGAACGTGACAATAAAAGAAAAGCCATTGGAAAAAGAAGAGAGAATTTCTCCGAAAAAAAACGAAAAAAAACAGGATGGCAACTGCATTTTGCCATTGTGAATCCAAAAAATAGAAGCGCAGAAGAAAAAAGAAAAGAAAAACTAACCGAGAGTATGCAAATCTGTCTGTTCCTCTTTCTATCGACTCTTGGCTTGTTTTGATCCTGAAATAACTTTGGTGTGAGGAGAGGAAAAGGGCAAAATGGAAGTAATTAAATAGTGTGTTGGGCTTCGCAACACCGGTTCGGTTTGTGTCTATCCATGCGTGGATGGATCGCGATGTGATGTCAAAATTTCAATATATTTTTTTGATATTTTCTCCCTATTTTCTGCTATAAGCCAATTGTTATTATTATTGTTGTACGAGTTATAAAATAATAAAAGGGAAACTATAGTTTTCTCAATCCTTCCATCTATGACAAATATAAAGTTAAAAGTTTACTATTGTTTTTTTTTTCCTTTGTTTATGACAGTTGTAAGTACTGACAAATAAAAAAGGTTATACAAATAATTTGTCAAAACAATAATTTAAAATGTGATGAAAACAAAGCTGTTCATAGACTTTAGCTCATGCCCGTCCTACAAGAGAGCTTTTGCTCAAATTCAGACTCCTCCTACCACTCTTGCAACAAAAAGGACATGACTGCATTGAAAACTACATGTGCCTAACTTCTTTCTACCTTTCGTCATGATCAGTTTTTCTTTGCTTTCTTGAAACATTTTCTTTTTAATCTCAGTTTAACTAATTTTTTAAAAACCGACCCATCTTTTCATTTACCCCCTTTTGAATCACACAAAAATTTGGCTGTGAAATTTCCCTTCAACATGTCCTTTCCCTTTTTTTTTTGTCGGTTGGATTGATTCGTAATACGTAGCCGTATAGAAAAGGTGGTGTTGCTATATGTTAACTAAAAGCTTTTATTTCTGTCAAATGAATGTAAATAGTTTTTACTCGGTTCAGAAAATCTATTTACTTAAAGTGAAAATAGCAGCAAGATTAAAAAGTAAATATATCTGAAACTGAAGATAATTGGTTTTGGGACAAGCAAGTATTTTGACATTTATTAAAGAACCATAACAAGTCTATCCACCAAAACACAAATCCAAAGCGATTCCCATAATCGTCTCCATACAAAACAAAACTCGTCAACCAATGTTTGAATCGTTGAGCTAGGTCTGGTTCAACTCATAAGTCCTCACTCCTGATCAAGAAGGAGATTCTCTAGGAAAGGCTCTGTTGCATTGCCGTATCTTTCATTTGCACTCTTCATTCTTTTCTCCGCCTTACGCAACATACACCTTTCCTTCTCAAGCTTCTTTGACGCCATCGCCACTTTCTCTTTTGCTGCTTCCCATTTTATCAACTTCTCTTCTTCATGCGCCTTGACTGTTATCGGAAAATGAATTTCCGTTTTGCTGACACCCAAAAACCAATAGACATTAAAGATCATCTCATCAGCATGAAGTCACATACAAATGCAAATAACTTGGAGAACAAGAAACGAAGATGGGAACCAAGTGTCGAGCTTTTTAGTTAGTTTAAATGCAAGAACTGAAATGGATATAATGAAGATCAAGAAAAAGTCAAGTACCTGGACCCGGAATATATAAAATATCCGTTTTCTTTTACAATAAAACCATCCAAAGAGACTGCTCCACAACCATTGACGTGAGGAAGAGCTGCTTCAACATGCTTTTGGGTCTCATACACCTGTAGATTCCCCAAAAGACTGTAGAACAAGGATTCTCTAAGCCCGTGGCCCGAATATGATTTTATACTTAGATCCTGTGGCGCTAAGAAAATCATGTTAACAGCAAATCCAAGAAAACCCGGTACTGGTTTTCCATTGGGCAGCCTCGGGTCAACCATGGCTAATCTCGTCTGAGGATCGTCCTTCACGAGCCCATACTTCCAGGTTCTGTTGAAAAAATATCACCAAGAAACATTTATAATTTTATAAAGAGCAATACTACGGATTAGCAGAAAAAAAGAGAGAGTACCTGACTGCATCAAGATAAAGAACATGAAACCGACTGGTTAATGATCTTCCAAGTTCATCTACTTCGGATTGGAGCCTGACATGCTCAGGACTGTTTGGTACAAATCGTGACGATTTGCATACTAAGGCAAGCATTGTGTCTTCTCCTAAATACTCAGACAAGACCCTACCATACATACAACCAGAGATATCTTTTAAGATATTGATGTTTTGGAACACTATGATCAGCAAAAATGGTAGCTATAAGTTGTTGTTGTCACCTGCTAAGGGAAGTGGAGGAAACAGAACCGAGAAGCGCAACGAGGCCAAACACTCCTTTCCTTGACATAACAAAAGACTGCGGATTCGGATCAGTTCTGTACAAACTACAGAAAACAGCTGCAGCAGTGTCGTGATGCTTATCTTCGATCTTTTTCATCAATGATGTTTTGGTGGATAGGCATTCAGGGAACGCCCCAACGAGAGGTCCCAGAGAAGCTAAGATGAAATTCACATAAATATGTTAGAAACTTAGAATTATTTAAATTGCAACATTTTTGGCAGAGGATATTGTTGAGATGATAGTTACCTTGCAAAGCACTCAACTCTTGGTTAGCCTGTTCATGTTCAGCCTCCAAACATTTCACGCGCTCATTTACTTCCACCACACATGCGTTGTAACTATTAAGTTTCTCTTGTATAGTCTGCATGAAAAAAAATAGATGCAACTTTAAAGATCCACCGCAAAGGTTAGACAATTCTTTATTTTGTTATGCATACACTTAAGTCATAAATGAAACATAGATATCAATATTTGTGGCTTAAATGTTAATGATCATACCTCAGTGAACTCCACCATATCCATCATGCCAGTTTGGCTACTACCAGCCAATGACAAAGCCGTCATTGGCAACACTCGAATCTGTGAAGATGGATCTTGTTGAGTTGGAGCCACGACTAAAGCTGTGGCTGAAGAAATCTGAGTTTGAGGTGTTAGAAACATCGTTGGATGAGGTATAATAGACCTAGTCTCGTCTCTTTCAAATGTTTGAGCAGGCGTTAGATGAATCTGAAAAAAACAAGAGATAAATGAATATTAAGAGGAAATGTTATCAACAAAACATATTGTAAAGTAAACTAACCCAAATTCACAAATTACTACGTACCTTTAAGCTCATATGAAGCTCAGGACATCGAGAATGGAAAACCTTGAAAGAAAATTCACCCACAGTCTCTGGTAGGGAAAGAGAGGGAACGTTGCAGTAACCATGGACAAAGGCATAACTGATTCCATCCTCTGAGCTTCTTGAATCGGATTCAATGCTCATAGTATGTAATGATCCTGAATTTTCGTCATGATGGATATTAGTATCTGTAGAACCATTTGAATCTATCACCCTGAAAATGAGGTTTGCAAGATTTGAACCAGCAACACAGTTCCCCGGCAGCTGAAACAAAACAAAGAATCTCAGATTGACATAACACCAGAACAAGTGAAAACAAAACTCAGGCTACATTGAAATGCTTCAACTTATTTATGCTTACCTCTTCTAAGAGAATGAGCTCTCTTTTCTCAACAAGAGACTCTTTCCTGAAGAGAGTTTCATTATGAAACATCACAGAAAGTGATACTACGTAGAAACAAAGACATTATTAGACAATAATCAATCAGAAAATATTTGTTGTTTTATTACAAAATAATGGCACCGGATTTTACCGGATTTCCCATAACCGGCTGTGACTTTGAGAATTCCAGACAGATCAATGCAGCCACCACTATTAACCTGTAAAATGATCCAAGAACTTATAAATGAGACCAGATTTGACCTAATAATATCTTATCCTAAAACGTTTAGCCAAACTATATATATCTCTTTTAATGGAAAACAAATAAAGTTCTCGCACCTTTCGGTTTAAGCCCATTGAGTCTTGGATACGATAACCATCAAGACGTATCAACACATTGGCACCTTCAGGAGCATGGTTATTATATCCATCAAATATCTGCATGAAAATTAACGTACTCAGCTTCATTTGATGGTAACATTCATTACTTAAAAATTAAATGCATAAACCTTTATTAAATATATACATACCTCCAAGATAAAGTTTTTTACAGTGCAATCTGGAAGCAGATTCTCAAGAGCCTGTGGATTTTTCTCGACAGCAGACTTCAGAGGCCCTGGTTTAACTAAAAAAATTGGAAAGCTCTCTCAGGAAAATATCATTCTTAGTGTACCTTACCATACAAGCTTTTGCAGAACATCAACGCTTAAGCTTTACCTTTTACAAACAGCTAAGACGGAAATAGGTTTGTCCTTTGAGCGTATCTCCAAGGTGGCTTTATAATGTGGTCTGATCTTGTCTAGTCCACCAGTCTCAACGAGCATATCCTACATTATTTGCAGAGAATTTGTAATATAGTTAGTATCAGCTTCGTAACAAAAATATAGTCAAAACATAACATTGGTGCATGATTCAGCATGAATAGTGTTAGTAGTAAAATACCTTGACTTTGAGAATTCCATTAGGCATGAGGCTGGCCTCAAACTTATCAATCACGGCTTCGAAATCCGGACGGGCTTTGAGTTTAATTTCCAGAGATGGAACAGAGGTGAATCGTAGCCGATTTCCTTGCTCATCAAAGCAAGCTATATGGTAAGGTTTCATTGAACATCCCACACTGTAGATAACACCATTATATTGATCAAATTTTATAAGAAAAATAAACATTTATTGATATGTGTGCTATGATTACTGAGTCTTACGGCAAAATAATCGATTCCATATTGCTAGAAAGTCTCCATCTTCCCACCTTAGAAGATGGTACCACAAGCACCTTTTTTTGACAAGTAATCGAACTTCCCTGAAAGGAAAAGTCATGTTCAACAATCAGATTATGTAAAACTTTAATGGCAGATAAAAATAGGTTATAATCGTTACTTACAATTGAGAAAGAAAAATTGTAAGTGCCAGCTTTCTTGAATATGTTGGGGATCTTGGACTGGAGTGGAAATACGTAGAGACCATGATACCTTCCACGAGACGTAGGAGAAGAGCGATGAGAATACAAAGCCTTGGTGCTGTTCGTGTTATTGTTTTCTTGTAGTTCTACTTCCATGGGCATTTCTTCTTTCATCTTCACAATATGAGTCTGCATTAAATTTTTCGACTTCGAAGTTGTGAAGCTAGCTGGTCGAACAACTGCAACAAACTGCTCCGGGGGAGTTTGTCCAGCACGCACCATATCATCAACTGTTGATTCCTATTTACAGAACATGTTTCACAAAGTTAGTTAACACTAGCTATAAACAGACATCATCCCTTTACTAAATCTTTACTCATTTAAACTTTAAGGTAAGGAAAGATAACATTCATACCCCATTAAACTCTAGTTCTGTGCAATGTCTCTGATCCAGCAAATCAATTCTTGATGGAGTTTTTTTACTTATTTGCAAGTCTTTTATTCCATACATTCTCATCTATAAGTAGACACTGTAGAAAACACATATCTCAGCGTAAACTTAAAAAGAGTATGCAGAAGAAAAAGAATGTAAGTATTTGCCAAGCATCCCTCATCCTCAGAAACATTCATTTGCCTAGATTTAAAAAAAAAGAATTCACAATATTTACAACTAGCTAATAGTAGTGGAACTTTTCGAGTATTAAGAAACTAGTCAAATGAAAACAATCACCTGCATATAATCTTGGCATCACCTGCACACATAAAAAAGAGCTCAAAACATGTTTCTCATGTTCAAATGATGATATAGAGACAGCACTACTTACCTCTAGTCTCGTCCTCGAATTTTTCTATAATGAAATAGTCAATAGTGGCGTAGACATCGCTCTTGTGAGGACCTGAACATGCTCCTTTCAGAATCCTGATCTTCTGTCCACGTTCCCATGACGTTCCTTTTCTCTTCACTACATTGTGCAATCTCACAGCTAGAGCCAAAAAAAAAAGCATTGCAATTACAAATAAGAAATAACCATTTTATACTTTCATTATTCGAAATCATTAAGTGTTTGCAGCTACGTACCTTTACAATCAGGCGAAATGCCAAGAGACTTGTTATCCAAGGAATGAAAAATAACGATTGCGTCATCTTCACCTGATGCATGTTCTTGATCGTAGCTCGTATGCATGTTAAGAACCCATTCCTGATAACTCTGTTCCACTTCCGCATAACTCAATAATATTCCTACTCTATGAATCAAGATACTGACATCTGTCAAAACACAAGGATTAAAGTATATTTTAGTCACACTAGAAGAAGCGCAAAAACATGACCACAAATAGGGTTTTTTAAAACTAACCGTTATCCTTCTCCTTGGATCTACTACCAAAGTTTCTTAGAGCCACAGAGAAGTGGTTTTGGCTTGCAAGATCATTCTGTAACAAAACGCATGTTCAATAATCTCAACAGAGATAGTACTAGTTACATTAATTAAACCTAGGCTATTGTTAATCTCACTTTTGAAGGACTTGGGGTAAAACCAGCATCCAAATCTGCAAACATATATATATTCATAAAAAGCAATTTAATTAAAACGGAGATTTATGTATACAATAATATAATTTGACTATTTGTATGATGAGGGTTTCATTACATACCGACAAAACATTTCACTCTTTGGCAACATCTCTGCAAAGTAGAGGCGTTGGCTCCTCTATCCATAAACGGAATTGATACCTAAACACAAGACTTATATTAGTAACACAAAAATGGCTTTGGTAATAAACATTTAATATCCTTGACACACTAACCCAAGGGACTTCTGGGAGTAGACGACCAAGCCTTCTTACGGAAACACGACCAAAAGTTGTGAAGCTTTCAGAAACTTGGAACCCTTCCTTTTCTAAGCTCTCCAAAATGATATCATTGCTCTCTTTTCCCTGCAACATACATACAAATTTCAGAGTGTTTGGTTCAAGAAGGTAAGCAAATGCCAAGTTAAGCTTCTTTGGAACGGATTATCAGACCTGTATGACTGGAAAATAAACAAACTTGAGCCGAGCATTTGCCTCTTGTGATGTCCCTAATGACACAAAAAAGTATATAAATATATATTGTCAGGCTCCAAACAACTTGAAACTGAGAGGAAGAAACTTCAACTGTACCTTCTCTTTTCTCGGTGAAACGAATCTGAAACGAGAATTCTTCACCCCTGGAGTTTAGGTTGGTAGTGGCAACCTCTCCACCCAATACCTCAGCTAAATCCACTCCATTAACCTTGGAAACGGTTAAATGTTTTTTTATTTATAAATATGTCACCAATGACAGAAACAAAGATTGCAAAGAAAAAATGGAGAATTAGAATGATAGTATCAAACCTTAAACCCTACAGGCCTTACAGTCCTCCCCGTTTTGGAGATTTCATCATTCTACATGTTGACAAGAGAGTCGAAATGAAAACTCTAACCTAAGATAAACCAGAATAAAGAGAGAGATTATCGCATATATTGGCCAAAGAAAATACCTGGATATAAGGAAAATAAATATCCTTAAGTCTCCACCGAAGTTGATTAATCTCCGGGATATCACATCTTGGTTCAAATATCTCAACCTGGAAATAAAATAGATTAATAAACACTTTCAGGTAATGAGGCTACACGTTATAACATAACAGTTTCATGAGGATCACACAAAAGAGAAACAAAATTCAGTTTACAGAATCACTAGTTAACTTGATCAAAACGTATATGTAAATAAATAAATAAACAAACTTGAAATATGGTTTGTACGTACTTTTGTAAAACTTCCATGTGGCGATAGCATACTTTCCTCCTCTAAAGGATCCCTCATTCCACCATCAACCTATAAAAATAAATTAATATTATGACAAAGCAATTAAGAAGCTAAATTATACGTGAGAATATATTATGTATTACTCGTTACCTTCCAATTTGTCGCAGAGATAAGATGACGGGCAATCAATTCATCTTCGTTCAATTGCAACGTGAAAACCATTTTAGACAGTTTGGTTTTCGAAGACACCATAGTACGCCTAGCAATGAAAATGTGTTAATTAAATGCAACCAAAAAGAAAAAAAGGCACAATCATAAACATTGATAAGTTAACAAACAAATTATCACCTTCCTAAATGCATACAAGAGTATGCACCTCCGCATCCAAACGTCCCAAAGACGGGCTACATAGCAAAAGAGTGATCAAGACTCAAGGTAATTTATTTTATTGAAGGCAGAAAAAGGCAAAATCTGAGATTATTTAGACATAGTTAACTACGTACCGTTAGGTATGGTGGATTTCCTCCGAGCCCTTTGGATTTATGAGACCGATGTACCGAAGCTCCTAGTGTCCCCCTGCACAATTTGTTAAAAGTGAAATCATCCATATGTTTTTAGAGCATTTGAAAAAACAGAAATTGCGGGAAAACAAACTCACCATTTAGCAATGGAATTTTCCTCACTGCTGTCCATTCCAGGACCAGAATCGAAGATTGAAATCCGATCTTTGCGAACATCCACGCTGCAAAAACAATCACCGGTGAAACCAAAAGGTCAAAACTATGTTTTGATCATCTTACGTTTTATGACAAGAACAAACCTGATCAGTCGTTGTTCACCAGGGGAACAAGACCACACAGCTTGCAAAGAATTATCCTGTTTATATAAGAAATATGATCATTTAAATTTCATATATCAGGAATTAACCAGAATTACATAATGTCATCATCTAATACAAAAAAAATTGTTGTCAAAGCTCGTGTTAACAATTTAAAGAAACACAAAGCAAGTAAACTTTTTTTTTTTTTTTTTGATAACCGTGGGGATCCTAAAGGCTTTGTAGGCCCAAAGACTAATCCCACGAGGCCCACGGCAATCCGCGTATTCTTACCATTAAGGCAGTCCAGGTGGCCAAGGGGACTTGAACCCAAATGGCGGAAGTCACAGCAGTGACCCCTTTACCACTGGGCCACAAGGCCTTGGTTAAAGCAAGTAAATTTTCCATTAGAAAACTCTATATTTTCAAGTAATTGTAACTGAAACACTCACAATCAGATCCGCAAAAGCTGTGTCAAAGCAATAGTTTTCATGTCGATATTTCAACAAATCAGTGTCTGGTGTCAAATCCCACATATTCTGCAAAAACCAAGAACATAACATCACTAAACCAATTTTTTTTTTTTTTTTTTTGTCGACTATCATCACTAAACCAACTTAAAGAGTCAAATCTATAACTAAATAATAAAAAAAAAAAATAATAATAATACTGACCTCATACAAAATGGAAGCTTCACCAGATCCATCCTGATCAGAGATTACAAGTTGAAAATTAGCTGAAAATTCAACACATATCAAAAGAGCAAATGAAGAAAAAAGGAGCAAAAGAAAACAACTCACAAAGAGACGTATTATATTGCACACATCAGGCTTAAACATCTCAAATCTAACGATGCCACTAATCTTGTCACCGTTAAAGTCGAGATACGAACCAACAGCTCGATTCCAATCAACCTGCTTCCTCTTCTTACCCGACAATTCAAAGGTTTGACGACATTTCTCGTACTCTTTTATCACCAGATTTACAAAATTCTCCATTGGCATTTCGGACTCGGGGTTGGTAAGTGCGAGTGTCACACTTGTGCTGTTTGGTAAAAGAACCTTGAGCTTGTAGAACTTATCTTCTTCTTCTTCATCGTCTGAGAGAAATACTCGGTACGATCTCCTCTTGCTCATCTGAAAAAACAAATTTCAGATACGTAAGACTTACAAATTCATTTCTCTTCTTAGAGTAAACCAGAAAACGAAAAGGAGAAATATAAAAAAAAAAACTAAACGATAAGAAGAAGGAGAAACTATAAATTACCATTTGAAGGGAAAATGCAGAAAGAGAAGCAGAAGAAGTTGAATAAGTGACTCGGAGCTGGGAGCGATGGAGTTGTGAAGAGTCTTTATAGATTCAACTACGCCACCAACCTTTTTTTTCAAACATAGAATTTTTCATTTCTTACTATGGAAATGTAATTTTATTGGTTTTTCTCTTTGGGGCTCGATTTTACCAAAACAAGCAAATGAAAATGTGTGGTGATTAGTTTAGTTACATATTATCTGTATTCTTTAAAAGGCAAGTTTAATTTTTTTTATTCCAAAAAAATGATTTGTTAAATTTGTTTTGTATTTTTCATTAATTGTAAATCTAAGAAATACTCTCTCTTTCTTATTTTTAAATTATATTTTAGTCCAGCTAAATTTTGTTTCCTTTAAAAAAAATTTTGTTTCCTTTTGAAAAAAGTTATTTTATTTCCTTTTAAAAAATTTGACTGTATTATAGTAATTAATTAGATTATATAATTTTGAAATTGATTTTTTAATTTGTATGCAGAAATATTCCAAGTCATTTAAATATTACTGAACTATCCGCAACTTTATAATTTTTTAAAAAATACCCACAAATTTTATGTTTCACCAAATTTTAAGAAGTACGCTTATATATTTGCCAAAATACTCAGATCCTTGTATATTTATCGAATTACTCCTCAACTTTTTTTTTTTTTTTTGTCAACAACAAACTTTTTCATTCAAGCTAACTCTCCATCAAAGGAGAAAATGTTCCAAACATAAATAAATCTACTCCTCAATTTTAAAGAAGTGGTAAGTAACTTAATAAGTTTGACTTCAAAAATAAATCTTCGTTATCTACATACCAAAATGGTGAGAATGTAGAGTGTGAACCAAGCAACGCAGTGCCGATAACAATATTCACAACAAAACAGCCCTTACCAAAACAAGAAACAGGACGAAAGTTTCAGAAATAAAATTAACCATCCATAAAAGCACCAAAACGATTTCTCTTTGATATCCATATCTTTCTTCGTATGTCCTAAGAGTCCGCCATGGCTGCTGCAACACTTTGGTATTTTTCCGTCGCCTTCTTCAACTTCTTCTCTACCTTCCGCAATGAAGAATACTCTTCGGCCATCGTCTTCTCTGCCTTTCTCTTTCTGTCTCTTGCCAACTCCAGTTTCAGCAAATTCTTTTCTTGCTTCTCTGTTACTGTTATCGGAAAATGAATCTCCGGTTCGCTACCAAGACACACAAAAAAACACAATTACCAAAGATCATCAACACTCACAAATAACCTAAAGCAAAATCTGGAAAGCTTGCAAGTCAAGTCTCAAGCTTTACAGTTCCAAACTCAATAGGATAAAGAGAAAGCGCATTTACCAGCATCCGGAGTATATAAACCCGTTTTCTTTGAAGATCACACCATCTAAAGAGACACAATCTGCTTTGATGTGAGGAAGAGCTGCTTGAAGATACTCTCCGGTCTGGTATACCTGTAAATCTCCAAAAACGCCATAGAAAAGCGTCTCTCTGAGCCCATGACCTGAATTTTTTTGTATATCAAGATCCGCTAGATCCAACTCGATCATGTTCACGGCGTAGCCTATGAAACCCGGTATAGGATCTCCATTAGGTAGGCAAGGGTTCTTCATGGCCAGTTTCCTCTGAGGATCATTTTCCACAAGTCCACTGCTCCAAGGTCTGCATGTTTATCATTAGAACACCAAAAAGAATTTTGGCTTAAGCAATTGTAAGGATTAGCAACAAATCCAAAAACCAAAAGAAAGTGTAATGAATTTACCTAGTTGCATCAAGACATATAATAAGAAATCGACTGGTTATAGGTCGACGGAGCAAATGTGCTTCGGATTTAAGCCTCATATACTCAAGACTCTTCGGTCCACATTGTGATGATTTGCATACCAACGCAAGCATTGTGTCTTTCCCCAGATATTCAGACAAAGCCCTGCAATATCAAATAACTTGAGAACAATTTAATATTTGCCTCAACTGTAGAATGATCAAGAAAAAACTCAGCCTAGAAACTGATGTAACCTGCTTAGTGAAGTGGTGGCAACTGAACCGAGAAGAGCTACGATGCCAAACACTCCTTTATTTGACAGAAACATAGACTGAGGAGGTGCAGCCTTTCTGTACAAACAGCAGAACACTGCTGCTGCAGTGTGATGCTGCTTCTCTTCGATTTTCTTCATCATCGACTCTCTAGTGGATAGGCATGCTGGGAGCCCCGCACTGATAGGTTCCAGAGAAGCTGAGATGAAATTCACATGAACACGTGAGAATTGCTAGTTTGTAAGATCATAACATAACAATCTCTAATCTTAACCAATATAATAGTTACCTTGCAAAGTACTCAATTCTTGCTCTGCTTGTCCTTGTTCAGCCTCCAAACATTTTAGGCGCTCATCTATTTTCATTTTCCTTTCTCCGTATGTATCGAGTTTTTGTTTTAAACTCTGCAGGAGAAAGGAGCATTTTTCAAGCACAATGTTGAGATCAAATTGGAACACAAATCCTAGATCATTGTACATATTCTATTGCTCTCATCAAGAGGCAAATGAGACACACAAAAAATATCAATATGTGTGGATTAAATGATGATGACCATACCTCAGCGAACTGCGCCATATCTAGCAGGCCATTTTGGCTACTGTGATCCAATGACGATGACCTAATGGCCAAAACTCCAACCTGTGAACATGGAGTTAGTCCCACCCCTACACTGGAAGTTGGACTCAGCCCTGAATTTGTGGTTGAAGCCATCTTTGATTGAGGTGTTGTAGTCGTCTTTGAGTAAGGTGTTGAACACCCAATCTCATCGCTTTCAAATGTTGGAGCAGACACTAGCGGAACCTGTAAACCGAATACAAGAGAATCAGTGTTAAAAAAACTAACAAAAGCTCTACGCATGGTAGAGACATATTGCAATATCTAATCCAATTCACAAATGAACGACCTCTAAGTTCAAATGAAGCTCAGGATATCGAGAATGGAACACCCTGAAAGAAAAGACACTCTCATTCTCAGGTACGGAAAGAGTAGAAACTTTGCAGGACCCCTGGATAAATGCATATCTGACACTTTCAATGTTGCCTGAGCCGAATTCAATGCTCATGGTATGGAAACACCCCGATTTTTCGTCATCATGGATATTAGCATCTATGGAACCATCTGAATCCGTCACGTTGAAGACGAGGTTTTGGATAATTGAACCAGCAGGACAGGAGTCGGGCAGCTGAAAGAAACAAACAGTTCCACGATGAGAAGTAAAAGTGTGGAGGAAGAGAGACAAGTTCCTAACGGAAGCTTGGCCGCGAGGAAGAAAGCAAAAATAAGAATCCAGACTGCACCAAAAGAATCTTTACCTCTGTTACAAGTCTTAGCTCTCGTTCTTGGATTTTAGACTCTTTCTTGAAGATCTCTTCATTACCAGACATAACAGAGAACGAGACTGTAGAGAATAAATAAAGACACTAGACAATCAGAAGATAATCATAAAAAGGAATGATGGTAAGTAAATGTAGAAATTGAAGTGATCATGTTACCAGATTTTCCATAGCCTTCTGTGACTTTAAGAATGCCAGAGAGATCAATGCAGCCACTAGCATCAACCTATCAAATAATCAACAAACTTTGAAGAGTGAGTGAAACGGAAATCCCAAACCATCTAAGAAACTGTGTCATCCACATAGTGTTGCAATGCTGAGAAGAGTAGAAGACGGTATACTATAAGATTCACTCGACAGGTCAAACAGAGAATCCTATAATTTAGTAGAATAAGCTTCTCACACCTTACGAGTAACGCCCAAGTAGTCGTGGATACGATAGCCATCTATATGCAACACAACATCCGTCCCTTCTGCAACATGGTTGTTGTATGCATCGAAAATCTGCATGAAACGTATGGTCAACTTAATTTAAATGAAAAAAAAAAAAAAAAAAAAACCTGACTAATGTATAAAAACCTATATTATATACCTCCAGGATAAAATTTTCGACAGTGGAACCTGGTAGCAAATTATCCAAAGCCTGGGGATTATTCATTGCAACACGTTCCACAGGCCCAGGAATCACTGAAACCAGAAAAAAATCGTTAAAGTAACATAAATGAACAATACACCTTTAATAAGTCTTTTGTGAATTTACGAAGATCAATACCATATAATTAAAGCTTACCCTTACAATCAACCGAGACAGAAAAAGGTTTGTCCTTTGCGCGTATCTCTAAGGTTGCTTCATAATTTGGTCTTATCTGGTCTAATCCACCAGTCTCCACGAGCATATTCTGCATTAGATTCAGAACATCAAGATATTTCACCGACTTCTCCACAAAAACAAAGACACTAGACAATATACTATACCTCGATTTTGAGAACTGATCCATTTTTAATCAGCTTGGCCTCAAGTTTGTCAAACTCGAGCTGGAATCCAGGGTTAGCTTCCAGTTTAACGTCCAGGCTTGGAACAGAAGCGAACCGTACGCGGTTTTCGTGCTCATCAAAGCAAGCAACACATATTGGTGGAAGAGAAGAACCAACTCTGTAGAAACGCAGTAATAGTGTAATACTGATCAAGTTTGACAGTCCAAGAACTAAAGTGTAGGAAAGTGAGAAAGGCTTGACGTGTATATATGCAAGTTCTGAAGAGTTTTATGAGTCTTACCGAATAGTGGGCTCCAGATTATCTTCAAGTTTCCACTTTGCTGCCTTTGAAGAAGGTTTGATAACCACAGTTTTTGTGCACTCAATCGAGTCTCCCTGAAGGTCAAGTGTTTGGGCAATTATATTATACTCGGAAAAATTAAATGGCAGATCAAACTGCGAGGAGAAATTCATTGAATACAAAAAAAGTGCAGAAATTTACTTACGATAGAGAACGAAAAGTTGTAAGTGCCAGCTTTCTTGAAAAGGTTTGGATTCTTGGACCCGAGAGAGAAGATGTAAAGACCACTAATCCCATCACGGGGAGTAGGAAAAGCGCGCTCGGAACATACGAATTTGGCATTCTTATCTCTCGATTTCATATTTGTGTCTACCAAGTTAACACTCATGACCATTTCCCCCCCATCCTTAACGATATGTTTCTGGTCCAACTTCTTCTGCGGTGTTGAAGATGTGAAGCGTGCAGGTCGGATGACTGCGACAATCTTTTGAGGGGGAGCTCGTCCAGCAAACACAGATTTACCAACCGGTAATTCCTGTAACATATTTATACATTCAATGTTACTATCTATGATAAGCTAAGTGAAAGAGAAAAGCGCTTATTGTTAATAACAAAAATAACAAAACGTTCTTACGCCCCCATCAATTTTCAATTCGTTGCAAGCTTGCTCATCCAGCAAATCAATTTTTGACGGTGCTTTTTCCTGTTGCTTCTCAATTTGTTTATTCCATTCATCCGCATCTACAGGCAGGCACTGTACAAGAAAACATTTCTCAGATTGGAATCATTACCTGTAAGCAGAAGAGGAGAAATGAAAAAGGAAAAATAAGATGGCAATAGTTAAGTGACTGACCTTTCCATCGTCGATTATAGCGATCGGTAAAGATAAAGAACTCTGAACTTCCAGACTTGTAACTCCTTCGATGATTGAAAGCATGCATCCCTTGTTCTTAGGGAGGTGGATAGGCCTAAAAATTAAAGGTATATGATACAGAACAAGCAATGAATATCCAAACCAAGTCAAATGATAGAGAAAAGAAAAGTCACCTGCATAAAACCCAAGTATCACCTGCTCAGAAGACATAAAAAAAAAAGACAGCTCAAGCAACAGCCACTACTACAAAACATCATTATATTTGTAGTTTAAATGACGGTGGAGATGGTACTAACCGCCTGGTTCGTCCTCGAACCCTTCTATTATGAAATAGTCAATTGTAGCGTAGACATTGCAATGGTGAACCCCAGCACAGGCTCCTTTCAGAATCTTTATATTCTGACCACGCCTCCACGACTTTCCTTTTCTCGTAATTACCTTGTGCACCCTCACAGCTAGAGATCAAAATCATTGCAGGTATGAGTGCCCAATTAAGACAAACATAACTTGAAAATATGGAGAGAAAAAGTCTTATTAACGAAATCCTCTCCATATGTTTGCTAGCATTGGTCTTGTATGTTTCTACTACAAGACCAATGCTAGCAAACATATGTGGATATATGAAAATGCTTAGAAAACATGCATTTTGAGGCGATAGCTTTCCAAATAAAGTTTATTTATCTTCTATGAAAAGCTAATACATACCATCATGCGAAATGTTAAGAGCCTTTTTATCAAATTCAACAACGACAGTTGGTTCATCTTGACCCGATGCAGCTTCTTCATCATGGGTATCATGCATCTTCATAACCCAATCCCTATATGTCTGCTCCAGTGGCTTGATGTTGAGTGGTTTTCCTTCTCGGTGAATCATAATTTTGACATCTGCAAGAACTAGAATTCATTATAATCTAAGTACCTAAAGAAGAGGAAAAACATGATCGCATAAGGATTCACTGACCAGTATCCTTCTCCTTCTCTGTCAGTTTACTACCAAAGTTTTTTAGAGCCACTGTGAAAGGATTTTGGCTCGCAAGGGCAGTCTGTAAAAAACGCATATTCAGAGATCAGATGATAATGTACTAAATACTTTAAAATTTAATCTAGGAGAGCATTTATCTCACTTTGGAGGGCGTTGGGTTAAAACCAGCATCCAAATCTGCAACCACAGAGAAAGTACGTTCATAAAACAATAATAAAGCAGAGCTACATATACAACTGACAATGCATGAGCACTTCGTACCGACAAAGCATTTTACTCTTTGGCAACTTTTCTGCAAAGTAGACGCTCTGTTTCCTTGTTTCATAAACGGTATTGAATCCTACAAATATTCATGGTAACAAAAACAACGCAATAAGTTCTTGTCTTCAAGCACATTCGAACAACTTTCTCATCCTCCACACCATAATCAGCACGATAATGGTTACAAGAAAAGACTAACCCAACGGACTTCTGGAAGTAGGCGACCAAGCCTCCTTATTGAAACACGACCAAAAGTCTCAAAGCTTTCGGAAACTTCGCATCCTTGCTCTTCTAAATTCTCCAAAATTTTCTCAATGCTTTCTTCTCCCTGCAGAGATTCTCAAGTGTTCAGTTCAAGAAGGTAACCAAAGGCAATGTTTGCTTCTTCAGAAAGGATTGTCATACCTGGACGATTGGAAAATAAACAAACTTGAGGCGAGCATTTGCCTCTTGTGGTCTCCCTGGAAAACAATCATATAGTCAGACTCCAAATAAAGAGAAACATTTGGGATTGCGATTTGTGTGCTTCTGTTAGGAAAACATTTCAGCATTCCTCTGTGCACACATAATATACCAACCGTAGTTTTAAGTAGACGCTACCAAATACTGAAGCAAAAGCAGTTGGGAGCCTAACTGACTTGTTTTAAATAAGCGTTTTACCTTGTCTTTTCTCACTGGTAAGAGTGAATTTAATCTGGAACCAAAATTCTTCACCCCTGGAGTTTAGGTTGGTGATGGCAACCTCTCCACCTGCTATCTCAGCTAAATCTTCTCCATTGACCTGGAAAAGTAAAACAGGACCAGGCAAAGAGTATAACCAAGAACACTTTAGTAATTTATCTTGGAATGATAATATCAAACCTGAAACATAGTTTATTTAGCAGCAAATGATACTCTTAGTAATATCTAACAAGGAACACAATCATATAGCCAATGATGATAGTGACAAACCTCAAAGTCTACAGGCCGTTCAGTCTTCCCGGTTTTGGAGAGTTCATCACACTACATATTGATAAGGAAAAATAAAAGAATAGTGTGACATTTCATTAGAACCAAGAAAATGGCCAAAAGCGGAACTATTAGAAAACATATATTAGCAAACGAAAATTCATGCATTCCTGGATAGTAATATAATACTATTAACAGCCTATGAATACCTGGATGTAAGGAAAGTAAATATCCTTAAGCCTGCACAGGAGTTGATATACTTTTGAGATGTCAAATTCTGGTTCAAATATCTCAACCTAGAAAGAACATAGACCAGGAGTTTCAGATAAGCGGTTGAGAACGTATCATAGCTTGCAGTTTCATGAGAATAAATGGGAAATGATAAAAATCAAACAGTGATGGGACTTAAAAACAACACCAGAAGTTTTTTCTCTCAATCTTATCATTAGAGTAATATTCAGTTGTACAGAATCTCTAGCCCACACATAATACTTCCAGAAAAATTCCAAGATGAACAATACTGGTAACAAACTAACAACATAATCATGATTAAAAGCGATAAAATTTCAGAAACAAGAAGGTTTGTCCTAAAGAAAGTGAAACACTCGCAAAAAAAATATATATATATATATATGAAGATTTTAAGGCTAGAAACTTCAGAGGGGAATAATTTTGATTCCATATGTTTATGTATCTCTGATAGTATATAGAAGGTCATTTTTCATGCCATATGGGAACAAGGGAAGAAGAAAAATTGAAAAGGGTGAACCTTTGTAAAACTTCCATGAGGTGCTAGCTTCATTTCCTCCTCTGTCGGGTCCCTCATGCCACCATCAGTCTGTACAAGAAATTAAGATTTCATTGTTTAGGAAACATTGACAGCAACAAGCGAAAAAAGGAGCTAAATTTACAAATGCTGAATCATATTACCTTCCAGTGTTTTCCCGAGATTGACCGATTGTCGATCAAGGCTTCTTTCTTGAATTGCAGAGTGAATACTTTCTTGGATTCTTTCGTCTTAGAAGACACCAGAGTACGCCTAATCAGGGAAGAGAGTTAGACGCAACAAGATAATGCAGACAACCAAAGGTTGGGAACACAGAAGCTGAAGTTGCACCTTCCCAAGAACATACAAGCGTAAGGTCCTCCATATCCAAACATTCCAAAGAATGGCTACATAGAAAAAGAGAAAATCTTCTTCAGATCAATAATATAGCAGGCAGTGATACAGAGTGAACAGTCTAAACTGACAATTTTTAACCGAAGGTGCTTAATTATACATCAAATATTTTAAACACAAAATCTATAACTTGCGAGAAGAAAATGAACCTAAGCTATTAGCGACTAATGAATTACCGTGAGATAAGGTGGTCTGCCTCCAACACCACGGATTTTTTGAGATCTATGTAATGAGGCCCCTATTTTCCCCCTGCACAATTGCAAACAAAGTAAAGAATGTTCAATTTAACATCAACAAATCAAGCCTGCCGTATCAAAGTGAGTAAAAAATACTTGATTGCATTATCAATCCCAATAAGTTAACACCAACAAATCAAGCCAGCAGTATCAAATTGAGCGAACAGTACTTGATTGCATTATTAATCCCCATATAAAAAATATGTGAAGCTATATGTTCTACAGAACAACTTTCTCAGTTCATAACCGTAATGCATAATCCGTTCCTTGAATTTGTATGAAACTGAAGAAAATATCTCACCATTTATCAATAGAATTTTCTTCACTACTGTCCATTCCCCTCCCGGTATCAAAGACAGAAATCCGATCACTAGAAACATCCACCCTGCACAAACGATTACATGAATTAAAGGATCACACTCAATTTTGGTCATCTAACCAACCTCTTATGACTAGTACAAACCTAATCAGTTTTCGTTCTCCGTCAGAAAGAGGCCATACAGCTTGCAAGGAATTGTCCTGTAAATTAAGAAACAGTAAATTTAGGATGATATCTAGACTAAACGAGAAAGTAAACAGATGCAGAACCTAATTTCGTCAACAGATCCAGAGAAATAATGTCAAAATGCGTAAAATTGTCACGTTTAATGGGAAATCCACAAGAACAATCCTAGAAGAGAAATTTTCAGTTTCTACTACAAAGATGAGAGATAGCGCATCAGTTAACAACAAGGCAGTGTGTACACTTTGAACCAACACTAAACACATACATTTTCCATCAGACATTCTATCTTTTCAGGTAAGTTTACTGAAACACTTACTATTAGATCCGCAAGAGCTGTCTCAAAGCTGTAATTTTCAGGTTGTTCTTTTAGAAGATCAGGATCAGGGGTCAAATCCCACAAGTTCTGCAAAAGAAAGAGTGTAACATCACACACCAGCCTAAGTAGACAAAGTTATAGCAAATCTATATTTTTTCAGAACAGTAATGCTGACCTCATACATGGTGGAAGTTGTACCAGAACCGTCCTGATCCAGAGAGAGAAGTTGAGACAGAGAGCATCAGAAAACAAGAAGAAGGAATTAGCTCAGAGATCTGGTAATTCTCTCAAAACAATATATGAACAGAACAAGAAAAAAAGAGGGTGCATCAAAACAAATTCGAAACCAATAGTCCACGACTGAAACAATAGCTGGATCAAATTTAAACAAAACAAGTGACGGAAAATAGAAACTCACATCAAGTCGAATGATATGGCACATGTTGGGCTTAAACACAGCAAAGCGAACCATTCCTTTCATCTTTTCACCATTTGTCTCAAGAAGAAACTTTCCACCCAAGTTCCACTCAATTCTGGTCCTCTTAGACATCAGCAGACAATCTTTCCGTGATTTCTCGTACTCCTCCTTCAACAGGTTGACAAACCTCTCCATTGGCATCTCAGGTCCGGGGTTATGAAGTGTGAGGCCCACACTGGTGCTGTTAGGTAAAAGGACCTTGAAACTGTAACTTGTATCTTCCTCGTCATCATCATCATCTAGAATTAATGCTCTCTTCAGTGGTCTCTTGTAGCTCATCTGAAACATGAAGACAGGATTCAACATGAAATTGAATAGCAATGAATTCCAGTCTAAAGGTTACAATGGAAGCTAAACATGGAAATAAGTTAAATCCTAAGAACAGCGAATGGCTAAAATATAGTTAGATCGCTATTGATGGATTCACAAGAGAGAGCCTACCAGAATTGCAATACAACTGATTCATCCATATACACAAGAAAGGCATTCATTGACTGGTTTTTTTTTGTGAATTTCAAATCAAGTTTGCAATTGTGTGATAAGATGCTTGTTGTCTTACAAGACAAGTAACTAAAAGCTACATAGACACACATACAAGGAGCTCAAAACACTATGAAACAGTTCAACACTTGCACTAAAACACAAAGCGTGTACACCTAAATGCATTAAACATAAGAATGTAACAAAAGGCCCAATTCTGAAGAAACGAAACTTGAAATAATGCAGACTAAGACTTTACCAATAACCCAATAGGAAAGGAATCAACTTCAAAACAAAAACAGCAGCAGTTTTAGTGAGAGAGACGCCAAAGGGAGAAGAAAAAGACAATCTTTATAATAAAGTAGTCGCATTTATATACACTGTAGTGGTAATTTGTACACATTGACATGGTCATTTAGGGATATGGAACAAGACAGAGATACAGTTGGGTATTTCCAAAACACAGTTAAATTTACTACATTCCAACCTAAGACAAGTAATTCTTACGGTTTGGTAGTCAATCAATTTCCGATCAAGCTCCGATTTTGAGAAAGATAACATTCAAAATCTCGCTGATCCTAAAAACCCAGAAACCCAGCAACAACACACAGAGTGAAAGAGAGAGTTAGAGAGAGAGATGTGAGAACAGTACCGTACCGTAGGTTCGCCGAGTGATTTCTCTCCGACAAAACCCAGCAAAAGCTCAGTCAAAAACCTGACAGAAGAAACAACAAGATGAGAGCGAATCAGAACGAAGAAGAGAAGAAACCAAAATCAGAACCATTTGGGTCAATACTCTACGATTTCGGTAAACGACTAAAGGTCAGATTTTTTTCCAAAAATTCTGCAAACTCGTCAAAAATCGTGGCTTGCGAGAAGTTTAGAGCATGAAGCACAAAACCCGGAATGAACAAAAATCAAAACTACGAACAAACAAAAAAAGTCCAGATTTTTCTCTGAGTTTGGCCGAAATCAAAAGATGTGAAAGAGAATGCAACAATCAAAAAAGCAATCAACTTTTTTCATCTCACTAATTTTTTCAGAAGAAACGATGGAGTGTTGATGAGAGATTTACCTCTAGAACGACTCTGTTTCTAAAACCTACAAAGAATGTGAGAGAGAGGAAGAAACAGTGAGAGAAGAGGAAGAGACAGTCAGAGAGAGAAGACGAAGAGAGAGAGATTGTAAAAGCTTCCGCCACACGCACTACTTATTTACACTCCCACACGTACACGTCATCACAAATCCTTCTTTTTATTTGTCGTCACATCACTTCCCCAAAACATGCTATGTACATTTACATCTACCTTTCAATTCTGAATTTGTTTTAAGTAAAAAAAAAAGTTAAAGAAGGACATAATCGTTATTATACATCTGACACTATTTATGTGTAATGTGTGTTTGGTATTCAAAATGTCTTTTTACTTTTTCTACACATAGTAATTTGAAATTTTGAATACAGCCACACATTACACTCAAATTTGTCTACACTCTACTCCATGATCAAATAAATACCTGAAAGACCTCCAAGAATTTCATTGGTTTAATTTTAAACTCTTCACAAAAACTTTGCATGTACCAAAAACGAATAGTAATTTTAAACAGAAATATACAAGGCTGGTTTGACCAGTTAACAGTTTATCTCCTTTCATATGTTAAAAGGAAGTAAACCGGTATAGTTCTTGTTTAATTCCATCAAATAGTGAATTAATACGGGTATGGTCTAAGCTAAACCAACCGAGCTTCTCCATGTAATCTCCCATAATGTCTCCGACAACGTATGAAATTCCGGAAGATGCAACAACAATAAAGGTGTAGTAAGCCGCAGATTTGAGATAAGATTTACGCGATCCACGTAAGCTAGGCTGTTTTCGGACATAGACCTTGATCATACAGAGTAAAATCACGCAAACCAGAGAAACCGAGAAAACCGACATGAGCTTGTAGTTCTTGATTCCGGTTACGTAGAAGGAAAATGCGTAAACCAATGGAGGAATTAGGCCGAAGAAAATGTAAGACAATACCGCTACTAAGATATGCATCCTGGAATTAGTACGTCTCCCTAACAGTTCATTGTATCGATCTTTCTCTTGATCTGAACTGTTTCTTAGATCTTGAAACTGCAAGAAAAAAAAACAGATCGAACCGGTTAAATACAGAAACTGTACAAGCAATTTATGGTACGATAAAACATTAAATTACGTTTTGAGCGAGGACGATGAGTCCACCAGCCAAATTTGCGACCGCAAGAGCCAATATATTCACTGAAACGATACAAATTGATCGTTATATGTTTATTTTTAAAAATAAGTACCAATCAGAAGATTAGCGATAAACTAGTTTTGCTTCTTTTTTTTTACTAATTAATAATCAAACATAAACGAAGATGGGTGACATACCGGTGGAGGAGCCGGAAGCTGAGGCGGAAGATACAACACCGAGACTGGTGATGGTTTCGGTGAGACCGCCGTAGACGGTGCTCTTCAACAACTCAACGGAGAATCTTTCTTGGTCCGGTTGATTTTGAGGCGGTGATTGTACGGTGTTACTACTCTTCCTCGCCTCTAAATGTCCTTCTTCTGTTCATAAGTACAGTTAGTGTGATGCATCTACAATTTGTTCCTTTGTATCTTCGTAAAAAAAATGTTGAATGTGTGACGTAAAATATTACATATGGTCTATACACTAACAATAGTATATTAAATTTTGTACGGATATGTGTGTATTTTACTATATTCGTATGCAGAATCAGCACCAATGTTTATTTTTGCATCTAAAATATTTTTGGATATACATCCGATACAAATACCAAGCTAGCCAAACGAACCATCATATATAGCGCATTTGCATAACAATGTTGCATCCAAACGGTCCGTAATTAATTATACTCAAGTATCCGAACAACGGAGCTAAGCCGATCAACATTATTAAACTATCAAGTTCTATGTTTCCAGTAGACCGTTCGTTTTCTAGATAAAGAATCAGTTTGTCTAGATCGGTTTAGGTTAGAGGACGAATTTATATTTTTGTTTCAGATTAAGATAACGTACCTGTTCATTCGATGTGTATAACAGAAAAAAAAAAAAAAAAAAAAAAAAAGATAACGTACCTGGCTCCTCAACCGGTTTTCCCCTGACAAAATCAGCATGCTTCCCACCTGTCCTTTCCCTGAGGATCACTGTTTTGGTGATACACGAGCTACAGCTTGGACAATAAATTTCGTAGTTTTCTTGTATCGCAAGCAACTTCTCTATATTTGACTTCTCTTCCGACTCTGATGATGATCTCACGCTGTTATCTTCTTCTTCTTCTTTTATCTCACCATCTTCTGCGTTTTGTGGTGTTTCGTTCTCTACATTTGGTAGGTTTGTGGAGCTCAATTCTGACCAATAATCACCGGTTTCTTCATTCGAACCCGGTTCATTGTTTGAACCGGTTTCGCTCATAATGGTCTCGAGTATCATTGGATCTGAAATGGAAGAAGATACCGATGCTGTGCTTTCATGAGCAGACTTGTTTCCTACGAGACCTATTTAGACCAAAATAAACGAGAAATTGGTCTACCGGGTTATACAGCATTGTGTCCAGTTACATAATTTGGGGTAATTTGGAAATTCTAAAAGTAGTAGACTCAATTGGAATTGAGGAGATTTAAAAGGTACCATAGTGGTAAAACATTAATGATTAAACAAAGACTAAATATGAAAATGACAAGTTGACTATACCTTGAGATCCATCATCGTCCTCTTCATCCTCCATCTTGGTGGTGTTGTCCGGCAGCGGGGCCGTCGCTTCCGCCTTGAAACGATTTTTTCCGGTGGGAACATTATCTTTACCAAATCTATAGGTCTCAAGAAGATCTATCAATAAATCTGCATCTACAATTTCACCATCCCCAAACCAACTTTCATCAGCTGCTGGTCGATCCAATTTTTCCATATCGAGCCAGTGTAATGAAATGGACAATGTTCTTACTTAAGAACTACCAAAGATATTGAGATATGAAGGAGATTTCAGTTTTGTGACCACCTTTTTTTTTGGTTGTTGAGATTTAAACACATTGGTGCCTTTTTTTTTAGTCCTCTCCAATCATCTTACCTTATACTTATACATAAATAATTCCCACGAGGGAAGCACGAGGCTTTAAATATTCGTTACTTTATCTATAACGATTGACTTCAAATTACTATTTACTTCTCTAGATTTTACTTCTAGATTTTGGTATTATGCACATGTTTGTTAATTTCAGAAACCATTTGTGTTATATGAGTTGATCCATATCATTTAAAATTTAATTATAGAGTATAGAGCTTTTTCTCCGGTAATGGTTAACATTTTCGCTACACTAACAAGTGCTATAACGGTAAAGCATTGAGTTTCCACAAACTAGTTCCATAAAATTCATGAACTCACTCACATTAATTTCGATAAGGATGTATGGTACGATGGTCAACTCTTAGCTAATCACTCATGAGGTCTTATTGTGACAGGCTTGTAAGCTGGTGTATTTAACTTTACTGATAGTTGGTAAGTCGTTTACTAATTAAGTCATAATCGACTTATGAAGGCCATTAACCAATGTTTCTTATCAATCCATTAAACTTTAGCCCATCCCAATAATCATATCTTTACTTTAGAGTTGGAACAGCCTCTCTCTATCACGGGTATCGCCCTCAAACTAGACCCCACTAGTTTCCACGTGGAAGAACGTGAGACTTCAAATTTACATGAAGTGTGATTAACGCGGGCTGTGATCTTTTACTTGTCCTTAATTTTCGCGCTTTTCTGATAGATTCTTGGGAGAATCAAAATACTAAAATATTGCATCCATCGGAAAAAAATCAATCGAATTTTAGGAAGCTTGTTGTAAATAAACAAGAAGGATTTCAAGTTCTAATTTTATTGGATCGTTTTTGCCTTGGGAACGAAATTGTTATAAGGAGTAAAAGATTAATAAATTAGATTATGTTTCAGTTTGTGAAGGATATTCCGAGGTTTTGTCCTAAAAAGATCTTAGATTTGTAGGAAAATAAATTAAAAAAAAAAAAACCGTCACAGAATAAAGACTAGTGTACACTGTGGTTTACTTTATAAAGTTTTGGAAGCATGTCGGCGAAGTTCGAAGGATTCTTTCCGTAGTAGATAGGCCACAGGTGGTTTCAATCCTCCCAAAGGAACCAGCCGAAACCGAAATCGAAATTTCCAAAAAATAAATCAGCATTGTTCAATTACTTTGGTTTTGATTTTGCTCTAAATCGGAAAAAAAAAACAAAAAAAAAAACTCTTCTCGTTCTTCAGTCGATCAATGGCGTCGCTTCAGATCAGCGGCTCCGTTAACTTCGAGCCACTCGTCGGATTGAACCGAACCGGCCATTTCCGTCCGATCGGTAGCCTCGGTTTCTCTCGTTTCCGTCCGAGATTCAGTAGCGGACGGCCGTTGTTGCTTCTCCGTTCTTCTTCCTTCTCCGGCGACAAAATCATTGCCTCTGGAGAGTCTAAAGGTGATGACAAAGGTTTCATCACAGAGGCACAGAGAGATGGCTCTGGCTCCGTTCTTGGGTTTCAGCTCAGTCCTCCTGGTACTTCCTCTTAAAATCCTTAATTTCTTTTCTTCACATTGTTTTATTCACTGTTGTGTATAATTTAGAGATTTTGTGATTGTTTTCAAATCAAGAACCTTTAATTTTTGAAATTTATGTAATGAAGATGAACAAGACGTTTCTCTTTTACAGGTGATCAAGAAATTTCCAAAACTAATATTACGCATCAAGAAGAGAAGAAAGAGGCCGTTAATGAGACAGAGATGGCAGATTTTGGTGTACCTGGAAACAGAGCTGTTGAGAAAGGAGCTGAGAAAGTCGGAGTCACGATCAACAAAGCTGAAGTAATCAACAACCTCGTTTTCGTGACGTCCGAGGCAGCTCCTTACTCGAAAACAGGAGGGCTAGGAGACGTCTGTGGCTCTTTGCCGATAGCTTTGGCTGTGCGTGGACACCGTGTAATGGTCGTCTCTCCTCGGTACCAGAATGGAACCGCTGCAGATGGTAACTACGCCCGGGCTAAGGATTTAGGGGTCCGTGTCACCGTTCAATGCTTTGGAGGCTCTCAAGAAGTTTCCTTCTATCATGAATACAGAGACGGTGTTGATTGGGTAAAACACCGTTGTGAATTAGTATTTAAAAACCATCGTTGCGTTACATGTCGATCTTTTTTAGTAAATGTTTTCACTTTTCAGGTTTTTGTTGATCACCAATCCTATCATAGACCTGGTAATCCATATGGAGATAGTAAAGGAGCCTTTGGTGATAATCAGGTACTGTTCTTGATGGAAAGAAAGAATTTGGTTTCAAAATGTAGTTTTTCTTTAAATTTTGTGAATGTTGTATTGTGGTCTACTAACAATGACTCTTTTTTTGTGTGATTACAGTTTCGGTTCACTTTACTTTGCCATGCAGCGTGTGAAGCTCCACTGGTGCTGCCTCTTGGAGGGTTCACTTACGGAGAGAAATCTCTCTTCCTTGTCAATGACTGGCATGCCGGACTTGTTCCCATGTAAAACCTTTTACATTTATACTTTAGGATTATCTTTGAGCATCAGCGCAGAATCTTGATTTGATTTTGTGTTTTGTTTTCTAGACTTTTGGCTGCAAAGTATCGCCCTTACGGAGTTTATAAGGATGCAAGAAGCATTCTCATTATACATAACCTTGCTCATCAGGTAAAAATCAAAAGCATTTGTGGTTTTAGTGTATAGTTATATATTTGGTGCAGTAGCCCTTTGTTAGCTTACCGTAATTTGTTAACTGTTTGTGTTGTGTATTTTCCATTTCATGATTCGGTTCTTTGACTAAACAGGGAGTGGAGCCAGCAGCTACTTACAGCAACTTGGGATTGCCTTCTGAATGGTATGGAGCGGTCGGGTGGGTGTTTCCAACATGGGCAAGAACTCATGCTCTTGACACTGGTGAAGCGGTTAATGTTCTCAAGGGTGCTATTGTGACCTCTGACCGTATCATCACTGTCAGCCAGGTGATGATTCTTAGTGACCACATTCACTAACTGTGTTAGAAGTTTGGTGAGTTGGAGTTCTGATTGGGAATTTTTTTCAGGGCTATGCATGGGAGATCACTACTGTGGAAGGTGGATATGGTCTGCAAGATTTGCTTTCTAGTCGAAAGAGTGTTATCAACGGTACTCTTCTTATAAACACTGTCTCTCTTTTATCACTTAAAAACATTTTTTTCTTAGCTGATAGTTTGTCCAATTCCCATGATGCTTTTTCAGGGATCACGAATGGAATCAATGTTGACGAGTGGGATCCGTCCACGGATGAACACATTCCTTTCCATTACTCTGTTGATGATTTCTCCGACAAGGTGATGTGAAGTTCTCTTGAGTGTCAAAATCTAGCAAATCCAGTGCTTTTGTTATGGTGAATTAACCTTTTTGTTTGTGACTGCTTTGGGAATTGTAGGTCAAATGCAAGATGGCACTACAAAAGGAACTGGGACTTCCCATTAGACCTGAATGTCCTATGGTGTGATTTCAAAACCTAAACTTTAGATTTTGTCTTATAATCAGCAGGCTCATGTATGTATCTTGTAATGTTGTTACAGATTGGGTTTATAGGAAGACTTGATTACCAGAAAGGGATTGATCTGATCCAAACCGCCGGTCCTGATCTAATGGTGGATGACATTCAATTCGTAAGTGAGTCTTTTGAGCGGATTAGACTGGAACTCAGTGCAAGTGACTGCTGTGATATGATACATTTTTGGCAGCTCCTATTGTTAGCACTAGCAGTTGTTTTCATACGTTTCTTAAGCCCTTGGCACATATTTGTGTCTTTGTCTGATCGATATGTTTTAATGTGGTTTGGTTTGTTGCAGGTAATGCTTGGTTCAGGTGACCCAAAATTTGAAAGTTGGATGAGGAGTATGGAGGAAACATACAGAGACAAGTTCCGCGGTTGGGTTGGCTTCAACGTTCCCATCTCTCACCGCATCACGGCCGGGTAATAATAATAAGAAATGATATACAGTGTCTCTATCTAGCTTAGACGTTAGTCAATCATCTCATTGGAAGTTTTTGTTTTAATGGAAATGATATAAACAGCTGTGACATTCTTCTGATGCCTTCAAGATTCGAGCCCTGTGGTTTAAATCAGTTGTACGCGATGAGATACGGTACCATTCCAGTCGTTCATGGCACAGGAGGACTTAGAGTGAGTTTTCTTTAAATCTTGAAGAACTCGGTGAAACACAAAAAAAACAAATTTTGTTTGAGAATCATAGAATGGTTTGAAGTAGTTATGGTTGATTGTTACTCATGTTTTCAGGATACAGTTGAGAATTTCAACCCTTATGCAGAAGGTGGAGCTGGTGCTGGTACAGGGTAATAAAAACACTCTGTTTTCATCAAGGAAATCTTTTTGATAGATCAAATAACCTCAAATGATCTCATGAATATTTTCTGCATTGTGTGTATGATTTGTTTCAGATGGGTGTTCTCTCCCTTGTCGAAAGATAGCATGGTTTCGGTAAGTTTTATCGAGCTTGCCCATTTCTGTGGTTTGTTTTGAAATGACCTTTGTTGTGTGGACATGGTTTTTTGTTACTTCAGGCCTTGAGGTTGGCTGCAGCAACGTACAGAGAGTATAAGGAGTCGTGGGAAGGATTGATGAGAAGAGGAATGAGCCGAAACTACTCTTGGGAAAACGCTGCCGTTCAGTATGAGCAAGTCTTCCAGTGGGTTTTCATGGACCCTCCCTACATCAAGTAGTTCCATCAACCAACCACAACACCACCGTTTCATCCCAACCAAACCGAATTGGATCGGATCAGACTGGACCTGACCAATCAGAGGAAGCAAAGGGCTCTTGTGGAACATCCTCTTTTAGTTCTTGAATAATCTATGATTTTCAACGTATCCACAATAGACCATGTATTTATGTTCTTATAAACTCTATGGATTTTTGTTTGGGGGAGGTATACAAGTTTAGTTATGAGTTTATAATTTGTTTCTTTCGTCGGTTCTGGGATCTGCTTTTCCCATTAAAGTTATATGAATTTGATGTTTATTATTAGAAAACCAATCACCATTTGATGGGAATGAGTACGAGAGCATTAAGTTACAAAGTTAGCAAGCTTACTCACACGTGTAATGTTTGCAAAAAGCCTTTCTTTCACTCATTCATTCAATAGATAGTTGACTTGACTTAGTCTACGACAGAGGCTTTTCTGTTATTATGAGAGTGCTTTTCTGTGGAAACTGGAAACAGAAGAAAAGACGTTCGTGTTTCTTATGCATGTCCTTGTCAACTATTTCTTTGTTTTCTTTTTCATAAAGGGAATAACTGGAACATAAAACAAATAAGGATCATGTTGTACTATTTCAGAACAAAGACGACTCGCAATCACCAACTTAACAGAAAACAAGTCTTATGGACTTGGTGTCTTAGTCCCACTCCTCACCATCATCAGACACCTTCGCGGCCGGCTCCAAATCCATCGTCTTTGTAATTGGTGATCTGGCCGATCCTCTCCGGGTCGTAAGTCCCTTTTGACGATTTCGCAAATGGCGATACAAGTTGAAAAAAAATCGTTTATCTAGTCATCCAATATTTTTCACTAGTTCCAAATCAAACTTTACCCTTTGAATTATGTGGTTGATCACCGACTAAACAACCAAAATATTACTACTAAGTTGTCCAAATTCCGCACAGAGAAGTAATGTGATTGTTCTCCAGTAATGATTCCGCCTTGGAAGCAGTTACAGTGGAAGAAAAAAAACAAATTTGCATAAAATCTTATACAAGAGGGTTCTAGTTATGAGATCATATTTATCCTCTCCGAGTGGTTCTATTATGAGGTTATAATTTGTTTATTCACCAATAATGAATTCATAACAAGCAAGAAATTAATAGTGAATAGATTTTTGGTACAAAAATGTCTATTGACCAACCATTTAGGGGGTGTGTTATTCAATCATAGTTTTTAATATAGTTTAAATCCAATCACAATCCATTATTTATTTTATTTTTTGGTCGGAACATTTAATTAAGGAGTTGAATAGATCATCTACAGTCTTATGTTATTCAAATTTAATAGATTTTGTTCAACTGATTTGAAATCACTTTCATGTGTAAATAAAAGCAATCAAAATCTAACATTTTACCTACAGATTTTGTAATCAGTTTCTTCTAATTATTCATTTCAATAATTATCACCATTAGTTAACCCATATAATACTACTTCCTCCACGAACCTTTCACCCTATCAAATGTTTTTTATTATTAAAAACTCAGATTTAACCAAAACCTTTTATATAAGAAATATTATACTTGGATCATATAGTAGGGAACATGAGATTTCATATTTTTATCAAATGTAAAAATATCAATTTTGCATTTTTTTTGGACATAAATCAGACTTTGCAAGCTCCATTAATGGAGATTTCCACTTTTCTCTCTTTTTTATTTTTACAGGAAATATTTATTTATTTATTTGTTGATTGTATTTGATTATGTTGTAGAAATCAAATCATATCATGTTGATTTTGTAAATACACTGCCACAGATTTTAAAATCTAATGATAATTCTCATACTATAGATTGTGAAATGAATAATGAATCATTGTAAATGAATCAAAATTTTGAAAATCTGATGTATTTCAAATTTGTTGGAGATGATTTCAATATATGAAACCAATTTAGTAATTTTTGTTACACTTAAATGTAGTACTTTATCAGAAATATTTTTTTCTTTAATAAAAGTGAAATGTATTACATTGCTCTTCAAAAGTGTGAGTAATACTGTATACACGATGTTTCAGTGTCAATAATTTCTAACTACAAAAATATTTATTTTCGTGACATTTTCAAAAGCTAGTAACATTCATTTATGATTTATGTTTGTCGTGGTAACGTTGAATTTAATTTTGACTTTGTACACAATTATTTCCAATTAAAGGAAAAAGAAAAGAAATGAAGAACAGATTAGAGCGAGCGTTACTCCGGAAATGAAGGGACAAAGGTGGGAAAGTGAGTGGGAATTTGAGGTTTGAGATACCAAACACGAACCCTTTTTCCTCACTTTCTTCCCTTAATTACTCTCTTCGTCGCTCCACATTCTCACTTTCGTGTTAAATTTTGCAAAAAAAACTTTTTTTTTTTTTTGTTGTTGGTCGTTTAAATCCCCATTTTTTCCAATTCACAAATATCAAATCTTTTTCATTTCGAGCAAAATAGCGGGAGCAGAGACAGAACCGAGAGAGGCTTTGGAGTGAGAATTCTCAGGTTAAATTTCTTGTATTCTTCTTCCAGTCCATTACTCCGTTATATCTGTTCTGTTATTCGTTCGTCTTGTCTGAAAATTCTGTTCAATATGTCGAAAGGTTGAGACTTTGGACGACGGTGTCTCTTTTCTGTTTTCTTAGAAACAATCGAAAATTTCGAAACTGGGTCTGCTCTTATGGTAGAAAAAGTTGAAGCTTCTCAATGTTCTTGATAAAGGGTCTTAGGTAATCTGGGCTTAGATTTTGGTCTGTTCACATGCCATGAAGAAAAGCTTTGCCGTTCTTGATTGTTAATGAGACCAAAACACTCTTAAGCTAATACTGATCTGTGGATTGTACTTGTTGTCTGTTTGTTATTCTTTATTAGATTAGTTAGCGTGTTGTTGTTACCTAAGACGTCCTCACAACCATAAAATCTTTGGTTTTAAATTCCTTAAAAAAGCTTTAAAATGCTTGATTCTCTGAGATCTGTGATCCAAAACCATGAGAATTTGAAACTAAAGATTTGGACTAATAGAATCCCCAAAGCACGAGTCTTGTGATTTCATACGATATAAAAGATTATGTGTAGGTGCTTCAGTTTCATTTTTGCTAGCAGTTTCAACAAATCAAATCAAATTACAATTGCAGGTGATGATATCATTTCATTACACAGTGAAAGAGAGAGCTCGATCCGAGAATCCGTTGTTAATCTTGAAATCAGAATGAGTGCAGCGGCTACGATGCCCATGCCGTCTAATTACGATGAGATCTCTATGCAGCAGAGCATGCTCTTCTCTGATAGTCCTAAGGTGGATTCTAAATCTTGAAGTTGAAATAATCTTTAGTGGATCTTGTCATCAATGCTAAAGTCTTCAAATTTTGTGACATTGACATGTTTGTTTCACAGGATCTGAAGAATCTGAGAACACAGTTGTACTCAGCAGCGGAGTATTTCGAACTATCCTACACAAACGATGAACAAAAACATATGTGAGTACTGAGTTTATTCCTCTCGCTACCTCCTTGTTCTAGTTCTCAATGATCCTAGCTTTTAGAGCTCAGATTGAGTCAGTGAGTTGTGTTTTATGCAGAGTGGTGGAGACACTGAAAGACTATGCGATAAAGGCTCTGGTGAATACAGTTGACCATTTGGGCTCTGTTACCTATAAAGTGAATGACTTTGTTGATGAAAAAGTCGATGAAGTAGCCGGAACCGAGCTTCGAGTATCTTGCATCGAACAGGTTATCTATTTTTATTCCTTATAAACTTGTCTTTTAAAATGGTCTTTTATGATCAATTTCTTGGGTGTCTTGCTGAGTTTTCTTATGTATAAATATGTATAGAGGCTAAAGATGTGCCAAGAGTATATGGATCATGAAGGTCGTTCTCAGCAATCACTCGTTATCGATACATCTTGCCTTGTAATAACTTCCTCTCTCTCTCTTCCACATGAAGTTGTAAGTTGTTGGACTCATTACTTCAAACTGTATTCTCTCTATCAGCTGGTGAAATCAAGAAAGGTGGCAACCTAGGAAAGCTCAAGAACTTTGAAAGTAGTAGTTTTGGTGAAGAAGATGACTGGAACCAATTCCGAAATGGTATAAATGACCACTTCTCATCTACTTGTCCAAGATTTAAGATTTCTTCCAAGTTTGATTCTTGATTTGATCTGTTTCTTGTTTCCTAAAGCTGTTCGTTCTACAATTCGGGAAACACCTCCACCGCCTGTTGTTAGGTAAACTCCGGTATCAGTATCAAGCTCCCTTGTTAACTTGACCGGAAAGTTTTAAACTTTCAGTTTTTCTTTTTGCAGAAAACCGATACTTCAGTCTCACAAGGTGTCTCTCTAAAACGCTGCGTTTGAGGTTTGAGCCAATGAGATTAATAAAAGGCCGAGAGCAAGGCCCAACCAAACAAAGCCCTCAGTTTAAACTTCATCTCTCCCTCCTTCCCTCTGCAACAGAAACAGAGAACTGTATTTTCGAAAAAGCTTCGAAGAGAGCTCAAATTGCGCCAAACGGAGAATCTCTATGATCGTTGAATACAAAGTAAGAAATATACATTCCTTTTCCTTTACTGTTGAATCGATACTCTGGATTTTGCTTTTCATCTCTGCCTCCTTCCCTCGGCAGTATTTTCGGAAAAGCTTCGAAGAGAGCTCAAATTGCGCCAAACGGAGAATCTCTCGATCGTGAATACAAAGTAAGAAAATCTATACTCCTTTGCTATTGAATCGATACTCTGGATTTTGCTTTTCATTTCTCGTTTTGTTATTTCTGGGAATATTTGAGCTAGATTTGGATTGAAAATTTGATTTTCCTATTATAGATGTCAGATAAAGAGAAAGCTCTAGCTCTTGTGTATGTTGAGGATTTCAACGAGAGTATGGAAGATTGTATTCGTGAGCACCCGGAAGACGACACTTATATTAGATTAATGAGAGGGTATATGCATTGCGTTTCCAATTTCTACTCCGAAGAAGACATGATCAAATACATGAAGGAAACTCATCAAGCTGAAAAAGAAGACGTGGGACAAGTCTTGAAAGCTGTGAGGAGTTGTGAAGGAGGCAAAGTTTACCTCAGGTATACATCAGCACTGAGATCCACTAACAAACCGACTGAAGACACTATGGACATCAAGACTGAGAAAATCAAGAGCTCAAGTCAAGGCAAAGGCAAAAGAGGCAAAGGCAAGCCATATGTGGGGAGCCCTGAGGCGTCCGTTAGATCCGATGAAGACACTATGGGCAAGATTGAGCAAACAGATGACAGAGTCAAAGGCAAGGCAGAGGTGGGGATTGAAGTTAGTGAAACTCCCAATCTGCCTGAGGAATCCATTAGATCCGATGTAGCTATGGCTGAAGACACTATGGGCAAGATTGAGCAAGATGTACCGACAATCGAGAAGGTAATATATGCCTCCCCTATTTAGCTAGCATTGGTATATACAGTAATATGTTCATTCACTGACTTCTGCAGATTCTCCTGCAGATACTGAAAAGTCATGCTGATGCTCTAATGGGATGTTTAACAGAGGGAAATGAGGAAATGCGCTGCAAACAAGGTGAGGACATTTTGAAAGTCTTGACCAAGGAATTATATGCCATGTTTGATGGAGCCACGGAGTCGTACAAAACTCTGAAGAAGGAGAATGGGTTTGCATCTGGAGGGAACAAAGAGAACGAGAAGAAGCTACTTGCGACCCTCTCTGGTATTGGTAATAGTTCAATAGAAGGATACAGAGTTGGTAAACTGTTAGTCTCAAACAAGGAGATTGCTAAAGGGAGCAATGGAACTGCTGTGCTTGAGGGATTCTATGAAGTTCTTGTAGCGGTTAAGCGTCTAGTACGAACAGATGATGATGTGGCTCAGAAGGAGATTTTGGAGATTTCGAATGCCATGGCTTCCGTCAGACATGAAAATATTGTCCGTTGGTACGGGGTTGAACAGGATGAGCGTTTCATCTATATTTCACTGGAACGGTGTGATTGTAGCTTAGGCGATCTCATACGCCAATCCTCTGCACTGCTTGACAATCCAACGGCTTCAAGTAGTACACATTCGGCTCAGACAAATCAAATCCTTGATGATGTCAAAGAAGTTCAACTATGGAAAGATACTACTCTACACCCTTCTCCTGTTTTGTTGAAGTTAATGAGGTTTGTTTTAGTTTTCTTCTCATCTCTTCGAAAGTTGAAACCAAAAAACTTGCATCATCTTTCTGATATTTGTATGTTTTGTGTTACAGGGATGTAGTTGCTGGTCTAGCTCACTTGCATGATAAAGGAATCGAACACAGAGATCTAAACCCTCAAAATGTGTTGATTGTTAAAGCCTCATCTCTATGTGCAAAGCTATCCATCTCTATGGGTATAAGCAAGCCTGTGACTGGAGCTGGTGATCTCTTCAGTTTGGGGTGTGTTCTCTTCTTCTGTATGACTGGAGGCAAACAGCCTTACGGAGACAACTTCGGAGAGGGACACAAACAGTACAGATTTCTTCTTGATCGAGTCTCTTCCTGAAGCTGTTCATCTTCTCTCTGGTCTCCTTCACCCTGATCCAGATTCGAGACCTGGAGCACAAAAAGTCCTGCTCCATCCTTTGTTCTGGAATTCACACACCAGACTCTCTTTCCTCAAAGATGCCAGCGATAGGTTGGACATTGAAAAGAGAGAAGAGTCAGATCTCTTGGCTGCCGTTGAGGGCACATCAGCAGCGGTTACTCTAAAGGTGAATTGGGATAAGAAACTGGATTCCATATTTCTAAATGACATCGTGAGTTACAGGCCGTACAGGTATGACAGCATCAAAGAGTTGTTGCGGGCCATAAGGAATCCGATGAACCACTATATAGCGCTTTCTAAAGAAGTAAAGGAACTTATTGGGAGTTTACCTGAAGGGTGTGATATGTACTTCTCAAGCAAGTTCCCAAAACTGCTGATTGAGGTCTATCAGGTTTTACTTTCTTACTGTTACGATGAAGACTTATTCTCGAAGTATTTTAAGACCCCTGCATAGTGCATTGTAAAGTTTGTTTCTCTTTGTATCACAGATTTGTAATAAACAGCTCGTCATCTTCCATGTGGAGATCTATACTAATATGAATACGATGATCACTATTCACTACTCTTGTGATAAAATGAGTTTTTTTTCAGTTTGAACTTATGAAATTTGAATAATGTATTACAAACACACCACACAATAATGTATCACTATACAAAGCGCTGGCTGCTTTTGTCTGTTTATTGGCATTTTTCTGTTACATAATGTGTATGCTTCTGTGAATTTTTGTATACGGTATTGTCAAAATGTGAATGCAATATTTTCTTACAAATTTATTGAAAATATACAAGAAGTCAAGAATAGCGACTAGGAGATAAAGCTTTCAAGGTTATAAGATTAACTGGGAATATTGTTTTCTGTTCTGTACAAGATCTGAGAGGTCTTTTGTGGGTAGACGAAAAGAGTGGAGAGTACGTTGTTGTGTGGCAATTTGAATATCACACTTTTTTAGGGCTTTGCAAGAAAGGGGATGATCATTACCGTGAGATTAAGACATGGGTCTGTGATCGCTTGGAGTTACAAGGCCTATCTGATATGGTACTCAAAGGTTATAGTCTTTACTTCCTTACGAGCCGTAACTACATTCGACAACTGGATTTGTCTGGACGATATGGTTTCTAGGATGTGTCGGAGAAGCATTGGTTTCCAATGTGGACGCACGATCCGAGTACTCAGAGTAGGGGTGAATATGAAAGACTCGGAGCAAAAAGTTTAATCTCAAGTAACCGGAGCATCGCTGTGACAACATCAGGAGAGATTTTGTATGTCCATAACAAAGATTACGAGACATCAAACTTTCAAAGGAACAGAATGTTTTACGTGTACAAGAGGGTTACAAAAGATCTAGATGACCCGAGTACCTACGACACAAGGCTTGTGGAGTTAGATTCTCTTGGTGATGAAGCCCTGTTTCTTGATTTGGGTATCACCGTGAACGTGGCTGCTGACCATACACTTGGTATCGAGCCAAACTCTATCTATTTCACACGTAGTGATCGTGTCCGTTACATGAGAAATTCATGCCTCGATATATGTGTGTACAATCTTGCAACAAGGACCATCAAACGCTTCCCTGATCTCTTTCTCTCCAACTTGAACGTTAGGGATGCTCAGTGGTTTCTCCCCTCTTGATTTGTTGAGAGATTCTCTTGCTATGGTTTCTCACTAGGTGACGCTCCTTGCTTTGTTTCTTTCTGCTGCATTATGGACGGTGTTGTTGAGACATTTCCAAAATCAGCTTTTATTTTATTTTATATACATATAATAAGCTCTAAACATTGTCAGTCTAGATGTATCTTAAGACTTTATGTTCCAAATTTCAAGAAACATAGCAAGGTTATCATTATTACCTCTCTGGTAGCTGTTGTTCAGTTTCTCTTTACAATGCTCCAGCCTCCAAGCATAGACAAAAGATTTTAAAAAGAAAGAAAGCACTAACAACATATAATCTCAGAAGGTAAATACAAATAAAACAGAATTAAAACAACCGAACCTAAACATATATACACTGTTGAACTATAATCAAATCTTGCATAAGTTAGTTCTACATTCACATTCGTTAGTTACTTTGCATAAGTTAGGTCTACATTCACATTAGTTGGTTACTTGATCGAGAGGCACAAATACTCTAGTTAGTTTTAAGGTTCTCTCTTTTTAGATTAAGAGTTGTGTTCTTTCGTTTACACATTTTATGTATAAGTACTCTAGTTAGAATCATTTGTCGTGTGTGACAAGAAAATAGAGTTGTAATACATTTTTACAAGTTATCAATAAAGATCAAGTTACAACCATTGTTCTTACTCTGTTTTTTTTCTTTCAAACTCGAAACACATAAACACTTCAACATACACAAGATGGAAGGAAATATTTTTACAAAATACAATGAAGAAGAAAAAAAACATGGAAACTCCTAAATACGTTTTTATTTTATTTTTGTAGGTGTCAATTAGATAAGAGAGAGATAGGATTAAATTAATTAGGTAAAATTTATTAAGGATGAAAATGATTATGATTTTTAATTCAAATATAGTTTTATGATCTATTAAATATTTTTAGATATGAAGTATAATCTGTATACAATTAATATGAGATCGGTTATATCAAAAAGATGGGGTAAAATCTGAATAAGAAATATTAGAGGTCATATGAGTTATGTTTTTATAATAGTGGGTCATATTTGATACTCACAAAAAAAAAATAGTGGGTCATATTTGATAGTTTTTTTCAATAAAAAAGATACACAATGGAAATATTTTAACGAAGTCGTAGAATCACGGAAAAGACGTTTCCTCCAACCAACAACCATGAAGAAGAAGACTCCAAATTCCTCCTGCCGCTGGTCGGAGCTCCCGATGGACATGTTGAGACAAGTGTTGGAACGTTTGCATTTTCTGGATTTCCACCGCGCTAAGATCGTTTGTTCGAGTTGGTATTCGTGCTCGAAACAATCGGTGCGGCCAAAATGCGGATCTCCGTTGCTGATGCTGTCTCTAGAAGAGGGTGGTTGCGTGCTGTACAATCCAGACGAAGATAGGGTTTACGAGACCACGACGCGTGACTTTTCAGGGTATCGATTCCTGGCAAACTCGGGTAAGTGGTTCCTGGCCGTAGACTCTCATCGAAGCTCGTTATTGTAGATGTGTTTAGCGAGGAGAGGATCGGACTCCCTCCTCTGGAGTCACTCAAGGGTGAGCGTTTTAAGGTTGAGGTAGCAGGAGATAAGAAATTCAATGTTAGTTTAATCGAGGATACTTCTAGGATTGTTCAAGATGTGGAAGATCTGAGGGGTCTTTTGTGGGTAGACGACAAGAATGGAGACTACGTTGTTGTGTGGCAATTTGAATGTGACGAGTTTGTAGGGTATTGCAAGAAAGAGATGGTCATTACCGTGAGATTAACACACGGGTCGGTCCTCGCTTGGAGTTACAAGGCCTACGTGATATGGTACTCAAAGGTTACAGCCTTTACGTCCTCACGAAACGTGACTACATTCGACACCTGGATTTGTCTGGAGAAGATGGTTTCAAGGATGTGTCCGAGAACCACAGGTTGCCAAGGTGGGAGCCAAATCGGAGTATGAAAGACTCAGAGCGATTAAGGTCACCTCAAGGAGCGATAGTATTGTTGTGAAAACATCAGGAGAGGTTTTGTATGTCCATAGCAGATCTTACGAGACGTCGACCTTGGAAAGGCCTAGGACGTTCCGAGTGTTCAAGAGGGATCCTAAACAGGTACACCCGAGTACCAACGACGACACGCTTGCTGAGGTAGATTCTCTTGGTGATGAAGCCCTGTTTCTTGATTTGGGTATCACCGTGAAAGTGGCTGCTGATCACATTGGTATTGAGCCAAACTCCATCTATTTCACGCGTGGTGACCGTATCCGTCACAATAATGTTTCATGCCTCGACATGTGTGTGTACAATCTTGCAACAAAGAACATCAACCGCTTCCATGTCTCTCCAACTTGGAAGTCAAGGATGCTCAGTGGTTTCTCCCTTCTTGAGAGATTAATTCTCTTGCTTTTTTTTTTCTTTCTGATGCATTTTTGTGTTGTTGAGACATTTCTAGACTTTATTTTCTTTTGTTCTAAAATTTATATGGCATTGTCAGTGTTTATATATCTTTTGATTTGTGTTCCAAATTTCAAAATCATCACACTTGTTCGAAGCATTGGTAAAGAGTTAGAAACTTTTTATGCATTTGTGAACGGGAAGATAGACTCCGGTAGCTGTTGCTCTGATATGACTTAGGTTACAATGCTGATGCTCCAAGCTAACTAGACTGTTAATAAAAACAATACTAACAAAATAAAACATAACTAAAACAACCGAAGCTAAACCCATGAAAAAGATGGGAGGAAATATTTATAGCTTTTTTTATAATAGTGTATATTGATAGGTTTATAAAACTACAATCATGGAATCCAAAATACGTTTATTTTTTTATTGTTTTTTTTTGTAGCTTTCAATTTAGCTAAGAAAATGACAGGATAAATTAGGTAGTATATTTAGGATAATGATGATTATGATTTTTAATCAAGATAAAGTTTTAACTTGATTCAGGTGACCCAAAATTTGAAAGTTGGATGAGGGAGTATGGAGGAAACATACAGAGACAAGTTCCGCGGTTGGGTTGGTTTCAACGTTCCCATCTCTCATCGCATCATGGCCGGGTAATAATAATAAGAAAATATATACAGTGTCTCTATCTAGCTTAGACGTTAGTCAATCATCTCATTGGAATTTTTTGTTTTAATGGAAATCATATAAACAGCTGTGACATTCTTCTGATGCCTTCAAGATTCGAGCCCTGTGGTTTAAATCAATTATACGCAAGTAGTCAATCTATTCCCTGCGTTTCAAAATTGCGGATTATGCTTCAGACGGAACGTTTCTGGTCTAGAGACCGAAGAGATTCTTGAGCAAATCAGCAGTGTTTGGAGGAATCCTCACAGGTGGTCGGGGAGCCATAAAGTTGACCATCTTCTCATGAACATTATACCTGTTTCGTTTTTTCACACAATAATTGAATACGGAACAATACAGTCAAGTCAAGTACCCTGGAACAACTCCTCAGAAAAGGGAATACAAATTAACCTACATGCAATCAAAAAGAGGAGTGAGCTCGACTCCATTCATTATTCTACCAAGCAGGATGACTTAAAGCAACATAAGACTGCAATCGGCAATATTTTAGTAACACTTAAATATGAGAGTGTAGCTCCGAGTTTAACACGGCCACCTTCTTGAAAGAGAAAGGACGGCCAAGATCATTGACTCAGTAGCCCAAATGATACTAACAAGTTTCCCAAAGATTTGTTTTATTTCATTTATCAAGAGAAACCATTTTAACCAACCGGTAAAATTTTCAGAACATAAAACAAATAAGGATCATGTTGTTACTATTTCAGAACAAAGAGGACTCGCAATCACCGACTTAACAGAAAACAAGTCTTATGGACTTGGTGTCTTAGTCCCACTCCTCACCATCATCAGACACCTTCGCGGCCGGCTCCAAATCCACCGTCTTCCTAACACGGTGATCTCGCCGATCCTCTCCGGCTTCTTAAGTCCCTTTTGACGATTTCGGAAATGGCGATACAAGCTTCCCTGTTGGAGACTAGCTTATCCTTATTATCAGGCACCTTCGCCGCCGGCTCCAAATCCACCGTCTTCGTAACGGTGATCTCGCCGATCCTCTCCCGCTCGCAAGTCTTTTTGATGATTTCCATAATGGCGATGCAAGATTCCCTGTTGGAGACACGCCTATCCTCATTCCGATTCTTGTCCACCGCCTTGGATGCACTGGGAGACGATGCCATGAGTGCCCGTTACGGTGGAAGACAAATGAAAACCCTAGACAAGACTGATCTGGTTTTATCCAATTACATCGTTGTTATCCGAACCAAACCGAGTTGGACCCGGCCTGACCAATCAGTGGAAAAAAGGCTCCTCTTCCGTTCCGGTTATCGAAAATCTATGGTTCTCAACGACATATCCACAATAAACCGTGTATTTAGCTACTTCTTATAAATTCGACGAGTTTTGTTTATAGAATTTTAAGGGGGGTATTGGATTCTAGAATTTAATAGAATCCAAAAGAATTGAATTCAAGAGAAAAGTAACGTCTTTTAATAGAATCCAAAAGTAGCGTTAATGATTTGATGAGCAATCAAATGGATTTGTCTGAATTCTTATGATGACTTTTTCTCTAGATTTTAAAAGTTAGTTATGAGGCTATAAATTGTTATTTTTGTCGGTTCTGGTTATCTGCTTTTCCCATTCAAATTATACAAATTTGATGTTTATTTATGAGAAAAGCAATGGGTTTTGTGCACAATCAATCACCAATGATGAATTCATAACAACCTAACTTGGTCGGCTCGACTCCTTGGTGATTGACATGAGAATGAGTAGGAGAGCAGTAAGCAACATACAAATGAAAGAAACGTAAAATATGATTTGAAGTCCACTAGACGTGCTTACCTTATTCATTCCAAAACCGAATATATCATTGATTCTGACCAACAAAACAAAAAGTATTGCATGATCATCATTTTGTTATAATAATTTTATATGGTTAACATCTGTGAATTGATCATCTCGTGTTGGTCTCATAGAATGTGCATGAATCGTGTAAAGTTGTCTGTTAATTATTGATAACTAGTAACCGAATAATAACTGGTTTAGAAAAGAGTCCAAAAACTGTCTCTTAGTTCTTAGGATAGGTCTCTTAATTATTGTTTGTTTAATTTTGTGTAAAATTATAATGTTGCGTTGAAAACGTAATCGTTCGAGCACGCACGAACCTAACTCTCAATAATTATCATCTAAGAAGAATATTATAATTGTAGTTCACATTCAAAAAGGTTTCCTAAAGTTGACCAACCAGTTCACATAGAAAAGTGTCTATGTCTCTATGACATGGACTATGTTGGTTTACTCTGTTTTTCTTTTACCTAACAAGAAATTTGATAGTGAATTCTGGTACAAAAATGTCTATTGACCAACCATTTAGTAATTTTTTGTTACAATTAGAATGTAGTACTTTATCAGAAATATAATTTTCTTTAACAAAATGAAATGTATTACATTGTTCTTCAAAGTACTTTGAGTATACACAATGTTTCAGTGTCAATTTTTATGTTTGTCGTGGTAACGTTGAATTTAATTTTGACTTTCCGATAGTTGTAAACATTTATTTTCAATTTAAAAAGAAAAGAAAAAGAAATGAAGAACATATTAGAGCGAGCGTTACTCCGGAAATGAAGGGACAAAGGTGGGCAAGTGAGTGGAAATTGAGGTTTGAGATACCAAACACGAACCCTTTTTCCTCACTTTCTTCCCTTAAATTACTCTCTTCTTCGCTCCACATTCTCACTTTCCTCTTTGGTCGTACTCATACGTGTTAAATTTTGCAAAAAGCCTCTTCTTTTCTTTTTCTTTTTGCTGGTCGTTTAAATCCTCTTTTTTTTTTTTTTCCAATTCACAAATATCCATTCTTTTAATTTCGAGCAAAATAGCGGGAGCAGAGAGAGGCTTTGGATTGTGTGAAATATCTCAGGTTGATTTCTTGTATTCTTCTTCCAGTCCCATTTATCTGTTTTGTTCTCGTTCGTCTTGTCTGAAAATTCAGTTAAATATGTTAAATATTCAGTCCCATTTTTTCCAATTCACAAATATCAAATCTTTTTCATTTCGAGCAAAATAGCGGGAGCAGAGACAGAACCGAGAGAGGCTTTGGAGTGAGAATTCTCAGGTTAAATTTCTTGTATTCTTCTTCGAGTCCCATTATCTGTTTTGTTCTCGTTCGTCTTGTCTGAAAATTCAGTTAAATATGTTGAAAGGTTGAGACTTTGGACGACTGTGTCTCTTTTCTGTTTTCTTAGTCAAAAACCATCTCCAGGATATAATCGGTAAATTCGAAATTGGGTCTGTTCAGGGTCTTAGGTAATCTGGGTTTTGATTTTGGGTTTGTGTCTGTTCTGTTCATATGCCATCGAGAGAACCTTTTGCAGTTCTTGATTGTTAATGAGACAAACACACTCTTAAGCTAATACTGATCTGGGTTGGTTGAAATTTGAAAATTCTAGTTCTTCAATTTTAAATTTAATCTGTAAACAATTGAAGCTTTTCTTACGGCGGTTTTGTTTTGTTTTGGCTTTTAACCAATAAGTAGGTTCCTGTAGATTTGCCAGTATTGTTGAAGATTCAGACAGAATCTGTTTGTTTCTGATCAGACTGTTTGGTTGCTTTGGAGCTGTGGATTGTACTTGTTGTCTGTTTGTTGTTCTTTATTAGATTAGTTAGCGTTACCTAAGACATCCTCAGAACCATAAAATCTTTGGTTTTAAATTCCTTAAAAAAAGCTTTAAAATGTTACATTCTCTTAAATCAGAATGAGTGCAGCGGCTACGATGCCCATGCCGTCTAATTACGATGAGATCTCTATGCAGCAGAGCATGCTCTTCTCTGATAGTCTTAAGGTAGATTCTAAATCTTCAAGGTGAAATAATCTTTAGTGGATCTTGTCATCAATCCTAAAGTCTTCAAATTTTGTGACATGACGTGGTTGTTTCACAGGATCTGAAGAATCTGAGAACACAATTGTACTCAGCAGCGGAGTATTTCGAACTATCCTACACAAACGATGAACAAAAACACATGTGAGTGAGTTTATTCCTCTCGCTATACTCCTTGTTTTACACCTCAGATTGAGTCAGTGAGTTGTGTTTTATGCAGAGTGGTGGAGACACTGAAAGATTATGCGATAAAGGCTCTGGTGAATACAGTTGACCATTTGGGCTCTGTTACGTATAAAGTGAATGACTTTGTTGATGAAAAAGTCGATGAAGTAGCTGGAACCGAGCTACGAGTATCTTGCATTGAACAGGTTTATCAATCATTCCTCATAAATTTGTCTTTAATATGGTTGATCAATTTCTTGTTTGGCTTGCTGAGTTTTCTTATGTATAAATATGTATAGAGGCTAAGGATGTGCCAAGAGTATATGGATCATGAAGGTCGTTCTCAGCAATCACTCGTTATCGACACTCCAAAGTTCCACAAGCGTTACATCTTGCCTTGTAAGTCTCTCTCGCTCTCTTCCACATGAAGTTGTAAGTTGTTGGACTCATTACTTAAAACTGTATTCTCTATCAGCTGGTGAGATCAAGAAAGGTGGCAACCTAGGAAAGCTCAAGAGTTTTGAAAGTAGTATTGGTGATGAAGAAGACTGGAACCAGTTCCGAAATGGTACAAATGACCACTTCTCATCTATTTGTCCAAGATTTAAGATTTCTTCCAAAGTTCCAAACCTGATTCTTGACTTGATCTGTTTCTTGTTTCCTAAAGCTGTTCGTTCTACAATTCGGGAAACACCTCCACCGCCTGTTAGGTAAGCTCTAGTATCAATATCAAGCTCCCTTGTTAACTTGACCGGAAAGTTTTAAACTTTTAGTTTTGTCTCTTGCAGAAAACCGATACTTCAGTCTCCGCCTTCACGGAAACCTCAACGTTCAGCAACATTTTCGTTCTCTTCTATCTCCACGGCACCAAAGAAAGAACAAGGTAAACGAAAAAACAGCTTTTTAGCTTGAAACTCTGTTTTGGGCTTTAATGAGAATACAAAACCTTAATATGATTGTGTGTTTGGTAAAGCAGATAAGCGAGCAGTATCACCGCATCGGTTTCCTCTGCTAAGATCCGGTTCGGTTGCTATCCGACCGTCATCGATCAGCCGGCCAACAACCCCGACCAAGACTAGATCAATAACTCCTAAACGGGTAAGCTTCGGTATTGGTTACATTTCAATCACTCTCTTAGGCTCTCAATCGATCATCACCGGTTTTGATATATTGGTTTTTTTGTACGTTTTCAGTATCCTTCAGAACCGAAAAGATCGGCTTCGGTTCGGGTTGCGTTTGAGAAAGAAGCACAGAGAGAACCAGAGCAGCAGCAACAACAACCAAGCAAAAGCAAACGGCTGCTTAAGGCGTTGCTTAGCCGACGCAAAACCAAGAAGGACGATACGCTCTACACTTACTTGGACGAATATTGATACAGAGGCTCTGGCTGGTTTTGTCTCTTTATTGGCATTTTTCTGTTACATAATGTGTATGCTTCTGTGACTTTTTGTATACGGTATTGTCAAAATGTGAATGCAATATTTTCTTACAAATTTATTGAAAATATACAAGAAGTCAAGAATAGCGCTGAACGAATTAGACGATGCATTAGTTTTTTTACAGCCCTTCAAACAAAATTTCAGTATTTATTTGTTTTTGTATCATGCTTTACAGTATGATGTTTCTGATGTATTAGTTACAAAATACGAATACTACATTAGTTTGAAACATAAACTTTATTATCACCAAGAATGAAGGCAATTATACAAGCGATAAACAAAGAAAAACACAGTTATTACTTTAGAAGACATAAAAAGAGAAACTCGAATCAAGTCTTAAAACATTCCACATCGCTTAAAAACATAAAACCATCATCATGACATGCCATTCCAATAAAATGACACCAACTTACGAATCTTCTCCACCACCGATGCTCATCACTTAATGGTTTAGATACCGGTTTGGGACTCGTCTTGTCTAGCTTTCTTTGGTGGTGGTGGAGGCGGTGATCTCTCGTAAAACTCGGCACCAAGTGATCGGTGAGAAGAAGGAAGAGAAGCTTGATCACGAGAATCATCGAAATAAGAGGATATTGGTGTGTTGTTATCGGCCTGAGTGTCAAGAAGTTTCCTGTTGGTTTGAGCCTGCACGATCGTGATGATCATTATAGCAAGGAGAATGCAACATTTCAAGAGATGATTCCGAGAAGCCATTTTTTATTTTCCGGTGATCGACAGAGTTTTCTTTGCTCACCAATGATGTGATGATGTCTATGTATAGCTCATAAATCATAATAGAGGGTTCCCACTAACTATTAGTACCAGATTTTTTTTAAGATTGTTTGTTAATAATTTATGATCAAAAATACTGAAAGCAGCTTTGTAATCCAGACTAGTAACAAAACGAATGCAATATTTTTTACAAAAATAATATCAGCTCACACAATGTTATATCAAACCAAACCGAGAAAATTACTAAAGGTTTGGTTACTTTCGGTTATATTAACCAAATTTGTATGTACATTTTTTACAGAAGAAAATCGATAACCGGTTTTTCATTCAGTTGGTTAGGTTTCTGAAATATGGAAGGATATATCTGGACAAAGTAGAATCACGGAAGAAACGTTTCCTGTAACAAACCATGAAGAATAAGATTTCAGATTCCTGCCGCTGGTCGGAGCTAGCTCCCGATGGACATCTGGAGAAAACTGTTGGAACGTTTGAATTTTCTTGATTTACTTTCACCTTTTTAAATCTTCAACTTGATCTTTATTACTACTACTTGTAAAGTTGTAATCAACATATATTATTGTAGTAGACTTTAAAAATCGTGTAAGTTGTTGATATGTCATGTTTCATGTAAGTTGTTGATATACGTCAAAATACTTGGTTGGTGAAATTAGAAAGCATAACTGCAAATTATCGATGTAATAATGATAGCCTAATTAATGATGAGATTATAAATACTATTGAATCTAGTAGGAAATATTTAATTTAGAAAACCCACTAAAAAAGACGATAGTTATCAACTTATTATAAACTTACATCAATTTTTAATTAATTTTCATATGTCAAGAATGTTTTCAAAATTATATATCAACGCACCGAGCATAAAGTTGCCTCCCACCTTCTTTCTAATATTTACTCATATTTTGTACAAATCCAAACCCAAAACATCCAAAAGCAGCACATCGCCGAAAGTTATGTCACCGACAAACTCAGTTATCTTTATCTCCTCGTCGTCGCAGCCGTATTTCTTGTCACAAACTTGTCCGTCGATCCTTTAGTCTACTACCATTACTGCTGGGAACCAAAGTACTCTCCCGGAACACGGCAACCAAAGTACTTTTCCGCATCGTGTTCCGAGTCAAACGTAAACTCGCTACTCAACTTGTTCGTAAAATCAGCCGCTTTCTACACATACAACAATTTCACCGTCAACGGACTCTACGGATTGTACCAGTGCAGCGGCGGTGATGATATCTCCTCCGGTGATTGCCTTAGCTGCGTCGATCAAGCTGTTCGCCGGCTCCAAAGTCACAGCGTAGGCGCGTGCAACTGCGCGTTGCAGCTCGAAAGCTGTTTAGTGAAGTACGACAACGTTATGTTCTTCGGCTTGCCGGATAAGACGGCGATGTTAACATATTGCGGCGGGAGATCGTATAACTTGGACGAGTCGACTCTGATCAACGAGCTGGTGTCTTCTTTAGTGGTTGGAAGTAGCGGTTCATCCTACAGAACGGGAACGTCAGGGGAAGCGCAAGCTGTAGCGCAGTGCACCAAAGATCTCAATGAGAGCGATTGTCAAGACTGTTTGACAGAAGCCATGCAACGGCTGAAACGTATGCCAATTTGCAGTACAGGCACTTGGGGTGACGTGTACTTAGCCAAGTGCTACTTGGGTTACTCGTCGCGTGGCGCCACCGGCCAAGGTAAAAGCCTTCGATTCTCTGCCATCCGCTGCTTTTGTTTCTTATTTGTGTTTATCTTAATTAATTAGTTAATTAGTACTGCATCAGTACTTCACTACTATGTATATGATGCGAAAATTAATTAAATTATTATTTTTAACAAAAATAATCGAAAATATCTTATTATATAAAGCTGGATGCGCGTGACGTGGTTGCGACACGTAGGATTTTTATAAAATTTAGGATTGCGACATGTGTCACTTTTAATGTTATGTCCGTTAAGATCGTGACATGTGTCTTAGAAAAAAAGAAAAAAATAATAATTAAAAAAATTAGATAAAGGAAAAAAACGAAATTTTAATCTTTTATAGTTAAAAGAAAAAAAAATTATATTTGTCATATCCTAATAGAAAAAGGTTTCTCATTCATCAAATTTATATTATCCAAACACATATAAGATTCAAATTAATGAAATAAATAAAATCCTATTAGTACATGAAATAGGTTAGGTTTAGTTAATCTTTTATAGTTAAAAGAAAAAAAAATTATATTTGTCATATCCTAATAGAAAAAGGTTTCTCATTCATCAAATTTATATTATCCAAACACATATAAGATTCAAATTAATGAAATAAATAAAATCCTATTAGTACATGAAATAGGTTAGGTAAACTAAATTTCCTATAACTGCATGGAATAAGTTACATGAACCCCTATAAAAAGAGAGTTAAAGTAGTCTTTTTTTTCTCATTCACAAACTCATCAAAGCAAACAACATGATAGCAATACGTATGATTTTTATAACTCACAAAATTGCGATATGTGTAATAAAATAATGATAATAAAAAAAACTAACTAATAATGAAAATGAAAATTTATAATGGTCTGAGTCAAAAACAAAATTGAGAAAGAAACAATATAAATAGAAAACTAACAAATTAATTATCAAGCAACTAACTAATATTAAGAAAATATAATGAACCGATATTCTAATTTTAAATAGTTTAATATATTTTCAATATTGTTAGGTAAAAAATTATTAAATAAAGATTTCATCAATTGAAATCTCTTGAATGGAATAATAAAGTTTTGTTGAATTAATTAATCAGTTGATCATATTTAGACATATATAAGTCTTTCTATATTGGATAAAAATAAAAATAAAACAAATTAATTCATTTTTTATATCATGAATTCAAAAAAAATATCAATTACAATAAAAACGTAAAAAGGTTACCGATCTTATTTTATTTAAATATTTTTATCGGGTTTTTAATATTATTCTGTTTACTTTAAAATGATCAAATTTGGTTTAATATTTTTCCATGATTTTATTACAAAATCTTAAAATAAACCCGCGTATACGCGGGTCTTAATCTAGTTATTTATACGGAAGCATATTATTAGATAATCTTATATAATGTGACAAACAAAAAAAAAGATAATAGATGTGTATTTGATAATTGCATTGTTTAAATGCAGAGATGAAGAAATCGGTAGCAGCTAAGCCAAAGCAACCGGTGATCCCACGTTTAGACATTACCAGGGCGGCGGATTGAAGTATATTTTCTACGGGATGAAAACAGTTTTAATAAATAAAATTAGGTCATTATTGGTATACGTTTTTTATATTTTTATATTTGTTTCAATGATATGTGCGTATTTTATTTGGTTCTATTAAATATAATTGAATAGACTTCATATCTTATTATATAAAGCTGGATGCGCAACGTGGTTGCGACACGTAGGATTTTTATAAAATTCAGGATCGCGACATGTGTCACTTTTAAGTTTATGTCCGTTAAGATCGTGACACGTGTCTTAGAAAAAAAGAGAACTTAAAAAAAAAATTCCAGATAAATGTTAATTAAAAAAAACGAAATTTAATTTAATCTATTATATCAAAAAGGAAAAAATAATATTTGCCATATCCAAACAGAAAAAGGTTTCCCATTCATCAAATTTTTTTATTATATAAAGTTGGATGCTTTTAGATAAAGGAATTTTAAAAAAAAAATTAATCCATTACAGTTAAAAGAAATAAAAATATATTTGTCATATCCTAATAGAGAAAGGTTTTCCATTCATCAAATTAATATTATCCAAACAAATAATAAAATCAAAATAATGTAATAAATAAAATCCTATTTGTATAATGTTATGTAATCAAATTAATATTATCCAAACAAATAATAAAATCAAAATAATGTAATAAATAAAATCCTATTTGTATAATGAAATAAATAATGTTATGTAAACTAAATTTCATATAACTGAATAGGTTACTTGAATCCCTATAAAAGAGAGTCAAAGTTTCTCAATCATAAATTCATCAGATCCCTTTGATTCTATTTCTCCAATTTAAAAATCATGTTTTTGAAGTTTTGCGATACATATGATTTTTATAACTCACAAAATTGTGACATTTGTTTTAGAAAAAAAAATTATGAAAGTATGAAGATCGTAACATGTGTCATAGAATAAAAAAAAATTAATATGTATAAGACTAAATAAAAATTAGAAAATCAGATAAAAATAATTAAAATGAAAAAATAATAAATCCATTAAAAGTAATAAAAAAACAGAAAACAAATAATTTAAATTCTTTTGTTACATCTATTAAGAAAAGGAAAAAAATGCATTTCGAAAAGGAAAAATATCAATATATATTATTTATAATGGTATGAGGCAAAAAAAAATTGAGAAAGAAAAAATATAAATAGAAAACTAACAAAATAATATTCAAGCAATTAACTAATATTAAAAAATTATAATCGATATTCTAATTTTAAATAGTTTGATTTTCAATTTTTGTTAGGTAAAAAAAATTGAAATAAAGATTTCATCAATTAAAATCTCTTGAATGGAATAATAAAAGTTTGATTAATTAATCAGTTGATCAGATTTAGACATGTGTAAGTGTTTATGTATTGGATAAAAATAATAGTAAAACAAATTAATTCATTTTGTCATATCATAAATTCAAAAGAAAAATCAATTATAATAAAAATGTAAAAGTATTACCAATCTTATTTTATTTAAATATTTTTATCGGGTTTTCAATATTATTTTGTTTACGTTTAAAAATGATCAAATTTTGTTTAATATTTTCCATGCTTTTATTATAAAATCTTAAAATATACCCGCGTATACGCGGGCCTTAATCTAGTATAAAATAAAACTGTTTACTAAATAACCCATAAAAAAATGGGAGGAAATCTTTATATATTTTTTTTATAATAGTATATTGATAGGTTTATACAAATACAATCATGGAAAAAAACGTTTCTTGCAACAAAACCATGGAATCTAAATGCGTTTATTTATTGTTTTTTGTAGCTTTCAATCTAGCTAATAAAATGATAGGATAAAATTAGGTAGTATATTTAGGATAATAATGATTATGATTTTTAATCAAAATATAGTTTTATCTATTGCATAATTTTAAAATTTTAATTTGTAAACAATTAAATATGATGAGATTAATTTTACAAAAAAATGATAAGTCAAAATAAATTATCGGATAAGAAACATATAAAGAGGTTAGAATAGTTATTTTAAGAAAATAGTGGATTATATTTGATATTTTTCCTCAATTAAAAAAAGATACACACTGGAAATAATATTATTTTAACAAAGTCGTAGAATCACGGAAACAAAACGTTTCCTGGAAGAAAACAAACGATGAACAAGAGAACTCCAGATTCCTGCCGCTGGTCGGAGCTCCCGATGGACATGTTGAGATAAGTGTTGGAACGTTTTGAGTATTCTAGATTTCCACCGCGCTAAGTTCGTGTGTTCGAGTTGGTACTTGTGTTCCAAACAAACGGTGCGGCGAAAAAGCGGATCTCCACTGCTGATGCTGTCTCTAGAAGAGGGTGGTTGTCGTCTGTACATCCCAGAAGAAGATAGGGTTTACGATACGACGAAGAGTTGTGATTTTTCAGGGTATCGATTCCTGGCAAACTCGGGTAAGTGGTTCCTGGCCGTAGATTCTCGATCGAGACTCGTTATTATAGACGTGTTCAGCGAGGAGAGGATCGATCTTCCTCCTCTGGGGTCAATAAAGGGTGACTTCCATAAGGTTGAGGCAGCAGGAGATAAGAAATTCGATGTTATGTTTATTGAGCATATTGGTTTCTGTTCTGGGGTTATTAAAACTGTGGAAGATCTGAGAGGTCTTTTGTGGGTAGACGACAAGAGTGGAGAGTACGTTGTTGTGTGGCAATTTGAAGGCCACGAGTTTGTAGGGTATTGCAAGAAAGGAGATGATCATTACCGTGAGATTCCTACAAAGATCGGTGTCCCCAGGGATTTACAAGGCATAAATGATATGGTACTCAAAGGTTACAGCCTTTACTGGTTTACGAAACGTGAGTTCGTTCGACACCTGGATTTGTCTGGAGAAGATGGTTACAAGGATGTGTCCGAGAACCACAGATTGCCAATGTGGATGCCAACTCTGGGTAGTAAGGAGGAATGTGAAAGACTGGGAGCAGTTAAGACCATCGCAGGTACCATTAACATTGCTGTGACAACATCAGGAGAGGCTTTGTATGTCCATAGCAAAGCTTACGAGACGTCAACCTTGGAAAGGCCTAGGACGTTCCACGTGTACAAGAGGGATCCTAAAGATCTACACCCGAGTACCAACGACACAAGGCTTCTGGAGCTTGATTCTCTAGGTGATGAGGCACTGTTTCTTGACTTGGGTATCACCGTGAAAGTGGAAGCTCACCATACCATTGGTATCGAGCCAAACTACATCTATTTCACACGTGGTGACCGTAACCGTCGCCGGAGAGTTTCATGCCTCGACATATGTGTGTACAATCTTGCAACAAAGACCAACAAACGCTTCCCGAGTCTCTCCAACTTAAAAGTCAAGGATGCTCAGTGGTTTCTCCCCTCTTGAGAGATTCTCTTGCTCCCTCAGTGAACGGGAAGATAGACTTGCAAATATTGCGACAATCTCGGTAGCTTTTGCCCTGATATGACTTAGGGGTTGCTTGGTGTGAACTTAACTTGAGGCTGTTATACTTTTTATTTATTGGTTGTGAAAACTTTGGCTTTAGAAAATTGGCTGCGACTTAAAAAATATTTAAAAAACGCTTCCCTGATCTCTTTCTCTCCAACTTGAACGTAAGGGATGCTCAGTGGTTTCTCCCCTCTTGATTTGTTGAGAGACTCTCTTGCTATGGTTTCTCACTAGGTGACGCTCCTTGGTTTGTTTCTTTCTCCTAAATACTTTTTAGTTTTATTTTTGTAGGTGTCAATTAGATAAGAGAGAGATAGGATTATTAGGTACAATGTATTAAGGATGAAAATGATTATGATTTTTAATTCAAATATAGTTTTATCTATTAAATATTTTTAAATATGTATGAAGTTTAATCTGTATACAATTAATATGAGATCGTTATATCAAAAAGATGGGTAAAATCTGAATAAGAAATATTAGAGGTCATATGAGTTATGTTTTTATAATAGTGGGTCATATTTGATACTCACAAAAAAAAAATAGTGGGTCATATTTGATAGTTTTTTTCAATAAAAAAGATACACAATGGAAATATTTTAACGAAGTCGTAGAATCACGGAAAAGACGTTTCCTCCAACCAACAACCATGAAGAAGAAGACTCCAAATTCCTCCTGCCGCTGGTCGGAGCTCCCGATGGACATGTTGAGACAAGTGTTGGAACGTTTGACTGTTTTGGATTTCTACCGCGCTAAGATCGTCTGTTCGAGTTGGTATTCGTGCTCGAAACAAGCGGTGAGGCCAAAATGCGGATCTCCGTTGCTGATGCTGTCTCTAGAAGAGGGTGGTTGCGTGCTGTACAATCCAGACGAAGATAGGGTTTACGAGACCACGACGCGTGACTTTTCAGGGTATCGATTCCTGGCAAACTCGGGTAAGTGGTTCCTGGCCGTAGACTCTCGATCGAAGCTCGTTATTGTAGATGTGTTTAGCGAGGAGAGGATCGGACTCCCTCCTCTGGAGTCACTCAAGGGTGAGCGTTTTAAGGTTGAGGTAGCAGGAGATAAGAAATTCAATGTTAGTTTAATCGAATACTGTCTTCTAGGATTGTTCAAGATGTGGAAGATCTGAGGGGTCTTTTGTGGGTAGACGACAAGAATGGAGACTACGTTGTTGTGTGGCAATTTGAATGTACGAGTTTGTAGGGTATTGCAAGAAAGAGATGGTCATTACCGTGAGATTAACACACGGGTCGGTCCTCGCTTGGAGTTACAAGGCCTACGTGATATGGTACTCAAAGGTTACAGCCTTTACGTCCTCACGAAACGTGACTACATTCGACACCTGGATTTGTCTGGAGAAGATGGTTTCAAGGATGTGTCCGAGAACCACAGGTTGCCAAGGTGGGAGCCAAATCTGAGTACTAAGGAGGAATATGAAAGACTCAGAGCGATTAAGGTCACCTCAAGGAGCGATAGTATTGTTGTGAAAACATCAGGAGAGGTTTTGTATGTCCATAGCAGATCTTACGAGACGTCGACCTTGGAAAGGCCTAGGACGTTCCGAGTGTTCAAGAGGGATCCTAAACAGGTACACCCGAGTACCAACGACGACACGCTTGCTGAGGTAGATTCTCTTGGTGATGAAGCCCTGTTTCTTGATTTGGGTATCACCGTGAAAGTGGCTGCTGATCACATTGGTATTGAGCCAAACTCCATCTATTTCACGCGTGGTGACCGTATCCGTCACAATAATGTTTCATGCCTCGACATGTGTGTGTACAATCTTGCAACAAAGAACATCAACCGCTTCCATTGTCTCTCCAACTTGGAAGTCAAGGATGCTCAGTGGTTTCTCCCTTCTTGAGAGATTAATTCTCTTGCTTTTTTTTTTCTTTCTGATGCATTTTTGTGTTGTTGAGACATTTCTAGACTTTATTTTCTTTTGTTCTAAAATTTATATGGCATTGTCAGTGTTTATATATCTTTTGATTTGTGTTCCAAATTTCAAAATCATCACACTTGTTCGAAGCATTGGTAAAGAGTTAGAAACTTTTTATGCATTTGTGAACGGGAAGATAGACTCCGGTAGCTGTTGCTCTGATATGACTTAGGGTACAATGCTTATGCTCCAAGCTAACTAGACTGTTAATAAAAACAATACTAACAAAATAAAACATAACTAAAACAACCGAAGCTAAACCCATGAAAAAGATGGGAGGAAATATTTATAGCTTTTTTATAATAGTGTATATTGATAGGTTTATAAAACTACAATCATGGAATCCAAAATACGTTTATTTTTTTATTGTTTTTTTTTGTAGCTTTCAATTTAGCTAAGAAAATGACAGGATAAATTAGGTAGTATATTTAGGATAATGATGATTATGATTTTTAATCAAAATAAAGTTTTAACTTTTATCTATCTAGCAAGGAATTTTATAATTTTATTTTTAAAATAATTAATATGAGATCAATTATAAAAAAAATGGTAAGTCATAATAGGTTATCTGAATAAGAAACATTTAAACTGGTTATATTAGTTATTTTAAAGAAAATAGGGGTTATATAAAAAAGATAGGGTTCCCAAAAAGATACACACTGGAAATATTTTAACAAAGTCGTAGAATCACGGAAAAGACGTTTCCTGCAAGAAACAAACCATGAAGAAGAATCCAAATTCCTGCCGCTGGTCGGAGCTCCCGATGGACATGTTGAGACAAGTGTTGGAACGTTTGAGTGTTTTGGATTTGCACCGCGCTAAGATCGTCTGTTCGAGTTGGTACTTGTGTTCCAAACAAACAGTGCGGCAAAAGAGCGGATCTCCGTTGCTGATGCTGTCTCCAGAAGAGGGTGGTTGCGTGCTGTACAATCCAGACGAAGATAGGGTTTACAAGACGACGAAGAGTGAGTTTTCAGGGTATCGATTCCTGGGAAGCTCAGGTAAGTGGTTCCTGGTGGTAGATTCACGATCGAAACTCTATATTATAGATTTGTTTAGCGAGGAGAGGATCGATCTTCCTCCTCTGGAGTCAATCAAGGATGGCCTGTATAGTGTTGAGCGACTAGGAGATAGAGTTTTCATGGTTAGATTAGTGAAGAACTATTCTGGGGTTCTTGTTCAAGCTGTGGAAGATCTGAGAGGTGTTTTGTGGGTAGACGACAAGAGTGGAGAGTACGTTGTTGTGTGGCAATTTGAATCTAACGGATTTCTAGGGTTTTGCAAGAAAGGGGATGATCATTACCGTGAGATTACGACATGTATCGGTGTCCGCAGGGAGTTACAAGGCCTATGTCATATGGTACTCAAAGGTTACAGTCTTTACGTCCTAACGAGCCGTAAGTACATTCGACAACTGGATTTGTCTGGACAAGATGGTTTCAAGGATGTGTCCGAGAAGCACAGGTTTTCTATGTGGACGCCATATCCGCTTCTTTCGGATGAATATACAAAACTGAGAGCAATTTAGACCATCTCAGGTTCAAGTACCAATAGCATCGCTGTGACAACATCAGGAGAGGCTTTGTATGTCCGTAGCAAAGCTTACGAGACGTCAACATTGGAAAGGCTTAGGACGTTCCACGTGTTCAAGAGGGATCCTAAAGATCTAGACCCGAGTACCAAGGACACAAGGCTTGTTGAGTTAGATTCTCTTGGTGATGAAGCTCTGTTTCTTGATTTGGGTGTCACAGTGAAAGCTGACCATAGCCTTGGTGTTGAGCCAAACTCCATATATTTCACACTTGGTGACCGTATCCATCACAATAAAGTTCCATGCATGGACATATGTGTGTACAATCATGGAACAAAGAACATCAAACGCTTCCATGGTCTCTCCAAGTTAAACGTCAAGGATGCTCAGTGGTTTCTCCCTCGGTGACTCCTTCTTTGCTTTTGCTTTGTTTCTTTGTTTCTTTGATATTATGAGACTATGACATTGCCAGTGTTTATATATCCTAGACTTATATATGTTCCAAATTTCAAAATCATCACACTCGTTGGAATTAAAGCATTAGCAAAGAGTAGATAAAAAATTCAACAAAATTTTGACAAATTCTGATTGTCGGTTCGGTTTAAACTAGCAGTTGAACCGACAAAAACCCACAAAATTGAACAGAACAAAGACACGGAAGGAGAAAGAAGAGTTGAGTTGGTTTTTATCGGTTCGGTTTATTATTATTGGGGTGATTGACGGGTTTATTATTATTCTCCAATACAGAACCGGCGATAATTAAACCGAACCGACAACACTGTACCGGATAGCGTATACTTTATTGAGAGATTCCGGTTCTATCTATTTACCGAATACTCAGCCATGGCTGCTTCCTTGAGCTGCTCTTCGATTCTGCGTGTAAAAATCTCTACTTTTTTTTCCCTCATATGATTTTCTAGGAATCTATCTGGCGACACTCGCATCGTTCGATTTCCCATGTTGATTGATCACTTTCGTTTCGTACTAAACTGAAATTCGATTTTTTTGTATATTCAGATTGGAGGTGATGCGAGAATCGGGAGCTCACGAGCTTCAAGCTTCACATTCCAGTCTCAGGTCTGTGTGGTTGATTTTTTCTCTGTTACATCTCTGTAAAAGGGGAAGAATTTGACTGATTTTGGTTGGTTTGTTCAGATTTCTTGCGGGATTCAAAGGGATGATAATGGACGCCGTATTTGGCGGAGAAGAACACTGGTAAGCAAAACTTGTTCTACAATGATTGGTGACTGATTAGGGAATCAAAATCTGAGCTTAGCTTTGCCTTCTTTCTTTTTTGGGTTTAATTTGTTTAGTGGATCAAAATCTGAGATTGATTTGTTTCGATGTCTTGTCCTGTTTTTTGTTTTGGTTTGTGTCTGCAGACGAAGAAGGACGATATGTTGCGTTACAAGATGCAAAGAGTTCCATTTGTGGAAGAACAAGTGAGGAAGATCAAAGAAGTTGGGAAAGTCATGACAATGGACATTGAGAGGCTGCTTTTGAGCGCAGACAATCGATTTGAGTTTGTCAACAGCGTAGCAGCTGAAGCAACAGAGTACGTGGAGAGAAACAGAGACGAATATGGAGGTAGCAAAAAAGCCATCTTTCATGTTCTGAGCAACCGTATGAATGATATTGGGTTTGATCGTCCTGAGGCTTACATCGAATCTGATCCTTACAAACCCGGTCCTGGCTTCTTGAAGGAGTATTACACTTGATATTTTGATATTATATTTGAAAAAAGAGTTTGAATGTAATTCACACTCACAGCTTCCTTATTGTTGTTAGCAAGTCAATTCAAAGCATTCACAACTTTGTTGGTGTAGTTTTGGTAGAACAATGTCTTTTTTGCCTAAATCATATGAAGCTCAACAATTATAGTGAAAAAAAAAGAGATGGTTTAGTAAAATTAGGGAACTTTGTTATTTTCTGTCGATATATAATATATTTGGTATTCAACTTGTCTGAGGTATTACATGATCTACTCTTTAATTTTGTTTGGTTTTGTCTTTGCTATAAGCACGACGTGGTGGTGCTCTTGGTGGCTGGTCGGATGATTTGGGAGGTCTTGAATGCGGTTTATCATAGTCCATCTCAAGATCGATCCTTCCTCCATTCGTCACAACCTTTGTCAAATCAACACATTTTCAATTAGTATTTGATTTTGATTGGAAAATTATTGTAAACTATTATGTGGGAAAATGTATACAAGGGATAGTGATGAAAAACCGAACATCGATCGTTATTTATTTGTAAAATTACATATATTTTTAGTATCGATGCATATATGTAATTAATATATTTGAAATTCTGGTTGTTCATATTATACCTCGTTGTGGGCGTTCTCGAGATGCGAATTCTCAACGAGTCCTGAGAAAATCAAAATAAGAAGCATATGAACATTTGCATCATCAAAATTTCAGTAATAAAATGTATGTAATCAGTAAATATTTGAAATAATGCATTAGTTAGAAGACTGTTAGTTGATTTGTACCAGAAGAAAACATTGGGAGAAAGAGCAAGAATGATACGAGGATCACCAACTTCATCTTTTAGTCAGATTCTCTATTGTCTCTCTTGATAACTTTGTGCGGATGTATCTAAAAGATAACAGAGGAGAGAAGATGAATTATGAAAGAATATACTGTGTTATTCATTTTCTTTGCAGCGTGCGTGATACATATATACGAGAACAATAGATTGCTCTAGATTATACATTCCTAAAGTGATTGATCATAATTACACGTATAATATACAGATTCTGGAAAACAAGAAAATATCATTGTGGGTTCTCATTCAATTGGATATGTTGCCAATAATGTTCAAAACAAAAAAAAAAAAAAAAAAAAAAAGGATATGTTGCCAATAATATTGATTATGAAGTTAACAGATTCAACATTGAAAACATTTCCTACTATATTCAATAGTATATTTAGGATATGATCAATCGATGATAAATTTCCTACTATATCATATGGTCAAAGCGATTACATGTACGTCCGTGATTAATATTACAATTGTTCTTTGATTCGAAATAGACAAATTCCGAATAAGATTTAACATGGTAAGTTATCGTCAAATTGTCAGAGTCAAGAGTGTACTTAAATGACCACATTAACATCTGTTTTATCTATTCAAAAATTATATAAGATCTTTTAGGGGAGTTATTGGGAGATGGATTCTACAGTAGAAACTCATATAGAGTTATTAATATATAGGTTTTGATAAAATAAAATAAACTCAGAAAAAGTAAGTTTAATATTTATATTTTTTAACATTTTCATTCAAATTAATTAAGAACTTTCATCTATAGTATATTTTCTTCATTTTGTTGATATTTCTATACTTACTTTATTGTTTCATTTTTTGATACTTACCATATTGTTTTAAGTTCCATTTTTCTTTTCATTTCCATAATTTTTTGGTGTGTGTGAGAAATTCATATTTTAATAGTTAGATATTTTAGTTATATATATAATTTTTTATATGATGATTATTAATTTATGATATTATTGGGATCATATTTTACATAGAAGTTTCAAAAACATTATTATCTTATTATCTTATCGAATTGTGTCAAATTTTACACCGGCTCAACTCGGGACTGGAAGATTTTATTAATTTATCGTATTTATTAATTTATCGAGTATTAATTTATAGAGTTTCTACTGTATATGGTTGTTAAATTTTAAAAATGTATTCTTATTAGTTAATAAATTTTGAAATTCGTATTAAAATTTGTTGTTATTGGTTTGATGATTTACCCTTTTTAAAATCCATACAAAATCCATAGTTTTTCAAAAAGTTATGATTTTTAATAATTTTATGATTTCATTAAACTCTTTGTTATTGGGACATTGATTTTGTAACCAATTAAATCATGAAACAAAACTTTCAAAATACTATGTACTATATATATCCCTTAGATTCTCAAAGTCATTATAGCTAAAATATTTTGATAAATTTTCTAAACATACAAACTCTCCACAAAGTTCAACAAATGTAACAAATTTTTTTAACTTTTAAAAAGACAAACTCTATACATATTCATCTCCCAATAGCCCCTTTAGTTTATATATGTTAGTTAGAGTAAAATAAATAAATAATATATATTTAATTATAAATAAGAATATCCAAAAAAACACAATATGTGAAAACATTAAATTTATAATGAAGAATTAGCATTAATATAGGATGATTTTCTTATCTTGGTAATATGATTTGTAAATCTTCAAAATCCATATAAGATTTGTAGATCTTTAAAACTATAGATATGGATTTTGACATACCAAGATTTTACTTTGGATCATAAAACCAATAGTATCAAGCTCATTTAGTATTTTGAAATCATTGAACACGTAAGGACAATCATTAATCCAATAAAAATGTATTTTATAAATCCATTAAAATCCAAGAACCAATACCCCTAACTTTATTACAAAAGTATATCTTGACATGCCCATTTAACATTACTACACAGATAAAAGAAACTAAAAGCAGCTAATAATGATACGGTAAGTTCGATAACTGTATTTTGTTAAGAGTGATTATCCCAATACTTGATATTGCTGATTCGAAACTACAGATTACATTGTACAAATTTAACTATTTAAGTTGAATAATACGCCACCGATTTCGTAGAATACAATACATGCGTGTGTTTTTTTCATACGAAGGTATCAGCCTCATATTCACAATTTCCATAGCCTGCAAAATTTGAGTAAGATTGATTCGTAAGCGGTAAGACGAACAAAACTAATAACTGAAATTATTTCAGTTTATAAACCATACTTTCCAGTTTATAAACTAATAACTGGATCCAAAGCAGTTATCTTTCCAGTCTTGTCGAAATCGCAGTCGAACTCATGTTTCCCCATAGTCTGGTAGAACAAGTTCATGGCGTACGACGAATGGGCTTCCACTGTATTCGGTAAATAACAAGGCCCACCTTCCTTAATGGGCCAACAATCTAATCCCAGTCCACACACGTAGTCTATGTTCCTTTGTAATGCCACCGTCTCTGCACCGGGCTTTGTGACGCACCACCGTTTCTCCGAAGATCCCCTGACCGGCGATCGCGGATTGCTCTCCGGATTCGATGTTCTAACCTGTCAATTTCCAAAAACCAAATTCGAAGAGATATGAAACATGTCACGATTTCGTAAAACACAGCGAAATGCGGCGGCGATTACCGTTGGCCGGAGAATTCCAATGTCGTAGGTCGGTGTCAAATCGGATCGGAAGAGGCCGAAGTTACGTTCGCTCGTCGGTCCTGATTTGAGATTTTCATTGAAGAGCGCGAAGATATACGTCTCGAAAGTCCGATTGGGCATCAACGGCGTTCCGGTACCGGAATTTACCCGCGCCACCACTTTTTTGTTAAACTCAGCTGCGGTGGCGATGTCAACGCCGATCTGATCCTTGTCTCCGTTCGACGGCCATCCGATTTCGCCTACCACGATCTCGACGTCTGAAAAGCCCAGCCGATCCATGGCGGAATAGACCGAATCAAGCTGAGCGTCGAGCATGTTTGTGTACAGAATCTTCGAATCTTCGTCGAATAAGCCTGGATTGGGTCTAAACAGAGCGAAATCGAGCGTGTCGCTTGAGTAGCCGAAGAACGGGTAAGGATTCACAACGAACGGCGAGCCAATAGTCCGGAGGAAGCTGAGGAGAGGCTTGAGGACATGAGTGTCGTAGCCTTGCCGGAACTTAGCAGAAGACGGAGGAGTGGAATCAGAGAGAATTCCCAAGGAATGCGGCGTGGTGATCTGGATGCGACGGTGGAGAGAGGCGGAGACGAGGGCGGTGTGGAGGGATTGCATCGCCGGGACTAGATTTCTGATGAGGAGGTGATTGGCGGTGGAGATAACTTCGTTTCCGACGAGGATGCGGATGATGTTGGTTGACGGGAAGTGAGGTTGGATGTGATCGGAGATCCATCGTTTGGCGAAGGAGAGATTGGTGAGGTGTGGGATTTGGTCGTTGGGGACGGGGACGGTGACGGCAATTCCGGTGTGAGCGAAGGCTCGGAGAATTTGAGGATCTGCGTCGAAGAGTCGAATGCGGTTAATGACGGTGGAATGGAGGAGGAACTCCGCGACTTCACGCGGCGGAGGGAGATCGTTGGCGAGTGTGCCGTAGTTTACACCAATGCTCGCATCAGCTCCTGATCCTAACCATTAATATATGAATGCCGTTGATTCAAATTATTTGAATATGAACATATGTATATATACTGCCAAAATTTCAAAATCAATTCAGTATTCAAGTGTAACAAAAGCTGCTGTGTCTTATGACTTTTCAAATTTTATTTTTCTCTAACGCTCTATTTGGTTGTTCTTTTATAGTACTACCGATATTATTGGGGGGAAAATTTGAATTCAAAAGATAAAAATGAAAAATTATTACCTGTCAAAAGGATGATAAGAACTCTAACCATAAACATACTAACTGTTGGAGAAATAAACGAGGAACGTGACAGAGATATACAATTCATGGTTAAGGTTTAAGAATCAAACCTCAAGATAGAGAAAGAGGGTTAATGTTCCAGTAGTTTGGTTTATATCAATCTTCACCATAATATGCTTTGCTTTGTCTTTGGGAGATTGACGGAGGTCGAATCGAGGCAGCAAATCTAATTTACATTTTCTTTGTCGAGAGATTTACTGTATTTTTTTCAAAAACCTTAAGAAACCACTCTAATTAAAAACACAAGGCAAACACAATTTTTTTTTTTTGATATTCTTTAAAAAGTCAAACAGATGACTATATGAGACACTGGTGAGGAAATCAAATTATGATTCAAGATTTTCTAATACCAGTCTATTATGTACCAAAAAAAACTTTGTAATGGAGAGAAAAACCATGGTATTTACACGAAGAAAAGGGCCCTCAGTTACATTTCCCTATATTATTACTTACAAAACAAAAGGCAAGTATATACTAATAATAATTTTTACGATTTAAAAGCAAAAATCTGAAATACCCTTTTTTCCGATTCCCTAGCTTTGAAGCTATTCCAAACCTTCAGCTTCGGCCAACGTGTTAAGCCCAAACTTAGGCCACATACAAAACTCACAACTTCATGACGTGTAAAAATCAGATTGGTTCACGAACACACGTGGAAGCGGAGTTTATACGGCGGCATTTTGAAGGAGCGTTTCGTAGCCGTTGGATATCAAACGGGAACCGGCAAACCATAGTTGTGAAACAATCGGATCCGTCCATCCCAACCGCCGGTGACTATAACCAATCCCCAGAGATGAGAAGACTCGGACGTTCTCCGGCACGACGACCGGAGTAATCTATAATGCGATCTACGGATCGCCTTCACCGGAGAGAACGAGCTTGCTAGCTTCTCCTCCGGCCAAGTCGCAGATCCCTTGGGAGAATCGAGAACGTACTCTCGCCCTAACGAGAAGAGCGACGGCGATAGCTCGGATCCGCCGGAGATTACAGGTGCGAAACCGCACCACGGGACAGCGACTGAGACGTCTGCAGAGAATCTCTCGAATGATCGGATCTTGACTCGTTTCGTGTAGGAGAAAAAACCAGGAGACGCTGGTTCGGGATTGTCTTCGATGCAGTTCCAGACGTAGACGGAGGAATCGTCACACGCCGATATTATATGTTTCCCGTCTGCTGTAAACGATGCCGATATTTGATTCCCGGCATTTCGAGATCCTATAAGATAAATCAACACATTTCAGAACTTGCATATCTTTTTTGTTCGATAAATGTAACTTTAGAAGCAAGCATTACCTTTGTATTTATGAACAACATTACGACCGCTAATGATCCTGACTTGTGAATCTGCCGATGCCACCATGACTCTGCTTGGGTCCGTGGAATCAAACTGTGGAAGAAACTAGTTTGAGTATCATGAAATGAATGACAAATTTGCATGATTTGAGAAAAGAAAGAAAAAAAAGTACCTGAAAGCCGATTATTCGTTTACTTGACGACTTCTTTTTGGTATGCAGACATATATGACCATCTAGCTGAAGACAGTGACCTGAAGAAAGAGTTTAAGAATTCAGGTTTCTAAGCAAATTTCATGTGTGAGTGTGTGTAATCTATGAGCATTACCTGATACATTGTAGAAGCGACACTCGCTCGTCAAAGTTCCAACAATCCCTGCCTGAATTAGAGTAAAGTAGTCTTGTTTTAGAAAGAAGAAAAAGTCTGAGCAGAGTAAACAAAAAAAAAATGATTTTTGGTTCTTTGACATACCTGACCGTCTGGGCGATAACAAACTGCGGTTACAATGCCTCTAGCGTCGGCCCAATCTACAACTTGGCACTGAGAAGTTGACCAGATACGAACTTTCCCGTCTATCGAGCCGCTGATGAAATGGTCATCATCAACCGGGTTGAATTGAACAGATGTAACTGCAAATTTGCAAAACAATTAGTGACTAACAAGGGAGAAAAGAAAAAGCAATACCAAACGATGATGTTATGCAGAAAGGAGAAGAGCGTTACCATAGTTACTGTGAGAGAAGACTCCAAGACAATCCTCACGGCCAATCTGCCAAAGCCGAACGCTATTGTCTACTGAAGCTGACAACAGACGCTGCCACCAATATCACAGAATGAGCAACTTGGTCTAGTTTTTCTGTTCAAGATTACACATACAGGGACTGAATCTACGTTCTTTGTGTGTTTAAACATCTCAAAATCATAACTAAACATGCATTAAAAAAGGTGTCTAGCTAGTTCAAGAAAGCTATTAAAGTTCGGCTCAAAGCATTAATGTAAAAAATCAAAGGGAGAGTCCAAGGAAATCAAACTCACATTGTTCTTGGACCATGAGACGTCAAGGATCTCACCACTGTGACCGAGAAACTCGTGAACCGGTTTCTCAAGAACCCGGAAAATCTTTGGCGGAATGATAACACAAGCGGACTCTGTTGCCTTCCTTGGACTCATCAACGAACCAGTAACCCCCTCCTTCTCAACAGCCACAGGTCTCAGCTCAGAGAGTTTGCTCACTTCAAAGTATATACAAGACGGATCAATCTTGGGAACGTCATGCTCTTCACATCTTTCGTCTTCAACAATGCTCCAAACTCGCAAAACCCCGTCTTCACCAGCACTCGCAAGATACCTCCCATCAGGACTAAATCTCATAGCGAGAATCGCACCTTCATGAGCTTGTATCTCTTGACCTTTGAAAAGAGCAGAAAGCTCCTTAGCAGTTTTTTTAAACTCCTTGACCTTAACTCTCTCAATCCTACTCCCAAAATCCGAAACTTCACTAGCATGATCTCCTGATTTCTCCTTGTTACGCACTTTGTGCAACCGACTCAGCCATTTATCCTTAACTCTCTTCATGATTCCGCCTACATCGCGATGTTCTGATCCGGAGATCATCGCTTTCGGCGACTTAGGTTTCACAATCCGATCTGTTAAACCCGAAGCAGGTGATGATCCAGAACAAAGGCTAGAGCTAATTTCATCATCAGAACGCAGATTCCTCAAAAGCATTCGACTACTTAAATTCCCAACCTCTTCCTCCTCCTTACACAAACTCTCCTTCACGATTCTATCTACATTTACCTTTGAGCTAAGCAGAGAAGAGTCACAGCGGCAAGAGGTAAACTCGTCGTCGGATCTCGTCCTCCTACTCATAACCGCTGCTTCAGTAACCGAGATTGAGAGACGATCCACATTGCCAGATTTAGCAGGTTCGTCGTGATGAGTCTGGCTCACAGTGACTCCCATCCAGTTTAAGAACTTCTCTCGGCGCTCCTCGGCGTTTCCTGGGCTTTTGATCCAGACGTCGTACTGGAAATCGACGGAGATGGACGACGACGGAGGCGGCTCGTCGTAGTCGATTGAAGTGGAACAGGATGCGATCTCTTCGCGTGCGTCGAAAAATCGGGATTCTTCGTCTTCGATTAGGGATTGCATTTCTTCTCGCATTTTGGATTCTTAAAAGCTGCCTGCAGAGAAAGCAACCGACAAATTTTCAAAATGAAGAAGAGAAATTAGTAAAATAATCAGAGGAAGAAGAACATTGATAAACGGAAAAACATTTTCAATTTTTTTTAAAATACATAAATACCTAGAATCAATCGAACAACATAGATCCCGATCAAAATGTAAAGAATCGAGAGGTAAAAAGCCTAACGAAAAAATAAACGAAATCTGGATCGAAAATCGAGCTCCAAATCAACGCCATTAAAACAGAAACCGAAGCTCTATTTATTGATAAAATCAACAAAAAATAACCAGAGAGAGAGAGAGAGGACAAGACATGCAGATTTCGTTAAGAAAATTTGAAATCGATGAAAAAGGGTTTAAAAAACAAAAAAAAAAATTGCTAATTTCTGACCTGTGGAGATTATAATTTGTTCCGCTCAACGATGAAGGAGGTTTATTTGGTGACGAAGAAGAAGAAGAAACACATGAGACATCTAGAAGAAGTTCCTTTTCACTCTCTTCTTCTCTGGTTTTACGGATTTTGGAATAAACAAAAAAACAAGCTGATTTTGATTTTTTTTGTTTCCTTTTTCTTTTTGTCAGACAAAAAGAAGAAGAAGAAAAAAAGAGAAGCGTAGATTGAAGGAAAAGGGAGAATCTGTGGCACAGATGAAGAAGAAGGAGAAATTATTATAGTTTTGGAAGATTGTCCGAATCTGATTTGGGAGGACATTCATTTCTCTTATTAATATGTGCAGACACATTAATTATTTTATTCATCGCTTTTTCTAATTTTATCCTTCCTACCGTCATTTTAGTTATTTTATTTAATTATTCCCTTTATTTTTTTAGTTATATTTTTTGTCAGCTACTACCACAATCCAAGCATATAGAATTATAGATAGACGAAAATGTGGAATAATATACTAAAGATTACAATAACAGTGTATTATTAATCGAGTCAAACCAGATTTAATTTACTTCTTATCTTAGAAAAGTCATCCAAATTACAAAGTAGCATTAGCTTAAATTATATTAACATTTTTAAGGGAAACAAATTAGCATTAGCATAAATTATGTTAACAGATTACTTTGATATTAATGATAATGGAATTTGGTTTTTTACTTTTTTGGGGTGTCTCTAGGTCAAATTGTATAATCATATTAGCATTAAATATTAATGAAATCGTAATTTTTCTCCGTGTGACAAACGCGCCTTCACCAAGTACACTTGTGTCGATCGCACAACACTTCCACCTCAAAAACTTTCATTGGACCTTATTTTCGCAACCTTCCTTAATTAGGCTTCCCATATATCTCTATCTCGAGCTGTTATCATCAATGTTTCCAGCATATTTCATCATCAAACCTAAATCACTTTTTGTTATTAATATAAATCTTATCCCTTTCCGTAAGTTATGGTAACGACTGTAAATTTGTATAAGAGTTGCGAAAATATTTTTAGTCAAGTGTATCTTTGTAGTTTTCTCCATCAGAGTTTTGATTCTGTTTCCTTGCAAAAAGATTGAAAAATAGTCCAGCCAACTTATGAATATGATAAGATGTTTAAACTCTCAGTATGGTTTAATAACACAGTAAATAATTTAATCCGCATAGTACAGGATTATAGATGATTTAGAATGTTGTATAATTATAAATGGATTGATTTCTCTTGTAGCATACCAGAAAGTGGTGTCTCTCTTGCCACTTGGCTTCTAAACGTTATTAAACATATCTGGCCTAATTTTATTGGATGTGTAGCAATTGTTTTAGAGTGAGACATTTTAATCTTCACTTTACTAATCACATACACTTTTCACGCCTTTTTGTCTGATGAAAGAAAAAATAATAATATGAATAAACAAATACAAATTATAAAAAACTGATCATGCATGTCCTTTATAATTAAAGAGAAAAAAGAGTAAACGTGAAAAATCATGAACAAAAAAAAACTGATTGGCCCACATGTCATCACAGAATAATTTGAAGGACTTTCTTCGTTTTTTTAAACTTACTTATAGAACTTAACTTTAGTTAGTAACTTTATTTACTGTTTCTTTCATGGAGTATATTACAGTATTTAATATGTTCAATAAGCTAAATTGAACTAAATTTTGGAATAAAGAAACCACCCTCAAATAGAGAAAGATGCTGAAATCCGACATGTATAATGCTAAAAAGTTTAAATAAAAGTTAAACGCTAACAATCGCACATTACGAGTGCCCATAAAACAGAAAGTATTATAACACCGCAAAGCTAGATATCATTAATAAGTAATTTCCGTTGTCTATGACTAACGAATTTTATCTTTGATTATATGTATTATGAAGTTTTTATTTTGACCAAAGGGTTTCCATATGTATTCTGAAGTTACAAGATGAATAATTTATTTTTGTATTTAAACACACCATAGGAATACTAGATCTCTGGAACTATTTGCGAGTGTTTAGTGTATGGTCAGGATAACATCGAATGTTTTATATAAAGAGGTTAACATGGTGGGGTTAGGTGCTTCATGCTTGCATATTTAATAACCATGCGTTTTTTCCAAGCTTACATAATTTATCAAGAACGAAAACTAGGGAGAATGAGAAACTACACTAAACTATATCAAACAAACTATAAATACCAAAATGACCGCTTAAACAATCGATTCTAACTATAACTACCGATCATTGGAAATTACTACTTGAACTGGTTATTTTTCACATCTTGTTTGCGCGCGCGCGTGTCTATTGGGTAAGAGACAAACGGTAACATTAGAAGCGAAACAGAATTAAGACGTGCTCATAAGATTTAGTCCGTTTTTTTACCATTTTTCGTAAAATTAGTTATTGTCTCCGTTTCAGCCCGACACAACTACTCCTGGCTTTTTCTATTAATAAAAAAGTTGTTTTGTTTCTTCGGGTTATTATTATTTATTTTATTTTTTATAAAAAGTTTCCTTGGGTCATCAAAAAGACAAAATATACTCTTTAGGTGACAAATGAGAATGGGTCGTTAGCTATTAGATCATTTCCTCCCCTAATTTTTAACTCTACTGGAAATTCGGAACAAGTGAGACACCAAAGTTTGTAAATTAATTTTGCTGCCAACTGAATGATGATATAGAACTAAATTAAATATACAAATATAAGAGGTGTTATAGACTTTCTATACTTAAATTTGAAATAAAGTTAAACAAAACTAAAAGTCTTTGTAAATGTTGCTAATCAATAGAAATAATGTATAATGGGTGTTATCGTTGTAGCTTAATTCAAAGAGTACTGTATTCGAAACAATAGATTTCTAAATGAATTCCGAAGTTCGTTATCTAATGCACATACCGCAAAACAAGATTTTTTTGTTGGTTGAACTTTGAACTAAGATTCTAAGATGTTACCCTAGCTAGACTTAATAAAGTGTTTTTGATATTATATATAGGATCATAATAATGTTCCGATACTTTATGAAAAGTGTGGTTCCCTTTGATTATCATCTAGCTAACTCAAGTTTTTGTTTCTAGTCTTAATAGTCAAAATTACTGTCAATTGTGTCAACTGTTAGTGAAATTATATTCAATTATTCTAAGTAAGTTTCCTATCTGTTTGGCCGAAATCCATTAAGCATTGTCTATATTTCAAACACAATCATAATGCTTTTTAAAATATGATTACAAAACCGACGTTGGCGATTTAATTCAAAGATCAATTCGTACAAGTATCTTTGATCAAACGGTTTAAAGGTCAATTTAAAGTTGAGAAATAGTAAACGTCGGTAACCATATGGGGCCAACTCCCAACCGTGGACACATTACTCAATTAACGACAATTACACACCTACTAATTAACAAAAGAGAGAGTGAGTTACAGCAAAGTGAAGTTTTAAAAAGTCAGTTAAAGTATTCAGTGACATCCTCACATGAGAACCAATTCTGTTCTTGAGAGCTTGAGAGCTTACAATTCTGTTCTTGTGTGTCGTTGTTGTTTTTTAATTTGATCAGTACATTATTATTTTCAATGCACTTTATTTTATATATAAGCACAATTAGTTTCTAATGAGTCTTTAACACTACAGTATACACGTTTGCAAAGAGTTTGACAGTTTTGTCCGACATTTTTGATGCTAATGCGTAAAAAAAGTGGTGTCGTATGTAGCAATTGGCGCCTTTTCTTTCCTAAAGAAAGAAATGATTATGATCCCAATTAGAAACACTAAACGTGGGACAAAAGGGGAGACACTGATTAGCGATAACAACCCTAATTAAAAGACAGCCCGACATTAATTATTCAATAATCAAAGTCGCACGGATAGACATAATTTTCAATGTGATAATGATATTTGTCTTTCTAATAAGGGAACAAGAGAAATAATGATGTCGGTAAAATAGTTGGTAATTCTGATAACCTAAGTCCTAAATACGAATTCATGTTTACTTGCTCTACTTTACAATTTGAAACCAACAAATGTCAGCATTTTGTATTCACTTATGTGGTTGTACTACAGTTGACTCGAGAGAATAAAAGTAGAGAAACTAATACAAAAATGGAGATGTTTGGGAACAGTACAAAAATGAAGAATAATTTAAGATATAATTACATAAGAAAATTAACGCAGCTTTTATTCTAATAAATATATTTTCCTTATTATTACTGTAGTATTGTTTATCGTATTCTAACTTGAGAAAATTAAAGCCCTGAAAGATTGAACGACAAATATATTTTCGCTAATTACACGAAAAAAACCAAATAATCCAAACAAAGGCTAAAAAAACTCAAAATGAATAAGAAAACCCAGAATCAAATGATACATACTCATGACATTACGTCGATGAAAGAAATAGTGGCGTAAATCACGTGAGAACAACATTCAATAAGCCTTTTTATTATTTACTCTTTTTCTTTCTCCTTTTTCTATGGGCTCCATAAAATTAGCATTAGAGCTGATTAATTGCAGTGAAAAAAAACTAATACTGTTCAGATCGAATAAACGAATAATATTAGTTGGCATATTAGTTTGATGCTAATTGCTTTACAAGGCGTAATGGTTTTGATGTTAAGTTTACTATTTGCTTATTTTGTGATGACGTCCTACTTAGTAGTACGAATGCCAAATACTAAAGGAGACAAATCATGTTGGGGGGGTGAGAGTGGCTTTGGCAAATAATAACCATATCTATCTCGGGGACCATTATGCAAATACGGATTTCTCTTTTATTGGCACCAAACTCTTAAAACATTAAAAATTCCACCCTTTCTTTTACGTAAAATCTACAGAACTCCATAGTCCATACTAACAATACATTTTGTTAAAAATTTGATTTAATTTGACACAAAAAAAGATATTGAATGAGATATAAGTTAAAATAAAAATATAATTAAACGATAATTTACACGGGAATATACTTGACCGAATCAGACTTCATCAAAACAATAAACCGGTAAATCGAATAATTTTGTTGGAGAAGGTAAAAAATGGAAAAAATGTAAATGTGAGCCGAAGAGGGAGTATGTGTCCCACAGTGATCTCTGCAGAAATCAGAAAGGAGAGGGTTTTGATGCTAACTCTCAAAGTCTTTGAAGGTACTGTCAGACTCTTTAGTCTTAGGCGTTTGGACCATTCTACGAACTTCTCTTCTTTCATTGTTCCTACTCTAGTGAGTGGTCCTTTCTCTTTCTTTCCCTCACCAACAATTTTTATTTTCTTCTCTTTTTAGTTTTATTTTCTGACAAATGGAGCATAAAGTAAAAAAATAAGGCTTCATGTTTTGGTCCAACTTGAAGTAAGGTTTGGTTTATTGTTGAACAAGCAGCTTCGAACAGGTTAATCAACCAGTAAAATATGGATTAATAGGTTTTGTAGTTAGTGAGCATTCATCCATCATATTAATCCTCAACTAGGCAACTAACGAGTTTTAAATACTCCGTATTATTAATGCAATCACTGAGTTATATAATTTGTAAAGTTGAACGTTTATATAATCTGTCCAATATTGTAAATCAGTATAAGACATCAACAAAAAAGGTAGTGTCCTATATATGTAGCCTAGCAATCATAGTTTATTATTTTCTAAAGGAAGAAATGATTAGGATCCCAAATTTTTTATTTTTGTTGTTGCTAATTAAAGTGTAAATATCATATAAAATGAATAGTTGGGTTTTACAGACGCTTAAGCCATTTGCTTAGTACCTTGGCAAAAGAGAATAGCAAATGACAGATGCTAATGTATTTCATACTTCCCGCGTAACAAAGGGACAAGAGAGTGAAACGAAAAAGAGAAATATGGCCAGTCATAAAAGTTTGAAAGACAAATATTTTCTGCTCTGGCCATCAAAGAAAATGACGAAATAGTAGATTGAAATTAGCTTACAAAAAACTATCTCATGAAATGATAGTATATTCATATTTAACAAAAAATGATAGTATATTCATATTTTTTGGTTAATCTCTATTACTTATTACAGTAAGAAATAATATAAATAAAAAGAAGAAAAGAAACGATAGTATTTTACTCATGACATCACGTCGATTAGAGAAAGAGTGGTGTAAATCACGCGAGGACAATATCCTTTATAACTCGCCAAGAAAGCTGTAGATATTAGCCTATTACTTAAGACTTTAACTATTTACACTTTTTCATTATCCTTTATCTATGGGATACACTGATCACTAAATAAGTAAATAGTATTCGTTGAACCAAAAAGATAAAACAAAAATTGGCATCAACTCCCTACTACGTAATAGTCCGTATTAGTTACAGGTTTGATTACATATGAAAGGACAAATTGATTTGATTCTAAGTATTTGGTTCAATTCCTGGTTCAATTCTAACGCAATGAGTTTCTGATTTGGTTTGTATTTTGGGCTTCCAAAACTGGGCCATTAAGTATTTGGTTCAATTCCTGGTTAATGGCTTTGTAAGACTTTGATTTCTTCTGCTTTAATTTGAATTTATCTTTTTTACAAAAAAAAACTATACTCTCTCGTACTGTACATGTAAGCAAATAAACAAATAAGATAGTTTTACATGATTTGTCAAGCAGAGAAAATGGAAGGAGGAGTAAGCAAATACTCCAGAGGCATCTACAACCTAAACCATGCACAAAAAAACCTAAAGTAAACCATGTAGAAAGAATCACAAAATCTTAAAACGAGGAAAACCGAAAATAAATCTAAATAAATAGATAATAGTCACGAAGTTGTCTCGATTCCTTTGTTACGTCGCTAGAGAGAAACACTCGTGATGGGAATAAAAAAATGAAACTATGGAGAGAAGATATAGTGCGAGAGCAAATAAAGAAGACTGAACATATGAGTTGATTGCGAGTTATATAATGGTTTATAATCGTGATATCATCATATGAGTGAAACTTATATATATGACATGATTGTCTTTGAACGTGGTGGTTGTCTCAAACTCTCAGAAATGATGAAGTGCATACCACATACCACATACCACGTGGCACATTTAAATATGATTGGCTACATGATTTGTGCTTTATAAAACAAATGATCATTTGCGTTGAGGAAAAACCACTATCCCAAAATAAACGAATTAATTGCCTTTGAATAATTGAATCCGTAATGGTTTGATAGAAAGGAAACTGAAAACAGATTGCGAGATTTATGGAGTTAATGCTAATGGAAATACTTAATGGAATAATGGGAGTTATACATTAATGGCTAAGAAATTAAGTTTTAGAACGGTTTCCAATTTTACATTTCAAAATATCATTGCTAAAGATATCAAATCATGACTGGCCATAAATCCGCAAATGATTTGGCCAAAATTTTAATTTTGTCACCGGTGAATATTCGAAATAAGTGCAAATTACTATAAAAAAAAAAAAAAAAATTGTTTTAACAGACATCTTATTGGAGTGAATATTCGAAGTAAGTGCAATCTTCTCTTTCTCTTACCTTCTTCAACATCTCTCTTCTACTCCTCGTTGTAATCTGTAAGCCGATCCCAAATGGCTATGTTCACATTAGCCACAAACGCTTCGTCTCTCTCCACATGTTCCACTATATCCTGCAGGTTGAAAGTCATATCATCACACTTGTAAGCTGCGATTAGGCCGAGGTGATAAACAGTGATTCCCAAAGAAACTCCAGTCTTCAAAAATGCCGTGAAGATCTTGAACCGCTCACCAAAAACCATCCCTGGCTCCCATCCACACCTTGTCAGAAACTCAATATCTTCCTCTGGCTGTAGTCTTTCAAGATAACTCACACTCTCAGCAGAGAATTCTTTGTTCACATCCACTACACTTCGCTCATGCAACTGGAGCCAATGGGGGGGGGGACTCACGATGTTGTAATTCTGTACTTCATTGGCGAAAATCATTTCATGGTCAATAGGAATAACATGAGGGCTGCCACCATCATCAAGTCTCACCAGCATGTTGTCCGGATTTCTGTCCATATTCCCCAATCGCAAATCAAGCATGGCAACCTTCTCCATCTGAGCTGCTGATATTGGTGCATGAGGATATCGTGTAGAATACTCAGCAACATTACCCACCGTTTCCACGTAATCTATCAAAACACCCATCATGTTTCGGTTTCCTTTGGTGAATCTTACGAAGACCGTTGGCAACACCCCTGCATAACCGTAAATGTTTTCTGACCTTGACCGCTGATTATTATAGGGATGATCCAAGAGGTAGACACACGCTTCTTTCTTTGCTGAAACCTCACTTCCATCTTGGGGTTCCTTGAACAAGCATCTTAATGTTCCTTCTTCATCCAAAACCTGATAGATATGCTCAAATATTTCGTATCTGGGCAGCACATCATCGGCTTGATCCAACCAACTAATCATCTGTTGGAAATGAGTACGAAGTTGAACAGGAATCTCAGAGAGCACGGGAAACACTTCATCCATCATCTGTAAAAATTAAACTTTCAGATGACACAGGAAACATGATGATACAGAATTTGAAACTTTGCCAATAACCCAAATAGCAAATGCATCAGCTTATATAAAAAAGAATAGAAAGCCGAGATATTGTAAAAGAGTCTCATTTATATGCACTAAAGACCAAGATATTGTGTAGACATTGACATGATCATATAGGATATGGAAGAGGACAGAAATATACTAGTATATTGTTCGGTTTTACACCTAAGACAACTAATTCTTCGGTTTGGCTGTCAATCAAGAAATATACATTCAAAATGTGGCTAATCCGAAAGACCCATAAACTCAGCAACAACAGAGAGAGAGATACATGTGAGAACTGAGAAACAGTACCGTAGGTTCGCTGAGTGAATTTTCTCCGAGAGACCAAGTAAATGCTCAGTCATAATCCTGACAAAAGAAAGAAGGAACCTTAATCAGAAAGTCAGAACCTTTGGTGGTTACTCTAGCATATCGGTAAGAGACGAAAGGTCAGATTTTCAACAACTGTTTCCAATATCGGCGAAAAAGATGAAGACAAATTTCTGCAGATTCATCTAAAGTCGTGGCTTGCGAGAAGTTTAAAGCATGAAGCATAAAACCCAAAATGAACAGAAATCAAAACTATGAAAGAAAAAATCCATTTTTTTTTCTCTAAACTTTGGCGGAAAACAAAAGTTGTGGAACAGAATGTAACAAATAAAAAGAAATCAACTTTTTTTTTCTTAAGCTTTCTTCAGAACAAACGATTGAACCTTTGAGCGACTATGTTTCTGAAACCCCGAAAAGAAATGTGAGTACTTTTTAATCATTTGAAGCTGAAATACAAGTTTCTTCAGAGTTTTCAGAGAACAGAAAATTAAAAATTTGGGAAAAAAACAAAAAAAATCCAACCTTTTTGGCTCTAGATTAGCGCGAAAAAAGACGAAATATGTGAAAGAAATCGTTTTTTTATTGTTTCTCTGAAAGCTTACAAGAGACATTTACCTTTGGATGGAGATGTTCGTTCCGATAAACGACAGAGTGAGAGAGAGAACGAATAGGAATAGACTAGAGAGGGTGGGAAAGAAAGAGCACGCAGTTTTTCGCACTCCTACACAGTAGACACGTCATCACAATTTCTTGCTATGTATTTGTTGTCACATCAATTACGCAAAAGATACGGGTCTAAAACTATAAGAAAAGGAAAAATACGGGTCTAAAACTATAAAAAGTAAAAATTTCTCCTCCTCCTTTTTCGAATGGAAAACTTTTCACATGTTTTACACCAACGACTGAAGAAATGAGTAGAAAATTTTGGATTTGGCTTTTGTTTTTATCCTAAGTATGCTAACCAGTCAGAACCGATACCCTCTTTATATTTACATCTACCATTCAAATTCAATTTGTTTTAACTTTAAGATAAGATTCTATAACAAAATTATCGCAATTAGTATTCTTATATATAAGTGACTATTTATTTTCCTTTTTACTGCTAAAATACTGAGAATATTACACTTAAGAGAGACTTTTTCACTTATACTTTACAGAAAGAGTGACTTTCAATCAGAGGTGGACTTTCAGGATATGAGTTTACACTCTTGCCCTCTTTCATTGAGATCTTTATGCGTTAATTTTTTTTTACATTTACTCAACAATTCTTACCTTTCTCTTCCGACAAAAATTCATCGGAGAACTATTTTCTTCTTGCCGGAAACACCTCTTCCTCCGTTGTTGTTTCTCATTTCTCTCTAAAAGAAGCTACTTTCTTTGCCGTTTCTCCCTTCGATCTGCATATTCGTTTCAATTTTTACTTCTTTTTTAACATTCTCTGAACTCCATAGAAATCCTTCCACGAAAATCCTTTCACGGGAACTGTCGCCTCTCCGACTCCGGCGAGTCTCACCTTCCTACTGCATCGTCCTCTCCTCTTTTCCGTCAAGTCTCAACCTTCCGATTCCGTCGAGTTTTATAATTCACGTAGCTCCCTTCCCTGCTGTTTCCATCCCTCATTCACTCTGGGTTTGAATCTGATTGAGGCAATAGTTCTCTTCGACAACAACGAAACATCGAATTCAAGGCTATGGAGTTTTGATACATCAACTTTGGTCGGATCTGATGAGGAGAGAGAGCGATTGAACTTTTTGGATCTCGGGTTCATCACTAATCACTGAGAGAAGAAAACGTCAGGGCTTTGTGTTGGTCCACCGTCTCCGACCTGCTAATGGTAACTCTCATCGTCTCTTCTTGGATAGTTTTTTGGTAGGCACTTAGACACAAATTGTTTCTTGTGGATGGTTTAAATTGGATGCTTTGAGACCATGGACAAGTTTATGTGGATGAATTGCTTTTGACTATGGTCTGAAAATTCTAGGGTCAGCTGCGGCTCCTTTCAATGGAGAAGAATAGTCATGGAGAGCTCGATGTATTGGAGAGACAGAAGCTCCGCAAATCAATGGGGGATCTCAAAGCCGGTGCTTCTAATATATTGTTATGCGTCAGTCAATTGAAGCTGGTTGAAGCTTATAATGAGAAGAGGTCTCGAGAGCAAAGCTCCTCTGTTTATAATGAGAAGGGAAGATTACTATTGAAGCTCCAAAATCATCTCTCGAGGCCTTGGCCTTTCTTCTGTTCATTGTGGCATATAAATTACAGAAAGTGATCATCACTGAAGTAGAAACTGCTCTACTTGCTTCGTCTATTGCAGTATTGCTCAATACGAACAGGCTCCAACACTCTTTAGCTCTCTTGGTCTCAAGCTTGAGATCATCTCAGGTTACTTTTTCTAATTTTTTTTTTTTTTTTATGTTATGATAATACAATTACAAAAGACTTAAAGAAGTTTCATTATCTTTTGCAGAGATCGTATTAGGTCTTGTTAATAAATACTTTTCCATAAACGATGTTGTCACATACAATCCACGGAATGTCTATCCATAATACATAAACACTTCTTCATCTCTTATGTTGCTCATTTTGAATATGGCTAGTATATCACCTCCTAAAATAATTTGGATAGCTTCATGTGGATGAATTCATTCAGTTTTAAACATTCGTCCATGCTTCAAATTGTCCATATATTTTTGTACACTACAAATGTGGATAGTTTTGTGTGGATTGTTTCTTCTTTCTCTGTTTTGTGGAGCAGGTTGCAGGGAGTTTCAATCTTATCTATGGAGAAGGAAACATTGATCTCATGAGTCACATAAGCTATTCATGAACAAGAGCAATTGGATGAACTCCCAATTTCTTTAGAAGTTTTATCCACTACATAATTGTACACCATCTACTTTCGCATATCTTAATTGATATAGTCAGAGAATCGAACTTCGAATTATGTTGGGTAACCATAGAAATTTTCCGATGACAACAGCCGGCGAACAAGAATCGTATTCCACTTTCTCGTTAACCAAAAAAATGGTAACATATTTTCACCCAATTTCCATTAAGGGTAAAAGTGGAATCTGCTTTCACAACAAGACAAAAAAAAGTGCACCTCTGAGAAAATGTCACTCTTTCTGTAAACTCAAATCAAAAGTCACCCAAAGTGTAAATCACTCCTAAAATACTAGTTTATCGTACATTTACTAACTGAGAAAATTAAAACCCTTAAGGATTGAAGAACAAATATCTAACTTTTTGTGGTTGAGACAGTTGTCGAATCGACTAGTTATGAACCGTATTAAAGATATAATTACGACTGGTATAAAGCTTATTTAAACAAATATTTTTCATGAGGCCTATGTACTTTGCATTTTATAAAATGGGTCCAAACTGAAAAATAAATTTAAAAACCCATCCCAACTGGAAACTCGCTAATTTCCACGTGGCAGAACCTGAGGTTGATTAACAGGTTGTGATATTTTACTCGTCCTTAATTTCGCGCTTTTCTGAAAATATTTTTTTATCGCTCTACTCTGACGTGTCCTTTAACAATATTTTTAGATCCTTTTCGCGCTGACGTGTCCCTCTATACATCTTTTGATCGCTACTCCCTTAGTCCTTAGTGAAACGATCAAGCACAATAAATAAAACCACTATTAACATGCTAGAATAAAAACGTATTTTTGCATAGTGAGTAGGATGATTTAGTTTGAGAAGGATACGAAGTTTCATCCTATAAGATCTAACTTCCGAGGGGAGAAAAAGAACTTGACAAAGAATAGAGGTTAGTGTGCCTCTGAGTTGCCTCTGGGAGAGTGAAGGTGATGAGTGATGACAAAGGCTACATCACAGACGCAGAGAGAGAGAGAGAGATGGCTCTGGCTCTGTTATTGGGTTTCAGCCCATTCCTCCTGGTACTTTGAGAGCTCTTATGGTCATTGATCACCGCCCACCGGGCGATTCGGGCAGACTTCGGATCAACAACTCAACTTATATACCATATGTGTTCTTTTTGCTCCAAAATCCGGTTCATTCTTGTTTACGTTCACAAAGGCATACTTTTTCAGAAACTCTACTAATGCTTAATAATTTGGAACACAAGTCTAAGATGTATATAAACATTAGCAATGTCAAAGATTATACACCAAAAGAAAAAAAAGAGGAAAACAAAGCGGATTCTGGATGATTCGAGGCGGATCCCTTTTGTCTTTGCCTTGACTCTCTACAAACAACACCATATAACGCAGTAGAAAGGAACAGAGCAACAAGTCACCGAGGGAGAAACCATCACGAGGAAGCGAAAATAACGCAACAAGGAAACAACAAATCAAGAGAGGAGGAACCACTGAGCATCCTTGACTTTCAAGTTGGAGAGACACGGGAAGCGTTTGATGGTCTTTGTTGCAAGATTGTACACACACATGTCGACGCATGAGACTTTATTGTGACGGATACGGTCACCACGCGTGAAATAGATGGAGTTTGGCTCAATACCCAGCAGCCACTTTCACGGTGATACCCAAATCAAGAAACAGGGCTTCATCACCAAGAGAATCTACCTCAGCAAGCGTGTCGTCGTTGGTACTCGGGTGTACCTGTTTAGGATCCCTCTTGAACACTCGGAACGTCCTAGGCCTTTCCAAGGTCGACGTCTCGTAAGATCTGCTATGGACATACAAAACCTCTCCTGATGTTTTCACAACAATACTATCGCTCCTTGAGGTGACCTTAATCGCTCTGAGTCTTTCATACTCCTCCTTAGTACTCCGATTTGGCTCCCACCTTGGCAACCTGTGGTTCTCGGACACATCCTTGAAACCATCTTCTCCAGACAAATCCAGGTGTCGAATGTAGTCACGTTTCGTGAGGACGTAAAGGCTGTAACCTTTGAGTACCATATCACGTAGGCCTTGTAACTCCAAGCGAGGACCGACCCGTGTGTTAATCTCACGGTAATGACCATCTCTTTCTTGCAATACCCTACAAACTCGTCATTCAAATTGCCACACAACAACGTAGTCTCCATTCTTGTCGTCTACCCACAAAAGACCCCTCAGATCTTCCACATCTTGAACAATCCTAGAAGCATCCTCGATTAAACTAACATTGAATTTCTTATCTCCTGCTACCTCAACCTTAAAACGCTCACCCTTGAGTGACTCCAGAGGAGGGAGTCCGATCCTCTCCTCGCTAAACACATCTACAATAACGAGCTTCGATGAGAGTCTACGGCCAGGAACCACTTACCCGAGTTTGCCAGGAATCGATACCCTGAAAAGTCACGCGTCGTGGTCTCGTAAACCCTATCTTCGTCTGGATTGTACAGCACGCAACAGAGACAGCATCAGCAACGGAGATCCGCTTTTTGGCCGCAGATTCAAAGTCGAACGCGGGGCCTTGGCACGCTGAGAATCCGGATCCGGATCCGGACAATCCAAGGATCGTTTGAGCGTAGATTGAGTCATCGGAGCCAAGGATCGTTCGAGCGTAGATTGAGTCATCGGAACGGAGATTTTCTCGTCTCTTTCTGAGTTAAGGGAGAGGCGTGAAGTTTGCACAAATCTTCTCTCTCTCTCTCTCTCTCTCTCTCTAGATGTATAAATTGTATACACAGGTTCGGGCTTTTTCTAGGGCTACCAAGAAAAAATATCAACGGGTTCATAGCCCAATATAACATAATCATGGACGTGTGAAATTGTTGAGCTGTTAACTTTTACCTTTCCTCAGTCTCAGTTTATGATAGAATTTCCGGTTTTGGCATGTAATTTGTACACATTGACAAGTTGAGATGATTATTTTGGATATGGAACAAGACAGAAACATAGCTGGGTATTTCCAATTTCCAAAATACATAGTTACATTTACTTGTTATACTCAGCGTAGCTTTATCGGACTTCATTTAAGACAGTGATTTCTTCGGGTTTGGTTGTCAATCAATTTCCGATTTCGAGAAACATTCAAAATCGCGAAACATACCGTGTTTGACTGAAATAGTATCGAAAACCATTTTTTTTTTAATCACCTCTCTCATTTTTTTTATCATCACAATTCTTGTTTTGTGTTGGTCTCTTCACATTAATTACCCAAAACATACCGACCAGGAGAGTAACCGAGAAAATGGTTTTCAACTATCGAGTTTCTAATTCTCCGTATTATTAATGGATTCACTGAGTTTACATAACTTGTAAAGTTGACCGTTTAATCTGTCCACTATTGTAAATCGGTATAAGACATAAAAAAATGAGGTAGTTATTAGAGTATATAGATCGGTTATCTCTGGTTCACTTGGTTTAGCTAGTACTATAGATTAAGTTTCTCTTGGCTTGATTTTAGAGTATTTATATACTATACTTGTACAATTAGTGAGAAATATCAAATACGCTTTAATAGTAGTGTCATATATATGTATGATTATGATCCCAATTTTTGATTTCTGTTGTTGCTAGAGTTTATATACCATATAAAATGAACAGTTGAGTTTTACAGACGCTTGACACATTTGCTTGGTACCGTGGCAATAGAGCAAATGACATGCTGCTAATGCATTTCATGTTTCCCGCGTAAGAAAGGGACAGGAGAGTGAAACGAAATAGAGAGAATAATTAAATAAGACCAGTCACAAAAGTTTGAAAGACAAATTTAGATAATTAAATAAGCCTCTGATCATCGAAGAAATGACAAAATAATAGATTGATATTAGCTTCCAGATTTAGTCATAGAAAGAAGAAGAATTTATACTGAGAAAAACCAACCATGATTAACTCAAAAGTTCAAAAATCCAAAAATGCAAAAAGCTAATGATTAAAATAAGTTACGGGGAAAAAAAAAAAAGTTACGGGAAAAGAAAGCAATACATCATCTTTTTCTTAAGCCGTATTTGATGGTTTCCGAATAAAGCACATCGTGAAACCTAGTTTGATATGCTTACCATCATGAAAACCAAATGTCATAGCGAATTTTAACAGAACAACAGATCATAATTAGGGGGGACATAGTTTAAAAAAAAAAAATAGTGAGATAATACGTTGTATTAAAGCAAAACAATACTCTCATCCTTGCATGAAGCAAATAAACAAGTAAAAATAAGATCGTTTTTCATGATGATCTGTCATGTAGAGAAAATGGAAAGCAGAAAGAAACAAATTTTCCAGTGGCATATTCAACCTAAACCATGTAGAAAGAATCACTTGGAAATATGGTTCTCATTACAAAACTTTCAACATTGCTTTTAGATCTATTGGCTAGATTTTTGTGGGATTATTTACAACAGTTAAGAATGTGAAGTTTGAAACTGGACACACTCATATTTTCCTTTCCCTCCAAACATCATCCCACTATAATTGTAATCCAAAATAAACAACATTTTAATCAAGATATAACAGGCACTAATGGAGGAAAGTATAAAGATGAAAAAGAAACTATGAAGCCAATGGGCCTGAATTAAAAGGAAACAAAAGCCCAAGATGGCAAGATGAAAAGAGCACGTGACGAAATCTCCTTTCTGCTTCCGACGCTTCCAGAAGAATGAACCACTCGCTTCCGACTCCGATTCCTGCAGCTCTCTCGAATCGCCATTGATTACCGATCAAACAAACCAGGAGCTGCGAGTTTCCCTTGAAGAGAAGTCCGCACACTAAGAAATCAGGCATGGCTTTGTTCTCCAGAGACGCTTCATCGGCCGGCGACGCTTCTCCCGATCAACGGCTCGGCGGAGGAGGATTGTTGTTATGGACCACCAAAAACGGAGGAGGATACGAAGTGCACGATTGAGGAGGTCAAGCCTGGAAAGTTCGTCAGAAAGTGCCTCAAAGCGAAGAAGGTAGTCGTTGTTCGCGGCTGGCCCTGGTCTGGGAAGTAAGTGATTCCCGATCTCTCTCGTTGATTTCAAATCGATGCAAGTTTCTTCATTTCACGGAACTAAGAGTAAATGTGTGTTTCTGAGATTGAGATTTTACTAGTAAGAGTTGCAGAGATATAGTTGCGTTTATGGATTGGGATTGTGATGAATGATGATATTGCTTAGCTGTGGTGTTTGGGTTCCTGTATCATATTAGGGTACAGCTTTAGCTCATCCAAGGTTCTATTAGCTTTAGCTCATTGCGTTTATGGAGCTTAAGAGCAAGTAGTGAGTGATCTCAGCTGATTAAGGCTTTAAGAGCAAATTGCATTTAACAAGAGTTTTCTTGATTAAGAGGATTTATCTTGCTGGAAACTCAAATCTTGTTTGTTTACGTGTGATATGGACTACATATCCTTGTTTGTTTATGTATATCTTTCACAGTTTCACTCCTCTTTTATCTTGTTCAGGCCCTCTGAGGTCTCTACGACAGAGGAGACGGAAGAGGATGTCACGAACCATGTCACGGACCAGATGGTGGGGCAATCGTTCAACGAGAGTAAGACAGAAGAATCCGAGGTTAAGGCTTGTCGTATCATGTAGAGGTTGATCCAGTTGGGGTGTCTATGAGAGCTTTCTTACTAATATTACTATGCGTGTAATGATGGTTATGTTTTTGCGTCTTTTTTTTGTTATGAAAACAATTAAAAATATTTTAGTCACTAATGGACTCATTGATCATATCATCACCGATAATACTTTGAATTAAAGCAAGACACAATACTCTCGTCCTTGAAATAAACAAATTAGATAGTTTTTAATGATCTGTCAAGCAGAGAAATTTGAAGCAGAAAGAAACAAATATTCCAGTGGCATCTTCAACCTAAACCATGTTAACCACGTAGAAAGTATTAATATGAGACAAGCCGAAAATAAATTTGAATAAAGAATAGTTATCCTTCTTGATTTGTCCTTGAACATGGTGGTGATAGTATGAGAAATGATAAAGCATACACGGCACATTTAAATACTATTGGCTACATGATTCGTGTTTTATAATAATCTTATGTTTCTGAACAATGAATCTTTCGGCATTTTATTGTTGTTTCTCAAAGTTTTTTAAAAGAACCATAAACGGGAAATGTTATGAATAATCGAGTCATATAATATAAGGTGTATATTTTTCATAAAATTTTCATCCCATACACGGCCTCCACAATAATGTGCAAGTTAAATTCCATGTTATTGCATTTACAAGATGCAACTCTCCTCATGTGATAGGCCATGAATCCTCGAGAACATCAAAATTACCAAAACTGGTCAACACATTCATTTGCTCAAGAACATCTCGCTCAGACTCCCATCCACACACAGATTAAGAAATGCAATATCAACTTTGGGAATCAAAACCTTCCACATAATCAATACATTCTTGACTGAAAGGCTGATCCACAATGTCATTTCCATCCATAGGCAACCAACAAGACTTGGAAACTAGAAAGATTGTACCTCAATGTTTGACCGGGAAAACACATCTCATAGTCAATAGAGACCAGTGAAGGTATGCCGTTTACCATTTGAACAAGGAGATTACCTGGGTTCCCTGCCTATCCATATTGCCGAACTTTACATCAACCACACAACAATCTTCTGTATTTCACGACTTGTTAATCCCTCATCACCAGCTTCTATATAACCTCCAAAATCTTCTACAGACTCCACAAGTTCAACCAGAATCCCCATAAAGACTTTGTTGTTATTAGTGAACCTCACAAATACCGTCGGTGGTACATAAGGTACACCTCCTCAAAAACGCAATATCATCATCAAGTTATAGTTGTTCAATGTAGCTCACACAATCAGGAGACAATATTTGGTTCCCCATATAAACGGTACTCCAAAACCACAAATGTTTGTTTTTGGTAATTCAAAAAAAAAGTGAGAGAAGTGTAGAGAGAGGAAACATTGAGCGAATTGTGCGAGAAACTGAAGATAAAAAAGTAATAACATTAAAAAATTGTACGGATTTGGCGTATTATCTAAAATCGCAAATAGTAGTAATAGAAGAAAATAAATTACATTAAGACCTAACATAACAAACCAACTTCAGAAATCATTTGTAAGAAAAGAAAGTATTTTATTATAGAATTGTGGTTCTCATTACAAAATTTTCAACATTGCTTTTAGATCTATTGGCTATATTTTTGTGGGATTATTTATTTATTACAATATAGTAAAGAATGTGAAGTTTGAAACTGGACACACACTCTTATTTTTCTTTTCCTCCAAACATCATCCCACTATAATTGTAATCCAAACTAAACAACATTTTGATCGAAATATAACAGGCATTGTTGGAGAAAATATAAAGAGATGAAAAAGGTCCCTTAAATTAGATGTCCTAATCATGATTTCTCTAGATTATGTTATGGATCGAACCTGTCTAGCAGGCCTATTATTGTTATATGCATGTTTTGTAGCATACACTCAACTAAAGTCAAATTATACATTTCATGCTGAAAATATCGTTACGCCCTCACGAGAACCTACGTAAATAATACAGTAACTGAGCCAAGCTCAAATGGACAAGAACGTGTCTAAAATGAAAAAAAAATTATAGAAAAACTGTCACATATAACCGTTGGCCGGGTGGAGCATGACTTTAGTCACATCATTGAATCTATAAGCAAAGAACTTGATTGTGTTTGTGTAAGCGTACAATATGAGTCGCATTTAGAGCCGTTTGGGTGGTACATTGATCTTGCTAACTCTCAAAGTCTTTGAAAAAAGTACAGTCTGATCTTAGGTGTTTGAACCATTTCCTTTTTCTTCGCATATAATCTTTAGGGTTATACAAAATGTTCAGTCGGATATTCATGTTCATATCCGTTGTAATCATAATACAACCTCTCCCCTTTAGATATGTTTCTATTAGCTACGAGAAGAACCCTAGCTTCTCCGTTGATGTTGAACCTCACACACTTCAGGTTCTGCTTCTTTCTCCCTTCTCTGCATTTCACAAAATATCACCAAAACACAAATGAGGTCAAGCAAATACCATACAAGGGACCTAAATAGAAGGGAAGAGAAACTCACGGGGTGTGATTGTTGATGCCGCTGACGAAGCGAGCAATGTTACTGCGTTTGTCAGGGCAAATAACAAGGCATTGCAAAGGATCAGAGGCATGGAGGAGAGTCATCATGCTGTCTCCATCATAGTTATCTTCTCTGTTGCTCAGATAATCAACATCTCCAACGTACTCTGTGATTATGGTCAAGTCTTTTATGCACCTGTCCGCTTCTACTGTGAATCTGTTTCAGGTTTAAAACATCTTCTTCAATATAACTCAAGATTGTGAACTGCATTTTTTGTTTCTTCTGACCTACTCTCTTTGTGAATTTTAAAGGTATAAGAAGAAGTTAAGGCTAAGTACCCTTCAAAAGGATCGAAAACGACCATAAGAGGCGGGCATTCACCACGATCCATCATGTTCTTGCACAAGGCTAAGCTCTCTACGCCTTCTTTAGATAGAACCTGTATGAAATTGAATCCAAAGTCATATACTATCAGAAAGACCAATAATCAGTGATTGCAACTAATCCTCAAACCTATCAAATGGTGTTTTTTTCTTTGCACAGAATGTAACTGAAGGACGAGAGCGATTCATGTAAGCTTTAAATTTTAGTTACCTGCATGCCTCCTTTCTCAAGTACAGCTTTGTTTGCAGATCTTGGAGCCTTGCCAGATACATAAGTGAGCTTGTTGCTGAACTCGGTTTTGGAGGCTTTCAACGCAGTGGCGAGAGATGCCATTTGCTCAAGTCTCCTTTGAGGATCATCGGTTGGGTTGTAAGGAAGAAGCTTTCTCTTCTTCTTTGACATCACCAAGCTGGTCCTTTTCCTTTTCTTCCCAATGTTATCTGTAAAAAATTTTACTCTTTGAATAAGATTTCCCAACACAACACAAGAAGTTATTGTGAATTTTGAATTCCCAATCTGCAAGATTACAAAGGTGTGTTGTAGTTTACCTGAAGAACATGAGATGTGAGATGAATCTGGAGACCGCTTAATCCGGAAGAAGTCTATGATTTTAGTCTGAACAAGAGGGAAAGCTGCAATTTTTACAAACTTTGGTTAGCTAATTAGAGACTGACATTTCATACATCTCAGATATAGACTCAGCAAAAGACATCATTTTTATCAAATGTATCACATAACTTTTTCTTCTTCAATTTCACCGATAATCAATTTCATGTCTTTAGATCTACCCAACAACAGAATAATCCGAATCCAAGTAGTCTTAAGTAAGATTCATTCACCAAGCATATACTGAAATCTGAGTCAAATTCGCAATAGCAATTCAATAATCAAACGGCGATTCAAAGGAAGAGATCACGAAACCCAGAACAATAAAACCTACAGCTCAACAATGGGCATGGCCCAACAAAAAGGAGGAGGATTTTCGATTTGAGAAATGTGAGATTTTTTTTTTTGACAAAGCTTACATTTGGGGATCTGGTGTTTGGAGCATGAAGGGCAGAACCAAGAGCCTTTGGGAACTGAAACGAGGATTGGTCTGAGACAGAAAAGATGAAACCCTTTGTCGCATTTGTCGCAAAGTAGCAGCTTCGCCGGTTGTTTCCCGGAGCTGCATTCTTCGCATACCGTCTCCAAATCCGAATCGGAATCGGAATCGGAATCATCCGCCGTGGGTTTCGGAAGCTCGGATCTAGGGTTCGACGCCTGGGTTCTTCTTCGCCGCAAAACCACCATCGTCGAGCTCTTCGCTTAGCAGAGAGAGAGTGAGATTTGAGAGAGTATAAATGTGGGATGTAGCCGAGGAGGCAGCTATAAGCATTCACGCTCCGGTTCTGAGAATTTTCGCGGGGAAAACGAAACATTAATTAATTTGGCGCCCACTGTTGCGTTTTCCGATTTACATTCCGGTTTAAACCGGTTCTGAGGATTGTTGGACGAACCAAAATCGACATAACCTTAAAGGCTAAAACCAACCGGAGACTCCGGAAACTGTAATTTCAATTTCTCCGTTGGAAGATGGAAAGCAATCTGAAGATCAATCTGGTTTCGTCCACCGACTCGGCCGAGTTCACTCGCCTGAAATGGTCTCTCACTCGTTCGACGGTCATTGCCTTGGACGCCGAATGGAAGCCGCAACGCTCCAATCCGTCGTCGTTTCCGACTGTCACTCTCCTCCAAGTCGCTTGCCGGCTCGGTCACGCCGCGGATGGCGATGATGACGTCTCCGATGTTTTCCTTATTGACTTGACTTCGATTCATCTCGCTTCCGTGTGGGAGCTTCTCAACGATATGTTCGTGTCTCCGGATGTGCTGAAATTGGGGTTCCGGTTTAAGCAGGATTTGGTTTACTTGTCTTCCACATTCACTCAACATGGATGTGAGTCTGGATTCCACGAGGTGATTGCTCGGAAATTCTCAAACTTTCCAAATTGGTTTTAGTTTTTAGTGAATGTGTGTGTATATATAATGATTGGTTTCTGTTAGTTTTGAGTGCATTCAATGTAGGTGAAATCGAATCACTATCCAAGATTTAATATTTTAGCTCTGTTACTTCATTGAGAGTT